CTTACCTTCTGCCTTATATAGTAGACGGCTCTTTTGTTTTTCCTCTTACTACCTCTAACAAGTAGCGGAATTTGTATAAGAGTTCTTAGTACCTTATCTATAAGATAGTAGGCCTAGGCTAAACCTACTACTATCTCTTAGATAACACTACTTATAAGATTACTAGTCGGTTAGACTAGCTTAACGCTAGTATAGTAATAATAATCTAGACCCTTTACTCTATCGTAAGGTCTCTTTATTCTTTTTGTAAATATAGCTAATAAGCGACAGAATCGTATACTTGTTAATAATACTACTACTTATAATTAGCTCTAGTCCTTCTTTAATTAGAGGGGGTTTTTCTTTTTCTTAGTTCTAGTTTTGTTTTAAGGTAATGTCTTCTTACTCTATTTCCTTCTTTCCTTTTATTATTCCTTCTCTTTTCTAGTTATGTATAATCTTAGGTATAGCCTAAGTATACTTACTTAAGTAAGTAGTATTATAGATTCTAGTTAGAATTATATAGCTCTTTTGTGTTAGTTATAGCCTAAGTATGTTCTAGTAGTATAGCTATTTTGTTTAAGTCTTATCTTAGTTAATAAATGTTAGTGTTAGTTAAACCCTAGGTTACCTTAGGTATTCTTTATATCTTTCTTGTGTTTAATTAGTTAGCTAAGGCCTAGACTATAAGGCAGTACTATCCTAGGATACCTAGCCCTATTAGCTATCTAGCTACCTTCTAGAGACGACCCGGGTTAGATATAATTACCTAATAATCTAACAGGCCTAGTTATTTAATTAGGTACGCTCTTTGTTCTCTAAAATCTAGGTATCTAGTAATAATGTACTTTACTGTCTAAGACCTCTACTTGTACAGGTAATCTACTAAGTAGGTAGAGACCTTTCTTTAGGTTAAGAAGGCTTAGAGACTAATCTTCTTTGTCTTAATAGCTAGTACTAAGAAGTATTCTACTTTTATTATTAATTTGTATCTCTTTATACGTTCTTCCTCTAGCTCTCTCTACTACACGGGGGGTTGACCTAGGGTTAAAGAAGGTATTAAAGGCAAAGATATAAGTAATAGACTAAGAAGTTAAGGATTATAAGAGAAGAGCTATAAGTAATAATGTCTTATAAGAGCTTAATTATAGTAAAGCTTAGTTAAGATTTAAACTACTAGACCTATTAAAGTAATATAAACAAGACAATATAAAAGAAGAGTTCTTTATACTAAGCTAGTTTATAGACATAACTATATTTATAGTACTATAAATAAGTTACTTAAGTAAAGTTAAGCCTGTCTTTTAGTTATTAATACATAAAAAGAAGGTAGCTATAAATTAGTAAAACAACTACTAAGCTAATAGTAGTAAGGTTATTAGTAAGAGCTAATAGACTTACGTATAAAATAAAGACAATAATAACTTTAGATTACTATACTTATAATAGACACTAGAAACAGACTTATCTAAATATTATTATTATTATTATTATTCTTACTACTTATGCTTACTATATATAAAACCTCTATACTATATAAATTATGTAGTAAAACCGTACTAAAGTTAAGTAAAAACCTATATACTACTTCTTATGTTTATACTATTATAGTGTTACTAGAGTACTAGGTCCTTATTACTACTTTACTAGAACTTAACCTTCTAGCCTAGTAATACTAAACATACTAATAAGATACTAGTAAGGTACTAGTAAGGTACTAGCTACTAGCTAGGGCTACTCCTTCTTTTATAACTCCTTTACTAGGTAGCGCTTAGCTAGACAGAACTATAAGAATTAGCTAGTAGATAGTAGCTAATAGATTAGTATATAAGCGCTCTTACCTTTCTTTATTACTACTATAAAGTTATAGAACGTCTATAGTACTCTTAAGTAAAGCGCTTACTATAAGGCTTACTACTACTAGTCTAGCTACTAGTAGTTAAGGACTAGGTAAGCTACTGTCTCTAGGGCCTTACTATAAGGGTACTAGAGAGTTACTACCTCTAGTACTTTATACTTAAAAAAGAAAGCCTAAAGTCTAACTTTACTAGTATAAATCTATATTAAAAAAGAGCTCTTATACTTATAAAAGAGTAAGTACTTTTTAAGGACATCTACTAAAAGGACAGGTAGTATAGCTAAGGTAGTGCCTTAGTAGTATACTAGTAAGCTATTATATTAAGACTATCGTACCTTCTAGTTCCCTTATAAGGTCTCTTTTAAAAGAGAGTCCTTATACTAGTCCCTTACTTATATAGCTTAGCCTACCTTATACTTAAGTAACGTATAAGGTAGTACTATAGTAGTATTATAGTAGTATCTTTAGTATTACTAAAGACAGGTCGCTACTTTATTATAAATAGACTATATAAGTTTACTCTTACTTATATATTTAAGACGTTATTTAAAGTCTACTACTTACTTATTAAGGTAAAAGTTAAGTAAAGGCGTAGCTATTTTAGACTTAAAGAACTAAATAAGAGTCGCTTAGTACGCCCTTATAATAACGTAAAGGTACTATAACTACTTTATAGTAAGGTCCTTTACGATCTCTTTAGCTTACTACTTAAAGGGACAGTACTAGACCTTTACGCTATATACTATAGTACTTTAGATTACCTTTATATAGATCTTCTTTACACGTAGTAAGCTATATCCTTATATAGACGTAATAAGCCTTATAAGTATAAACTACTAGGTAGTAAACTTTTATTTAATAGCGTTAAGATAGCCCTTTTATCTAAGCTTTTAATCTATCTAAACCTCTAGAAAGTAGGCCTCTTAGACTAGGGGTATAACCTAGCTATTAAGGTAGACAGGTATTGTTAGTATAGTATAGGTATAAGTAAGGTAAAGGAGCTTACTCTTTTTTAAAGTAAACTCTATTCTCTTTATACGTAACTACTAGCTATATATCTACTACGTTCCTTTAAGGTACTAGTGTATCTTTATTATATCTCTACTAAAAGCTAAGAGGTTAAGGTCGTTAGTAAACCTTACTATAATAAGGCCTATATAACCTTATAGTAGCGTATATAAGCTAGTAGTATAAAGGAAGAAAAGGATAAGAGAGAAGGGTAAACCTTATAGTACTCTTATAGTAACTTTCTAAGGTAGTACTATCTCTTTATTAAAGAAGAGACTAGCTGTCTAATTAGTAAGAAAGCTATATACTTATTATATAGCCTATATAAGGAACCCTAAGTACTAGAGAGTATAGAGAAGGTATATATAGTTTACTATATTAAAGGCGCCTTTAATGTTAAGTTAGAGAAAGGACACTATAGCCTTATAGCTCTATACTATATATATAGTGTCGACTACTATTTAAACTATAAGGTCTGTTAAGCGCTATAGCTAGTTTCTTATCTACGTTTCTAAGAGAAGCCCTTACGACTTTATAGTATTAGTAAAGTACTAACTAATTACTAACTTAATTACTTTACTTATTACGTTTAAGAGTAATATTAGCTTATAGGCCCTAGTAGTTTATTACTACTTAAAGGTCTTTTTAGGCTTATGTAGTACTACTACCTTTACTACTTTAAATTACGTAAAGAAGTGCCTTAGCTAGAGGCTTATAGTCGCTATTAGTGTAAGGAGCTTAGCTAAGAGACGCTTATATACCTTAAGGAAGCTAGTAAGTAGTAGGTTAAGACCTAGTACCTTTTAAGTACTTGTCTTTTAGAGAACACTAGTAATATCTACCTTTATTATAGTGTCGTTAATAGTAAACTATTAGTACTACTTATCTTAGAGGTCTAGAATAATGTTACTAAGATTAGCTATTAATTCTAAAAAGAACTACTAGCCTAATACTATTACTTTATTATAGTAGCTTATAGCTAGTACTTCCTTATTAGCGCCTTATAAAGGTAAGAGTAAGGCCGGTTCTAGAGGTATATAGCTATAGAGCCTAGCTTACCTTTTAAGACTCTAGAGTTTTTATTAGTCCTTTAAGGTAGTAGTAAGGGCGCTATACTAGCTCTTAGTTTTTATATCTTAGATCGTATAGAGTTAATAGGTACTAGCCTACTAGAGGTCGCGCTAGTAGAGCTTAGTTAAGGCGGTAGTATATTAATAGTATACTACCTGTACTTACTAGATAGCCTTAAAGACCTTACTGTTCTACTAAGGCTTAGTACGCCCTTAGTTAACCTTCTTTCTTAGGGTAGATATGTCTATAATATATATAAGCTAAGAGGTAAGTAAGTTAACTACCTTATTAACCTTATAAGGTATATCTAGCGGCTCTAAAGAGAGGTAGAGCCTCTTAGCCTTAATCGTTACTAGTTTTTAGTCTATTAGAGTCTAGCTCTATCTTAGTACCTTTATAGCTCTCTCTTAGTAATCCCTTACTTAGGTAATAACCTTAATTAGCTAAGTATAGTAGTTAGATCCCTTATACCTTAAGTTACCTTAATAAGTATACTAAAGCGTTACTATAACTTACGTATAGTTAATTATTAAGTCTTGTTTGTTATATTACTATTATGTTAGCTCTCTTTAAGGTATACGTAGTAAGAGCTACTACTTATAGGCTAGATAAAGAAAGGTCTTTAATTTAGGGGTAGTCTTACTAGCTTTATCTTAGAACAAGTAATAAAGGTTTATATTACTTATAACAATCTATAGCCCCTTTAGGTCCTCTTTAGTAAGCCGCTAAAGAGGGCTAGCCTAGCTTAAGAAGTTAGGAATTAGCGAGTATATTAACTAGACAGTAATACCTTATAAAGTAACGTAATACTAGTTAATACCTGTCTTTACTACTTAAGTAAGAAGTAAGTACTACTTATAAATATAGATAGCTACTCTACCTTTACCCTTATAGACCTACTAGTATTTTACTTATACTAAGTAGTAGACTGTCTTTATCTAAGTGTTATACTATAGCTTCTAAATTACTATAACGTTAACTTTACGGCTATTATAAAGTACTATTAAGGTAAGGCCGTTCTTTCTTATAGTATTCTAGTATACTATTATTAATTTTATTACTAAGAGTCTAGGATCTATAATTCTTATATTATAAAGGGGTCGCTAGACCTTTAGTTAGCCCCCTAGCTTAATATCTTTATAATGTCGTAGCTCTAGACTATTATAGTATCTAGTACCTTAATAAAGGGGTACCCTTACCTTACTAGAGTCTTTACTATAGGCTTCTTACTATTACTTGTCTATAGTCTCTTATATACTATAATCTAGTAGCTATTGTCGCTATCTTATAAGGACGCTAGCGTAACGCTAGGTACCTAGCTAGTAAAGCTACTCTTAGATACCTTAAACTATCTAGGCCTTTATTAATATATAGTATATACTTACTCTTTTACCTTAAGGGCCTTAAGATACTAATAGTCTTACGCTATATATAGTCTACTATAGTTAACGTATCTCTTTTTACTATTAAGTTAAGGGTACTTCTTTTTACCTTAAAGGTACACTACTCTTGTATAGTAGCTATACTAGGCCTAGTTCTTATAAAACCGCCTAATATAGCTAAACTAGTAGTATTAAAAGTATCTTTAGATTTATAGGTCGGCTAAATATAGCTTATAGTTAAAGATCTAGGCTTACTAGATTAACCCTTATTTATATAGGCACGTTACTACGTTAGTACTCTAAAGGTATAGTACTATTATTATAAACTTTACTATAAGGGCCCTAATAGGTTTAACTTTAACCTTTATAATATATAGTGTATAGGCTTAGATCTTTACTAGTAACGCTCTTAGCTCTACTTATATAATCTGTTCTACTAGTAGGCCTTTTACGATTACTATAAACTTACTCTTATAAAGCTAGGCTATAGGCCTAAACGCCCTTTATACCTAGCTCTAATCTTAGATCGTGTTCTTTAGTATAGCCTCTTTAAACGTAAAGATAGTGTTACTACTAGGTAGCTAGTAGGTCGCTACTACCTTAGCGTCCTTAATTACTATATTAGCTATTATTACTACTTTAATAGCGCTATAACATACTAAGTCTTTTGTCTATCTGTCTACTCTAATCCTTAGCTCCTTAATCTACCTTTCTAGTATAACTTATACTCTTGTTAGGTACTAGCTTACTACTAACGTATAAGTAGCCTAAAGGGCCGCCGTTACTACTAGCCTCTAGAAGGCCTCTTTTAACATTATTCTTAATTGTCTAATCGTTACTAGGTTATTATTAGAAAGAGACCTAAGGGTATATAAGAGAGTCGTTATATTTATAGCTCTTGTCTTTACTACTGTCGTTATTATAGTAATAAGGTCGTATAAAAGATATAACGCCTCTTCTTTCTTACTTAGTATTACGTAAGCTTTAATTCTTTGTATAATTTTCTCTATCTTATCGTCCTTATTACCTCTACTACTTTCTAGCTCCTTACTATAGCTCGTAGTTAGGGTATAAGAGTACTAGCTCCTACCTGTAAGTAAGTAGTATTAGCTCTATTTAAGTCTAGTACACCTACTATCCGTTACTATAGGCTTGCCTATAGTCTGCTAGTACTCTAAGAGGTATCTAAAGGTACTAATTTTGATTCTATCGTTTGTTTTTAAGTTTTTAGGGTAGTAAGGGGCGTAGACGACCGTCTAATTAGAAAAAACTTGTTAGTATTAATATATAGTATATTAAGAAATCGTCTTTAGGCGTAATCTACTAACTTATATAGCTACTAAGTAGGCTCTACGTATAGTAATATAATTTAGTATATTTGTAACCTAAAAAAAGAAGAAAAGATATTGTAAAGCGACTATTAGAATAATAAGTATTCTTATTATTTATAATAATATTATTATAATCCTTAAGTTTTTATGTAAAAACTCTATTTTGTTAGGCCTTTAGCCCTCTCTTATAACGTTAATAGCGATAACTCTATAGCTACTCAAGATATTAATATTTAGATTATAAGAAGAGCTCTTATATTACTCCTTCTTTACTCTAGTAGTAGTTTTAAGGCCTCTTTCTAAAAATTTTTGTTCTGTAAAAAATAATGTTTTTTAAATAAAGGGTATAGACTAACACTATTAAAGACAATAGCTATAAAAGGGGGGCAAGTATTATAAGGCACGCCTAGGGGATACCTAGGACACCCATTACTAAGCGCTTACTAAAGCAAACCTGTATATAGCTCTTGTCTATAGCCTTCTTTAATCCTTAAGAATAAGAAACCTTTCTAAATTAGATACCTCTCTAGACAGTCCCTAAACCCGTTACAGAAGGTAGGGTAAGTAGAGAAGAATAGAGAGAGCAGTAAAAGAACGATAGTATATAAATTATGTAGAGCGTAAAGAGCGTAAGCTAATCAAGTAGAAGAGTACACAGTTGTAAATAAGTTACAACTATTCGTAAGAACCTATAGTTTTCAAGGTAGGTAACAAGCTTGCCGCAAGTCTGCTCAAGTAATATTCAGTCCTACCAACGCGAAGCAAAAGAATCTCTTGGGGTTGGCGGGGACGAGGAGCGGGAACGCGCCTGCCGCTGCCTTTTCCGCTCTTCATCACTGATGTATATTCCGGAGAATTCGATCATCTTGGGCTCGTAGACGCGCTGTGTTGCTGACGTCCCTTTGAGTAAAGCGTCCAGCTCGATTCGCAACTTCAAGTACCCATGACCGAGGAAAACAAGTTCGACGTCGCAACTATAATATGACTCGAGGATGATGGGTGTGAGTGAGGCATGAAGTGGAGGGTCAAAGGGATAGATATCGAGATGGCCTTCGGGGTATATGTGTAATTCTGCGTGGACCTGTCCCGGCCGGCATATCATCTCAGGAATCTCGTCATATTGTCCATGCCCAAAGCGAATTCTCTTTCCCAAGTGCACCTCGACAAAATAATGTGACATGTACTCGGTGGAGTACAGCTCGAAGGTGCCTCCTTCCAGCGGGCCGATTGGAACAGAATTGCCATTCCTAAGTTCCGCCTCCAAGAGAGAACATGCCTCTTCGACGGCGATCTCCTTTGGTTTTTCATACTCTTCTGCTTCTTTCTTCGCTCTAGCCAGATATCTGTCTTCTCTTCTTTGAGCTGCTTCTTCATCAGAAGAATCGTAATTGTAGGAACTGGACTGGGACCCGCTGTCGTTATCTTCGTCTTCTAGCTCATCGTCATCGTCTAGCTCATCGTCGTCGTCTAGCTCATCGTCGTCGTCTAGCTCATCGTCGTCGTCTCCTTCGTGGCGGATATCATCGTGCCAGGGGAGCTCGTTCTCGTGCTTCGTCGGAGAGGTCTCGCGGACGGCAGTGTAAGGGCCGCCTTCGTTATCGAATCCGATCTGCTTGGGAGCTACGAGCTCGCCAGCCTCGGTTCCGGCCATCGACGACCTTATTCCTGTTATCTCACAGGGCGTGGGAGGTGGTAGCTAGGTAAGCGTGCTGTGAACCCCGGATTTTTTAAGCGGCTAAAAATACCAGTGCAGATCACAATGTCACGTGTGTAGGGTCAGGTCCCTCTACCTTAGCTCTGACTTTTAAGGCAGCCATTCCTATATCGTGAGCTACCTGAGTCACTCCGTGATTTCTTCATCGCAATACTTCAAGTGACATTCTTTCCTACACTACCAGGTACGTTAAAGTAACGGATATAAAGGTATTTATTTAATGGTCTGCGTAGCACCCCGGAGCTTTCCTTGATCCCCGCCGGGCTAGGAACTAGTACAAGTCCAGACTCGGCTAGACCCGTCTTTTATTTCAACCTCGGCTTGACCTGCTATCCGTCTCTTGTGTCTCGATGACGGGTCGCTGATCGCCACCTTTCCCCCTCATTCCATCACCGAACATCAGACAACGACACACGACACACGACCCTATACAATACGAGTCACGACTACGATAATACGCCCTTGTACATAATTCCAAACCTTTGATAGTATACCCCAAGCTGCCCACAACAAGACCATGGCGCCTTTGAGAGCCACGCTCCCAGTTATACCTCTTGCTAAAGATACCGTCCTCCTTCCCGGAATTGTATCAAGGATACCCGTTCCCGGAAATCGATCAGATGTACCGGCTTTGCTTTCAACTGTCTGTAGTCGAGCAGCTGCAACGACTCCAAGCCAACGACTCGACAATATCCATATCGCATGCGTCCCGTTAAACTCGCCGCTCATCAGCCGGACTGGGCAGAAGATGATCCCACAGGATGAGCATACCCCGAAGCCGAAAGAGCGATTGGATATAAACCCTTCAAGTGCTACAAATGACGATCTATTTGGATATGGCATTGCTGCGAAGATATCAGGAATTGAAGGGCGGGGCACTGGCGAGTTCGCTTTGTTGGTCGAGGGAATAACCAGGATCAGGATTGATAAAGTGACAAAAGGGGGTCTTTTCTTTGAAGCAGAAGTCACATACGAATATGATGCCGGTGGGTTAGATATGCTCCTATTGTTTTTTCTTACATGCTGAACTTATTGGAGCTGTATCCCACGAGGATACTGCAATACAGGAACTGTTCGCAAATATGAAACAGCTAACCCGCCAACTCCTGGCATTGTTACGGCTTTCATCCCTACTCTCTCGAAATTCTGGCTCCTCGGGGTTATCTCCAATACTAGCCCGCCGTCTTGAACTTTACATTGCAAAACGCGGGGTGCAGGATGCCGGGCTCCTAGCTGACTTCATGGCCAACATTGTTGAGGCCTCCTTCGAGGAGAAGTTGCAGATTTTAGCTGCTTCAGATGTGAAAGACCGGCTAGAGAAAGTCATAGCCCTACTTCAGCGTCAGGTTAACAACATGAAGAATAATGTTAGCATTACGACGGTTACTAGCACGAGCATTCCCTCGAATATCGATTTGGACCAGATGAACAAGCTGAATGGGCTGCGAGCAAGGAGATCTGGAGGCTCAGGCATGCCATTGCCGCCCGGAATGGGAGGAGTGGGGGGGTCCCCCGACGATGAACAGGAGCCGAACGAGATGGAGGAACTCAAGAAGAAACTCGACGCTGCCAAGCTTACCCCAGAAGCCGCTAGAGTTGCTGACCGAGAACTCAAACGGTTAAAGAAGATGTCCCCGGCTCAAGCAGAATATCAAGTTACGAGGAATTATCTGGAGAATTTGTCAGAGATACCCTGGTCGGCAGTGACAGAGGACCAACTTGGCGTTGATACATTGAGCAGAGCAAGGAAACAGCTTGATGATGACCACTACGGCTTAGAAAAGGTCAAGAAGCGTTTGCTGGAGTACCTCGCAGTGCTCAAGCTTAAGCAGTCCATCAATGATGATGTCAATACCCAGATTGCCAAGGCAGAAGAAGAAAAGGCTCCGGAGAAGGCTGATATTTTGAAGAGCAAACGGATGATTGACAAATCTCCCATCTTGCTCTTAGTTGGACCACCAGGGGTTGGAAAGACGAGCCTCGCAAAATCAATCGCAACCGCTCTAGGACGGAAATTCCATCGCATCTCTCTTGGAGGCGTACGGGACGAGGCAGAGATCAGAGGCCACCGCAGAACATACGTTGCAGCCATGCCCGGCCTGATCGTGAATGGTCTCAAGAAGGTCGGTGTGGCTAACCCAGTGTTTCTCCTCGATGAGATCGATAAAGTCGGGTGAGTACCGTTGAGCTGATATCCACGTTATTGGCAGCTGACAGCTGTCCCAGGACATCTAACTTCCATGGCGATCCTTCAGCAGCTATGCTTGAGGTTCTTGACCCCGAGCAAAACCACACCTTCACTGACCATTATGTCAATATCCCAATAGACTTGAGCAAGGTCCTTTTCATCGCTACAGCAAACACTCTAGATACTATCCCACCCCCACTACTCGATCGAATGGAAACCATCAACTTGTCAGGCTACACGACCCTTGAAAAGCGACACATTGCCATGCGACATCTAATTCCTAAGCAAATTCGAACAAGTAGGTCAAAATCTATTGGCTACTTATACTATGTGATTGCTGATATTTTTAGATGGACTCGTGGACGGACAGGTCGAATTTAGTCAAGATGTTGTGTCCAAGATAATAGAGTCCTATACCAGAGAGTCTGGAGTGCGGAACCTTGAGCGGGAAATTGGTTCTGTATGCCGAGCGAAGGCTGTCGAATATGCCGAAGCAAAGGATTCTGGGCACACAGAGAACTATAGACCGCAATTGTCTGTAGATGACATAGAAGAGATCTTGGGAATAGAGAAATTTGACGAGGAGATTGCAGAGAAGACTAGGTACGTTCATCCACATTGTCTCTTTTTCGGATTTACTTCTGGCATGTCTATCCGATACTCAGAAGACGTGAACTCCCAAAACTGTGGACGAAGGGATTGCTGACCAGGAAGCAGCCGACCAGGTATCGTGACTGGTCTCGTGGCCTATAGCTCTGGTGGGAACGGGAGCATACTTTTCATTGAAGTTGCTGACATGCCTGGAAATGGCAGCGTGCAGCTTACTGGGAAGCTCGGCGATGTTCTCAAAGAGAGTGTCGAGGTAGCACTGAGCTGGGTGAAGGCTCATGCGTATGAGCTTGGCATGACGCATGACCCTTCTGAAAACATCATGAAAAAACGTAGCATCCATGTGCATTGCCCATCGGGCGCAATTCCAAAGGTGCGTAAGAAACGACGTATGGTTTACCATTCACTCACAGATAACCAGGATGGACCTTCTGCTGGTATGGCACATGCAATCGCACTGATATCTCTCTTCTCGGGCAAGGCTGTACCTCCCACTATGGCTATGACGGTAATTTCCCCTGTTCTTTCAAAGGAGCATTGTTGACTTGGTTAAGGGCGAAATTTCCCTCCGTGGCCGTGTTACCGCTGTTGGGGGCATCAAGGAAAAGCTTATTGGAGCCCTTCGAGCTGGAGTGAAGACCGTACTCCTGCCTGCGCAGAACAGGAAAGAGTAAGAGCAGAACTAACTCCCCTATTACCGTCCAGTTCTAACAATCCACGTAGTGTCAAGGATCTGCCGCAAGAAGTGAAGGATGGCCTGGAGATTATCCACGTCGGGTATGTTTCACCTTGGTATTTCTATGATGAAGTCTGACTGTTCACTTTCAAGGCATATCTGGGAAGCAATGCGCTATGTATGGCCAGAAGCCCACTGGCCCGGAGAAGTGAATTTCGCCGGCATTGAAAGTCGGCTTTAGATGGCAGCATTCCGGGGACATGATGCCATGGAACACTTACCATGGCAAGTCAGAACTCTACCTTTTCCGCGTAGTGCGGCGTTGTAATAAGTACTTATGTTCATGTCCATGTCCATTCCAAGAATGCTGGTACAACATGCCTACCTAAGCCTGGAGAGCCAAGTGCAATCACTCTACAGTCCTTATTTTTCCTCTTTACGCAGGTGAAGAATACAACATATGCGTATCCTCGACACCCATAACCCTCTGTGCGCCGGGGGCTTGTCCGTGTGTGCTGCCTTGGTCCTATTACATGAAGTACGAAACTGTCTGCTGTTTCTGTTCTGGTAATAAGACAAAGGAAGACAGATGTGTACTATAGGGGGTACGGGCTGTCACGTGGAGTAAGCCATTGGGATACTTAGGTGGGGATGTAGCTGGTGGGCACAACAATGTTGTGAGAGGTAGGATGGGGCTTTGAGGGAGACGGGGGGGGATGCTGAAATTAAGTCGAGCGAACTGGAGGGGTTGCGGGTCTTTGCAGCTCTCGGAATTTTCCTGACCTGCGTCTGTATCTGTATCTGCGTCTGCATTGCGGGCGGGAGGGAAGGGGAGGGAGGCTGCATACTCCATCGCATTTGTGCACATAGGTTCCCACGAAGCATGTTGCCGTAGAACGAGTGCCGTTGCTGCCTCACCTGGTCCCGGGAGCCCGCTCTGCTGGAGGGAGGTATCCTTTTGCCACTAATCATTCATATCATTGAAGCTTTTTAGTCGAGTTCGATATTGACGTCGCAATATCAACATAGCAAATCCAAAATATCAGTATCAGTATGGAATTCATTAGGTATCAATGTCTTGGACGGAAAAGGTCCTGTGGACTATTCTCTCTGTCTCCGAGATGTGCCGCGATGAATTTCTGCTTGCCTCCTATTCCTCCTCCATGGACCGTGACTGCGTGGTAGTAGTGATTCGGGTCGGCATGTCACTTGCTTGGGAGACCGCGGGTATAGTTGGATCGATAGACTATGCTCGTACACATGTACAGTATGCCTAGCAGGTGGAAATTTCGCTGACAAAGGACCATCCGTAGGTATTTGCACGATTCGGATCGCTCATTAGGAAGTCAAAACCCCTCCGTCGTGTGGAGGCTTGTATATGGCCAGTACCTCAAGTTGGAAGTCAGGTAGGTAGTAATACATACCATGGGTGATGAGCTGGGGTTAAAAAAGAGCATTGCGCAGGTGGCTTGACTTTGGCCCCAGTCCACATTGTAACCTCGATAACTGCAACACTCCGAGTCAGCCTCGGGTGTGGGGGTTCTCTTCCTTTTCGAGTCCAGGGAGGATGAGGCTGGTGCGTGTTCTCTTGTTGTGCATTTCTTTTAGCCATTTCTTTCTCCCGTCCCCGCTGTCTGTTCCCCTCTTTCGAGTTGTGGTATGCAGGTACAAGCAAGCATACACGTGCCATGTCATGAATCTGGCCCCTTTGCTAGCGGCTAGGTTATTTACTTAAAATTGTTTAATTTGATTAGATTATTTTTAATTTATTGTTCCAAGGCTTGAGTCGAGGGCTTGAAGACTAAGACACGGGAAGGTCTCCGTGCCAAAGTAAAGGAGCTTGTTTACCTGCCTAGCCTTAATATCGAGATCGAGATCGAGATCGAGGGAGCCGCTGCTGCGAACTACCCTATTCGAGCCCGCATAGGAACCCTGCGGATTAGGGGTTGCATGTACAGTGTAGGTACTATGCACACATGAGCTGATGAACATCGGTGCTTGTTTTCCAGACCTTGCCTGGGTTGGCAGCTTGGTGTTATTGAAAATAAACCAATAATAACCCCCCGGCGGCCCCATCCCATGCAATGATCGATAGCAGTAGGGATGTTATTTGATTAAGATGATCGCGAGCCGCGGTCGTTCTTCGTTGCCGTAGTGCCATTTGACTGCCGTCGGAGAAAATGTGAGATGGCGGCGGTAGGCGCCTCTTGACAGATACAGTAATAAGGTTTCAACGAGTTTGAACTTTAACAGCAGACTTCGTGGTATGCAGTGATCAGCAGCCGTGTACTCGATAAGCTCAGCTTGCAAGCCCCGAGTTCACCTGGAACTGCGCACGGAATACGTACTCGGTCCCCCAACTCAAAATGATCCTGTTTATGGCCAAGATGTAGGGGTCAATCGGGTCTTGCGGACAAATAGAAGATTAAAAGAAGATTAAGTGAAAGATGGATACATCGAGAACATGGTGAAATAGAGATGCAACCATGCAGATCAATGCAAGTGCAACCTCCCGAGTCCCTCACCCCCAAATTCCAGTGTCCCTTGCCTTCTGTCTAATCCGTAAGGCATTATTGCACACAGTTGCTTGCTTTTGTCCCGCTGCTGACTAAGTACTCTTTGCAAGTTTGCAGGGACCATACGGGGGGTGCCCTGACCCATGGCCGGAAAGAGGTCACCACATAGATATTCATTGGCATGTGGCAGTTGCAATGTTGGTGCGCCCAAGACAAGAAAGAGAGAATCCTGGATGTGCAAACGACGGCATTTCAGGCGTTCATAGCAAATGATTGGTATGCTCGGCTTATCTGTTCACCAACAAAGCTGCACTCTGGACATGCTGGAAGGTAGAGAGGTACAGTGTGTACCTCGTAAGGTCGTCTGTCATATTGCGACAGAGGCCAGGTGAGGCCAGACCACCAATTGTGCGATATTCTCCGTACTTTGAAGGCACGGTGGGTGGCTGGGGATGGGGTAGACATTGGGCACAGCAACTTCAAGGGACTGCGGAAATATTGCGAATCGTGGATCTTGAGTCGTGAGTCCGTAAAACGTGAGTCGTGAATCTGAATCCTAGGCCGTGACTCGTGAGGGGTGAAACCGACCTGAGGCTATGACCATTGGATGTAGTAGATGGAAGAACCAACAGTAGGCTCGAAGTCAAACTTCGATAGCGTGTGGCCCGCCGACATCCACCGCGAATCGCAATCCTCCGGCCAGAGTTCAGGTCCTGGGTCCCGGGAAATTATGAGGAATCGAGCCCTCGCTTCAACCCGCGTTGTCCGTGTCCTGACCGCCCCTCGTATATTGTTACAGCATCACTCGCAATCATTCCGCTCTTTCTTGACGCTATGCTTTGTTTTGTTTGCAGACTGGGACGGACAGTGAAGACGTGATCCTAATCCTCTTATCGATATTGCTGTTACTGACAGTAGTACCTATGTAGATGAATAGTGGCCGCATACGGTAAGGCGATCTGTTGGTCTGTCTCTCCTGAGTCGCGGTCGCCTGGCATGAATGATGAACGTTCATTGCAAATGATACCCCAGGTTGAAGGCCCAAGTATGAATAGAACGTGAGAAGAGCGCACTGGCACGTATGATGCCAGAACCAGCCACAGTTCCTGGGTTGTTCAACGGCAGTCCCTGGTGCGGAGTTCCTGGCAGGTCAACAGAACCTCCGTAATGCCTGAATCAACGTGGGATAGTGAGATACGAGAACGATCATCGATAAGGCTCTAATTATTGAACTACACTCCATCGGACGATTTGACTACGGCGTATCAGTGTCAGATCGCTACGGGCTAGGAAACGTCGGTACCTGCGGTAGCTAACTATTGGATTTTCAGAGGCGCCGATCATGTTACCCTCCTGGTAGTTGAGGTTGTTATTGACACTGATTGAAATCACTTACGTTAAGGTCGATATTAATATGGACGACTGGACGTACTCTAGTCTGTCCTGACCCCTCTGGGCGATCCTGCGCATGTATGTCCAGGCATACACTGCGGCCCAGGTCCGTAGCTTATAGGCATGCGTACGATATCAAGTAGACGTATACATGTATGTATGCATGTACACAACGTAGGGAAATATCTACTACAGCACGCGATCTGTACCTGCGCGCTCAAGATTCTCAAGAGGAGAGGCAGTGGAGGACGTTGTAGGGCCTTTGCTAATTCGATTCAGGCAGCTGTCAGTTGGGCCGGACTGCTAGGCGCGGGAATGGGTGGTAAGGTCCGACGCAAGGGTCGCGCAAAAATTATCCTGTAGCGTGGGCGGTCTTGACTAGGTACCCCGTACTCGATCAACACCTTGGGTAGAGGAGCAGCGTTCACTAGCAGCCACTACTCGTGACAAGACGCTTGCGAACTCCAACGGTTTTGATGTACCGGAGATGGCCTCGGACAATAATAATAAGCGCGTTGTTGTGCTTGCTTCCGATCAGGGCGTTGTGGCTACTCCACTACCACTCCGTACAGCACAGCGCAGTGCGCACTCCTTCCTGTGTAGATCGCGACCCCAGGAGCCGTGCAACGAGTTCGCAGGCCCGCAGCACGAGTAGTACTGTGTTGGTACAGAGGATTGTACGGAGTATGAGGAGAGGAGACTGAAGAGTGCACAGTACTAGAGCCAATCTGGGCGACTAGGGCCAGGATTGCAACTCCGGTGTCAGACGGTTGAAGCTAATGCTGTTGAAGATCCCAGGCCTCTGGCTGGACGGAGTCTCAGGAGTAGTGCGCCTCAAGCCTTCAAGTGACCTGCAGCCTCCTGCACACGCCCGTTCCCATGCTGGGCTGGGCTAGACTGGGCTGGGCTGGCAGGCGGGCGGTCTTGGGGGGAGGCGAGCAAGGAAGATGAGGATCTCCAGAAGGGCCTGCGGTTGTCCTTGTTCCTGATCTTGAGCTCGACCCCCTCGTTGTCCTTGTCCCCATAATCGCTGAATCGTAGAGGCGGGAAGAGGAGGGCGGCGGGAGGAGCCAGGAGGGGGGTGGTTCGGGACGAGCGCACAGATATAAGAGACCTATAGGTAGCAGCAGCAGCAGCAGCAGCAGCAGTTAGTCGCGATGCATGACATGGCAATAATACAGGCCAGATGGGCAAGAGAATACCTGGGTAGTTGGATTGTCCTACTGCACCACTCTCATCGGAAGATTTGATTAATTGATCGCGGTGTAGGTAGGTCTGAGGGTCTGAACTGACGCCAGATGGTACTCGGCACATATTCGACACCTCGTCGCGACGAGCAGAATGATGTGTCTTCGTAGAATGCCAATGCGCGCCAATATTCCGATGTCTTGACTCTTGAGCTTGGCCCTGAAGGGACAGGCGGTCGCGACGCAGAGACATGATTCATTGCTCGGGGCGTCTCGACAACGCTTTGCTGGTCCCAGACAATCTACGACGCACTATACGAAGGAGCGCGGAGGACTCTATATCGTTGCTATAGTGGGTAGCATGGATGGTACCCGCACAGATACGTCTCTTCCATTCTTCACGAGCCACGAGCCGGCGACCCCTGAGCGCCATCATGGCACGACACGGAGGAGTAGCACGCCCGTGAGGACTAGATCATGGCATGCAGATACGGATCCAGGTCAGCAGCAAGACTGGAGAGAGTCGAAACTTCTTCGAAAGTCTAAATCCAGATGGAGCAGGTCGGGGGCCTCGACGGAGTAGTCGAGGTACGCAGTGCGGGCTATTGTAACCGACAGAATGCTCCGTCAAGATCCCCGTCGCCGCGCAGACCGGGCCAGGGGCGGGAGCATGTATAGTACTGTATAGCATTGTATAGCAGCGTACGGAGTGGTTTAGTTCCAACTCTTGCCAGGGCCCAGGGCTCTTGTCGGGCCCACACACCCGCGCACGTCCTGGCTGGGGAGCTGAGGATGGTCAGCAAGGACTCCGCAGTGGTAGTTGTAGTGAGAAGGGATGGCACGCTCGCTCGAGCACCTTTGAGAATGTTTGACTGTGCTGTGTGTGGTACCTGGGCAGAGAACAGTATTGATGTTTTCCTGGGCCGTCCCCGTCCCCGTCCCCGTCCCCAGAGGAGGCCGGTGAAGTATAGATATCTGCTGGTCTTGCTCCGGGCGATAGATAGTTAACGATTAGCCCGAACAAGAACAACAACAAGACGGCTGAACAGAGACTGTAGTGACAATAATAGAGCAGCCACCACGGCAATAATGAAGACAGCAATAATTATCAGATAGAAAGCCTCGACGCAATACTACCCGCCTGGGACTAGCCAGCCGCACGGCCTCGTCCTGGATCGCCCGTCCCATCCCCCTCCCGGGATTGATGATCGTGAACCTCAGGTCAACCGTCAACCGTCAACCGCTCCCCTCGCTCCCCTCGCTCCCCCACCCGCCGCGCTACGATTCTTCGATTCTTTTGGAGCTCCCACTACCAGCTACCAGTTGCCAGCTACCAGCTACTATTACTACTACTACTAAGGTACTACTTTACTACTGTGCCAGCTCCCCACTACCCACATATCTCCATGCGCTCCATAAGGTACCTCCATGCCAACCTCCCTGGCCTCATTTCACCTTACCTTCACTTCACCCTTCACTCTTCACTCTTCACCTTTCAGTCTTCTCTTTTCACCCTTCACCATTCACCTTTCTTTCTACCTTCTCTTCTCCCTCTTCGCCCTTCTGGTCCAAGATCGCTGTTCCGCCGTAGTTGCGTGGTTCCCTTTCCCTTGCCGTGCCCTTCCCTGACCCGGTCTTGCTTCACTTGCATTGCATTGACATTTACAATCTCCCTCTGGAATTCCCACGTCCGTCATCTTTGTTCCGCCTTGCCTCCATTGGCCTCGCCCACCCTTTCAATTCACGGGCAGACAAGACAGATATAGTTGGAGGAGAAAGTGAGAAAAAGAGAGAGAGAGAGAGAGCCCCCTCGACACACTCATTCATACGTCGCACGTTGTTCGTAGCTACGGCCCACAAACCTCGTCACTTAGCCACCCACATCTCGCGGCTGCATCTGCAGTATTACCTGCAGTACAGGTCTTGCCCGACTTTGTCTCGGGTTGAGTCCGGGACTAGCGCTTTTTGGTCGAGATACCTACCCCCCTTGGCGCTCTTCAACTTCTCGATATCCAGTCGTTGGACTCGAACCGGCTTGCCCGCCCATCACTACTCGAGATCAAAGCTCTTTGCTAGCACCCGTTGGCGAGACTCCCTTCACCGACCCAGAGGTGAGCCGTTGAACGATACCTCTTGCCACCCGCTTTGAGGAATATGTGCTGAGCAATCTTCAGACGCTTACAGATCGATCGCACAGCGGAACTTGGAGAGTCGGGAAGCGCGGGTCACGGTTGAACGTTGTCTTGCAGAGCATGCACAGTTAAGTGAAGGCATTATCCATCGTGCCACACACTATTCGTCCAGCAGAGAGACTGGGTCATCGACAGGCCGCGATCGAACTTCTGGGACCAAGGTCACGACCATTAACCCAGCCATTTCCATGCAATCCTCAACGCATCGCGGCGATAACTCGTATATCTCGCTCGGCGAACGGCGGGGGAAATCAGACCTGGCGAGGTTTTCTCTCGATCTGAGTTGGGCCAGAGCGGTGTCCGACGCGGCTCCCTCAAAGGCGTACCCCTCGCCGCCCATGTCAGGATCTCCGCCGCTGCCGCCAAGTCGTAACCCCGATGCCAGCGATTGCGGCCATGGGAGCTACGGATCGACAGGGCAAGACCCATTGCGAGGTGCTCAAGCAACGCAACCGGAGCACCCAGAACGGAGTAGGGGGCCGCCAGGGCAAGGGCAAGCATTCCAGGAACCGCTTCCTCACGCGGCTATGCTTCCTCCTTATAGAGTGGAAGAAATGCCCCAACAGCAGCTCCCTTATCAGCAGCAGCAAGCACAGATCCCATTGCAGCAACAGCCTCGACAGCACACATACGTCCTACAAGGTCCGCCACCAGGCCCAGCGCCGGACAGACCAGCAGTGGATGCACGGCAGTATTCTTCACCCAAGGTACAGAGAAAGACAAAGGGTCATGTAGCGTCGGCTTGCGTGCCTTGTAAGAGGGCGCATCTCAGGTATGCTTCTCCTAAATCATCTTCAGTTCTTCAGGGGGTTCAAGCTAACGGGGATTCAGGTGTGACGGTATGTGATATTTTTGCTTCTCCCTATCTGAGCCCGACCCCGACTGTCATCAAACTTCTACAGCACAGCCTTTCTTGCTCTCTGCGGTGAGACTTTCCAGCACGGTCAAGATCTTCTTGTGTGGCGTGGTTCCGACTGATGGGTCCAGCGGAGATTGATTTGAGCGTGCGATAGACATATACGTCTGTACAGATGCAAGTGCTATACAGGAATCGATTCTGGTTTACAGGGGTTGGATGATTGGCCCTGGTTATCATGTCTGAAGAGGTAGCGGTTGCTCTTCGACATTTTCCGTACTTTTCTCTCGGTCTCAGTGGTAGAGAGACAAACTGCCCCCAACCGCTTTGCCTTATTTGGAGCGGAAGATTGTTTACTCCACGCGAGTTTCCTGCGGTTTCTCTGCCCAACGAGTATATGTTGTTCAGAAAGTATTGCTTCCCAAAGTTGGAGAAGTCTAGCCCTTCAATCTTCGTGTGCGTTCCAAGATGCTTCACGATATTTGCTTCTTCCCACTTGATATCGGATCAGCGCTCTAGCGGCTCTACATATCCATGTGATCCATTCCCTCATCACCAAAATCAGACATGTTTTCGTGCCATTTTTGCGTTGCGCTTTGCTGATATGTCTTCTACAGCACAACGGCCATGTTCTCGCTGTCTGAGCAATGGAAAAGAAGACACGTGTGTAGATGTCCAACATAAAAAAAGGGGCCGGCCCCGGCTACGGGATGAGAGAGAGCCCCGGTACGAGGCTCTAGGTCCCAACTATCCACCGCCACCAGACGTTTCCATGAGACGTCCACTGTCGTTATATACCGAAGCCCCATTTCCGGCATTTGGAGAGTCCCATCAGAGGTCTGGTCCGTACAGAGTTTTAAAATCACAGAGTGCAATGAGTGGACCGATCACTCCGCGGTACCTGGAACATGCATCACCCGCCGATGCCAATATCTATGGTCCGTGGGCGCCACCGACGCTACGGATGCTCGCACCACAAGAGCCGATCTGCGCTTATCTGAACATGGAGATGCAGATTGCGAAGGCGAGTCAAGGTTTTGGTGAAACGATCGGGATCCAGCCCGTGGTGTCGAGGAAGTTACATGATATCGTCGCTGCAAATGATCGTGATAAGGTCTTCAGGCTGCAGAGACTCTTCGAAGATGAACGACGGGAGAGAGAGCCCAACTACCTTCCGCCTATATATCTCAAACTCGAGGAAGACCGTGTAATCCAGGCTGTAGCTTTAGGACCTGATGCATTGGCTCAATTCCGGACAGAGCGCCAGGAGAGGGTCACGTTCCAGGGACCAGATGGACAACAGCGAGCCTTCCAGGTTCGATTTGGCCTCGCAAAAAAGGAGTCCACGTACTTCATTGTCCTCGTTCTTGACATTCCCGCGACCCCGCAATCATATCCCCACAACTTGTCAGCGCCATATCCACGGGAGCCTTATTCTCGTGATTCACAGTATGGATTCCAGCCCGCTCAGCAGCAGCCGTACCCAAACCCTAGCGTGCCTCCATTCGTGGCAAATACTCCGTTCGGTGATCCTCGAGGGGAAATGTCCACATACAGAATGACTGGACCGATGGGTCCCAATGTTCCTTCGTCGACAAATATGACAGTACCCTCTCCCCCTCAAAGGCGGCAAGATTACTCCCAGGGCCAAAATAATCCCTATCAAACACCGCGCAGTGAATTGCCACCGTCACCAGAATCCCAGCGACAACGTGATCTTCAGCTACCGCCCATTCGCGAGCAACGTGGCGAGGGCTACTCGGCAGACTCGATGCAGCGCAGAGATGACCGAAGCAATAGATTTGATATTGGTGGCCTCCTCGCAAGATCTGATCATGCTGGCGGGGGCCACTGATGCTGTTGTAAGCCAGGTTCATTTCGAGCATTGTTGTCGATTATCGCCAAAGGGGCCTCTGCTCGCCCTCACGACCAATGTGTACAGCAGGTGCTACTACCCAGTGGATGTCATACCGCTAGAACCGAGGTCGTTTGTCCGTTCCCGGCCAGGCCTCATTAATACCATCTGCTTCTTGCTCCGTGCGCTGCTGCACAAGGGGTGCCTTTTTTTTCCCTCTCTGAGATACCAACTGTAATTTAAAACTCTTTTGCATTTTTCTATTTTAAGGGTCAATCGACGGGTCATAGTGGCGTCTATTTCGCGTCGCATCAGGAGTTTTTGTCCTTATTGATTTGGTATGGCGCAGGAGGCTGGTCAGTGTATTTTCATGTACGATAGGAGAAATATCGGGGGCAGTGATGGGATGAATGAATGATCGAGGCGACATTTGAGGATATGTCTGCCTGAAGAAAGGGAAGAGGATGAAGGTGTTTTGGATGTCAAGGACGAGGCGAGAGGTTTGGCTAACTCTCGGCAGCAGACTCGCGACGGTGAGGCACTGGGCTTCCTGGAGGTATAATTGGCATGTGTGTATATATAGGAGGTGGCTATACAACAATATAGGTACCGTTTTAATGATGCCATACCTGAGGTGGTCACCTATCCAAGGCAGTTCCGTCTCATGAAACTCGTCTCAGGTCTTTTCTGCAGGTCTATTTGCTTGGTGAGTATTTGTTTGCTGTAGGTTCAGCTGAGCTTACGTTGGTGCCTTTGTGCCTGAGGTACCCAATAGATACAGGGACCCAGGTACCCGCTACCCCGCACCCCGCCTTCCCCTCATCTCCTCCGCCATTCCGCCTCCCGACGCCAACGTCAAAATAAGGTAAGGTAAGTAAAGTTCCTCCACATCTACATCTCCATCTCCATCTCCATTTACGTGTTTGTATCTTGTATCTTATATCCTATATCCTATATCCTACCTATATATCCCACATCGTATATCTTGTTCTCCATCTCCATCTCCATCTCCATCTCTCCTTGCCCTTCTCCTCCTAATTGTTTTCTCTCCTCCCTCTACCGTTCAACCCTGCATCTACTACGACCACAACATCAGATTCTCTATTACTCCTTCGAGATCATGGCTTCTTCATCTCAAGACCTCGCTGCCACCCCAGAAAACCAAACCATCGTTCCACCCGCCCAAGCTCAAGCTGCCCAGATTCCCCTACAATCCTTCTCCCTCCCAACCTTCCCGCCAGAAGCCTTCACAGCAGGTCTCGGGTCACTTATTCTAACCTCAGACATCAAACTTACCGAGTACACGGATCTTCTAGAGAAACCATTCTCAATTCCCGAACTCCCGACCTCTATCAAGAGTTTAACCCTCGAGCTATTCTCTCTAGGATACCCTCCTGGTTTCCTCACCGCGCTAGGAAAGCGCCTACCCGATCTCAAATCTCTGACTATCTACTCGCAACTCTTTGCGGGGACAAGCCCGGCGTCACGCGAAGATGCCTTGACATTCCTCCGGTTCCAGCCGGCACTCCAAGAGCTCCACCTCCTAGATGTGTTTGGGTCTCCTGGGTTATTCACCGATCTGGCCAAGGCCTTGTCGCCGTGCCTCCGGTTCCTGGAGGTCAATTACACATATCGCCATTCGGACCCGGGGTTCTTGACCTCGGTCCCGTCCAAGGAAGTCTCGGCGTTGGTTTCGAAGGAGTTGGTCGGCCTGACCATGAGCATTTCTGCGCCTGATATTACGGACGATGAAGATGATATAGAGGGGACTGAGGTAGGCATCAAGCCCGTCGCGGGGCAAGATGCCAGGGAGTTCGCCACGAGGCTAGCTGAGGACAGTGAGGGGTTGGTGATGCTGGATGCGACAATGTTCGAGCTGACTCCTAAAGAGGTGGAGGACATCTTGGATAAACATGAAGGAATAAAGGTTTTGGGGTTCACGGTGGGGTTGGATGACAGCTGGGACGAGGCCCTTGATATGTTAGCCAAGAAGGAAAGAGGTTTTGAGGTCCTAGAAATCGTGGCGGTTCCGAGAGAGGGTATGGTTGAAAAATTGAAAGAGGACCCGCAAGTCCAGATCAGCAAGGGGTCGCTGGATGCGCTTGGTCAGATATGCAAGGAGCTGAGAAGTATCAAATTTAGCATTCTGAGGACGAAGCAAGAGCTGTGGACAAAGGAGGATGGTGTGTGGGAAAAGAGGACCTGATTGCCAGAGCTGGCCTGAACTCGTGAAAGTGGCTGGAAGTGGTTAGCCATGTAGAGATTTCAATCCAACATTGAATCCAAGGAGAATTGGCAGTGGTGATATACTGGACTGCCTCGCCATGCCTTGTAAGTTGACTGCACGATTACCCTTTCTTCCATAATTAGCAACGCCCAACAGTCACCCAGGTGCGAGATGAACATGACTTCCAACGGGCGTTAGTCAATCAGAGACCTCCATGTATCGAGGCCCCTGTAATCTGATATTTCCAAACTCGTCTAAAAGCGTCTAAATCGTCTAAATCGTCTAAGCTTCATACTCCAATATATAACTCGGAGTCAGATCATCGTTATTTTACCCAGCAGCATTCCTATTCTGGGCATCCTCGACCGCTTGATCCCAATCTGCTTGATACAGGAACCATCCTTCAAGGGCAGCAACCCTATCATGCGTTAGTTGCACAATCTTAATAACTCAGGGGTCACTTACAAGCCGAGTGCAATCGCAACGCCAGTCCATAACCCCTCCAGATTCCAATGGAGTCCAAAAGCGGTGCCGAAAGATATGGGCATGGCGATTACATAATATGAGAAAAGGTTGACCCATCCTCCTATTTCTTGCCGTCCTAAGCCTCTCAGCAGTCCGTTGCAATTTGCTGCTAATGCATCAAAGAGCTGGAACGCAGCACACAATGGTAGCACCTGGGCAACCAAGTCGACGACGCCCTGGTCATCGGTGAAAAGTTGTGGGATGTAGTTACGGAGCGAGGAAAGCAGGACCACATTGAACATTCCGACAATGCCGGCAGCAAAGAAGGCCTGGGTCATATATTAGTATACTGGCAATGGTCGTGGTACAACCCCAACTTACCACTTTAGCACTTGTCTTTGCAGCATCCGCCAGTGTGGCTCCGATGAGATTGGCGACACGGGTGGAAGCAGCAATGGAAATTGGAAATGGTATCTGGAATGTAAGAGCCGTGAGAGTACTTAAGATACTCTGTGCTGCGAGATGAGTTGTTGAGAAATAACTCGATGCAAGGGTAAGGATTTCGAAGGCCAGAAATTCCGCCTCTACCATCAGAAGACCAGGAAGAGCCAGTCTGATCATTGGACCTACAAATATAATTAGCATTTTATTGTAGTCTAGAGAAAAGCAAACCCACCCCAATTCTTGAACGCCTTCTTGGTAAACCCATTCCAGCACTGTTTGCCATCTACAAAGTATACATAGCAAAAAAGAAACAAAGGCAGTAGGTTGTCAGTCACAGCAACGGCAATTGGGGCCCCTACAAAACCCCAATCGAAATGCCAAACAAACAGCCAGTTCATCAGGGCGTTCAGCGGTGCTGCTACCAGAAGTACGTAGGTCGTAGCTGAAAACAACCCTTGGGCCTGGACGAATCGTTTGCCGCTCTCGAAACAGGCATATCCAGGAGCCCCGAGAAGCAGAATTCGTAGATACAGGCCAGCAAGCTCGGCTGAACGCTGTTCAGGTACTATCCTTTGCAGAATTTGTTCGGCACAAAGCCAGACAATGCCAATGGGAATAGTCAATGTCCAAAGGAAGTAAACCATTCGTTGCAATTGGAGACCGACAAGGTGCCTCCGCCCGGATCCATATGCCTGAGCACATAGTGTATCCAAACTCGTAGCCAGACCCTGATAAATGGCATAACCGCTAATATTTGCAGTCATACTGGCCAAGCTCACTGCACCAAGCTCCACCTTACCTAAATGGCCAACTGTAAATATACTGGCCACCGTGAGGGAATATTGTAAAATAAATGTAACGACTAAAGGACTCGAGTATCTGAACAGGGTCTTTGCTTCTCGCTGCCATGTAGTCTTGATTACTCCTGCAGCTACGGCCGCTTCCCATTGTTGGTTTAGCCGTTCATGGCGGGCTCGAGGGGTCTCCTGAGGGCCATTGGGTAATAAAACTGACGTTTCTGACGGCTCAGCTGTGAGCGCAGGTACTACTGAAGGAGCTTCCTCGTCTATCTCAGTCTTTGGTCTCTTCGTGCTGAAAATCCTTTTGTATAACTGGCTGATTGCGCTACGTTTCGGAGATTCGGGATGTTTTGGTGGGGCAAGATGATTGTCTCGTAGGAGACTGAGCTCCTCATTCCTCGATTGCTTTTTCTCCTTCTTTGTGAGCCATGCAGCTTCTGCGTGCTGAGGAGTTACAGCAGGCCTTGAACCGCCAAATGCCACAAAGCTGGGCCGTCGGTAGGAATTGGCCATTGAGTGCTGCATTGGAGGTGGTCGGATTGTCGAAGCTTCAGACTCATCGTCAGAGCTGGGACTACTGCTCCCATGGATTCCCTCGTTATAATTGTTTTCGTCGTCATCGTCGAGATCTCGCGCCAAAGATTCCTGAGCAATTGGAGACGCAGAAAGGTAGGACGAGCTGAAGGGAGACCGGGCCATACCCGGCCCAGCTTCTATGGCCCTTGGAGGAGTCGACATCGTTGCTCAGACGGACTGGGTATGCGAGCTATAGGAATCATTAGACGCAGAAGATCCAGCAAGTATGAAAAAGGGTTTATACTCCGTATAGTTACTCAACACCTACTCATTCTTGGAATTACTCGGTGTGGAAGATCCCCGCCAATTCCATGTTTTTCACGATAAGCAGCTACTTGGGTTATGTAAGCCAGCCGCATTCCAAGAGAGGAATGTCCAGGCGAGGGGAAGTTATGACATAATAAGGCACAGTGCACGTGACATCTTTACTGTTGCGCCATTCGAACGCTCTAGGTAAGCTACCTCGCACGCTGCATGACTTGACATGACTTGACTTGCCTTGGACGTTGAGGTATACTTAGCAGCTTGGTACTCTACACTACTTAAACTATTATCCACTAAGGTAGTTCATCATGCCCCCGCCAGGAGATGAGGAGGATGCCCGCCCAAAGAACACATATAGACCCTTGGGCATTCCTCTTCATGCCTTTCCAGTCAATGTTGCCGAGTACGTATGGCCCTCTTCAGGATGCGGATGCTGGAGACTGGAGGCTGACAATTCACAGGCATCACGGCAAATCCGTCTTCTGCGTTCCCCCCTTGTTCGGTCCACTGCTCTTTGACAACACAGACAGCGATGCAAGAGATCACTGTGCAAACGAACGAAGTACTTCGCTACTCCTCCTGACTCCCTCCAAACAGCTACTTACTCCTTACCCGCGCAGCGTTCCTCTCCTACCTCCGCCTCAGCATCTACATGACCATCGTCAGCATCGCGATCGTAATCTCTTTCCATTTAAAATCCCAACCCTCCCGGCTGGAATTGCGAATGGCTCGTCCCCTCGGCGTAGTATTCTGGCTGTTAAGCCTTGCTTGTCTCGCGCTGGGATTTGGGAATTATATTAAGACCGTTAATAAGTATAGCCGGAGGGCCGCTATAGTGCAGACTGGCTGGAAGACGCAATCGGTAGGCTTTTCTAGTTTTATGTTTCAGTGGTGAGGGGTATATCGCTGGTGCGGGGGAGAATAAGGAGACCAGGGGGGAATTTAGATAGGAGACGCTGACGATGTGTGCAATAGGTCTTATCAATCATTGCTCTTTTCATCATTGCCGTTTGTGTGCTCTTTCTGGCCACAAATTCGAAGAGATATTGAGGGATATACCTTGGACTAACAAGAATGAGAACACGAGATACTGGACGTCGTACGAATCGCCAAAAGGAGTGGTTCTTCCAACCCCAGCAAACCCCCTTCCACTCCAAATGAATACCAAAAATAATTCCAATGAATAAAATGGACCCGCGGGGGAGGGGTTCGGTGTTAGGGCCATGGAGGGTTGAATACACACCTCATAAATCGACTCCTAGGGCTACCTATTCCACCGAAGCGTGACCCCCCTTTTCCACATCCTGACGGACTACTTCTTCACCGCGCAATTCGCTAATTGATCAAACTTTTACTTTTTCGATCCCAATACGAGACTTAAGGAAGTAGTGCACGGCTCATGGAAAGCTGTAGCCGGCCTAGAGAGACGGGGGCGGGTTTCCACTACCTATCGTATACAATGCTAGGAAATAGGTTGGCGCCTGCTTCAATTGTGGGAGCTTTTGCCCTATTTCTGTGAATAGGTAAGTTTGGGAAGTTGGAGATCTGGCGAATGAGGTGAGAGGGATTTGGTTGGGGAGGGGAGGGCCCTTGTGAAAGGGTTCATAGGCTTCATCATTATATATACTAGCTACTTGACAGTTCAAGTCTCGCATAGCGAAGGAATTTAAAGGCTATATGGATCAAGACACAAACCCCGGGGAAGCATACTACAGAAGTTGCCATTCCGATCTCCATAAGACCATCTCCAGTTCACGAGATGAGGCACCAGAGTTAGGGGATGCAGCGGTGCTTGTGACAGAAGGGACAGTCGATGCTGCCGGAACTGGTGATCACGAACCACCGGCCGAGAAGAATATAGCAGCGGCGAAATCACAGTGGTATCCTCCTAGGGCCCTGAACCTTCCCACGGGCTAAACATGGGGACTTGGCTTGTTAATTCAACTTTCGTTGCAGCAAGTGCAAAGTCTCATACGTTTGGGCAACAATGACAGTTGTCATCGCAGCACGGTTAAGGAGGCTGGCGTTCAAGGAATGTGGGATTACTTTGTTAACCTTGGAGCGTGAGAATTCTGAAGAGTCAGTTCTGGGGTTCTGTTGCGCTGTTATCCTAAATATACTTACCATTTCTCTGGTACAAGAGCCCTGTACTTTGGCTCGTCGTATCGTATGTGAGATAGGTGATGGTATCCAGTAAGAGATTTCTAGGTGCGACTGAAAGCATAATTCATGCGGTAAGGGCGACTTCTCTTGGGCGAAGAGTTATGAATTGTCAAGCTCCTATCAGGTATATGTTGACCGGAAGCTTTCCAGAACCCGAAAACATCCTCTTGGGATCTCAAAGGTCGCCTTTCAGACCTTGTTTTTGTCCCCAAAAATGTCCAGTGATTCAAGCGGCATGTCCATTCTAGTTCTGCGTTTTGCTCCAGAGACAATCGCGACCCACACATCACTGCGACCAAGCCCTTTTGTTGGGTGAAGCCGAGTAATGAGCATTCCAACCAGCTTTCTTTTAGATCAGATATTAAAGCCATCATGCCTCGGGGGGTCGCAGAACCTCCAAAGACCTGCTTGTTCTGCAGCAGTGCGGACACTCGAAATCTCTTGTTTATTGACATGCCGGTTGATCTCTTCATATCTCACCGTCCCACCCTGCTCTTTCTCCGTTGTGGAACCCTTACGAGAGGGCTTCACCTTTCCGACATGTGCGTCTGGGTGGTATTGCTCCATGATGTTCACAAAAACGTCCCTCGAAATATTACTAGCCAGCCACTTCATGATCTCCTGGCCTTCGGCTTCGTAGCCTGGCATGACCAGATGCCTGACAAGCACCCCCTTCTTCGCGATTCCATCTAAGGAGAATGCTAGGTCACCCACTTGATCGAACATGGCCTTGACACTCTCCATGGCTGTCTCGGTATAATTGTCTGCCTTCAATAGTCGTTTCGAAGTACTATCTTTCCAGACTTTGAAATCCGGCAGATAAATATCAACTAAGCCATCTAGCAGCTCGATCGAGGCTAATGAATCAAATGCTGAAGTATTGTATACAATAGGCACCTTCAAACCCAGATCACGGGCATGAAGGATTGAGAGGACGACCTGTGGGACGACGTGCTCGGGAGTGATCAGGTTGATATTGTGGACATTCCCGACGTTTTGGAGCTTGATATACCATTCGGCAAGCTCTTCGGGAGTAAGATCTTGACCGTTCCTCTGGTGTGCAATATCGTGGTTCTGGCAAAATACGCAACGAAGATTACATCCTAGACGAGGACTGTATCAGTACACTATTACAAGGTAAGCAATAGGCATGTGGGCCATAATCGTGTCTCAGTGCCCGCCTTTCGAAAGAGTGATGCTCGCTGACCGCGGCACGACATTACTGACCACTAAAGAATACTGCGCCAGATCTTTAGCCTATAAAGTTAGCACCTCTTGCCCCAGAGAGATAAATTCTCCTTAAGTTGTAAGAAGAATCAAGATCAGACCAAAATGTTATTCTCAGGGAATACTGACCCATTGTGCCCTTGTATGCATGGTTCTGTAACAAACTCTTAGCAAGACCTCCTCCTAGAGGATGTATAGACCTGTAGTGCCACTCACCTTCGCCAAAGTGCGGTGCGATAACGTTGACCTTGACTGTCTCCGCTCCAATCATACAAGTGCCTGTCTTCTCGTATCTGTTGACGCCACACAGCCGAGGACATAGGTTGCAGTTCCGTAGATGTGCATACGCAGCAGATCTTTTCTTCGATGCGTCGACCGAAGAAAGTAACTGATACCTTGGGATATAATCTTCGACTAGAAAAGGGGGCGCCAAATGGAGGTTTCGTGCTTGAAATAGGGGAGATGCCCGTCTGTTTGGAAATGCGCCCCGTGTAAAACGAGGAGTAGACCGAGCCAGCCTTGCTGTGTACATTATGTGAAGATGTGAAAATAAACTTAACAATTATCAAAAACCGGTCTATCGATGTGATATAAACACAGAATATCTGACAGGATGCAGAAGATGTATCCTTATAACTGCAGCGTGAAATGACGAAATTGAGGCGAAGGACGTTGGACCGGAATATATATATCACGGCTTAGTCAGCGACCGGTCCCAAGTTCGCGCCAGTTAAGAAGTTCCTCATTCATGGAGTCAGGCATTGATATCATTCCACACTCTTCATTATTCTCTTTTTAAGCAGAGAAATTTGCAAATAATCTTCAAATGAAGACAATTTCTGTTCTGTAGTTTTTTGTGGTAAAAACCTCAAACTATAAAGACTTACCGGTAGTCTGAATCTGGATCTATACCAGCCGGTCCAGCCCCTTGCCGCAAGTTCATCGGCTCCCACAGCCTCTCCCTTTTCAGATGCTCTTCGGAGTGTGAGGGCAAGGTTGCAGAGATGTCGGAGCCTATGGATGTGGATCTAGAGGTCCCTAGAGGCACCAAACGGAAAGCCGACGACGACCTCTCCATAGTCACAGCACCAAGAAGGATCAAAGTACGTTCCGAGGATCTCTCTGTATAGACATTCTTCCTAATGCTTCTAAAAAGGCCCTTGATCCCGATGTTGTGAATAAGATTGCCGCTGGTGAGATTATTGTGGCACCTGTGCATGCTCTGAAAGAGCTCATAGAGAATGCCGTTGATGCGGGGTCCACCCTTCTCGAGATCGTTGTTAAAGAAGGTGGTTTGAAGCTGTTGCAGATCACTGACAACGGACACGGGATAAATGTAAGCCCTCATTTTGATTCTCTTGATTACACGCTGAGACTTCGAAGAAAGAGGATCTTCCCATCCTGTGCGAACGATTTACAACTTCGAAGCTCAAAGCTTTCGAAGATTTGACATCAATTGGCACCTACGGATTTCGGGGTGAAGCTTTGGCTAGTATCAGTCATATAGCACATCTCAGTGTTACTACTAGGACGAAGGATTCCAACTGTGCTTACAGAGCGCATTATGACAGTGGACGGCTTGCACCAGCGAAGCCGGGCCAAAGTGCGGATCCGAAGCCCATAGCAGGCCGTCAAGGAACCCAAATAACAGTTGAAGACCTCTTCTACAATGTTCCTACCCGTCGCCGTGCCTTCAGGTCAGCATCGGAAGAGTACAACAAGATCCTCGATGTAGTTGGAAGGTATGCAGTCCACTGCGACGGGGTAGCATTCAGCTGCAAGAAGCATGGAGAGGCTAGCGCAACGATATCAACGCAGTCAACTTCTTCAACCGTCGATCGTATTCGTCAGATTCATGGCAGCTCAGTCGCAAACGAACTAATAGAATTCGAATCTGCTGACGAGCGATGGGGGTTCAAGGCCCATGGATGGACAACCAATGCTAATTATCATGTGAAGAAGACGACGCTTCTTCTGTTCATCAACAGTCGCTCCGTTGAGTCTTCCAATATCCGCAAAGCGATTGAGCAGACCTATTCCACATTTCTGCCCAAGGGAGGTCATCCTTTTACATACCTCAGCCTTGAAATAGACCCTCAACGAGTCGACGTCAACGTTCACCCAACTAAACGAGAGGTCAACTTTCTGAATGAAGATGAAATTATCGAGACGGTCTGCAATGACATCCGCACGAAGCTTGCAAATGTTGATACGAGCCGAACCTTCATGACGCAAACCCTACTCCCAGGAGCACGAGGACCAACGACGACAGCCAGTCCAGATGCGGCCAGTGGCTCCAAGAGCCGTGCCCCAGCTGTCTCGACACCGAAGTCGAAGCCCTATGAAAACAATTTGGTACGTACCGATGCAAAACTCCGAACCATAACGAGCATGCTTCTGCCCGGGGCTGGAAGCAATAACGAGCAGCCCACCGAACCCCGGCCAGAAGACGTGGAATACGAAGACTCGGACCGGGAACTCGTTCCCTGCCGCCTGCTTACTATCAAAGAGTTACGTGCTGAAGTCCGTGATGCGATGCACAACGAGCTCACCGAGATTTTCGCGGGTCATACCTTTGTTGGGATTGTAGACGAGCGGCGACGACTTGCCGCAATCCAAGGAGGGGTAAAGCTTTTCCTCGTCGATTATGGCATGGTCAGCAATGAGTACTTCTACCAAGTAGGCCTCACTCATTTTGGAAACTTCGGAGCAATCCGCTTTGACCCTCCTCTAAATCTCAAAGAACTCCTTGCCCTGGCCGCCGAGCAAGAGAAAGCGACAAACCCGCCAGCTACAGAGGAAGACGATTTCAGCATCGAAGAAGTTGTCGAGCTAGTCTCGACGCAGCTAATCGAGCGGCGAGAAATGCTGCTTGAATACTTCTCCCTGGAAATTTCCGAAGAGGGGGATCTTATCAGTATCCCGCTCCTCTTGAAGGGCTATACACCCAGTCTTGCTAAACTCCCGCGCTTTCTGCTCAGGTTGGGACCCCACGTAAACTGGACGGAGGAGAAAGAATGCTTTGCGACTTTTTTGAGGGAGCTGGCTTCCTTTTACGTACCTGAACAACTCCCGCCTACACCGGGTCCTGAGGATTCAGAGGAGGGCTTGGATGAAGAGATCAAGAGCCGAAGAGACAAAATAAGACGGGTTGTGGAGCATGTTATGTTCCCAGCGTTTAGAGCAAGGCTGATTGCAACGAAATCATTGGTAAATCGTGGGGTATTGGAGGTTGCGAATCTGAAGGGTCTATATCGGGTGTTTGAGAGGTGTTAGGACATTGGTAATTCCTGGGGATGGCTCCCTCCAAGCCTTTGCAGATGCTAGGAGTTCTAGCGGCGCTATTGTATTATAACATTAGTGATATATGGCCTGTGTTACATTAAAATACATGATTTCACAGTAGAAAGAGATAGGAGCGATCATCAAGGGCTGTCATCATTTTGCAGCTGACGTTGCTCGCACAGCCATGTCTACGGCTACCTATTATACAGTTTATTTAGTTCCTACCAATTGCACCGTTCAGCTCTTGTCTCCATCCCATTCCGGATTCTGCTCGATTGTTAGTAAATTTACTATAAATCTGGATAGAGAAACCATACCTTTCTCAAAATCACCAACCCTTCAAGGTTGCTACTCAGACTTATGTATTGCTCATCTTCCAATTCCGCACGCTCACCGTATGCCAACAGAACTGGAGTGCTCTGTGTCTGCCATCCAGTAATCGTCTTGGGTCGACCTGCTTGACCCACAACATCCACGGCTTGTCCAACTCGGACATTGACGGTCAGTGGCTTCAAGTCTTCGTCGAGGGTAACAAGGAACCTAGGATGCATGGCCGTAACAAGATAGTAAAGGAGATAATGAGATTTGTCAGTGATGAACTGCTTGGCATCGATCATGGCGATCAAGACTGAGAGAAGGCCACCGGCGGAGACTCTCGAAAGTACCTGCCGATCGGTGTGGAACGGGTTTATCGAGAGAGTGCCTTTGCCCATGTGAAGTAGACCCTGGGCAATCCGAACCATGAACAGGGACTCCTGATCGCGGTGATAGTAGCTTGCAAGCTGTCTAAGAAGCTGAGCTAGTCTTGCATTGTTCGTTCCAGCACCGAGAAGTCCCATTGCGAAGATTGCATTGATCGCAACATCATTATCGTTGTCGTGACTGTACCGTGATAAGGTATCGTAGACTTTCATCTGGGGGTTGCTGGGGCTGATCAGACCCATAGCTAAGGGGACTGCCTTTCTGATGTTGGCCTCTCCGTAGTGCATCAGATGGCCGAATTGGCGCAAAACCATCTCCTGACCAACTTCCTCACCCATCGCCACCAGACCCAGACCGATAACCGCGTATGCCTGGAGTAATTCATCTCCCTTCTTGTCATCTGTATCTTCAATATGGTCGTTGCAGATGTGAAGAAGCTCCTGGAGCTTCAAAACAGTGCCAGTGCCTGCCCATGCGCAGATTTCCGCTAGCACCGAAGTGGGCTTCGACATCGGATGATCGATGGCCTTCAGTGTCTCTAGAATAACATCTACTTGCTCCTGCTTTCCGAAATAGAGAAGACCAAGACCAAGAGCCATGAAGCGGGTCCACTTGTCTTTGAGCTGGGATTTCCGGTCATCGTCCAGGAAAGTTTGCACGATCGTCTCAGTGACATCGCTGTTGGCAGAGCCAACGAAAATCATGCCCAGTGAAAGAGCAGCCATTGCTGAGATCTGCATATCCAGGGAAGTGTCGGCAACAATCGGCAACAGCAGTTCAAGGAGAGCCTCGCGATTTGACCCAGCGTAGGCCAGACCAAGACCCATTATGGAAGCAACCTTGACCAAAGGGCTCTTGTGGTTCAACTTCTCCTCGTCGCCAAGTAGCGCCAGCGCAGGGTCGGAATCGATTCTCACACCCGAATTCATGATACCAATAGCCAACATAGCGCCAGCTTGTATCTGATCTTCTGGCGCATATGTGTATTTGTCGATTTTGTCCAGACCGGTTTCCACATCCCACAGCATTAATGTACCCAATGAGGCAACCGTGGACATCATCCCTTCCTCCTTCGTCTTCCATACCCAACTTGACTTCTCATCCTCAACCATCATCATCTTGTCATTGCCAAATCCGGCATTGACAAATGCATTTACGAATCCAGCAGCCAAGTTATGTCTCGCAGAATCCAGGTTGGTGAGGCCAGCAACGCGATTGCTTTCGAGATGGCTCTTGTAGATATCTTCGGTTGTCTTTGGATCCAAAATGTTCAACTCCTTAGCCAGAGATTTGAAGTGCTCCGGCAGCTTTGTGTTGTTAAGACATTCCGCAATCTCTTGTTCCTCCTCAGTCTCAGTGGGCAAATCCAAAAAGATCTGCTGTCTGGCGATAAGGAACGCCATTTGCTTCTTAAGAGCGACATCGTTGGTCGAATCGAAGTCTTTTCTTATGAGGTCGATGTCATTTAGACGGATCGCAAGAACAATGGCCTGAGTTAGTTGATCATATTGCTTGTAGATATCGTGCGCGGTTCGGAGAAATTGCTGATCTTCGGGGTATGTCAAGAGGTTGACCATGCTGACCATGTAGAGGCAGACGCGGGGGTAAGTGTCTTGGTCAAGGAATTTAGGTATGTCTTCAATTATTTCGAGTTCGCTCATGAGATCGACCGCATCGGCCTCAGCATTGCTTTTGAGAAATAGAGGTACGAGGACGAGGGCAAGGTCAATGAGATCTTGATATGGCTCATCGTCTGTTAACCTCTTGGTATATACCTCCCCGAGCTCCAAAGCAAGATGTCGCGTATATTCGTGACCCCAAGATCCGATGTCTACAGTTGGAGCAAGCAACCTGTATTTCAGGGTATCTTGTCGGCCTTCGTCAGAGAACGTCATGCCAATCACCGAGAGCACATCCGCAAGTGATGTCTTGTCATCTCCAGCAGGCCATTCCTCGTAAAGTTTCGTCATCGCTTCATAATGCGGGCGAAGGAACTTGAGTGGTTTTGGGACTGCGGTCATCGATGAGGTCGAGGTCTTGATCGAGTCTTTGATTGCCTCGAGGGCGGATTTGTAGAGGCTCGTATCAGGTTCCTGATTTCGGAGTTCTGTCAGAATGCAACAACTAGAACCTAGTACAAGATAGTCATACCGTTAAGCGCTCTACGAGCATATCGAGCTCGTTCTTGAGCTGTTGATCCTCTTCACTCAGCTCTTCAGTTGCTGGATGCTTTATTAGCAAGGGAGTCCAAAGCATCTGGAGGCTGGCCACTTACCGCCAATGACCCCATCTTCCTTCTTCCCATTCACGAGAGGCTTTCCATCCTTATCCTTCTTCACGTCCTCAGCTTTGTTGGGCTCTCCATCTATTGCCTTTCCCTTGCCCTTGTCGACAGACTTGGCGGGTTCGCCATCCTTGGCCATCGTGACTGGGGAAAGCGACCGTTAATGGAAAGGAAAGGTCGAGGCTGAGGTCGAGGAGCGGCGCGCAAAAGGACTCAAAATACCCAGGTGATCTGGCTATTTAGAAAGGAGAGTTTGTGGAGCTCGGGGTCAATGTCAATATTGTTGATTATGTTCTTCTAGGCACTCTGAGCTTCCGCGTACAAACGAAAGCTCACTTGGAGACGGGCTCGCTAAGTGGACGCGCTAAGGTTGATTATAAGTCCGTAAGCGGTAAAACATAGTAAATGGATGGTGTGGCATTATCACCGAGCCTCGCTTTTCTTTAGACGGCAGAAAATAATAGCTGCAAAGAATCAGAATTTCCAACCCTCGAAGACAGCGCATTCAACCATGAGGCTCGATACTAAGGCTATGCGGTATCTGACCGCAGAGGACTGGAGAACCCTCACTGCCGTCGAAACGGGCTCCAAAAACCACGAAGTGGTCCCAACGCCACTAATCGGACAAATATCTGGTCTGCGAGGTGGGGTTCACAAGAGCATATCTGCACTGGCCAAAGTAGGACTGATTGCGCGTCTGAAAAATGCCAAATACGATGGGTATCGCCTGACCTATGGAGGACTCGACTATCTTGCTCTGAACACATACCGGAAGCGAAAGGATGTATACAGCGTGGGCAATCAGATCGGGGTTGGAAAGGAAAGCGATATCTTCGTCGTTGCGGACGAGAAGGGCGTTCAGAGGGTATTGAAGATCCACAGACTTGGTCGCATCTCCTTCCGAACTGTCAAGGCAAACCGGGATTACCTACGGAACCGATCGTCGGGTTCTTGGATGTACATGTCACGTCTGGCAGCTTTGAAAGAGTTTGCCTTCATGACGGCCCTCCGAGATAACGGGTTTCCTGTTCCAGAGCCGCTGTCACAATCAAGACATACGATAGTTATGTCCTTGATAGATGCTTTTCCTATGCGTCAAATCTCCTCCGTGCCAGATCCAGCTGCCTTGTACGCGGAGCTCATAGCCATGATTCTACGACTCGCACAGTATGGGTTGATACATGGCGATTTTAATGAATTCAACATTTTGATCAAGGAAGAGACGAACAAGAATGCAACGGAAGACTCCAAGACGGAGTCTATAACTTTAACACCGATCCTTATCGACTTTCCACAGATGGTCTCCATTGACCATGTTAATGCAGAGTATTACTTCGACCGCGACGTCAATTGCATCAAGCGATTTTTTGAGCGCCGTTTCCATTTCGTCAGTGATGAGAAAGGCCCACATTTTGCGGACGCACGGAAACTAGTTGGGAAGGATGGGGTCGAGAGACTTGATGTATCTGTCGAGGCGTCGGGATTCTCCAGGAAAATGGCAAAAGAACTTGAGGCTTATATGAAAGAGGTTGGCGTCGATGGTGACGGATCATCGGCTGCCACTCCAGGAGACGAGGATGAAGAAGAAAACGAGGAGGACGAAGATGAAGATAACAGCGAAGAAGAAGATTCTTATGTGGACAGAGACCAAGCAGGCACCAGTGAGCAGCCAGAATCGACAACTTCCACCATCGAGGAGTCTGGCATTGTACGGGACCGTTTTGGAAATGAAGTTTCAGTATCCCAGCTCCAGGTCGATGACAAGACGTGAGGTAAAACACACTACAAGAGTACAATACTATTCGTCACTTCCAACGACTAATTCCGTCGAATAAATAGCCTCCCAGAAGCCTGAGCTGAACAAGTCACTGTCAAACTGAAAGCCACCGTTCCGGTAAGACAAGGGCCGGGGTGGCAGGGGAGGAAGGGGAATGCCGCAGTTAGGGCATTCAGTTTATGAATCTGGACTTTATAGACACGATGACAGCGGTATATCAGATGGCAACTCTCAGTGGAATTGTGTTCAACTATGCTACAAAAGTTTCCCACCTAGTAGCAACAGGAGCAAAGAAAGAAAATGTTTACAGTGAAGTGCATGGATTGATATAGACCGTCGGAAAAGTAACGCCCCCATCAATGCCATTACGCCAGACCATGTTCTTAAGATACCAGTAGTAGGTCGACATGCAATACAAGGTTGCAAGACTCGAAATATATTGGAAGGTGCGAGTGTATGCGAAACATAGTCAATACTGGACCGAGTAGGTATGTCGTCTGTATGTCTGCTGCTTGCAATTATGCATGTATGGTGGACAGTATTAGTTGGGTGGTAGGCGTTGCGCCATATGTGTGAGGCTGCAAAGGGCCAAGCCTTGTAAAAGCTAATGTCGAAGAATAAACGAAAGAGTGTAGACAGTACGCTGTTCTGTTGCCACTCGAATGCTGCTTTAAGACTTGCGAGCGGATGGAGAAGTAGTGGAGCCACCATGGGCCACAACTGGCGAGTCGCAATGGACAGTGACACCATCTTCGCCAGAGCCATCCTCAGAAATTGGTGGCGTGGACATGGAGAGTTTTCTAAGGAATAGTCAGCCAGTATCAGAACCCCAGGAGGTTCTGGGGGCTTACTGTTCCTTAGGCTTAGTGGTGTTAGGCTCAGTGAGAGGCACTTTTGCCTGTCGATCAACATCCTTGAAGACAGGACCGGAGCCAACAGAGCTGAAGGTCTGGTGAGTAATGGACCATATCAATCAAGCGATGAGCTTACCTGTGGACAGAATCTTCACGCTTCCAAGAGCCGTTGGCCCTAGAAGGAAGATGGCGAGCGATCTGAGAAGCGCGGGGGAGGAGCGGAGATGCTACTGCTAACGGCGGGGAAAGTGCGAGAATATCAGCAGCTGAGCCGCCATAAGCACCAACATTGTACTCGTTGGTCCGGAACTGTCTACGTTCGGTTGTAATACGCTTCAGATCCTTCTGGGCTGGGGTATCGGCGTAACGGACTTGAAGGAGGAGACCCTCTTCGCCAATTGGCTGACCGTGGAACTTCTTGATGATCTCTTCGCAGATTTCACGGCTCTCAAAACTACAATAATTGGTCAGTAAAATGGAAAATCAGAGTCAGGTAGAGGTGTATACCGAGCAAAGCCGACACCACGGCTGTTATTCTGATGATCACGAAGGATTCTGCTCGAACTGACAGTGTAGTCCATGAAGATAGCACCAAGTTCCTATAGAAGTATCAGCACTTTGTCTATAAACTATGCTAAAGGTGAAGCGGACCGATTCAGTCATGTTCTTGGGCAAATTCGAAACGTAGAGGTTGGTTGACGATTCATCGCCTTCAGCCTTGAGACGGGAATTGAAGGACTCCTATCAATAATTAGTGACAAGATGATATTCTGGGTAAGCAGGAGGAAATACTCTAGCAAATCCAACCTCATAGCCAAGCTTGTAAAATCCACGGATGCAGAGTTCGGAGTCGCGAACATTGTAGTACTTGGCAAATCCGAAGCTACCGAGGCATTAGCGAGGAGAAATATGGGAGTAAAACGGAGGATGTTACCCTTTGCAGGCACCAGTAGAGGTATCAATAATAGCCTTGGAAGTTTCAACCTTGCCAAAACGTGCCGCATATGCAGCGAGAGTTTCATCATCAGTGTTTGGGTGAAGGCCACGAATGTAAACGTTGCGATTGCCGAAGATGGGGTTTGATAAGCTCTGGTCTAGAGTTCTCATGCTCTCACGAGGTGTAAAAACGGCGGGCACAGCTCGAGGGATGGCTGGATGTTGAACAAGCAAAGCGTCAATATCAACATCGATGGGGATGGTCTTGTATGGTAAGGGCTTGGCAACCTGCTGGATTTGTGGAAGCCCAAGCTGTTGCGGTGAAGGCGTGGAACCAAATGGAGACCGATCAACTGGTGCAATCTGAGTGGCCTGATCGCGCAGAGAAGTTGGGCCATAGTAGGGAGTTCCTGGAACAGACTCGTTGGTGGAGTAAGAACCACGGCGATTTTCGAGGCCGGGAACGTCCTTGTGTATATGATCCGATCTATCTGTGTAGTAGCCAGCACGACCTGGCGTGTATGGCAACATTGGATAACCAGGAAGGTAGCCGTACGCAGTCTGCGCGAGATACGGTAAGGTGGCAGGATAAGTGTAAGAGTTGTCCGGAAGTTGACTCGGGGCCAAAGGTTGGGTAGGATACATGCCAGGATTAGGAGCACAGAAAAGCTGACCATCCGGAGTCACGTAGAACTGGGTATTGCCACCAAGAGGGAGTTGATTGGCACCCATTGCGGCATTTGCAGAAGCCATATTGCCACCAGGAAGAGCCAAGCCAGCGAGATGATTGATCATGGCACTCATGGAAAGACTCTCGTTCTGAGAGCTCGGGACTTGACCTTGAGCGTACGTGACTCCCTGACTCTGGGGTTCGTGGTGCCCACGAACAGGCGGCTGCGTGTACATGTTCGTCGTGGTGGTGCGAGGGGCGAAGGTAGTCTCTGTGTGATTCGCAGTCTGTTGGTAAGACATGGTACTCTACCGTGTTCTGTCAGCTTGTTCAGATTAAGGCACCTCAGAGAGAAGTTGAGATGGCAAGAATGGACGGGGGTAGAGGAAAGGACATTGGGGAGTGTTGGAGTTGAGTGAATTGGTAGAGCAAAGGTGAGAAGGCAACTTGGCTCAAGGTAGCGCGGCAAAGGAAAAAGAGCCAAATATGTCGCCTCGCAGAAGTGAATCACATATCTGCGAGATAGAAGGCTAGGACGAAAGATAAGAGATGAAAATGACCTACATCCACAGCCTCTGGGACAAGAGCTTGAAGCAAGTCCTTGTGTATCGAATGCAGTTCAGAGTAATAGACTGCAGGAGCCGAGGTCAGCAATGGTGGCCTAGGCAGGATTCGAGGAGTAACAGACCCTGCGGGGAGTAACCAGAAGAGCAAAAGAGTGCTACTGTGCTTCTGGATGGAGGGGACTGGTACTGCCAGCTTTGCTGCTCTGAAAGATCCGAGAAGGCTGTGAGTCTGACGGGGTCAGAGTAGCGAGCGGGAATTCTAGAAGATAGGGAGCTATCAAGCCAGATGGGATTGTAGTGTAGAGATTGTGATTGTGATTGTGATGGGACTGTTGTTGTGGTGTTGATGGATGGATGAAGGAGAGGGAGAAGAGAAGAGCAGCTTCGGCTGGGGAAAGACGACTTATAAAGGGGGCTGCCAGAACGTGACGGTTTTGGCAGGAACGCGTGTTGAGGGTGAGGTTTAAGCGGAAGGGTCAGGTCGAGTCCTCTGCCCAGGTAAACAAAATAGGAAGCAGAAGTCAAAGCAGGAACAGAAGCGCAAGTGCAAGCAAAACAGCAAAATTGACAACCTTCAGCCATGATCAATCTATCTATCATACACTCGTACGCGCAATGTTATCCTACCATCCGGATTCTGCAAGACAGCCGCCGTGATGGAGAGGGCTGAGAATATACAGAGCCGTGAAGGTTGGGTTCTGATGGGGACAAAGACATCTTTATGGCTACTTGATCTTCTGTGCTTGGAATCTGTGCGTCTGATGGATGCTCGCTCCTGCACGAACCCCTTCTTCCTATTCCCGCCTCTACCGACAGGCGTTGCATGCAATTACCAGAGGTGCCGGTGCAAGGAGTAGGGACAAGGTCCAACAAACGCCCCCAGAACTGTCCGTTTCCTTCTCCACATGCAGACTACTGGAAGAACTTGGCAGCTGCCTGGGTACCTACCTCCAAGGGGGGTCTGCAAGGTCCAAACGGCAGACTCGATTGCCCATTCAAAGGCCAATGAGGTGAGTATTCGACCCTCCTCAAAAATAAGAACTGGTGGAAATGCCATGCATATTGCTGGTCAAAGCTGACAGCTCTTACGCCTCCAGATACCGAGTCGACCCTTGGGAACTCTCAACCGGCTTGTTCCATAACGCAAGTTACAGCCACAACAAGGCTCGGGGCGAACCATCTGGTGGCTCTTAGCACTGCCTTTTGACATTGTACCCTGGTAATATGCCCCAGCAGGAACGGTCTGTCATGGAGGTTCCTCGCATAGAGAATTGGTTTCTGATAATGAGCAGTCATGGCATTTTGCGGATGGAAACGATGTCTGCTATGTTTCGGTCCCGGACACAAAAGTGTGGGAGAGCTCGAGAAAAGAGCCTAGGGTCCGGCTTGTCTCTTTGCAGAGATCAACCCAATGACTGAGGTAGGGAAGTACGGAGTAGTGATAGGCTCATAGCGAAGGCCGGTACGATTACGGGGACTCTGGGGCTGGGGTAGGGCTGGGTGGCTGTTGGGTCAAAGATTGAACGCTGGCAGTCAGTCCGTCCCAAGAAACCCTCGAGGCCTCGACCGGGAGGCCCGAAACAAGTGACCCCTTGCCTGCCGGCTATCTAGTAGATCGTTCTCGGGAGCTTGGGAAAAGGCAGGTAGATGTTTGTTCCCGAGTGGGTGACGTCCAAATTCGAAGGGATATGCTCTGTATGGCAAAGGTCATTATTGTTTTTTTCTTCTGAACATCCTTACTTGCAGATTCCGCGCATGGGCCGCCAGTTATCAACTGAACTCGCACATAATTGCAGACATCGTCCTCTGAGTTCAGGGGTACACCAGACGGCAGTTCAGTGGATGATGCATGGCAGGTGATTATGTAAGGCTGGCGGGCATGCGTGCTCTGGAGAAGCTGCTGAATTGCCGCTGCCCTTCGGAGGTACCAGCTACCACTCACCAGCCAAATAATCCCTCCGACGGCCTAATGTACGGTGCTCCGTTTTGTTGTGATGTTTAGTCGTGACTTGGGGCGGAAAAAACGAGATGGGTCTGTTTCTCCGCCTTGTCTTTACGGGGTAATATCCAGTACTAACATGGCATAGCTACTCCCGCTCCCCCTCCTCCCCCTCCCTCCCCGCCAGCGCCAAGAAGACATGCACACATGCATCTCCGCCTCCCCCATCCGAACCCCCAAATCCCCCATCCGCACCCGATCCGCGAACCTCTGTTTGCCAGCCCTGCTGCCGATACCCCTCACTAACCCCATTCCGGACCGGGCCATCGAACATGTCTGTTTGCTTGAGCGGGGGATATACGCTATTGTCCTCGGATGGATATGCAGATCTCGGAAAGCGATCATGGCAAACAGTGACGACTTGAGCAGTAGTCGGGCCTCGAAGAAAGGATCCTTTGTGGGATTGGGAATGGGAATAATAGGAGAAGGGAGAAGGGTAAGAGGTAGGAAGCAAGCAAACAACTACCGTTCAATATGCAACATACCCTTCCTCGGCACGGCACTCTCTCAACTCGACTGCATAGTTGAGACGGGTAAAAATATAAAAAGCGATGGAGTGCCCAAACCACTGCAGCTTTCCCCCCTCCCCCCCTCCCTCCCGAGCACAACCCCTCCCCTCCCCGGGAAGCTCTCACGGAACGCATCAAGGATTCGTATTCGTATACACGAACCTAAGGCACATACATAGGTACTTACTGTAAGGTATATGCGGACCAAGATCTGCCGTAGGGCTGGCTGGCTGGCTGGCTGGCTGGCTGGGACCGCTGGGTTTGATTAATACCTATCGGGGGGGAGGCGGGGAGGTGGTTTTGTTGTGGAATTGGATATCGAAATATTGAAATACTGGACAGAGACCTTGGAGTGAGAGAGATAATGGGTTGGTTATATGAAGGATAGAGATGGAAGTCAGAAGTTAAGAATTGACCGACTGACTGATGGCCGTCGCTTGCTTATGTGGATAGGTAACAAACATGGTTCGTTGTCGAGAGTGGGGATTCTTTTCTTTTATCTACACGTTGAGCAATTATATCTGCATTTCCCAGTGAAGACAACAATAATAAGCCCCAGATGGGAGAGCACAGTGTATTTATTGTATGAGCTAAATCTACATCGACTGACTACCTTACTTAACCACGCTCGCCTGTTCTTCACAACCCTACTTACTTATCATACCAGTGCTTGCTACTGCACTGCACTGCACTGCACTTTGACGGGGAAAGGAGAAACAAGAAAAAGAAAAGAGAACAACTTATACAACCCCCCTCTCCCAGAAAAATACGGACGTGGTGGTGGCACGAAAAAGGGAGAAAAACAACAGGACGAAAAACGCCACTATGCAAGCCAGCAAGCAGTCAATCAAGTCCCTTAATATCTCTGGACCCCTTTCTCTCTCTCAACCCCCCTCCAAAAATTACGCCAACGAGCTAACACAAGCCCACTGTTGGCTTTTTTTGTCTATGACCACACATCCTCCTAATCGTAATGTCAGTATGTGCTTGCTTGCTTTGCTGGGAATGAGGTGGTTGGGAATTTAAGAAAAAAAGCGGATCTGGAAGTCCAGAACCCCCCACCCTCGGCCAACTTCGACAGTCGGGTTCGGAATGCCGAGCGATATCTTTCGATGGGTGAAATGGGGAATGCAGAATCGACGTACCTGGTACTGGTTTGCTGAACGCATGCTCTTCACGATCTCTTCAGCTTTGGCATCCGGAATGCCCCGCTGCTCCGCCGTTATCTTAATCAACGCCGCGTTAACCTCGCGCGCCATGTTCGCCGCATCGCCGCAGACGTAGAAGTACGCCTTCTGCTCCAATAATTCGTTGACCTCCTTCGCCTGCTCAAGTAATCGGTGCTGGACGTAAACCTTGTTGGGCCCATCTCGAGAGAATGCGGTGATCAGCGAGAACTTATCACCTAGGGCATCTTCGTATTCCTAAGAGCGTTGTCAGGCATTTGTTTATCTTCTGGTCTCGCTTGCGATAAGTCTGCTTACCTTCCATTCCGATGAGTACAAGAAATCCTCGGATGCTTTTCGGCATCCGAAGAAGAGGAGGGTCCGGCCAACGTTCTGCCCAGCCTTCGCCTGAGCCGCTCGCTCTTGGATAAAGCCGCGGAACGGGGCGACACCAGTACCGGGACCAATCATAATAATAGGCTTAGAGGGATCCGAGGGAAGCTTGAAATTTGAATGTCTGACGTGGACGGGGACGTGGATACCATCGTACTTGTTTCGTGGACCGGTAATCTCGTAGGTGAGGCCATGAGGGTCCGGGTTCGCGACACCCTGCTGCTTCTGCATCAATGCCAGTAGATAGTTTGTGGTGACACCCTTGAGGGCGTCCCGGCCGGGGAGCTCGACTGATTCAACGACAGCGGTGATGGAGATCTTCTTCTTCTGCACCAGCGATGACGACGAGATCGAGTAGTATCGTGGTTGCACCTTGTTCAAGCCTTCAATCAAAGCAGAAAATGGGATGGCCGTCCATTGATCTTGGCCGCCGACCGCTTCCAATGCCTGAGCAATGTTGAAACATCGGTTGGTGATCTTCTCATGGAAGTAGTCCTTGTCATTTCCAAGCTTGGTCATCTCCGCCTTTGCCTGCTCTGTGGGTGCAAAAGCAGCCAGAGTAGCAAGGAATTGACGAGACACGGGAGCGCAGATTTCCATGTGGTAACGCACAACTGCATCGTAGGTCGTAGGCGAGGGGAAGGGAACCTTTGCAGTCTGCTCCAGGGGTTTGACGCTGATGACCTGGTCGCGCTTTGCAATTAGGCCGGTAACACGGAGGAAGCGGTCAACCTCCTTTCCGGGGTTGGTTGGCCAGACTGCGATATGGTCTCCCGTCTCGTAGCTCAGATTGGAGCCGCTGATATCAATCTCCATGTGCAAGCAGTTCCGGTCCTTGACGTTGAAGAGCTCTCGGGATTCGGTGATGGGGGCGATGTATGGGTTGTGGGCGTTGAAGGGGCCCTTGGCGGCGCCCTCGAGATGCATCTTGTTCGGCTCACCAAGGTAGACCTCGGGGGATTCCTTGGTCAGGTCCTCCTTCTCCTCAACCGTGAAGACGGGATCGTAGACAGCCTCACGCTCTTCGAGACCCATCTTCTCTGCCAGAGCCTTCCACATGGGGTCTTTCCAGGCGAGAAAATCTTCTTCCATGGTACCTGCACCGTCATCTCCCTCTCCTGCCGCTCCAATTCGCTGGGCACCGAGCTTCTCCAAGGCCTTTGTAACATTGCGTACCATAGAATTGTAGTGCTCGTAGGTGTTGTTCCCCAGACCGAAGGCCACGAACTTCAAGTTCCCGAGAGGCGGGTCGGCGGCCTGCGAGAACGAAGCATCCTCGGCGGTAATGAATTCGTAGAAGTCAACGGCATTGTCGGTCGGTTCACCCTCGCCGTAGGTAGCGAGAACAAACATTGCGACCTTGTCGTCGCCAAGGGAGTCCAAGTTGTCGAAATCGTATTCTTCCAAATCGGCGACCATGGTCTCCAGGCCGAAGCGGCTCTTGCCCTCCTTTGCCAGCCGCGAGGCGTAGTCCTCCGCCGTTCCAGTCTGCGAGCCGTAGAAGACGACGCAATTCTTGTTGGATTGCTCCATCTTCTCCACGATGTTGCGAGTCTTCTGCGGCTTGTTGCCGGCGGCGGCATTGCTGGACGTGGCAGGACTCTTGGTCACCGCCCAGTACGAGCCCTTGGTCAGGTATGCAATGGTGCCGAGCAGGAGGGCCGCCAGGACGACGATGTCCAGCGTGTCTAATTGTGCCATGGCGAATTGACAGTGCTGACGCGACTCGGGAGGGAGAGGGTAGGCAGACGCTGTGGGGGGAGGGTAAAGGAGAGAAGTGGCAGGGAGATTGCAACGCCCGAGGCGGGACAGGAGAAGGACGACGGCGTTGCTGGGAGGGGGGGTGAGAAAGCTGTTGGTAAATGGTCTTGCGGCAGAATCCTGAAGGACTGAGAGGAGTGGTGGGCGTTGGAATATGCAGTTATATGGGAATTTGGCCCGTCGGGTTGTGGCTACGGCACTGTGTTTGGATGGATGGACTTCGCTCTATTTTAGCGATTACAGGCCGATTTACTACGACCACCACTACGAACTACTACAATACAGGACAGAACTGGCACAAGTCTGGAGAGACGGTTCGTCGCTACCCCGTACCCACTCGACGGCCCAGCGAGAACCTATACGTGGTCTGTTCTGCGGTAGCCAAGGGAGGAGCTTTTTCTGGCTGGGTGGGTTGATTGGCTGATTGGCCAATTTTCTGGCTGAGGGGGGGGGAGGACGGGAGAGACTTTGTGGAGAAGACAGGAAAGATAGGAGAGGCAGATTGGGGAGAAGACAAGAAGAAGGGATAGAATATCGCAATTACAACATGGCCGGGGCCGTAAGGGGGGAGAGAAAAACTGCCGACAGAACAATGCATCAGCTGCATTGTGCTTGAAGCTTTCTTGTTCTAACTTCTGACCTTCTTCTACATTGGAACCAGTAAACCAGCACAGGACCAGCACCAACGTCCCACCGGAAGGATATGTCCTTGTCCGTATGACTGCTCCATCTTGCTCTGTGCTGCGCTCTGCTCGGGGGACCTCGGTGAAATCCGGCCGCCGGAGAAGGATTCCGCAGAAGGGCGAAAAGACGACGGGACTCGGGAGGGAAGTCAGAGGCGGAGAGGGGGAGGAGACAGCGGGCGGAGAGCGCGGTGGCAGTTGGCATTGGGCGGATTAGGGCGGACCCGGGGGGAACCTACAGTTCTACGGTGCTCGCGTGTTGTGGAGAGAGGCACGGGTGGTTGTAGTGGGCTCCCGTAGGTGTTCTCTGTTCTCTGTACTTCTACAGCTTCTTTCTTACGTTGGACAGGAGGATAGGATAGGCGAAGATGTATTATATACTCTCTCACTGCTTACTACTCACTGGTCACTGCTTACTACTCACTGCCCACTGCTACTGCGTACTGCTCACTACTCACTGCTTGAAGACTGTCTCAGCCTGCCTTCTGCTCTCTCCCTACGTGCTGCGAACCACTCCGATCCAGTGAAACAGTGTGGAGGTGGGCGGGGAAGTCATGTGATGTGGGCTAGTCCCCTTCCAGCCCCCGTCTTACGTCCCCGCCGCGTCGACATTCCTTCTTCTGCCTTCACCGCCCACTCTCCGCCTGTTCTTGCCCACCCACTCTCGGGGCCAATCCCACTTACGAAGCCGAACAGATTCAGAAGCACCCCGTACGGCAGATTCGTGCCTGAGGACACAAGCCATCTCGAGACTCTGGTACCTCAGGATTCAAGGCACTACTATCTGTCAGATCTGGATACCTTGGAGCTGAGGCAACAGTGGCTTTCACGTGAAACAAGATAAAGGTACCATCCCAACACAACATCGACCGTTGGAACGGGCCCGCTTCGCTTCGACGTAGCCGTTCATGAAGCATCTGTACAGCCCGCCGTAGTAGAGCCAAATATCACAGTTCAACGTTTTTATAAGAATTCAACCTGCGTTCTCTCTTCATCTTCTATATGGTCATAATCGTATCAGAGCTTTGTCATTATGATTCTCAAACGGCCAGAAGGATTAAGATGAAGTACCTTACCCTAGGATAAGGTAGATTACGGAAAAGCAGAAATCTAATGCGGCCCACGTGATATAAACTTGACCTCAGAGGTCCTGTAGCCGACAACTTGCGCAGGTACGGGATATATTTGTACCTAGGTACCTAGGTACAGTATCCTCAGTAATACCATCTTCCCGGCCTGCCAAGGTCGTAAGATCCCTCCTGATGGGTTGCATATCGGACGGTGTAGATACTGTAGATTTATAAAAAAAAGGATCTGCGGTAAATACCCAAAGTCACGCTCATGACAGGACCCCTTTCCACTCGGCTGGGATCCTGAACGCTCAGGCCGTTCTGTCATTGGCTGCTGCTTTGCGACTGCCGCCCTCGCCGACGATTATTTACTTGCTCCCTATATGCTTCACGACGCCGAGCATTCACACCAAGAGCAGAACCGCCACGAGAGACAGGCGCGTAAGCCTCCCATCAGCAAGCATTCTTCCGCGACCAGATTCCCATCCCTTGTTGCCCGACCATGGATCCCTCTCAGCTCCGCGATACGTAGCGCAAGGCTTGTGACTGTGGAAGATGGGTAAGCTCTACCTCTCTCCTTGCTTCATCCTGCGGGACCTAGGTTCTACACTCCCTGCTGTACCCTCCTGGGCCTCTGTTCGACGTTCCACGCGGGACAGCCCAGACGGAGCTATACGAGGCCAACCAGCTCTTGAGCAGCACAAGCCTTTTAGAGCGCCCTCAAACCTGTTACACACCCCCTGCTGACATTGCCTCACAGCCCAATCACCACCACCAGACCGTCCCGGCGAGCGGTTCATCAGTACCAGCCTTTCCCCGGTGGATATCGATGTTTGGAATGCCACCGTGAAGCCCTTGACCTCGAACCCAACATCGCCCGCAGGCCTTCCGGCGAGAGCGACTTCGTCAGATTCGCCATCTCAGGCGCCGCTTCCCAATCCCTCACCCCGTCTGATTCCCGACAACAGCAGGTTGGCAGAGTCGAAGACACATCATCGACAAACCAGTATTGTTCATGGCATACAACATTCTAGGAATGGGAGCTTCGCCAGTTCCTCCAGCCCGTTGAGTCCCCAGATGATCGCAGCCGCTGGCGGAGAGAGGCCTGATGTATCCAATATGGGTGACCCATCGTTTGCGTCTGGCTTGGCCAGTATGAGCAGCGGCGCTTCCTTCAGTTCGAATGCAACACTGGTCCCCGAACGAGTATCTTCGGCCACGGACAGTCATGCTTCGTCACAAAAGAGGGTGGAGCGGGTGCTTAGCAGTAGGAGCCGGAGAGAACATGGGCACCATCACTCCCACTCGAGACATCACCATAAGGAAGAGCTGAAGACGGTTGGGGAATATGCCCTACATGTATTATTCACATCGGTCAGTCCTTTCAATATGTGCCCAATGCGGGCGTCGTAATAACCCCCGCTGCAGTTCATCGCGCAAGCCGAAGAGAAGATATCACAATGTATCACTGTGCCTCTGGATCCCGAACCGCAGATAGAACAGATATGTGGACCTGGTGTAGACCCTACCTTCGATCAGTTGATATCCGCGCTTGGCCATATCGCAAGCCAGAAGCCCAAACCCCTAATGGACTCGATGATGTTATGGCGCAAGAACAAGAGTGATGCTGCCAGTGAAGCCCGTATCCAACTCCAACAGGTATGTTATAGCTGATGAAAAAGCCATTTCTGAACCCCCTGGCTCATAGTCCTCTCAGTCGCGAGGCCATGTCGTGCCTGGCCAAGTCCCCCGCAGAAACACAGAGCCACTACATGTGCATTCGAATCTCGCAGATGCAACGGCGATGCATCCATTGCCCTCTATTGCCGCACGCCAGGAGTTCGTTGCCCAAGCCGAACGTCGTTCCACGGTCTCGATATATATCCTGTGCCGAGTTCTGATGGAGGTCATTGGCCAGAGTACCCTGTCATGTATCACACCCGAGATGGAGGAGAAGCTTGAGGGTATTATTTTTGGGCAGTTGAAGATCGCTGATATAGATCAACTCAATAGCTCGCCCTTAAAGATGGCGAATTGGTTATTGTTCAGCCAATTACTTGGGGTCATGAGTGAGATCAATTTCGAGAGCGTGACGGACCGCTTTATTGCTGATCTGGAGAAGTCGCAAAAGAGCTTGGTGGTCAAGAGCCCCGCGAATCGTGAAACCGAGGGGAGAATGGAGCTCGTTTTGGGGGGGATGAAGCACTTGCAAATTAAGATATACCCGGAGGAGGCATGGGATCAATCCTGCGATTTTATGATTTCTCTCAGCCGCTTCTTTGCCCGATCCCATGGCCATCGTCTCAAATATGCCTACTGCCAGGCTCTCGAGATCCTGCTCCTCCCGGTTGCTGCAAAGGCAAACACCGAACTGAACATGCCGAAATGGGGAGAGGTGCTTGCAACTATTGGTCCTCGTCTTGCGTCTATGTATGCCAAACCCCGTCACTGGTCTGTAGCCTTCCCATTAACTGCGACTCTCCTTTGCGTCTCCCCAGTGGAGACATTCTCGAGTCAATGGCTACAGCTTGTGCTTCCCCTCCAGCCGAAATTCAAAGATCGCTTCGCTCGTCCAATATGCCTGCAAGTTATCTCCCGGTTACTCTGGACATATCTTTATCGTGCCCCTGATACGCTCAATGTCACCATAAAGAAGCTGGAAGACGTCCTCAAGCTCGTCTTTCCTGCAGGAAGAAGAACATATATCTCTACAGATCCGGCCATCGCAGATCCGCTTCTACAAATAATTCGGATCATTGGGTTTAAGCATCAAGATTTTTGTTTTCGGACAATAGTCTTCCCTCTAATAAATGCCGATTTATTTGCGTCTGGAAGAGAGCTGAAAGTGGAGCAGCTGGAGCCGGAGAAGATGGTCATCGGCATCAGGGCCTTCCTTGCTATAATGAGCGACCTCGAAAAGGGGGAGCAAGGTCGACCTCCGTTCCCACAGCATTATCAACCTTTGCCATCCTATGACAGAACACCCGCCTCGCCCATAATGACGGCTCCGCGGAGCCCCGTGATACCTCCAACCGTAACCCCAACTCGCGAAGATCGTCTGTCTCGGCCTGTACTCACGAATGCTCTTGGCGATGTCGCAAAAGAGTACTATACGCGCTTCTGTGAGATTTTAGGAAAGATCACGATCATCTGCGATAACACCTTTGGAGGCCAAGCTGTTTTGGATGAGAAATTCAATAGCCCGGCGCCTAAAACCCCTATCGCGGAGACGTTCAACTTTGCCCGCCGAGATGACCACCAAAGCCCATCTGAACAGAAACAGGGATTTTATGAACTTCTGCACGTTGCGGTCCAAGCTCTGCCTCGCTGCCTCTCTCCCGATATTCCTTTCAATTCGCTGGTCAATCTCCTGTGCACTGGTACGGCTCATGTGCAGTACAACATCGCTGAGTCGTCTGCACAGTCTTTGAAATCTATTGCGAGACAATCACATGCTCAGCAGGTCACAATTGGATTCGCGCGATTTATTTTCAACTTCGATGATAGATATTCGACCATGTCAGACGGTGGCATGCTCGGATCAGGCCATATCGAAAGCACGCTGACCCTGTATGTTGAGCTTTTGCAAATTTGGATCGAGGAAATCAAGCAGAAGACGAAAGAGGCTGCCGCTGATACCTCGGAGGACGCCAACATGGATAAGCGTGGGATGCAGTTGGATCTTTCCGGAATATGGGCTCATGTCGACGAAGTTGAATCTCATGGCTTCTTCTTCCTGTGTTCTCAGTCACGGAGGGTCCGGTCATTCGCTGTGACGGTTTTGCGCCTCATCACCGAGTTCGACACCGCACTAGGCAAAGAGAACAGTCGACTGATCCATATTCTCGAAGGTGATTCTAAGCGAGTGATGGATTTCAATGACGAGCAGCTGTCTGTTGCAGAGCGCAGCAGATTACAGATAGGGATGAGTAAGAGCAACTCTCAGAGCGCTCTTATCGAACTCTGCAGCAGCGAGGTTTCCTACGACACAACGTTGTGGTTCAAGATATTTCCAAACCTCATAAAGATCAGCTACGATCGTTGCCCATTTGCCGTTACCCTTGGGCGCGAGTTAATATGCAACCGGATTCTCCAAATGTACCGGGGCATTCTTGCCTTGTCGGAAGCCCCGAGAGGTCCGCAGTCCAGTCCATTCGACCGTTTTGAAACAGGCGGCGGTCGGGTGCTCTCGAGATGCTCAACTACTCCACCCGAGGTGTTAGTTGAGCAATGGAAATTGTATCTCATTGTTGCTTGTACAACCTTAAGTGACAAGGGTGGACAACAAAGCGCGCCACAAGTAGGCCAGCATCTGCGGAGAGGGTCAAAGCCCATTCAAACACAGGAAAAAATTACCTCTGCTCGGTCACTTTTCAAGTATATCATACCTCTACTATCGGTTGGGTCAGCCTCCATACGGGAAGCCGTTGTCCTTGCCTTGGGGTCAGTTAATATTAATATCTATAAGACCTTGTTGGAAGAATTACAGGGAGCCGTGAGCCGATGCAACGATGATGCAAGGGCGCGTATTCACCAGCGCACTGCAAGTGGTCCCAGGAGGAATAGGAGGATGGACCTGTTGCGAACCGAGATCACGCACGTCTACCGCCTCACATCGCACTTCCTAAAGGAACCAGACATATATCAAGATGATTGGATCTTGAACAATCTTGTTATGTATACGAAAGATCTAAAGCTATTTCTAATGGACGATGAAGTACAGATGGACTGGGAGTTCCAGAAGCTTCGTCGGCATTACTGTGGTTTGATGGAAGAATTGTTTGAAGGTATCAATCGGACGAAAGATCCATCTCGCTGGATGACATTCGAGTCTAGAAAATCATCTTTCGCTCTGATGGAGGATTGGTGTGGATATTCTCCCAATCAAAACCAGATCCGTCAAAGGGAGGATAGTATGAGACAGTCGATGATCGATCAGCAATCACTGAGAGAGAGAGGGACTGTGACCGCTGCAATGGAAATCGAGAAGAGGAATCTCCGGACCGCAGCACTGAGTGCTATGGCTGCATTATGCGGAGGACCAGTTTCTATAACCATTGAAAGCAGGGCCAATTTACAGTTCGATATTCGGAGAATGCTCTCGTGGATCGACACTATTTTTAATACTGGAAGCGACCGGATGCACGTCATTGGTAGACGAGCGCTGAAGAATCTGATCGTCCACAACAAAGATTTTACCTATCTGATGGAGCATTCAATTTCAAGATGCTATGTGGCGGAAGCATCGAAGGTCCTCGAGAGCTACTTCGAGGTTGTGACCCAGGTCCTGCTCGAACACCCTGATTACCCGATGCCATTCTGGAAGTTATTAGGGATCGGGTTATATATGCTTGGAAGCGAGCAGAGTGGAATTCGGTCTAAGTCGGCACATCTCCTACGGGCACTTGAGGAGAGGCAGCAGCGGAGCTCGAAGATTCAAGATTACGACATAAGCATTTCCGATAAGACCAAAGCAGTTTACAAGCTTGCACAGTTCGAGATTTCAAAACGCCTGTCGAAGCAACATTCAGAGCTTGCATTCCTTATTTTCTCGGAATTTACCGCCTACTTCAAAGACTTACAGCCGGGTTCGCAACGGAACATGGTTGCTGTTATACTGCCATGGATCCAGATTATAGAGCTGCAGGTCGACCCCAACGGTGGACCAACAGCCCAATCATACGTGCTTCTTGCGAATCTATTTGAGATCACGATCAAATCAAGCAGTACGTTGCACAACGAGGTTCAGGCCTTGTGGCAAGCACTCGCAACAGGACCCCATGCCGGAAACGTTCAGTTAGTCCTTGACTTCATCATGTCCCTCTGCCTCGACAGGCGCGAGCAGAATTTCGTTGAATATGCGAAGCAGATAGTAGTTTTCCTCTCAAGTACCCCGGCTGGTGTGAAGGTCGTCGAATTTCTGTTGATGCAGATAACACCGAAAACGATGATACCGAACGAGAAGCGTGAGCTTATCCCCCCGCCTCCGGACGCAATAAAAATGCCTTATGTTGCAGAATTATCCGAGGCTCTACCCGTTGGAGCCAAACAGGCCGGATTATCTCTTGGGCAGTTATCCCTGATTCTGTTGGTTGACTTGATGGTTTCTCCCGTCCAGCTTGAGCCTGAGAAGGTGCCATTACTTCTCCAGGTAGTTACAGTATTGTGGGATCATTATATTCCGCTGGTCCAAGAGCAAGCTAGGGAAATGTTCATTCATCTCATACACGAGTTGGTGATATCAAAGATTGATGATGAACAGACGGTCCCCACAAAGAAATCCATCGAAGATTTCATCGAATCTATCCGTCGCCACGATACAAAGGTCATCTGGGCATACGAAGACAACAACGGAAAGGTTGGTGACCACGACAACAAAGTCCCTGCTGGGATGGAACTTCTCACCACTGAAGCCGTCAAGAATTTCGAAGTTACCTATCCCGGGATCCAGGAGCAATGGGCTAAGTTGTCTTTGACTTGGGCCACTTCTTGCCCTGTTCGCCATCTCGCATGTCGATCTTTTCAAATCTTTCGGTGTATACTCACGTCCTTGGACCAATCTATGCTTGCGGATATGCTAGCAAGACTATCAAACACAATTGCGGATGAGGACTCGGATGTTCAAACATTCTCGATGGAGATTTTGACCACTCTCAAAACCCTGATTTCCAAGCTAGACCCGGCGGATCTGGTCAGCTTCCCACAACTATTTTGGACCACTTGTGCGTGTTTGGACACGATCAACGAACGCGAGTTCCTAGAGGCATTGGGCATGCTGGAGGAGTTGTTGATGAAACTCGACTTACATGACTCTACTGTGCGTATGCTCCTCGCGGAAGGACGACCCCCGAGATGGGAAGGTCTTTTTGAAGGCCTTCAGCGGCTGGTTTATAAAGGACTTAGATCATCAGTATGTCTTGACTTGACGCTCACGACACTCAACAAGCTTGTACTGCTCCCAAGTGATGACCTCATCGGCGACGATAGCCGTTTACTCTTCGCGGTTCTGGCCAATTTCCCGAGGTTTCTACACGCAATGGATCAAGAATCCATTGACGAGGACAGTGCTGCAACTGCAAGCATATTAGCAGAAGTAGCCGACGCCCAAGGCTGCAGGACTATTTCGAGGGCTCTGAGTGGCTTTGCAGCGTCGCGATACCGTGCTAGCAAAGACTTCCTCAATCAACTAGTGTCAGCCATCCGCGAGTCCTTTTTCCCTCAATGGGAGTATGGCAGCCTGACATTCCTCATGGGGCTTCTAACCAATAGCATTCCGTGGTTTAAGCTGAAGACGATGCGTATACTTTGTGTTGTGATCCCCGACATCGATATGCGCAAGCCGGAGATTGCATCTCACGGACCGGATTTGATTTCGCCACTTTTGAGATTACTACAGACAGAATTCTGTATGCAGGCTTTGGAGGTACTGGATCAAATCATGACGATGACCGGTACTTCTATGGACAAGCACCACTTGCGTATGAGCATGACCAAATCGTCCTCCAAAGCAATTCGGAAGGAATACGAGCGAACACAAAGCTTATTTGGCATTCCGGAAGAGTCGGGGTGGTCAATACCTATGCCAGCCAAGCATGCAGAAACCACGAGAACCAACGTTCATGCCGTCTTCTACGTGTGCCAGAGCGCAGAGAACATGGATGCCGAGACCCCACCTACAACCGAGGTCGAGTTCCATGTCGATGACTTCCAATATGGGTATTTCCCCGCGACGGAGAGAACAGAGACTATGATGTCCGACGAGGGACGTGGTGATGGCCTCATTGGCGACCTGGTGATGAAGCTTGACAGTCTGGACGATTTCTTTGAAGACAATCAAAGTCCGACCAGCGATGGTCGATCGTCGAGGACTATTACGGAAGCAGGCTTTTCCGGTGAGGGATTGGAGTCGGGGGCACAGCTATATGATGAACAGACACTACCCATTCTCCACCAGTCGCTGGCTCAGGCATCAAGCACCTCGTCCTTTCAGAACGGGTTCGCGGACATGCGGCCGCCAACACACGTGAGTCGGGACTCCAGCTCCAACGCAATGAATCCCGGCGCCTTCAATCTAGCTGTCTCAGCCCGGCCCAGCATGCATTCCCGTTCCGTGACCTCGCCCTCGGCACCCGCTTCCTTCCAAGGCAATGTCACGATGTACATGTCGGATGAGGATTACATAGAGGAAGTCTTCTCGGACGGCGATGAGGAACGCGCTCCGACGGGAGAGGGCTCCTTCTTCTTGGAAAACATGATCAAGCCCATAGCGCAAGGCACGAGGTCCGGAGTGCGAAGACTGACTGGCGGAAGATCGCGAGATAACGAGAGGCTGAGGGAGAATCTGCGGGCGGATCGCAGAGGGTTATCGCAGACGCCCAAATCACCCAAGGTGCCCAGGGTCCCAAGCGCGTATTTACAGAAGCCCCCGATGCCAGGGGGTGAAGGAGTGTAAGATAGATACTGTTGGAACATTGATCAGTTGCTGTCATTTTTTCCCTGGGAGGAATAAATGTTCGATTTATCCATATGCGGGCAGATATCTGGGTGGCGTTTACAGAGATCGTGGTTTGTACCATAAAGGCATTAAATGATATCATAAATATATTTTGTGAATATTGAGTGTATGTGTTGAGAGTGTATACTTCCTTTGCTAGGTGATTAATGTACTGTCGAGGGGTGAAAGGAGAGGGGCAAGAGGTAAGGTATCTAGTTGTGTGAAGGCCAATATCCCTAGTGTGATGGATGAATATCACATTCGCACTCTACTTGTAGTCCAGGAGATCCCAAATTACTGGACACCTACCTATGTATATATAGCCAGCCTTGCAAGCAACCTCTTACCTTCTTTCTATCGCTTCTTCTGTCTTCTGTTCTGTATCTACTATATTATTCTCATCACCGTTTCCTTTACGTTTCCAATCTCACTCGACAACCCAGCAAAACCAAAATAACTAAACAAAGAACTCGACTTTCCGCATGTGTTATTATCTTGATGACCATCCTCCCCCGGGAAAAAAAAGGGGGGGTGAAAGGGGGGGGGGGGATATTAGCAATAATTCCGTAACCTTTGACACTCCGAGGATTCCTGACACTATTTGTACCCAGCCAAACTCCCCCACCCACCCACCACCACTCCAAAATCCAACTCCCCCCTCTCTCTCTCTCCAAAAAAAAAAAGGCAAAAAAAAAGAGAACTGCCCATTCACGGAATCGAACCGTGGATCTTCTCATATTCGCGAATACATACACATACGAGTGAGACGCTGTACCACTACTGCACCTCTATTAGTCTGGGATTTCACGTACGGTATAAACAAAGGAGAAGGGTCTATACGTACAGCCAAACGGGCAAACTACGGATGTTTGTTTGAATTTTATGTTTGTTTTTTGCTGCGAGGTTTGGGGGGTATTTATGCATATGTGTGTGTGGGGAGTTTTGTTTGGGGGAGTGGGGCAGAAGGGAGGAAGAGGGAGAGGAAGGGTTGCTTTGTCTTTTTATCTTGTTTCGACTTTTTTTCTTCTTTTGATCGGTTTTTTTCAATGGAAAGGTCGCATTGCGATATGATTGATCTCTTAATCAATCTAGATGTCATTTATCACGTATAGTATGGATTCTATAGTTACGTCGTGCTTCAGTCGACACGACTTTTAACTTACCTAACTTAACCCACTATCTGATCCACAGGTCACAATAACACATACAGAAAGTCGAGGGATGAGTTCAATGCCAATAAAGAAAACCCAAAGGCCCTTTGCTGACCGTTTATGATTGGATATTATATTATATTTGAAAATACAGTATTGTACAGCGATTATGCCCTGCCATGCCATGCAAGTGAACGGTGCCAAAAAATCCGAATCTGGCAATAATGTACCTTGAGTTCCCGACCCCCAGAGACACCGAATATGTAGTGAGAATGATGTAGCACCCCGAAATAAAAGCCACTTTTTAGTCTCATGCTAGGTCGTCAAAGTCATCGCTATCCACGCTTGCCCTCTTCCCTGCCCCCTTTGGTTTGCCACGTGCCCGAGAGGCGGAAGATGATCGAGCTCTCTTCTTTCGTCCACCTGGAGTACTAGAAGGCTTTCTCTTACGACCCCGTCCACTGCCTGGCGGATCCAGGGTTTCATTATCCTCGTCATCACTTGGCGTGGTGAGCCGAGTCCTTCCACCGTCGTCATCTGCCTCAGCAGCAATCTTGAAATCCTGGTCCACACTTAGGAGATCGACGAACGCACGGCATTGCTTGAGCATGCTTTCTTCTGATTCAAGCGCAGACATTGTAGATGAAACCTGTTCCCAAAACTTATCGCCGTTGATAAAAGGAACTTTCACTGGCGCCTTATTTAGATCCTTGGTGGCAGCTTTGCCCTTGCCCTCGCGCCGATTTGTCGTAAGTCCATATTGACGTCGAAGGAAAGTGCGAGCCTCCCAAAGGGAGGAGAGCATCATTGAAGAGGCTGTCAATTGGAGTAGGCGGGTAGAATCAATAGAAGGCTTGACTGGATGAGGCTGCCCGTTCTCATCAATTTCAGATGGCTCGGTCAAGCTGACATGAAAAACCTCCGTATCAATTGCATGGGCAATGCCAGTGCCAGTTCCTGCAACGACCTTTTCCATAGCAACAATTGCCGCCAAGAGCTCATCCACAGAGGCGTATTCAAAGAAAGCCATGTTTTCTATAATGAATTGAGAGAACTCGAGATGATGAGGAAGCTGTGCTATGTCCATTTTTGCGGGATCAAAATCAATGCGCGAGCAGAGATTCTCGAAAAATCTCTTGCGATTCTTGGCTTTGCTGATCTTTAGGACATCGATTAGCATGTATAGCTTTGGGGCGAATGGGTTGAGGGTAGCGCCATGTATATCCTTCACGACGTCGCGCTGGTATACATATGCAAGATGAACGGCGGGCATGTATTCCCTTTCGAGAATGGTTTCGTGTTTCTCATGAAGTGTTCGATGTCCGCGGAATGCCAAGTCGGCAATCTTAGGATTCTGTGAGGTTTCAAGAGCGATCAAAGGTGGCCCGCATTCCTTGGGATGAACAAGACCCTGGCGCGTGATGCTAACGATGAGTTCAGTGGCAAGAAGTGCTTGCTCGTCTTGACTTGCTAAGGCAATCCGAGTAAAATCCTTGAGAAACAGCTGCGCAATACCTATCGCAATACCATCACCCTGACCACCGCCCATGACTCCTAGCTTAGCGGTTGGGTCGGCTGCAGCACCGACTAAAGTCTCGGTGCCCGCTTCGGAGCGTTTCTCTTCTAGTAGCAAGAAGTCCTTGAATGCTCTCATAATGATCGCCTCAAGGACGGATTCCCTTGCACTGAAAACCTCCTTGAACGAGGTGCTGATATTGGCTGAAGAGAAGTTCTTTGGCCAGGATTGACAGACCATTCCAATCGCATCAAATGCAGCTTTCCTTACATCAAGGGGTTGATCAGGGGATGCAAATGGTGCAAATGTGTCTGACATAAGTTTTGCGACTGAATTTCCCTTCCAGGCTGGGAATGCATTTCTGAAGCTTTCATGCTGAGGATCGAGATCACAATGCTTGCCACACATTCCCGTGATCAATAGGAGCTTGCTGAGTTTGCGCACCAAATCGGCCCTAGAGGGATCCTTTAGATTGATGTTCTTCAGCTTCTGAATCCCAGTCAAGCTCGACAGAACTAGCCTTGTCAGATGCTGGAAATCATCAAGAACGCCGCTGATGATCCACAGGCATGCTACGACGTCATCGAGGATTGCTCTACTCAAGCGTGATACAGCTGGTATAAGCTCCTTTCTGACTGACGCAAGGAAGTTATTGTGCATCTTCGATAGCTGTGGGAGAACGTGGCGGAAGATGATAACTACTGATCGATAGATGGCCAGGTCGTCTCCACCGCCAACATTGGCTACATAAGGCTGTAAGAGTTGGACCTGCTCAGGGGTGAAAAGTTTGGCGTTGGATTTAGCGAAGATCGTGAGCACTTGCAAAGTATCACGAGCTGATGGGGCATTATTTCCTTCATTCGCTGGATTGTCGATAATTGTCTCGAACATGGTGGCCACAAGAACTTTGCAAACTCGAAAGTTCGCGGCAGCAGATTTAGAATCGTCGGATAGCATGTTCTGCAGGACTTTATCAAGCACAGTGGCGACGCCACTGCCACGCTGCACAGTCTTGACCATCAGAGCAACATGATCAGCAATTGCCAGCTTGAATTGAGCTGAACTATCCTCCGCCGAAGTTGGCTGATAGAATGGCGACATCCAAACCTCTTCTATTGTCAGGCGCGCTAACTCCTGGACTCCCTCATCATGGTCCGTGACTCGATGAAGCAGGGAATCAGCGATAGAGCTTCGAACTTCTCCGTTGGAATTCCTGAGATATATATCCTTCGACAACTTCATGGCGCGCTTGCGAACACCTACGCCACTGTCGTTGACTCGTTGTAAGATACTTGGGATCATCTCCTCTTCAAGTGCAGGCCGTAGGCTGATACATTTGCCAATCAAGCCCAAGGCCGAGTCACGAACTAGGACCGACGGGTCATTTGAACACCTTAACAACAAGTGCTTCACAGCGGGCTCCCGATCGAGAATTGTAGGGTCGGTTTCCAATACCTGGTTAACACTCTTCAAGCTCTTGCTTCGCACAGTTGCTTGTTCACTTGCCATAGACCCCAGCAGAATCGTGAGAATTCGTCCGAACGATTCGCAGAATTGCGAATGGAGCAGAGACACCGCGTAAGCAAGACGGGCATGAGAGGGTGTAACAGTATCAAAGCTGTATTCAGTAGATAGCCATCTCCTGTCGGTGATCATCATCCGCAGTCTGTAGGCCAGACGACCGTACTCCCGCTTCGTCTCCGCATGATCATAATCGTCATCGTTGGTTAAATCATACGTCGAGCAGATTTTGGATGCCCACTCAGCCATATAGAAGCCGACTGCACTGCCCAATTGAGGATCTAGAGAACAACGCTCGTCGAGAAACTCAAGCGATGTACGGAAAGGACCACAAGCCCATGATACCAGATCGGAAGGTGTGGCCTTCTTTTCCAGTGATGCTTCTGCTAATTTTGAGAGATATTTGCCTAAATCAGCGTCGGCATTTTCAAGAGTGCTGGCAGTCTTCCGAACGTGCGAAATCAGCTCTGAAATTGCGGCTCCCATCAAACCCAAAAGATCAAGAGCCATATTTTTGGCTGGAGCTGGAGTCTTGTCTCCCTCAGCCAGGTGAACCATTTTGAAGAGGAATAGGCGCAGTAACAGCTCGGCGGCTGGCCAGTCTGTAGAGTTCAGACACGTGATAAAATCCTCAACAAATAAGTCGAGTAGATTTCGATACGGCGCGTCACCGGTCTTGGTAGAATTCATGGCCCTGTTCACAATGAACCCCACAACGTAGGACGCATTCGACCTCGCGGTGTCAAGAAGTGGGGAGACGACATCTCGAAGTTCTTGAATAGCTGTCACCGCCTGCTGTTCGGCACGTGTCTCAGAAGTTATGGTCGGCCCCCCATTAGGCCCAAGATGACCCTCGTTTCTACCACTAATGCCATCTTCATTTTCTTCGCCATTAAAGGCCTCCAGAGCCTTGCGTCTCCGCTTCTCTTTAGAATCATCTGCCTTACTCGCACTTGTTTGGATAAGTCGCATGATTAGAGCCGAAACAAGTTGAATGCTTCCGCCTTCTGCAAGCTTGAAATGGCGAGCGCTCTGTTTTGTAACAGGGAGCTTCTCTAGGGAAGTCAAGATCTCATCAAAAATACCTTGTCGTTGCGATGGGTTATTGAGGAAAATCTGAGAGAGAACGTCCATAGCTACAACGCGGAGACCGTCAAACTTGGAAATTCCAAGAACCGAGTCTTTCTCGCTGTGAGCGTTCTCAACAAAGATCAAACGAGAGGCGGTGAATTCGAGGGTGTTGATGACGGTCTCAGAGAGCTCAATCCGTGCCACGAGGCTTGCCAAAAGTGATAGAACTCGTCGAGATTGCGTTAAGAGGCCAATGATAATTTTCTTCTGCGCGGAGAGGAGCCTGAACAACGTTGCTGAGGATCCGGAGCTGCGCATTTCAACAATTGGAATAATACAATTCTCCATTGCATTTTTGAACGCATTCAGGGCTACCTGAATTACATCCTCGTTGTAAAGTTGCTTATCTTCACGACCTCCAGCCATCAACCGTAGGGAAGTACGTGCAGATTTTAGGCCGAGCTCCATCATAGCGACTTGCTGCAATAGTAAATCCACCTCAGATTCACCCATGGTTTCGTCCACTCGTATATCGACGTTCTCGGCATCCTTCAGGGGACCTTCACACAATTTTTGCAGTCGTAGTAAGTCCTCAAGAGGAACTTGGGAGAAACGTCCTACTGAGATGATCTTTTGCAGTAGACTTTCAACCTTTGTTTGTGTCGCAATGTTGAGCCCAATTCCGTCATTTGTCGGGACGAGGAAATTGTTTGAAACTGCAGTATCCGGTTGGAACTGATCTTCAGCCTCGAAAATGTCCTGAAGGTACTCGCGCAGATTTCGAAATGCCAAATCAGCTTTTTCACGTTGGTCAAAGCTCATGGACACGTCCTCTCCATCAGCGCCTGACTGTTTCCTCTTTTTGGAAATATGTTGTGGTGTATCCGGCGACTCCGGCACAACACCGTACTCTTCTGGACGGAAAGTTGGTGGTAGATCAGGTATGACTATAGATAATTTTGAATTGGATCCAGGCTGGACTGGAGTGGTGACATGGTCCTGGGAAGCCGCCGGTGAGGGTAACTTCATCGGTGTTTGGGGAGTAAGATGGGTAGTATCTTGAGCAGAAGACCGTTGCATAGGTTGACCCACAGAAGAGAGAGAAGGCTGAGGGGTAGGATGAGGGGAAACATGGTTCTCAGGTTTGAAAGCGGGAATCACTACAGCGAAATTCGCATTTGGCCGGGGAGTAGAAGGCTGAGGGGTTGCAGCAGCTTTAACTTTCGGCTTTGAATCTGGAATTTGCAGCGTAACACTAGATGGGAGTTGAACCGTCACTGTAGAGTTTGCCTGGTGAGCTTGGTGATTCGCGACCAGAGGTTGTGTTTCTTGTGGTTTCGGTTTTGTTGGCTGTCTCTGCTTCTGAGATCCCATTCCACCGTTCATTGCTCGCAGACCGGGCGTTTCGGGGGTTGGATAGGTAAAATCAAAAGAGGTAGCATCGTAGAGCATTTGAGAGAACGGGGTAAGAGACATCTTGACGGAATTACTAGTATCCTGCTCGGTAGTTGTCTTTGGGGCCGTCTTGAATTTGCTACAACGGGGTCAGCTGGTGTCTTGAAGGTGAGCAGGAGGGAGAACTCACTATTGCGCTACATTTGCGGGCTGAAGAAGTTGTTTAAGATCTTGTAAGGTTTGTTGCAGCCTTTGGGAAGTTTGATATGGACCTGCAGCCTCGCGGTTCAAGCTTTCCAAACCTTGCCGTGCATCGTTACGTTCAGCCGCAGTCGAGAATAGTGAGGCAGACGAGCGAAGACCAATGGACGGGAGCGGGATAATATCTGATGTTGATATGTTCAGCAAATTGGACTCTTGTGCCAGTGGTTGTGAAGAGTGAGGTTGGTACCTGAATTGAATGGAACTACTGAGGAGAAAGGTGAGAATGGAAGCGCCTCATCCACGGTAGGTGGCCTTGACCTTGTGCGCCCCGATCCATTGTGCGCAGTAGTGTCATTAGGTCGATTCATGAACCCATTCTGGATGGCGTAGTTGTTGGCCTCCATCTCGTCTGTAGAGGTTCCGTGGGAGGTCGAGTTACCATAACTATGACCTAAGATAGGATACCGGGTGGTATGAGCATACTGAAACTCCTTGGCTCCGGTAGTTGGCCCCAGAAGGATCTTGAAAAGAGCGCGAGGCTACCTCAGGATGCTAGGTAATGACCACAGGTAGGCGTTGGTGTATCTGGCTGGACGTCGCGGAATTCAAGGCAAGTAGCCTTGCGCTATCTTTTGCTGACTCAGCAGGGCGTTATCAGAGGGGGAAAATTCTGTGACAGAGAGCCTCACCACACGCTCCAACACTTTTCAAAATGTCTGCAATTGGGACCCTTGTCTTTTGCACGGACTGTGGCAATCTACTGGATAGCTCTGCCGGAGACCACAATACGATCCTAATCTGCCACTGCTGTGGAGCACAAAACAAAAGTACGCAGGCCAAGATCTGAGATGATATCGAGACACTAATAGTCCTAGATACTGCCGCGAAGACCACTACAACTACTTCTACTCCATCCTCCTTCCCTTCCCTCTTGAGACAAAAGCGATCGACTATCCAGACGGTGGAGCGAAGTGATATGCGACAAACTGAGGCATGGATTCAGCAGTCTTGTCCAGAATGTGGCAGAGAGAAGGTTCGGTTTAGTGCTGTACAGCTGAGAAGTGCCGATGAGGGCAGTACAATTTTCTACACTTGCGATTGTGGTTATAAGTAAGTTCATTCGGGTTGAACTATATATCCCTATGCTAATGCCGTGCAGGTGGAATGAAAATAACTGAACCCCAACACCAATTTTCTGTTCATCCCAAAGTTGCCATGCTTGGTGCAAAGGGGTTGGACTCGCCAACACCCTGGTCATGATTACCTCAAGGGTGTTTATCGCACGCATAATTTATGAGGGGCCCAATGAGCTACTTTTGACGGCCCAAGCACTTTGGTACCTAGCATTCTACAAAACCAAAACATGTACATTTGCCCGAAACGCCAGCAGTATACCCCTCCCTCGATAGCACATGCTTCTATGCAGGTGTAGCCTCCGGAATCAATGCGTATTCAACCTCGCCAGCCTTCTCAAACTCCGCCATATCTAGAGCAACCACAACACTGTCCCTAACGACCTGCTCTTTGTCGTTCAAAAAACGCTTCAAGATATCCTCGACGCCTTCCTCCTCACCCAGACTGCCAAGAGCCTCAGCAGCTTCGTGTCTCACCATGCTCGCCTCGTTCACATCACTAAGTGCCGCAGTAAGGGCTGGAATGGAAGCTGGGTGTGCCAATTGCCCGAAAACAAAAGCAATCTCGTGTCTGAATAGCGCAGATGGGTCTGTGAGCCCTTTCGCAAGGGCTTGGACAGCCGGGACGGCTGTGGGAAGGTCTGGGGGTGACGCAAGATCTCTGAGCGCAAACATAGCCCTGTATCGCAAGAACAATGGCAATTTCGTATCAAGTAATGACTTCTCGAGATTCTCGATCGATTCGGACTGCTCACTAGGCGGTGCTGGGTCAATCGATGCAAAATCACTTCAGTAAACTGTCAGTACAATCTTCAAATGTGCCCCGACATGGAAATAGTATCATATACCTCTTTCGTAATTTCTCCGCCTTTCTCTCCTCTGAATTCTCCCACTCGATTCTAGCGACAGCCAGTTCGCACGTCTCGCGGACCACTTCCACCTCATCCTTAGCATCCCTCAACTGTTTCAGGACGTCCAAACTGCCCATATCCCCCAGCGCACCTAGCGCTTCCGCCGCCTCATGCCTACACATAGAATCCTCCTGTTTATTTTCCAGCACGGCGCGGAGGAAGGGCACCGCAGCAAGATTTCTGCTCTGGCCAAGACAGTATGCGAGCTCGTGCTTGAGGAGAGCCGAGGGAGAGCTGAAGCCTGCCGCGATGGCGTGGATCGCGGGCAGGGATGACTGGCACGCAAGGTGCTTGAGGGAAAACAGGGCGCGGAAACGGCGTGCCAGAGGCTCGGATTCGGAGGTGAGGACTTTTTGGAGAGTAAGGACTGTGGGGTCCGGAGAGGGGACTGGGGAGGTGGCTGAGGGTGCCATGTTGGATTCTTAAAAGATGGGCGATTCGAACTCGTTGTAAGTTGCGAAGATAATATTGTGGTAAGAAATTTTGATTTGGAGGGGCAAGCGGGGTCAGGGATGGCTTGTATTTCATGGATACTTGTATATACATAAATAATAGATTCTCGCTAAAAACGGGCCACGTTAAGATGGTTCTATGGTGTAATGGTTAGCACGTCGGATTCTGATTCCGGAGATGTTGGTTCGATTCCTACTAGAACCTACAAAGCATTTCTAGGTTCGTGCAAATTTTTTTGGAAAAGTTTTCTATATTTTTTTTATTTCTTCTCCTCTTGCGGCTTCATTCTTGTAACGTTCTCCCATCTTTCTAAGCATACGGTTCTATGGTGTAATGGTCAGCACGTCGGATTCTGATTCCGGAAATGTTGGTTCGATTCCTACTAGAACCTGTCTACTACAACCTCAATTGGGTAGAGAGGTTCCGCGTATATCTTCTTTTTTTTTCTTTTTTTCCTTCTTTTTTTTCGCTCTGGAATTTGTACGTTTCGTGGATAATGCTTGCTGCCTTTTGCAAGCTTCTATACAGCGTACAAACATCCTCGGAAAAACTATTCTATCCGTACTGTTTGTTACCACTAAACTGCCCCAGCCATCTACCTACGTAGGTTTAGCCTTGGGAACAGTTTTGAAGGGCACGAGAAATATTGGGCAGCTTTCAATCATAGAAAGGACACAAGCACAGTTCTATGGCAAGAGATTTATTCATTCCTGGTATCTGCCTTGGTATTATAACCGGACATGCAATTCAGCCCTTTTAGAGACATCTTCCTAACAAAACACCAAGCCAGTTCCCTAGATGCAGAAGTGTAGACCCCTCAAAACCGATTGAGTCTCTGCCCTTATCCATGCAACGCCTTTGGAATGCAAATGCAGCTGGTCCTGTCTACCTTGTCTAAACACCATCAACGCGTGACAAAAACTCCCGGACACGTGAGAGCTCCACGTCATCCTGCTCACTCTCCACGGCACGGAGCAAACTATCGAGGAAGCCGTCTACGTTGCTCTCGTCGACATTTGTACATAGGCTGATGATCTCCCGGTATTTGTCTGCAAGCTCTGAGCTTCTGCTCTGGAGACCTTGAACGTTCTCTGCTAAGCCCTCGTTGACTGCCTTGTAAGCATTGACTCTTGCACGAAGAACGTGCGTGGGGGGTAAAGAGCTCAATGCTTGACGCTGTGCTTCGTCGAGGACTGGAGGTTGATGACTGTTCGGGTCGATATTTGACAGGATATTCGCAGGCACTGCTTCGGCAGGAATAGCAAGATCCTTATCGGCATCACCTAATTGTGTCTCGACTTCCCCAATCGTTTGGCCATACTGCCGTTGCATTTGGTTTAGTCTGGCCCGCTCTTCTTCGGCAGCTCTCCTGAGATTCGATATTCTGTTCTTTCGCTCCTGGCTTTCCTTCATAAGTGACCGCGAGGCATCGAGACGGCTACGCTCTTTTCCGCATGCGGCAGAGGCGTCCCGGAGGCTAACGTGGATTGCGTCGATCTGACTTTGTTTTGCACTCATCTCTCGATTGAACTCGTTCTCAGTCTCTGAAAGAAGGGTCGTGATAGCTGTTTAAACAAGTCAGTAGATAAGCTACGGAATTACAAAATAACTTACAAGCAATGATGTCGCCACTGCTCTCTCTGGTATCTTTGACCAACGATCTCTCAGGGCCTCCAAACCCTCCAACCGTAAGACCTTCGGGGTCAGTCTGGTCCCCAATGCCAAAATCGATCGGACAGAGGTTGGAGCGGTTGGTGATTGAGATATCAGCTCCGACCTCGAGAAGTTGAGAGATGATACTTCGATTGCCGATTCTGGCAGCGATGTTCAGAGCAGTGTCGCCCGAATTATCTTGAATATTGACTATCTCCGACATGAAGCGGCCAATGCCCATTGACTTTAGTGCTGGAGGGCCATTGGTGAAAGACTGCTGACTATTCGGGGAGCTGCCCTGGCGCACGACGAACTCGAGAAGGGACTCGAGATAGTACTTGGTAGTCTGACTTCTTCCCTTTATGGCGGATGTGATGGCGATGTGGTGTAGAACAGTTCGACCCCGCGAATCTCGAAACTCGATAATCGGTCCAAGTATCTCCAGAAGATCGGGAAATGTGCCATTGTCAAAGTTGTTAATGACCACAGCAGCGCGCATCAATGCACTCTCTCCAACACGATTAACCCGGAAAATACTCGCGCCTCTCGCAATGAGAGCCTTCAAGAGTGGAATGCGGGCAAGAGTTGCTGCCCAATGCAAAGCCGTGTTGGAGCTCTTGTCAACTGGCATATCGAGTTCCTGGAGAGAAAGCTCGCGCAAGGCTGGATGATTGCTGAAATCTGTTCGATTAGGGTCTTCAAAGAGAGACATCAGAAGATCCTTCTTCCTTTCTCCATTTGGACCGGGAGGCATAGTCAAGGGCATGAGCGGGACGGGAGTTTCTTCCCCTTGCAACATGTTGTGGTTTTGGTGATAGACAAATGAGTCGTTTGGCTCAGTTGGTGACGCTTCTCGTAACGACATACCGTAATAATCTTCATTCAACTGTTGTTGAGAATCAGCCATACCTGGTGAAGGTCGAACCCTCTTTCTTGGAGGCTCTTCAAATTCGCTGTTGCGTGTCTCTTCTCTCCCAGTCTGAGAAAACTGAGGTCCAGATTGGGTTGAATACGCTGAGTCCTGTCCGTTCATAACAAAGCTCTCTCCTGAGGCAAAGCTCTGCATGCTTTGCTGGGACCCCCCGGGGAAAGCAGACTCCTGAGAACCAAGATGTTGTGAAGATGATTGTCGACTAAAACTTGCTGGGCGAGCACCACTGTTTTTGATGCGTGGTGCCGGCGAATCGAAACGTGCTTTACTAATAGCTGCTACTGCATGTGATGCAGTGCTTGAAATGTTCTTAAAGAACGTTCCGGATTGTGAGTTGCTTCTGTTGTCAGCGCCCGAGTTGTACAGACGCTTGCGTTGCGCGGCCATGGCCTGCTCCTTTGTGGGTGTGTCAATGCCACCTCTTCCTGCAATCCCGCCGTCCTGTCCCATATCGTACGTCAAAAGAGGTCTTAATAACTCCTCTACGCCGTATTGACGACAGAACTCAAGACCCCTTTCAAACTTGATCCAGGTACCCTGATATTTTCCATATCCTCCTTGGACCTTTTCATGTTCCCCTATCAAAATCTCTTTCTCCAAAACCTTGGTACGCTTGCCCTTCTCAATGCCAGCAACTTTCAGAATCTGCGTTGCATTGAGCCAGCTATCCTTCCGCCTCCGCATCACTGCGATGCCATTGACTTCCATCTCATACACATCTACTCCTGAGTATATTGCCTATAAGATATTAGCGGTGAACCAAGGCGATATTGGAACTTCTGACCGAGTATATCTGAGGCGCAGAATTTCGCTGGTTCAGTCCATTATTCCCCTCGTACTGTCGAAAGGATGTGCCTGGCTGCATTACCAAGCCGTTGCCCTGGGACCCCTGGCTCATACTGAAAGACATTTGCGGAACTTCTCTAGTAAGGGGCAGCTCTTGGTCCTCGTATGCGCCACCTGTGGAAGAGAATGAGGGAGGTCGATTGAGGTTCTGACGAGAGTGGGAAGTTGTCGCAAGAGGTTGAGGGTTCGTAGTAAGTGTGGCCGCGGCCATAAGGGTCAACAGCAGGGGCGAGAAGGTGTGAACAATGACACCTGGAGTCGAGGAGGAGGTCGCGTCACCAATGCGATCGCGACGAGGACGGCTTGTAAGGAGGTAAAATCTGAGCTTGTTGCCGTCGAGCTGTGTGGTTGTCGCAGCTCTCCAGGGTCAATGGAGATCAAGAACGCGCTGCCACAGGCCAGCTTGATAGGAAGACGTGTCGAGACGTGTCGATCGTGTGTGTCGCGCGTGAGGAGGTAAAGTGGTTTCCAGTAGTGAACAAGGAGTGGGGAACCAACCAATCACTGTGGAAATAAAGAGACGCGACCGGCTTGCTGCACACAAGACACGCAGAATCTGTATGCAAGACACACAAGAATGCGCATGCCCTCAGCCGTTCAACAAACAATGGAACGTACAAAGAGTACCTTTGCGTGGGAGTGCTTGTCTGTTGGAATGGGCAGCGTTCCCTGACTTGTGGCTTCACAGGGAAGCAATTCAAGCAGACGCGTGGTGCGCGGGTTTTCTTACGGCCTCACGCGCGTCTCTACAGGTAAGGCCAAAATGTGTTACAGCCTCAAATCTAAGGCCCGAAACCCAAAATCTTGAGCTCCGAGCTCTGGCTGGATGTTCGAGCTCCAGAAGAAACACACCACGCCGACAGCTTTCTCTGGTACCCAAGGTACCTAGCTTACGGCAGACAGTAAGCTGCCAAACAAAATGATCACCGCAAGTTAACATCAGTATCAACATGGAGCAGCGAATGCCAACCGAGCTTCGTCACGTCTACAGAGCACTGCTACGTGCTGCGACCTACCTACCGGATTCTGCTGCCCGAACATATATGCACAATCATGTGGTGTATCGATTCAGATCAGTATCTGATAAGATAAAGTTCAGGTCGAAGCATAATCCTCGTTCGGCCGAGGGGCTGATCGAAAAATACCATTCCCCAAAACGGATTGCAAAGGCGAGACAGCAGGCGAGGCAGCTTGAGCGTGCTGGGCAAGGGAGCTGGCCCGATCTGAAAAAGGTCCTTTTCCTCACATATGGACGCATGGGAAGGAGGAAGCGCGAGTTGATTGAAGACCTCCTACAACCTGAGGAGGACAAGCTTCCCAAGGATGACAAGGCTCTGGAGCAGTTGATTCAGAAGCAGTCGGAGGAGAAGCCGCTCAGGTTTGCTCCAGATTCGAAATTCTTGAAATTTGTCAAGAGCCAACAAGCCAATCAACCACCAGAAGCGGCCAGGTTCAAGATTCGAAGCAGCATGCCCCGGATACCGGAAGAGAACCTCTGGGGACGCCCGGTGCCATTGAAACTTCAGGAGTCAATAAAAAGGCGCCATTGGGCTTCAACCCTCGACAAACTATTACCACCTCTGCCTGAGCACGAATGGAATAGGCTACGCGATCTTGCCACAGGTGCCGTCCGCATTGAAGATCCACCGCCGCGTCGAAGCAGGAGTGAAAGGAGACCTCTAGCTGGCGAAGAAAATGACGCCAAGGTGTTGGAATACTTCACCAAGCCTGCCAATATTCTCACTTCCGATTTTGATGAAGTCAAAGTTGATCCAGCTCATGGTGCGACGTGCTGGACGAAGCCCATTAGGGAGGTGGAGGTCCCAAACAAGAATGCGTATACCGGTACCCCAAGATTCATGCGGAGATTATATGCGAGCATTTGGAACATGTCAGCGAAAATGTCACAAGACCCGGTTACAAAGGAGTGGATTATAAAATGGGGGGGCTTACGATCAGCATTTCATTCGGGGCATGTTATTACACCCACTACTCCAAAGGACATGGAGCTTTTTGAAGGGGTAGACACAAACGAGCCGCCTCCTCGCAGGAAACAGGGCCGTAAAAGGCCTTCCCTAGAGGCCGAAGAAGATACTCAGGCCATGGTAGCAGCAGCATGACAATTCTGCCATAACTCATATGCTCAATTCTAGTCTCATATGCTCCATGCAATGCTGTATATATCGAATTCCTAATTGGCCCTCTTTGCCAATTCCCGCAGCCCTTCTCCATCAACCCTCATAGTCTGCCACTCAGTCATAGCCTTCGCGCCAATCCTCTCATAAAACTGAATGCTGGGCGTATTCCACTTCAGGACACTCCATTCCAGCCTTCCCCCATTCATCTGCAGCACCTCCTTAGCCAACTCCCCCAGTAACCTCTGCCCATATCCATTGCCCCGTTCCGCCTCCCTTACAAACAGATCCTCCAAGTAGATGCCCGGCCTCGCCCGCCACGTACTATAATTATAGAAATACAGCGCCAGACCCGCCGGCCGACCCGACGGGGTGAAGATGAGAAGCGCGCGGGCCGGCCGCGAGGCAGACGTGCTGTCGCCCTCGGACTGCGTGGTGTTCTGCGGGGAGACGAGCCCGGACGGCGCGAACGCGAGGGTGTTGAGGAGCGATTCGTGCGTGGCTTCGACGGCGTCGGATTCCTTTTCGTAGTCGGCGAGCTCTTGGATCAATTGCAGGATGACGGGCACGTCTAAAAGGCTGCGTGAGTTGGGAGTGGTGCGGGGGAGGAGGGGCAGGCGGACCAACCTTCACGGACTGCGTGACGGACGACAACTCCTTGAGGGGCCATTTTGGACCGTGTATGAGGCGCTTGTTGGACGGCAGCCTTTTCTTGATGGGGAATTCTTGGGGTTTTTTTCTGCGTATACTGTCCAGAGCTTTATGGCTGGGGTTTTCAATTCCAAGATCCTTATGCCCACTTGTCAAGCGCAGGGTGCGCCGTCAAGAAATCGGGAACATCAGAGTGGGCTGGACAAAAAATTTCCCACTTTGCGCGGCAATTCAGTTATCTAATAATCTTCTTGAACAAACCAAAGCCAAAGGACACAATCTTCGCCATTCATATCCCTTAATTCCTTGCCCTCATCAGACGCAAAGTACAATCTCGCACTCTTGGTAGGTAAAACTTTTGGCCAACTATATGTCATGTGATCTACCCCTTTCCCGACCGATACATGCGGTAAAGATCCCGGATTAGACATAAAAGAGAGACAAAAAGTACCAGAGCATGATCTCAAGTAGGAGAGGACAATAGCAGCATTACAGTGGTATATATGGATTTGTACATTTTCTGCTCATCCATTCTCACAATCTCCGAGTGCCTTCACCGCCTTTGGCTTACCAGTAACCCCGCCATCTGCCGTCCGATAAGGGTACTGTACATGTATGGACATATATATTCCCCTTTCTAAGCATCCAAGGACTCAATCTCAACCCTTCTTGTCTCTAGTCCTTGAGCAATCTGTCCAGGATAACTAGAAATATATCTTATCGAGACCACAGAAAGACGACACGATGTCCAACACCACCATTCCCACGGCAAGCGGGGGGAAGAGAATCGTAAGGACCGTCCCCCCACACGCATACTTATACTGACATATCCCCCCAGGTTTTCACAGGCGGTTTGCCATCTTACTCTCTCGCCGACAGGAGGTCTCCCGATTAACTTCTCGTTTGCCAGGTAGTGGCAAAGCTGGCCGCCATGCCATCCCCTATCTGCTTGCGCAGGGCCACAAGGTCCTCAACCTCGACCTGGTCCCCTTCCCGGACTCAACAGTTGACGTCTACACCCTGAAAACAGACCTCACCGACTCGGGACAGGTCTTCAACGCGCTGACCTCGCACTTCAACATGTCGGGCTATATGTCAGGACCCTTGCCCAGCGCCCCAGACGTCGTTATCCATTTCGCCGGTATGTATTCATTCTAGTCTCTTGCGAGATACCTAGCGACCCCGAATCGAACCCCCGCGATGTGTGAAAGGACTCGGGAGTTGTTGCTCAGATGATAACGAATGATGTGTAGCTTATGCACGCAACATGCTCGTGCCAGACTCGGAATGCTTCCAAGCCAACGTGCGCAGCACCTACAACGTAATCGAAGCCGCCTGCAAGCTCGGTGTTAAAAAGATCATCATCGCCTCTTCAGAGACCGTGTACGGCGTCTGCTTCGCCCAAGGCGACACCGATTACCGCTCATTCCCCCTGACCGAAGACTACGACTGCGATCCCGAAGACACGTGAGCCTTCCTCCCTCCTCCCCCCAACCCAAAAACCTCGTGCTCACCACCATCAACCGGACAGCTACGCGCTCTCCAAACTCTGCGGCGAGCAAACAGCGCGCGCCTTCGCGCGCCGCTTCAAAATAGACATCTACGCCTTCCGCATCGGCAACGTAATCGAGCCGCACGAGTACGCGCGCGATTTCCCCGCCTACCTAGCCGCGCCCGAGACGCGCAAGCGCAACGCCTGGAGCTATAGCGATGCGCGGGACCTGGGGCAGATGTGCGACCTAGCCATCAAGAAGAGCGGCCTGGGATTCCAGATCTTCAACGCGACCAACGATACTATCACGGTGCGCGGGACGACGACGAGGGAGTTCTTGGAAAAGCACTGTCCCCAGACGAGTATCGTAAGGGAGATGGGCGAGTTTGAGGCGCCCTTGAGTAATCGGAAGATGAGGGACGTGTTGGGGTTTAGGGACCTGCATGATTGGAGGAAGTATGTGAGTTAGTTAGTTGGGGGGGGGAGCTTAGATCGCTCGTTATAATCTTCATCGAGTTTCGAAATATTCGTAATGCTCTCATCTCGTGACTCGGTAGATTAGATAGGGGGGAGGATTCGGAAAGGGGAATAACACCATAACGAGGCTTAAGTAACGTAGAAATCATATATTCAAAATAATGCATCTAAACAAACATCTACATAAACAATTCTACACAAAACACACACATACGCAGACACAAAAACATACACATACGCAGAAGAAAGAAAGCTTACACCAACAATTCCACGAAACGCTCAATAATCGACTCCGCCCCGTCAACCGAGAGCATGCTCAGCGGTGCAAAAACTCCCATATCTACCTTATCCCCGTCGCACCTGATCTCTACATCAATTGAAGGCTGGGGTATATATGTCAGCGTCTGTGAATTTGATGGGGAGTGAACAATGGGAGGAGACTTACCAGATATGCATCACATTTTCTACCTCTCTCAGCTGGGGAAACTTTTTCATTCGGAGAGTACTGCACCACCTCGGCCTTGGTAGTCATATTATCTTGTGCAGGTTTGAAGATGGGTTCATTGAGACTTTCAACGACCGCGGGAGCGGGAGCAGCATCTTTAAGGATGTTGACGATGAAGTTGACGCGCACGCCAGTCCACTCATAGATTGCTTCCAGAGAAGCGCATGACATCTCATCGCTGCTGATCTGGCGAAGGTCTTGCTGTATCTCTATAGCAACTTCTGGGATTTTTCGACCTAAGGGATTGCGCACGCAGAGGGGAAGGATATTTAGGGTTGGTGCTGCCAGTGCAGAGAAGTCTTCGCCGAACGGCGCGCGGTTGGCGAGATAGATGCCGAACACGACCTGGGTAACCGGGCTAGTTGGACTATCCTTGTTGAGAAGTTGTGCGTAGATCTTGGAGATGGAGGCAAGGAGGAGAGCGTCGACGCTTACACCGACATCTATGGCTAGTTGTTTCAAATTCGAGATGTGTAAAGATGGATGGAATACCTCGGTTCTCTCATTCCCACTGTCGTTCGAGATGTCGTTGAAACATTGAGGCGTCTGGTGGGAACCTTGGTTAAGATAAGAGACCCAGTGGTCTTGTGTCGATTTCCAATCTGACGACCCCGGGGATTGAGATCTCGTTGATGTAGCTATTGATTGAGCGACGAAGGGTTTGAAGCTTAAAGCAGGTGATGGTAAGCTCTGACCATGGTACAGAGACTGGAGCTGCTCGATCAAAATTGGAAGACTAATAGCGTCGTACAACGCGTGGTGGATTATCAGCTTCAATGTGACAACCGAACCGCCAGCTTCTTCCACCACCAATGCAACAGGTGGACGCCTCAAATCATCCATGGATTTACTGTGAGATGAAGCGGTTGTGTAGATAACTGGGTTCACGGGGTTTCTAAAGACGACTTGTAAAACCCCCGAGTTGGTCTCGATGAATCCTGTGCGAAGGATATCATGGTGCAGCAGAAGATCGAGCCAGGCATTTTCCAGTTTCGTTTTATCGACGGAACCGTCCATGGAGTAAATGAAGGTCGGGTAAAACAGAACCCCTTGGGTAGCTTGCCACATCCTAATCATGTAAAGTTGTCCTGCTGTGACCGGCATGACTGATTGTATCTCTCCTATATCCTTTTCAAGACTCTGGGCTTCCGATGGATCAAGTGATGATATGGACTCAGCCAAGGTTGCGTCGATATCCAAGGTCTTCTTCTGCTCGGGGTTTTTCAGAAGGGCAGATCGGCTCATGGAGGAGATAGTCTGATCTCTAAGAATGTCAGACACAGAGAGTTTGATTCCGTGCTTCTTTAACAATGCTGGAAGTTTGATAATGACGATTGAATCTAAACCAAGATGGAAGATAGTCGAGTCCTTATGAATCTGATCCTCTGAAATGCCGGAGACTTCATGTAGTGCTTTCCTGATGATAAGTTCCGTATCTGACCATTCTCCATCATCTTGCTTCAAGGCAGATTTAGGGAGCTTCTTTGGTGACGATTCCAGTATTTGGAATTTTGGTAAGCCGCAAATGGAAATGCCGTCAGCGTCGGACACAACGGCCGGGGCTTGTGGAGTTGCCATGATGCGCTCGAGGATAGTGTCCAGCATAATGAGAATATTCTCGGTCTCTGCAGCATCTCGCACAATAGACTTGCAAGCCGTAGTCCACAAGAGATGGTCATCGACGATTTCCATCTCAACGCACACTGGAATCTCAACGTCCGAAGCACCATGCACAGACTCATATAGAGGTTTGCTTTGAGCCGGGGAGCGGCGACCTTGGTAGATGAACAAAGTATCGAATAATGCGGTCTCTTTCGTTGAAAGCTCGTTGTCGCGTGAGGCAAGTGCCAATGCTTGAGCAGTTCCTAGAGGGAAGTGCTGATATTGTCGAGTCGTATCGCTCATGTCTTGCATGTATTTGAGCATCTCAATCAAGCTTCCATGGAGGATAGATCTGACCGCCACGGTGTTCATGAGAGGGAACATGACCTCGTTTGCTTCTTCCGAATCGCGACAAGAGAGAACCGAACCGAAAACAACATCAAGCTGGCCCATTAGATGAGCGAGCAAGATTGCCCAACACGTCTGTCCGAGGGTTTGAAGGGTGATTCTCGACGTTCTGCATAGATTCTCGATGTCCTCCAGAGGGATACGAGAACGTATTTCCATCCGATGAACTACGGTTGTGTCTGGTACTTGTGAAGCCTCCTTTCTAGGAAAGACTGCCCGTGGCAAATTCGACAAGGCGCTTCTCCAGAAACTCTTCGCATCCTCTGTGGTGGACTTGAAGACTTCTTCTAGGAAAGGCATAAAATCGGGCCTGGTTGACAATTGATTATGGTATGCTTTGTCGATGTCTTGGTGGAGAAGTCGTAGAGAAGCTCCATCGTACAAAGCGTGAGAGATTGCCAAGATCATGTAGTGCGTTTCTCCAACCGATATAAACTGAACATGGAATAATCTTCCAGTGGTAGCCGCCAAGCTAGCCGACTCAGACTTGAAATGCTCCAAAAAGTTTTCGAAGCTGGACTCTTCTGATGACTCTACCCGAGCATGATTTTGGAGGACGACTTGAGCGTAGCTCACCGGCGACAGAGGATCATCTACCTCAACAAAACGAGTTCGAAGAATTGGTGACTTGGAAACCACGCTTTCCACTGCTGCTACCAGTCTCGATCGGTCGGTTGTTCCGTCTATAATAAAAGCTTCTAGATTGAAGTACCTGCTGAAGTTGGACTTCAACATTTCGTTAACCATGGTCTGCTGAAGTGGTGTCGCAGGTAGGACAGTCTCGGTGTCACTATGTATCTTCCCATTGTCTCTGAGATACTTGGATAGATCCCGGCTCAACTCTTGCACGTGTGTAGCGGATGTTGTATCTGCTTCAGCGTTTCCGCTCCGGTTTATCCGTATCTTGGGCGCCATCTTATCTATGGTTTGGCATTTGATGATGACGCTGACGGGGATCTCAATCCCTTGCTTCTTCAATCGGGATGATAACTTGATAACATCAATGCTATCCAATCCAAGTTCGAAGATTGAGGAAGAAGCCTGAATGCTGTCTTCCGGCACCTTCGCCAGAGAAGCAATCTCAGCTCGAATCTGCTCGGCTTCTTTGGTCCATAGAAAAGGGGAGTCCTTCGGTTCGTTGGAAAATCTAGGAGATGCTCGGCTAATCGTTCCCCTGGACTCTTGACCGAGAGTCTGTCCGTTCACCCCCTTCTCCTGATCAAGTAAAATGTTTTTACCATCTTCCTTCAATATCATGAGCAACAATTTCTCCATCTCATCAAGAAGAGCTCCAGTCTCGGACTGGTCAATGACTGAGCCTTGCGCCACGATCGTCATGGCGAGTTTGCCGTCGGCGCCTAGTGTCGCCTCAAACGCCAAGGGGTACTGCAAAAAGAGTTAGTATCCAACTTCAAAAAAATAGCAAGGAATCTTGAATCTACATCAGCGGTCTGTTCATCGTCAAGTTGGGTCCATAGATCATTGCCAATTTCCTCGTCATCAGCTTCTGGGCGTTGGAAAACGAACAAGGTGTCGAAAAGAGATTGTCCAGGCGAGGCGGGACTCCACTTCTGGATATCCTTCAGTGGCGTATGCTGGAAATCTTGCATTTGCATATTGAATTCATGACAGGTGGAGATCAAAGACGCTGCAGACATGCCGGGATCGATCCTAGCGTGGAATGGAACTGTGTTGAAGAGAGGACCAATGACCTTGTCAGCTCCGTCGAAATCAATCGCTCGACCAGAGATAACCATTCCTATAGTAAGATCTGGGGATGCGATGGTCTGAAGTACAGCTATCCAGGCAGCCTGTATAACCGCTTGCTGGGTGACTCCAAGCTGCTTACGAAATTCTTCAAGGCCGTCGAGATTTCGGAGCACTCTGGTCGCTACGACATCCTTGATTGTATCCAGTGATTTGACGGGCAGTACCGTATGGCTCCAGTTTTGGAGGTGGCTTCTCCAGAAATTTTCCGCTCCAGGAACTCTTGCCAATGGTCCATATGCCAATGAAGAATGGAACGTCGGTCCGTAATCAACTATATCTGTGCCACGATACTCATCGACGAGGCATCGGAGCAGCATGGCGAGACTGTTGCCATCATAAAGTCCATGGAATATCCGGATGAGCATGCTCTTGCTAGAAGAGGATACGAGGTCAAGAGCAAATGGTGTTTTCAGGGCCGAAGTCTTCTCCGCAGTGTCGTAATCGATCGATGGACTTCCCCAGTCAACGTCCACACTCTTCAGGACTACTTGAGCGTACCCATCATCAGTCGCCACAAACTTGGTGCGAAGGATTTGGAGATGAGAAACAAGACTCTTCCATGCCGCCAGGAGCTTCTCAGTATCCACATGATGACCAAGGCGGAATTCAAAACTATTAAAGTACAGAGGACGTTCACTTTCCAGGAATCGATAAATCATCCCCTCTTGGACCGGTGTACAGGGTGCAATGCTCTCGATCTCCGTGCTCTGGATCCCCAATTCTCTCAGAATGCTGATAATGTGCTTCTGAGAGAAGGCTGAGATATTTTGAATCGAAGCGACGTATTCATTTTCTTTCTCCTGATCGGGAATCTCGTCGTTGAGAAGGGCTCTGACCAAGGCTTCCACCGTAGGATTATTTTTCACAACGGACAGCTTCGCATTGCTAAGACCGGAATCGCGAAGGGTGCGGGAGAATCCAATGATTGAGATGGAATCTAAGCCCAGTTCAAATATGGTTGAGCCTCGAGTCAAATCAGAGACTTCGACATGCAGTGCTGGTGCTAGGATGTCTAGGATCCTCTTCTCGCTACTTGTCCACTCTTTACCTTGATGACTTGAATGGCTGAGTTTTTGCAGGTCCTCAATACCGAGATTGTTGTACATCGCGGCGAGCTGTTTAGCATCTGCTTTATTATTTGGGTTGAGTGGAAGGGCCTTGATCGGAACAAAATGTGTTGGTACCATGTACCCCGGAAGTCGAGCTTTGCAAGCATCTCTCATTGTCGAAATCACATCACCAATATCTGATGAATCTCCTATTGACGAGGAGACAAAGAATGTGACCAGCTGTTCCTTTTGCTGCGCACTGTGCTTGAGGACAAGAGTCACTACTTCTTGTAGATCGCTCATACTTTTCTTGATGACTTCGTTGATCTCGCTCAGTTCTAGACGTTGACCGCGTAGCTTAACTTGATCGTCAGCACGCCCAAGGAAGAGGAAGCTTCCATCATGCAAAATGCGCACGAGATCACCCGTTCGGTAGACTCTCTCGTTGAAAGATTCCAGAGTAGGGAACCTCTCGTTTGTCAGATCAGCACGGTTGAGGTACCCTGTTCCGACTAACTTTCCAGAGACGCACAGTTCGCCAATCCCGCCGCGCAGGACTGGCAGCTCTGTACCTGGCTTCAAGACAAAGGAGCCGACGTTGTCAAACTGCGGCCCAATATTTGATGGTTTACCATTCTTGGGAACTCGAGGATACATTGTCACTCCGATTGTTGCTTCGGTCGGCCCATACCCATTATAGATACAAGCTTGCTCACCCCAGACGTCAAGAATTTCTTGCTTGAGCTGCTCGCCACCGGTAATGAAAACACCTTTGCACAGTGATGGGACATCATCAGGGTGTAGAAGTCGAGCAAGACTGGGTGTGAGATCGATGTGGGTGATACCTAGCTGCTGGATTGCGTTGGGGATGTCTTCGAATATGAGATCCCGAGGTGCGGTAGCCACACAAATGCCTACACTCCAACTCCAAAATTGTTCGAGAACACTGACGTCGAAATGGAAAGACGCAAACTGTAGCCATTTCGAACTGTCCTCCCAATGGCCCGCAAACAATCTTTGGAATGCGAACATTGCTTGAACTGCATTTTCATGGCTGATCAAACAACCCTTCGGAGTACCAGTTGTCCCCGAAGTGTAGAGGCAGTAAGAGGTATCTTGGGGTCGAATAGCCTGAGGCAATTTGGGCTGCTCAGACGAACAGCCTTGGAAGGTGTCCTCCGAATCCAAAACTAGGACAGCATCGCCCATTGACTCCTTTATGTTTTGGGCAGGCTTACCAGCACTAAGGACCAATTTCGCACCTGAGTCTGCTACGATGAACTTTAACCGATCAACTGGTGCATTTGGATCAAGAGCGACATAGGCGCATCCAGCCTTGAGGATACCAATGATGGCAAAAGAAGCTTCGGCACATTTGTCGAAACATATCGCAATGATCTGGCCCTGGGCAACTTGGCGTTGCAGAAGTAGCTGGGCAACCCTGTTCGCTTCCTTGTTGAGCTCGTCGTACGTCCATGATCGACTCTCAAGATGCCCAGGTTCGAGTCGAGATGCAAATTCCAGTGCCTTTTTAGCTGGCCATTCCCGTGCTCCCCTCTCCACAAATTCATGTAGGAGAGTGACCGGGCCTGGTAATTCGTTTTCCTTGGCAGGCGTGATCGACAATAGGGCAGTTCCTGCTGCAGGTGCGACATCACATGGATGAGAAGGATTGCGAAGGGTATCTAAGAGGAGCGCGTCGTATTGTCTCAGGAGCACGCCCGCATGCTCCACGGGGATCAAGTCATTCCTAAAAGTTAGTCTCAGGGCAACCTTACCGGATGTTGTGGGTTGCACCTCCAGCGAGACAGCATAATCCACGCTGGCTTCTTCGCGGACGATTTTCCATGGATGTTCGACTTCTGATTGGCTGTCTGGGAGTTTCTGAAATGCGAAGAGAGTATCGAAAATTCTGCCTTCGGGATACCCGGCCCATTTTTGGATAGCGGTGAGAGGTGTGAATTGATGCTTGTGGAGTAATGCGTTTGAATTCACAGTCCTTGATAAGAGCTCTGCGTTTGTTCCAGTCACGTCGCAGCGAACCGGGAGAGTTACAATGCTTGGGAAGGAAATCGCATCCGCAGCCTCATGTACAGAGCGACCAGAGAGAGTCATGCCGAATGTGGTTGAGACTTCACCAATGTAGGCACTAAGCAACCTCGCCCAAGCTGCCTGTCCAGCTGCTTGCATTGTGGCCCCGTTCTGCCTGCAGCTCTCTTCTAATTCCGACATGGACGCTTGGGAAAATACTTCTTGGACGACAATTGTAGTATCCAATACACGGAGCGGAGCGAGGTCAGGGAATTTGTTGACAACGATCTTGTTCTCTTCTCTTTCCCAGAATTGTTTTCTCGTTGAGAGGCTCCCCTCTCCATCTTGTAATATTGACCCAAGCAAATGAGTTATAGATGGTCGACTAGAGATTGACTGAGAAGCATACGCTTTAGCAACATCCGACAAAATCATTTGTATAGATTGTGCATCGTAGAGCGCATGATGAGCTGTGAACTTGACGAGGGTCTGGTTTCTCTCCCCCTCAACACTCAGACTCCATGGATGACGGGCTAACTGGCGAATAATTGAAGCTTTTGAATCAGTTGGATCCGCAGCCTCAGACCATGGCAATACGAATTTGTCCTTGGCATATGTGATCATTGCGAAGGGATGCTTTGAATCCTCGGTTGAAGCGAATCCTGTCCTTAACATCTCATGTTCGTCGCAGACGATTTCCCAGGCGGCTTTGAACGCTGATAATGATGCATTCGGCGGCAATTCGAGCCACATGCTGTTTACATACTCCTGCCCTTGTGAGTGCAAACTTTGTGCAATCATACCTTGTTGAACGGCAGTGCAAGGCCTGACAGCATCAACTTCGCTCAAGGTAATTCCATTCTCTGAACAGATCGCTTCCCGATGTTCTTTATTGAAGGCCGCGAAATCGTATTCTGGAATCTTTTCGGCAGGATGGTTCTGACTCGATGCAAGGTGGGCACTTAACTGTGCAAGGGTCGGGTGCTCAAGGATATCGCTAGCCCGTACATTGTAGCCCTGTTTCCTGAGACGAGCAGCAACTTGAACTGCACTGATACTGTCGAGTCCAAGTCGGAAGATACTGACATCTCGGCCAATCTTGTCTACATGGACATTTGTGAAGCTGGTAAGTACGTCCCGTAACTTAAGCTCGTCAGGGGTCATCTCTCTCGAAGACTGATTAAATGTCTTGATCTCTTTCCGCGCCATTTGATTCAAAGTTTTGGCGACAATTTGATCCTTAACGGTTGATGAAAGAAGTTGGCGCCGGGGATTCTCTAAGGCGGTTTGGAGCTTGGCGCTGAAAGATTGAAGGAGAGCGTGAGCATCATCTTCATCAATGATGGAGGAGTGTGAATGTAGAGTAATTTCAAGGGTATCTTCGCTATGCATAGGTGTAACCTCGCAAACAAGAGGAAAATCCATGGCGCCGTTGTCCTCTGAAATTGACCAAATAGAAGAATCAAGATCTCGAGCTGGCTGTTGTAAAATGAAAAGGGTATCAAAAAGTCGCGAACCATCCGGGCTGAATTTGGACTGGAGTCTACGTAAAGGGGTTAGTTGGAAGGATAAAGATTCGGCATTGAGAGACTGTAGTTTTCGGAAGGCTTCCAAATAGGAAATATTATGCATATTTCGAAGTCGTGATGGAAGAGTGTTGAAGCAGGGTGCCACAAGGCGCTCGATTCCCTCGACTGGCACAGTTCGGCCGCTGACAACATTCCCAAAGCATACATCAGCCTCTTGAAGGCGCTCGGCTACCAGGCTGGCCCAGATTGCGTGGCAAACAGCTAAAAGTGTTGTGCTGTGCTTCTTAGCGCTTTCTTCAATCCAGCTAAGAGAAGGGTTTGCATGTAGGCGTTGAATTCTTGTTTGATTCTGAGAGTTTGGGGGTTGCTTGCTGGTGCTTGGGAACTTGCTATGTGGGCAATTCTTCAGGACGTTGCCCCAAAACTTATCTGAATCTTCTGTGTTGACCGCAGCCATGGCCCGGAGGAAGGGTGCAAATGGTGGTGCAAGTGGTAGGGAGTGACCGTGATAGAGTCTCTCAACCTCTTCATACAGAACTGAGAGCGCGACACCATCATAAAGAGCATGATGCATGGAGAGTAAAAGCTTCGTGGATCCTGAAGACTGCACTAGATCAAGGCTATATGGTGGCTTGAATTCGCTTGCTGCCGGTCGGTTTGCAGAAGAGAGGTTGTTGACGTCGTAGATGGACCCGAAACTCAGGTTGAATTCTTTCAGAACAACCTGGGCATATGCGTACTGAGGCATGTCTGTGCTAATGAAACATGTACGGAGTATTTCGTGTCTCCGCACCATTTCCTGCCAACATGCTTCTAGCCTCTCCACGTCGCAGCTAATGTTGAACACCACTTGATTGCCATACATTTCTCCGGATGAAGACTCCCCCGCAGAGAGCATTGCCTCTTGCAGTGGCGTACATGGCAGGATACTCTGCACCTCCTTACCAGCTTGGCGAAAGCGTTCAATCGTTGATTCTATCAGCTCTTTCTCAAACCCAAAGTCAAAAGTCTCCAGAGATTTATTCAAATGCTCCTCACCCTTACTTTGCGATGAGATCCTCTCTGCCAGTCTCAGTGGTGATGGGTATTTCAGGACGTCGGAAATCTCTACTCTATATTTCGTGGTCTGGCGTAAAACCCTCGAAAAGGCAATAGCAGATACAGAGTCGATGCCGAGATTGAAAAAGGATGTGTCTGGATTGATTTCATTCAGAGGGAAGGCGGTAAGATCAGATAAGGCACTTGCGATTGCAAGCTCAAGTTCCGTCCAATTGTGATGGGATGACGATCTTAACGACTTAGTCGTCGAGTCGAGGTAGCTCACATCAAGATCTCTGTACAGCTTTACCAAGGTTCGTTTGTCAATCTTCCCTTGGGTGGTAGAAGGAAGGTAAGAAAGGGGTATGAGCGACGAGGGTATCATGTAGCCAGGGAGTGCGGATTCTAGATTGTTATAAAGCATAGACAACGTTGATGGATCTGGTGGGAGGCATTCTAGGCTGGATGTTGATATTTGCTCCCCAGAAGTCCAGAAGGAGACCAGTCGTTGGGAGCTGTCGTTGGTACCCCCTACCACCATTGTGATACAGTCCCGCACCGCCGGGGACCGCAACAAAATGGCGTTGATCTCGCCGAGCTCTACTCGTTGTCCACGTATCTTTACCTGATCATCTTTCCGTCCAGTGAAAGCTAGAGACCCATCGGGCATCAAACGACCAAAGTCCCCACTGCGATACAGTCGTCCAAATGTCGGATGATGAATAATTTTCCCGACATTTTGGCTCGAATCCATGTAGCCACGGAAAACTTGCGAGCCACCAAAGCAGAACTCCCCTTCGCCGCCTCTAGGGACCAGTGCAAACTCGGGACCAGGTGACAGGACAAAGGCGGACGTATTCTTGAAAGGGGGGCCAATATTGTTGATGGAGTCATCTGGAGAGACCTGTGGATTGACTGTGCAAATGTTCGTTGTCTCGCTGGGGCCGTATCCTTGGTAGAGGCCTTTACCGGACCAGGAGTTGAAAACTTTCTGGGTGACGGCTTCTCCTGCTGTAACCAAGAATTCAACTTCAGGAACATTCTCTGGGTCGATGAGCGCGGCCACTGTTGGAGTCAAACTCAGATGCGTCACATGGAACAACCGAATGGCATTCTCGATGTCTCGGAATAGTACGTCCTTGACAGCAGAGCAGAGACAAGCCCCGATTCTCCACGTGAAAAAGATTTCAAAGACCGATACATCAAAGGCTTGAGAACAGGATTGTAACAGTCTCGCATCCTTCGTTGCTGGATAGAGCTCTTCCAAGACATCCAAATTGCTCAAAAGATTTCCTTGAGTGACCATGACTCCTTTCGGTGTCCCAGTACTTCCGGAAGTAAAGACAGAGTAAGATATGTTTTCAGGAGATGACCTCGGAGTTATATTTTCAGACGATAACACAGTGAAATCAACCTCATCCACATACACTACTTCTACGGCCGCAGAAGTCTTGAAAACGGGTCGAGAGGCTGATTGTGCCATAACGATCTTGACCTTTGCTTCTTGTAATATGTGATGAAGGCGCTCTGGAGGTGTGTCCGGCGTCACTGGAAGGTAGCCCGCACCGACCTTCGCTGTTGCAAGGATAGAGGTGTATAAGTCAACGCTCTTCTCAATACATATGCAGACAAGCTCATCGGGAAGTACATTCTTTTGCAAGAGATATTGAGCCATCTGATTGGAGCGAGAGTTAAGCTCCAAATAAGAGATCCGTTGGAGCTCAATATCTTCCCCGTTGATAGATGTCGCAAAGTCGATTGCCGGTCTTCCGGGATCTTCAACTGCTATCCTCTCAACAGGAGAAGCTAAAGTTTCGGCTTTGAGAGCTGTCTGGGGGGTTTCGTTCTCAATGGAGAGAACATCGTTGCTAAGATGGCCAAATGCATTTTGTAGAGACGTCGTATCCTTCTCAACAATGAGCTGGCAAAGTTGTTCTACTTGTTTCAGCAGAAAATCGACCTGCGACCTGGGCAACAACGACTCCTGATAATTGGCTTTCAACGCAACATTGCCCACACCGGGAATTATCTCCAAAGTTAGGTTAAATTCGAGATTGTCAACGGAATCTACCAAAGAAACGTGGCTTCGGGTATGATCGTAGCTATGCAAAGTCTGTTGCCAGATGACTAGGGTATCGAACAATTGCTGGCGAGGATGCACGCCGCTAGCTGACTTGATTTCACGGAGGGGAACAGCACTGTGCTCCAAGTGTTTGCGGTTCGTTGAATTGAGGTCCTGCACTAAATCCTGGAGTGTGGCTGAGGTGGAAATATCGACTCGAATAGGTAGCGTTGCAAGACATGGCCCAACTACATCCTCAACCCCGGCAATAGGTAGCGTCCTCCCCGAAAAGACTGTGCCAAAGCAGATATCCTGCGAACCAAGATATGAACTTAATACCAGAGCATATGCTGCCTGAAATAGGGACTGTGGACTCGAAGATAGACGTTTGGCGGCGGTTTCGATCTCCGATGTGGGTATGGACGTTTGTAACTTCGCAACTGCTAAGCCAACGGAAGAGCTTTTGCGAGTGTGGAAATTTGGGATCTGTCGGAGGTCCAAATGTGCCAGGTGGTCTCTCCAATAATCTTTTGAAGGCCGGGAAGCAGCAAGCGTGCCATCCAGATAGCCGTCTACAACACTCGCAAAGCTGGGACGCGATGGGAGTGGTGAGCCTACCAACAGGGCATCGAGGTCATCAAGAAGGAGTTCGAGCGACCAGGCATCATATAATGCGTGGTGAATGTGTATTAAGAGCTTCGTACTGGATGCAAGCTGTCGAATTTGAATGCGAATGGGATGAAGCAGAGATGTGTCTTTCGAAGCATCGAAATCGTAGACGAACTCCTCCACATTCTCTATCTGTGAACTCTCAATAGTCCTCCATATCAGCTGGACATACCCGTGTGAATCTTGAGACTCAGCGAATCCTGTCCGGAGGATTGGATTGTGCTCAGCCAAAGCATGTAGGGCGGATAGGATTTGATCGATATCACGGACACCGTCCAAATCAATTTCTACCCAGTTACGGTAGGCTTTCATATCAACAGCAGTCTCAGACAACATGGCTGATTGTAGCGGCGTGCAAGGCATAGAGTATTCGACATTCTTTGCATGTCCATTCAGAGCAATTGATGCCTTGTCAACCTTGGCTATTGATACCTCTTTTGACGGTTCGGTGGGAGCAGATTTGGAATTATCACAGAGTTCCGCTAATGCCCCTACCGTATCGGTTTGCAGGACGGCAACTGTGGTGACACTGAAACCTAACAGTCGAAGTTTAGAAGCGACTCGAATAGCCGCGAGAGAGTCAAGGCCAGCTGCAGCGAGACGCATATTTGATGAGAAAGGACCCAGTAATTCCTGGAGCGTCCTTTTCACAATACGCTCTGTTGGTGTTGCCGCAATTCCTCCGTCACCCTCCTCGTCTTCTCGCTGTGTCTTGTAATCTGACTCTAGCTTCCTTTTGTCCACCTTTCCAGATGGCAGATAGGGGAAGTTTGGGAGTAAGATGATCTCGCTCGGAATCATGAATTTGGGTAGCCATTCTGAACAGGTTTTTAAAACTGCCTCGGACCCGAGTGACGGATCGCTAGTAAGAGCAAAAACAACCAGCGAACCAGAAATCACAGCCGCCGATGTTGTCTTGATTCCCGGATGCTTGTAAACGGCCTCTTCAATTTCCCCAAGCTCAATCCTTTGACCCCGAAGCTTAACTTGCCCAGCACTCATGCGCCCCAAAATTTCAATGGTGCCATCTTCAAGCTGCCGGGCTTTGTCGCCAGTTCTGTAATAGAACTTGCCTCCACTGTGTATAAAAGCCGCCTTGTTCTGTTCCTCTCTATTGAGATAACCTTGTGCAAGTTGTGGACCTCCGAGAACAAGCTCTCCAAGCTCTCCAACGGGTAGAACATTTATGCTTCCTGCATCAGCACTAGCTGAGCTGGCAGCTGCAATAAACGTGGAGACTGTGTCAAAGGGTACACCGATGTTTCCAGGTTTGGTGTCTGCTCTCATGCTGGGATAAACTGTGCAGTGGATAGCTGCTTCAGTCGGTCCATACATGCCGTATAGCATGCTTTCCTTCGTCTCTGAGCCGCCGAACTCTTCCACGATAGGTCGAGTAAGCATTTCTCCAATAGTCAATAGAAGCTTTAGCCCAGGAGCATTCGCTCTTTTCTGCAAAAGAGATCCAACGACCGTGGGTGTAAGCTCAGCGGCATCCACATCCAACTCGGTAATCATCCCAGGGAGATCATCGAGAAGCTGGCTTCGATTGCTCCCTACCAGGGTGCAACCACGTTTGAGAGGAAAGAATATTTCAAAGACGGAGACATCGAATGAAGGAGCGGCGAACTGGAGGAAACGCTTAAAGGGAGGAATATGCTTCTCATGGGCAAGCAACGACTGAGATGCAGCAAGGTGGCTTACAGCAACCCCTTTTGGAGTCCCACTCGAGCCAGAAGTGTACATCACATAGGCGAGATCCAGGGGCTGTGGATCACGTGATATCTTGCATCTGGGGGTGTCCTCTTTTGAGATGTCTGGAAATTCATCGATAAGGATGACCTTGGGGCCCGATTCCCAGGATACCGCCTGCCTGAACTCCGGGGTAGTGATGATAAGATCCGCTGCAACATCCTTGACCACGAATTTGATCCGCTCCTTCGGGGCATCCAGATTGATTGGGCAAAATGCACCTCCGGACTCCAGAATGGCCAGCTGAGAGACGTAGAGTGCAGGTGACTGAGGAAGGAGGATGGGAACAACGTGTTGGCGTGGGGGGAGCGCGGGATCTGCTCCGGCTCTGCACGTAATCAAGGCATCCTGAATGGTGGATGCTACAGATGCAGCACAGGATCGGATCTCCTGATACGTGTAGCGGGATCGTCGCCCATAGCTGGTGAAGTCGAGGGCACACGCATCACTGTGCTTCTCGAAATCTATCAGACGATGAAGCAGCTGCGGCCCCTCTAGGACCTTTGGAGGGTCGTGGAGAATGGAGAGTCTTCCGGCCATGATTGGTTGATTCTTCAAGGGTGATGTGCCATGGAGACGGAGGAGCTCGGAGGTAGTGGTGGAAGGGTGGAAGGCCGCCTTGCGGAGGACTACGCCGTATTAGTAGACATTATTGTACGGTAGTTACGACTGTATTGACATCAGTACAATCAGATAAGATATTTCAACTTTAACATTTTAACCATAATACTTCCATAGCCCTAGCATTGCACCGATGTTTGGGATATCCCCCGCCAAGAACTCCCCGCTCCGCCATCGGGTGGCTTTGTCCCTGCAGAATATTCCATACAGCGCAATACTGCCCGCCACGCGGGATATGCCTTAGGTAATAAGAAAATGCCTGTCTAGCTACCTGAGAACATTACCTTCTTAGGCGCCCAAGTACTGTGTCACGCGTGAAGCCGCCGAATTTTCTTGCTGCAGTAGTAGCACCACAAGCAGCCTCTTGGCATTGCTTCTCTGTACCTTTACCCAAGGTACTAAGGTATTATCCTGGCACGCTATTCTATCATTTTTATACGGTATTTTCTTGTATTATCATCCATGGCTTTTTATATGCGATTTCACATTATCACATCTTATTACATATCGTGACCTGCATACCTTACCTTACCTCCGTAAGGCACAAACACCTTGGCTCTTCCCGTCCACCAATCCCTGGCCACCCCCCGTGCCTCCACCCAATCCAACACCACTTTGGATATCCTTGGTCTTTTGCTTTCGTACGGAGTTGAAGTTAGAGAAGAGTTAGATTCGACTCTAGGTCTGCTTCTCCTTGTCACTTGTCCTTGTCATCGCACTTGCAAAACCCCCCCACCGTCAACCTCGCCATGGATGACAAACTCCCACCAAACAACGGCCACGCCTCAGTTCCGTTTGGGCCCGCGCCATGGTATCAACCATACCACATTACCACCAACTGCTCCTCTGCCTATATGACCCATGGCCTGAACATCCACGTCCCATGAGCACCACCCACCAACGGGAGTCGGCTTGTTCAACTGCATCTAAGTCTTCATCTCCATCTCCATCTTATTCTGTCCCTGCTGTCTGTCCTCCCAGTGTCATCGTTGCCGCCAATCCTTTCTCTCTCGCTCACTCTCTTCGAAGCAACCCCGCCCACCAACCCCGCCAAACCCCGCCGCCCCACCCACCGCCCCGCCGGGCGGGAAACAGGCAGGGGCCTGCACGACGGATCAGATAATTCCCTGCCATTGATCAGATAATTCCCCTTGGCAGCGGCACCGCCCAATGTCTATACGGACCACATAGCCGATCTGCCTATGGACAACTCCGTTCTTCGTGTTGTTCCACTGTTTTCTCCCTCCCAACAGTCCGGGCATCGTCATAAAAGGCTCATCGTCGACGCCGTCTAATGATCGTCGCTTTCGGCCTCGACAGAATCTGCACCAGCAGCTAGCAACCCTTCCCGAAGAGTGAGGATGCTCCGTACGAAATGTGCGAAGACGCACGGAGATGCACGCGTTCGTGGAGTCCCTCCAGTGAGAGATTCTATCGGCTCATGCCAAGTCCCGCCCCATCCCTGCTCGTCCCCCAATCTCATCATCTAATCTCATCTCGCCTCTTTTCTTCAGGCCGGCCCAACGGTTGAACGGCGGCAGTTCCATATAGCACTACCGCATGGGTATGGATGGACTGTGGAGTGGAGACTCCTTCGGTGCCGAAAAAACACCAAGCCTCTCTCCACAGCTCGTCCCCTTTCCCCCTACAGGCCTACTACACTCACTGCTCACCTACCTCTCTTTCTTTGCATAGTGCGAGATGCCTCCATCTTTTGCTTCCTGTTCCTGTTCCTGGTCTCGATTCCAGCCTGTCATCGACTCATCCCCGCCAAGTCTGCCATGATGTCGGATTGATCAGCTGCTTGCCAAGACATCTCGAACTTCCCTCCCGTTCATTGTCTTCCGCCAGTCTTCCTCCTCCTTCCCCGAGTCCCCCAACCTTCTCGTGGCATGCCCTGTATACCCAATGTCACTCTCAGAGCGTGATGAGGATGGCAAGTCCCAAAAATGCCACACTCTGCTGAAGCCTTTCCATTTGTTGCCCAAGAAAGTTTTTATACCGAAGATAGCCTTTTCATATCTCACTCTTTTCCGACCCCTACAAGATGTCCAATCGCGCCTCATCTTATTTTGTGGGGTAGTGCTTGCCATTGCAGCGGGTGCCCCCCTTCCTATCATTGGGGTCATTTTTGCCCGAATCATCGACTCCTTCCCACCAACAGAGGAAGAAATTCGTACCCGGGTTTACCAACTCCTGGTCGTTGGTACGTATACCAATCGCCATGTATATTGCATGTCTCTTGTACTTACTCAGCTTCCAGCAATTATCTACTTCATTATCACGTGGGGATGGGCCTTCTGCTGGGGCATCGTGGGTGCTCGTGTATCCAGAGGTCTCCGCACCCAAATGGTTGATAGAGCTCTGGGACTCGATCAGACATACTATGAAACGATATGTCCAGATGTATGTGGCCGCCTGCAATCACGTCACATCAATCTACTCACACTTTTCTAGATTACCAGTCGCTTAACGGTGGATGCCCAAACTGTCCAGTCTGGTACGGCTGAGAAAGTAGGGCTGTTCCTTCAGTCCATCAGTTACTTTGTTGCAACATTGATTGTGGGATTCATCCTTAATGCGCGTCTCACGGGCATTCTGATTTCAGGGGTGATGCCTTCCATGGCATTGGTCGTCATTACTGGCACTACTGTGTTGAACCGTTATTCAAAGCAAGCATCAGAAAGCACAACTACAGCTTCTTCCATTGCTGAGGGTGCAATTAAGGCAGTCCAGGTGGTTCAGGCATTTGATGCTTTCGAGCCCCTGACGGCTGATCACCGGAACAATCTGACAAAGGCCATGAGCTTCGGCGTGAGAAAGTCCATAGCCAGTGCTATTATGCTAGGTAGCGTCTTCTTTATAGCGTCAGTTCTCGCAAATTTCGTCGGGTGGCTTCATAACTAATTCGTAAATGACAGATTCTCCGCAAATGCTCTAGCTTTCTTTGAAGGGTCCCAAATTGTCAAACACCAATCATCTTCTGGGGGAGCGGGTACAGTGTATGCAATCGTTTTTCTCATTCTTGATGCCGCGTTCGTGATTGGCGCAGCTGGCCCTTTCATTCAATCATTCGCGCAGGCCGCGGACGCCGGCAAGAGGATTTTCAGCCTCATCGATTATCCCGACATCCCAATCGATGTCTATTCCGAGGAAGGAATCCGCGCAGACGAAACAGTCTTCGAGCCAGGCAAAGAAATTGTGCTCAAAGACGTGAGCTTTGCGTACCCTGCCCGCCCGCTAGAGACGGTTCTAGATTCAGTCACCCTCAAAATTCCCACTGGATCATCTGTGGGGATTGTCGGTGCTTCTGGCAGTGGCAAGTCCACAATCGCAGCTTTGCTACTCAGACTGTACGATCCTTCCCAAGGCACCATCACTATTGATGGCAAGGCAATACCCGATTATAATCTTTCGAGCTTGCGACGTCATATCGCACTCGTCGATCAAGACCCCGCCATTTTCTCCGGCACAATTTACACAAATATCCGTGATGGCTTCAAAGGCCCCCCTATTCCTGAAGAGGAGATGAGGGAAAAATGTGTGAAGGCCGCAAAGGCAGCTGACGCATGGTCATTTATTGAGTCACTCCCGGAAGGCTTGGACACCTGGCTTGGGGAGCCTTCTGGCACGAAGCTGTCAGGTGGACAGAAGCAGCGACTCTGTCTAGCGAGAGCCCTGGTGGGAGATCCCTCCTTGTTAATCCTGGACGAAGCGACGAGCGCTTTGGACACTATCAGTGAAGCATCTATCCTCAGTGAACTCTCCAAGTCAAGGTCATCTGGGAACAGAACCACTGTGATGATTGCGCATCGACTTGCCTCTGTCATGGATGCAGACAACATCGTTGTTATGGGTAAAGGTCGTGTTCTAGAACAAGGGACCCACGCATCTTTGATGTCGGATGTCAATGGCTTTTATCGAAAATTGATCGAAGTGCAAAGGTTTAGTTCGGAGGACACCTACGAATCTGAACCTTATGCGCTGGAGAAGAGTGAAATGGTCATCGAAGAGTCACTTGACCTGGAAGGAAAATCAGTAGAGCCAAGCTCTCCCACCCTCGAATCACCGAGTAAGCCTGCATCTACAACTGCATCTTTCAGCACTTTCACCATCATTAGACGCTGTCTCGCGCTCTCTAAGGCCCGACTTTTCTTTACTCTTCTCGCTTTGGTCGGATCGCTCATCACTGGAGGACTCATCATTGGCGAATCAATTATTTTTGGACATCTGGTGCAACTTCTCAATGGAGCTGTTGTTTCTAACCGGGTCGACTTTTTCTGTCTCATGTTCTTCGTCGTTTCTCTAGCCGCACTTGTCGGTTATTCTATCTCCGGGTCCTGTTTTGGCATCGTATCTGAGCATCTCATCTTTCGGACCCGCGATATATCATTAAGTACAATCCTCCGTCAAGATATGGATTGGTTCCTGCAACCAGGTCGGTCCACGGCTGCCCTTATATCTGTCATCAGCATGGACTCGGGTCACCTCAGTGGCCTGTCGGGGGTCATAATTGGCACAATCGTATCTGCACTTGTCTCTGTCGTCGGAGGCGCCATTCTTGCACATATTATAGCTTGGAAGATAGCGATCGTGCTCTTTGCTACGTCTCCCGTCGTCATCCTGGCAGGATTCTTCCGGCTCCATGTTATAGCCAAACTTGAGGAAAAGAATCAGCAGGCATACACCGAAGCAGCAACACTCGCAACTGAGGCCTGCAGTAATATTCGAACCATTGCCGCACTAGGGACAGAGAGAGTAACCTCGAAGAGATTTCATCTTGCTGTTGATAAGCATCGCGAGCAAACCTTCAGGGACACAGCTCTTGGAAACCTACTATTGGCGTTTGCTCTTGCCATCACGTAAGTTTTATTGCATTGCATACCTTGAACTACTCTGTATTCTGATAATGTCTAGTTACTTTGTCTATTGTTTGGCTTATTGGTGGGGTGCAAAGCGAGTTCGAAAAGGCGAATATACCACGCAGGACTTCTTCACAGTGTTACCAGCCATCCTCTTCTCTGCCCAGGCAGCTGGTCAGATATTCAGTCTGGCACCGGACATTGGTCGGGCAAAGGGTGCGGCAGCCCGGGTCTTCGCACTGCACGATCAAAAGCCCACCATCGATATAGACCCGGCCGGGTCGGGTGCCGTGACATCCCAGTCTTTGGACACTGAAGTCAAGGACAAGGACCCGTCTACCCCAGCGGGGAGCCTGACTTTCAAGAACGTTTGTCTGACATACCAGTCTCGGCAAGGTGCACCGGTATTTACGAACCTCAACCTCACGATTAAAGCGGGAGAGACGATAGCACTTGTTGGCCGCTCAGGCGCTGGAAAATCTTCTCTGATCTCGCTCATCGAGCGCTTCTACGATCCTACATCTGGAGCGGTTCTCTTAGATGGGGTCGATATCAAATCCGTGCCAGTATCACAACACCGAGCAAGGATAAGTCTCGTTTCCCAAGACCCGGATCTATTTGCTGGCAGTGTAGCTTTCAACGTGGGTTTGGGAGCAAGACCAGGGCACACGGCAACACGAGAAGAAATAATTGAAGCATGCAAAGCCGTTGGCATTCATGAATTCGTCAGTGGATTGCCAGATGGGTACGAAACGTAAGTAAAGGTCACATGACAAAGAGCGAGCACCTTGGATCCTGACTTCATTCTAGGCAATGCGGAATCAACGGCTCGCAGCTGTCAGGAGGGCAGAAGCAGCGCGTTGCCATCGCGCGGGCTTACATCCGGGACCCAGAGATATTGCTCCTTGATGAGGCCACGTCGGCTCTAGGTACGTGAAAATCCAGAACGTCATGGACATGCAAAAGCTGACCAAGGGGCTGTCCTCTAGATTCGCACTCCGAGGCCCAGATCAAGGAGGCCATCGCGGCAGCGGCGCGCAAGAGGACGACCATCATGGTGGCGCACCGTCTGACGACGGTCCAAAACGCAGACCGCATCCTAGTATTCGACAAGGGGAAGATTGTGGAGGAGGGCAGGCACGAGGAGCTGGCCAGGGGTGGAGGGATCTACGAGCAGATGATCAGGGCGCAGAGCTTGGGATAGGGGGGGAAGCAGAAAGGGTGGTAATGCCAAGAGATCCAGCAATTGGGATAGAAGGAAAAGGAGGAGACAGGCAGGCAGAGAGAGAGAGAGCGAGAGGGAACGCCAAGGGCACCTCGGGAAAGTCTCTCCGTCATTTCATCGTATACACAAAAGGCGTACGTACATAAACACAAGGGGGCATACAATTCCATTAGTCAAGAAAACGATTCAATTCCCAACTTCCCTCGCTCCCAATGACCCAAACCCTGAAGTTCTCAACATCCAGACCCTCAAGGGGGGTGAGAAAAAAACGAAAGAAAAAAGCCCCATCCCGTCGGGAATCCCATACTCTCCGCGTTCTCCGTGACACAGTGATCGACCCCCCTCAAGACCGATCCGGGAAAGGCCATCGCTCTATAGACAGGTTGGTAGCGCGGTCCCAAGATTATCTCTCCATCTGATAAAAAATGCCGCCCCGTCGCACCAGGGGGAGACCGGGGGGGGAGGGACATGAACTCCGAGACCGGAACGGGGCGGGGCGGTGGATCAGATAAAAAGGCTTGGCGAAGTCGAGGGGCTTGGCGGGGTTTTGTGACTTTGTCTGAAGGGCACAAAGGCAAAAGGCCGGAGAAGACTAAGACTGCGCAGATCGCTAGCGGAAAGCGGTAGTTGCCTGATGTGGCGATGTGCATTACGTTGTGGTTGGATGATTTCTGGCGTGGTGTGTGGTGTTGTGGTGTGCTTTTTTTTACTTTTCCATCTCTCTTGTGTTGTGCTATTATTTTACCGTGGAACAACTACTACTTTGCGAGGGGGGAAAATGGAAGGACGGTTGTTTTGTGAGGAGAGAAGGGGGGCGGAAGATATTAGGTAAGGTGATGTCATGCCTCAGGCCATTAACCACTTCCCCCCCTAATACCTCGGTTGCCGAATGAATGAATGAATCGATGACCCTTTCTTCCCCTTCCGCTCCACCTCACACTTCACTTCCCTACGCAAAATATGCTTGAAGGCCGGGACCGAAATCCTACCACTACTGTATCTATGCCTTACCTTAGAATAATATCAGATGGTAAGGTAAAGAAAGCATTGATTAAGGGATTTACCGTAAAATCGCCAGCCTATATTTCCCGGAACGCTCCATCTATTATTAGGTATCTACAGCGCGCAGGTAAGGCATCTATGAATGAATCTCCAACCCAACCCGCGACTAGAGCAAAGAAGAGGCCCGCATATGCACGTCTGCCATGCAACAATCCACGCACCACTTGCGTCACCCATACATCCATGATAAATGGGGAAAAAAGAAAGTCTGGGCCCCCCCCGGCCGGGCAAATGAGAAGGGGTGGAGGAGAGAGAGAGAGCGAAAGGGTGCATCCTGGTTCTCTCTCCTGATGCTGCAGCGGAGAGGGGGGGGACATTGCCGCATCAGGATTAGGGGCAAGCAATTTAATACGTCTAATAGCCATCTTCATCGGGTGCTATTATTCTTATTATCTTTTTACGGTTTTGGAGGGGGAGGGGGGGGGGGGCTTGGGGCGTTTTTTTTGGCGTGGGATAGTTTATATATAATTTATATTAAGAGGCTACCTTAGGTTAATGTCACTACCCAGGTAGGGAATACCTACCTAAGTATTATCACTTTCTTCTTGCTCCTCCCGTCTCGTAGTCTCTCGTAGTCCGCTCGGTTCGACGGACTTTATTTACCTGGTGACCTTGGCGACGGTGCCTTTTGGTGACTTATACCTTTGGACCGCTAGAACTCGAGATCTTATATCCGCGCCTTTACCTTCATCTCGGACAAAAGCATATATATATAAGAGAACGAAGAGAACCACTTACTTGGTCTTCGGTGCTTTTTTGCTTTGACTTTTGATTTGACTTTGCTCTTGTCTTTACTGCCTCTATCCTCCTCTGTCTCTTCTCTCATCTCATCTCCTCTCCTCTCCTCTCGCCGGTGTTGTGCGAGTTTTCTCTGCTTCTGAAGATTCGGAGCGGTCAAGGTTAGCTGCTGCCTCTCTCCTTCAAGAGCCTGCCTTGCCTCACCTGATTGGTCACGTTACCTGTCTGGATTCGGAGTTCCGTCTTCTTCAAGAAGTCAACGATGACACCCTCAGCCATCACTCCTCCGCCTCCAGCAGCAGCTCTTGAGAGCAACGCCAATGGCCTGGATGAGATCGCCTCTATACCCAACGGGGAGGTGAATGGGGTTAATCATGTTCAGCCCTCCTCTGCTGAGGCTGAACCACAACTCCCCAATGGCAATGGCCACACCGTCCCCACCGTCCCCGCCCTCTCCTCCTCCTCTGCTGAGGCTGAACCGCAACTCCTCCCCAACGGTAATGGCCACACCGTTCCCAGCATCCCCGATCTCTCCTCCTCTCCAGAAGAGCTCCTTGATCTGGTCTGCGTGGGATTCGGCCCCGCCTCACTAGCCATCGCCATCGCCCTGCACGATGCCTACCAGGCGTCCCCCGCGGCTCACCGTCCGCGCGTCCTCTTCCTCGAGAAGCAGACGCGGTTTGCCTGGCACGCGGGGATGCAGCTGCCGGGGGCCAAGATGCAGATCTCGTTCCTGAAAGACCTGGCCACGCCGCGGGACCCGACGTCGCACTTCACCTTCCTGAACTACCTCTTCCGCCAGGGCCGCCTGAACCACTTCATCAACCTCGGCACCTTCCTGCCCACGAGAGCCGAGTATGAGGATTACCTGCGCTGGTGCGCGGCCCACTTCGAGCGCGAGGGCAACGTGAGGTATGGTGTCGAGGTGGGCAGTGTGAGGGCGGGCGAGAAGAGCGCGGATGGGAAGGTCACGAGTTTTGTGGTCGAGGGGCGGGATCAGCTTGGAGAGGTGATGACGCGGAGAGCGAGGCATGTGGTGATTGCTGTTGGGGGGCGTCCAGTCATCCCTCCCGCTCTTCAAGGCCTGAAGCACGTTCATCATTCCAGCCAGTTCGCCAACGCTATTGGCGGCATTCAGGAGAGAGAAGCGGGCAGGCCGTTAAAGTTTGCCGTCATTGGAGCGGGACAGAGCGCCGCCGAGATCTTCAATGATATCTGGTCTCGATTCCCAGATGCCCAAGTACGGCTCATTATCAAGGGCCCCAGCTTGAGACCAAGTGATGATAGTCCATTGTGAGAATGCCCTCCCCCCCTTTTTTCCCCCCTGACCCCGTCACGTGTGGACCCGAGATATTCCTTCCTGCACGGGATATACAAAAGCTGACGAGCCATCCAATCCCCAGCGTGAACGAGATCTTCAATCCCGACCGCGTCGACGGCGTCTACAACCAGACGCCGTCCGAACGCGCCCTCGCCATCGCCCTGGATCGCGGCACCAACTACGGCGTCGTGCGGCTCGAGCTCCTCGAGCATCTGTACGAGAAGCTGTACATGCAACGGCTCGCGAACCCGGACGAGACGCAATGGCGCGCCCGCATCATCACCAACCGCACCGTGGTATCCGCATCCCAAACCTCCACCTCGGGCGTGGTGCTCAGACTGGGCCTACCGGACGGCAAGCAGCGTCGGGAGGAAAAGACGACGATGACGGACGAGGCTGCTGAAGATCTCGAGGTCGACTACGTCTTCACCGCTACGGGCTACCAGAGGAACGTGCACGAGGAGATCCTCTCAGATCTGAAAACCCTATTACCTCCCGACCAGGCACACGGAGAGAGATTACCCGTCGCGAGGAATTATCAAGTTTTGTATGATGGAGACAAGGTTGATGGAAGTCAAGCTGGCGTTTGGCTACAGGGTTGCAATGAGGCGACGCACGGTGTAAGCCTTCTCCCCCCCCCCCTTCTTCCCTTTCCCTTAAAAAAAAATAAAATAAAACTACTTCTTAAATTTGTCGAGTCGATATGCTAATATCCACATTTCCATCTAACAGTTAAGCGATACACTCCTATCCATCCTCGCAGTCCGCGGCGGCGAACTCGTAAGGAGCATGTTCGGTTCTTCCTCCCCAAGCACCATCCAAGCAGCCAATCCCCAATAATGCCCCCTTTTCTTAAAAAAAAAACAAAACAAAAAACAAACAAGAAAAATCCGTTTTGCGCAAAACTTCTGTACCCTCGTTTTCCCCCAGAGCTCGTTTCTATGTAGATCTTTAGGAGGAATGAGGAATGTATGTGGTGGTGGGGGGGGGGGTGTTCTAGGCGTTTTTTCGTTGTTGAAATTAAATGAATATGATTGATATCTTTCTTGATTCTCTTGACAGCGCGGCTGCTCTTTTTTTTTTTTTTGGCCAGATGCGCAGCGAGCCGAGCCTGTTGCCTGGCTTGGTTTTTTATCGATCTATCTATTGAAAGGTATCGATTTTAGATAAGTAGGTAGGTAGGTAGATATCTGAAGGAGCGGGCTTAAGGTATATTTGAGGATTAGAGGTTGGGGGAGGTGGTCGTATATAGATAGGTAGGTAGATATCTGAAGGAGCGGGCTTAAGGTATATTTGAGGATTAGAGGTTGGGGGAGGTGGTCGTATATAGATAGGTATATATATATGTCTATCGATTACCTACTCGTCACCTTGTCTATATATATATGTAGATATCTAGCCCCCCCCTTTCTTTCTTTTTGAAGACTAGACTTGATTTGATTTGATTTTGATATAGGTATATGCTTAGATATCTATCTATGAGCCCTTCAACTCTTCCAGCCTCTGCTGCAACAACTCCCACTCCTCGGTCCCCTCCCACACATCCCTCGCCTTGCTCATGATACTCCTCACCGCATTCCGCGCCTTGACCCGCCATGCCTTCTCGACCTCCTGTCCGCTCCCATCCGCTCTCTCCTGCGGTCCGTAGTTCTCCAACGCGCTGACCAACGCATCCGTCGCCGTCACCACCCCGCGCCACGCCTCTACTTCCTCCAACCACCCCGCCCCCTGGCTCGCCACCCGCCACGCCCGCTCCGCGCTCCCCAGCGCCCCCTCGTAGTCCCGCCGCCACATCGCCAGCCGCTCCACCAGCGCCCACAGCTCCGCCCGCTCCGTGATCAGCGGCACCACCTCGCGCTCCACCATCTCCAGCGTGGCCCGCGCCAGGCTGCCGCGCGGCGGCATGTACGCGCTCCCCGGCTGGTTCTCCGCTGGGTTGCGGTTCGTCGGCCGCTCGCCAGAGGTGACTTCTGAGATCAGCGCCCGCAGCACGGCGGCGTCGATGGCGCGCTCGCCGATCGCGGGCCCGCGGATCCGGAGCACGGCCCGCATGCCCATGAGGAGTTCGGGGAAGGCAGGGGGAGACATGCGGCCTGCGACCGTGATCACGTTGTCCCAGATCTTCCAGTTGTCGTGGGCGAGCGTGGCGCCGCGCTTGTAGGCCGCGAGAGCCTGGCGCAGGATGTCCCGTGGGGATTGTGGCGGGGCTGCGGGGAGGTCGGTGATCTCGCCGCCATCGTCGTCGTCGTCGTCGTCGTTGGCGTTGGACGTCGGGAGGCGGTCTTGCGCAGCGGCTTTCTGGAGGGAGACTACCTCGGCGTGCTTGGAGATCAGGGCCGAGCCTAGGTTGTTGTACGTCTGGGCGTCGGTGTCGTCGATCATGATGGATTGCTGGAAGGCGATGATGGCGCCGTCCCAGTTGCCGACGCGGAGGTCGATGTCGCCCAGGCGGGACCAGGTGTCGCTGTTCTGCCGGTTGACGACCGTGGCTTTCATGTACGCTTCGCGCGCTGCATCGAGATCGCCCTGGCGCGTGTAGTACTCACCGAGCGTGCGCTGCGCTCGCGCATAGCGATGGTTGGAGATCTCCCAGGCCCGCTCCCAGCACGTGGGGTCTTGGTCTAGGTCGCCCAGGATGCACCATAATCGAGGGGAGTGAGGCGGCGGCGGGGAGCGGATCTCGCCAGTCCAGTCTTCGGTCACGACCGCATCCGCATCGATGTCGTACTTGTCCATCTCCTCTCCCTTCGAGGAATAGTACAGCTGCCTGCGAACGATCCGGCGAGCTTTGTCTTCTTGCCCGACGGAGTGGTAGCAGAGTGCTACCTCTGCCCACAGCCGTAGCCGTTTGAAGATCTCAAGAGCACTTACTAGACTCCCAGCACTGCTCCATGCAAATGCCAGCTCGGTCTCCAACTCCCAGCGCGTTGGCGTGTTGAGTTGGAAGACGTACTTCAAGCGTTCGGATACAGGTGCGGACTCCTCAGGTTTTGCTCGAGGAAGGAACTGAGTGACCTTGATTTCCGGGACTCCATCCGGTGCGGATGATGCCTCTTCTTGGGTGTCGGCAATGATCTGGTCGACAATGACCTGAAGTTGAAGAACACTTCTTTCCTGGGTCCTTGACCGATGGGATTCGATCCTGCTTCGCACTAACAAAGCTTGCGTGTAGATTTGCCAGTTCGTAGGCTTGTCCGTAAGCACACGGACGGCATAGGGCAGGATTTCCTCGCTGTTCAGTTTGTCCAGGGGTGAAAGCGTGTCTTTGAGAGTTGCTTCCGTGAGTAACGTGATCTGATCCAAAGGTTTAAGCTGTGGTTGCTCATCTGGGGCGAGATTAGCCAGCTCAGGAGGAAGTTTTGAATTATCCACTTTGTCAGATGCTGGCTTTGCAAACTGAATTGACTCGAGGAGCGTATCGTCATCTAGATCCAACGCCTTGGGGCCACTTCCACTTGGCGCTTGATTATCTTGCTTGCCGTTAGAAAGGCTACTCTCAGCCAGCTTTCCAGATAAATCCTCAGTTTGATCCTCATCAGTCTCTTTGCTCCTTGCAAAGACGACGAGTTGAGAAATGTCAGTCTGCTGGAATTTCGTCCGCTTTCCCAGAGCTCCAGACAAGGCATAGCTGAATCCAGACACGGTCTTAGCCAAATTGACATTTTCCCGTGCCTTCAAATCCAAGCCCTGCATAATATAGATCTGAGCTTTCTCGAGCAAGAACTGGACCCTTGCCTCCGTCGAGAATCGCGACTCTGGCCCCAAGATATCCTGCTCCAGGTCTCTTAGATCCTTCTCAATCACATCCTGTAGCATAGTTGAATCACTCAGCCGCCCAAAGGACACCCCTGATAGCAAGCGTTGATGGTACGCGTTGATTCTGACACGCATCCACTTACAGTCTCTGAACGTGCCACTGGTACTGAGCCGGGGAAAGTACACTGTGAAGATCATCCGCGCAAGGCAGAAGAGCTCCACGCGGGGGATGAACTGATAGACAGAGACACCATCGACATCCAAGCTCTTGAAACACTGCTCCCTGAACGAGGCCGTGTTTTCATCCGCCGGAAAGACATTCGCCAGGTCAACAGGTGGCCCGGTCACGTTGGCCTGGAGGAAAGCATTGAGAGCGGCAAGTCCAGTAATGAGAACGAGCACGGTACCCTCATCGCTGCCAAAATTTGAATCTTGGAGTGCCGCATCTTGCTCTTGGCGCGGGAGAAGAATAGTCTGCGAGAGCTTTTTGAATAGGGTTTGCGAGGTAGGGCTTTGGAGGATTGCCCGATAGTCGCCTTCCAGGTATGAAGTAATAACGCCTGAGATCTCGGAGTGCTGCTTTAAAGATTCCAGATCAAAGAGTATACTGTCAAGCGTTTGACCGCCCAGGATATCTCTATGCTCAGCCATTTCGCTGAAAGTCAATACGTTTTGCAGCTGTCACTCCCGTAGTCACAGATTTTTGGAAAATCTCGATTTTGACGAGGTCCGTCTTGATTTGTAAGCACGTGGGTGGAGGCATTCAAGGGCACGCTTCTCCAGTATATCTACAGTCGAAATGAAGAAACACAATGCATTGAGTATTCTAACAGTATTTATGCGATATAGCTACATGTTCATGCTACAAGTACGACGCCGGCTGACAGCACTCCCCGCGAATGCAAAAACGCTATGCCAGACAGTATGCTGCGACGTCTAATCATACAAAATTCATACAGTCCTTCATTTCCTGCCCTTCTTCTTGTTAGGAACAACCTTGAATCCGGCAGTTGGGTCCTCCTTTGGAGGTCCCTTCTTCGCAACCTCGCTCCACCCGGCCTTCTCACCAGCAGGGGAGAAGGATCCGCTAGACCCGGTGCTAGATGGCTCGATGATGCCCTTTTCGGCAAGCTTACGACGTCGAAGGAATTCTTCGGCGAAACGACGACCATCCATCAGCTGAGAGCTGGCATAAACACTGTCGGCAATAGCCTCTGAAGGGAAGCTCGATATCATAGAAAGGAATTCGTCAACTAGAGAGCGTTAGAAAAAGTGAGCATCATCTCGTTTCCTAGTACCTACCATTGATGTTGGAATTCAGTCCCTTTGCCAAGGTTCCCTTTGCCCATTTGTTAAACTCGTCCTTCGCTGTGGTGGCGCCGGTTGGGGCGCTGGCAGTAGTAACAGTGCGGACGGCAGGAGCCGCACGTGTAGCGCGAGCAGCGGTGGTAGCTACTGTCGTGTTGCCGGAAGCCCGACCTGCTTGAGGAGTCGTAGCTGCTGGACCAGTGGGGATCTTGACCTTTCCACCAGCACCAACGGTGGCCCACGGACCCCCAGTTGCGGGAGTGGCCGCCGCCGAGGCCTTGCTAGCAAGATCAGCGTATCGCTTGCCACCAGAGACAACATGGGTAGGTTGCGTCGCAGCGGATGCGGCAGCAAGTTTCTGCTTGCGAGACTCCTCTTCACGTTGAATATCCGCTAGGGTCTTCTTTGACGCGGCAGTGCTAGAGGCCGGAGCCTTACCAGCAGCAGCAGCAGCCCATGGTGATGGGGAGCTCGTGTGAGTGGCTGGCGAAGGGTGATTTCCCCAGGTAGAAGTAGTTGGAAGTCCGGGGGCCTGAGGGGCTGGTTGACTAGCTAGCAGCTTCATTTCCTGTTCATGCTGAGCACGACGAGCAGCTGCAGCTAATTCCTCTGCCTTGGCAGCATTCTTTGCTTCAGCCTCTTGGATCTCTTTGAGAGAAGGTCCCTTTGGTGCCTCAGTTGGCTCCTTTGCCCAAGGTGCAATGGATGGGGTCACAACTGCAACCTCAGGCGTCTCGGAACGCGATCTAATCCCCTGATTCAAAGCCTCCGGCAAATTTGAACGACCACGCTGAGCAGTGGGAGCTGGGAGGGGAGTGGTTGACTGTGGAGCCGGAAATGGCATAGGTAGATTGGGGTTGACCTTTGCCCATGGCGACTCTGGCTGCGGAACAGAAGGCGATTGCTTGGCTGACGCAGCTTTCTGGACCTGTTGAGTAAGGGAGAGAGGCTCCTGAGGTTCCGCTGCCTGCTGCTCTTCCTTCCGAGCTTCAGTTGGCTCCTGGGACTGCTGCTGCTGCTGTTGTTGTTGCTGCTGCTGCTGCTGCTGCTGCTGTTGTTGCTGCGGCGGGCCAATGGGCTCGCTTGTCGCATTGGCAGACTGAGCAGCAGGCTGAGCAGCAGACTGAGCAGCAGACTGAGCAGCAGCCTCCTCTGCATCGTGCTGTGCTCTGAGCTGCTCAAATTCCTGCAGGCGGGCCTTGAATCCTTGCGGGTCGTTGCGCAACTGCTCCGACCTGGCAACCGCCTCTCGCTGGGCATCAGGATGTTGTCCAAACAGTGCGCTGATCTGCTGAGCATGGGTAGATCCTTGTCCGTTTGCAGTAAGGACTTGTTGGCGTTCCTGCAAGCTAAGGCGGCTCAGTTCCTCGTGAGGATAGAAGTCGTTGGAGATTCCAGATACTCCTTGGGTTGGAACCTGCCTGGGAGGACCATCAAAGAAACCAGAAACGCCTGGAATTGGGACCTGAGGCATTCCAATAGGAGATGTCATACTTCCAAAGCTAGGCTGACTTTGCAGGCTTTGTGCGCTTGAATGATGGTGCAAAGAAGCTGGGATTCCACTCATTTGGAGTTGTTTCAAGTTAACTTGCTGCTGGGCTAAGAACTCTCTCTGGCGAGCCATAAGATATTGCTCTTCCTGCTTACGTCTTTCAAGGTTGTTTTGCTGCTCTGCAGTCAAGGTAGTGCCAAAGCTGGGGAATGCGCCGGCAAAAGGAGGCTGAACGACTCCCGGTTGAGCTGCGCCACTCCCAGGAGCAGTGGCAGCTGTCGCAAAGGACGTCCCAGGCTGTGTGGTTGGCGGACCATGAGGAATTCCGATCTGAGGGACCAGGAATGGTTCTCGAGAGTTGCCGATCCGACGGATCAGCTCGCCGAGAGGTTCAAATTTATCGTCTTCGACCTTCTTCACAGAAAGATCTGGAGTGAAGAACTGTGCTTTGTACCAGTCATGCATTTCGAGACCGGACCAGGGGCCTTGCATTTGGCCTTGCGGATCCAAGTAAACCCATCTCATCCTATCTGGCATTACCATCTGGCGGTTCTGTGCTGTAGGTAGCTGGTTAGATGTCGAGTCTGATGATCCCTGTGACTGCTGGTAACCGGATTGAGCAGAATGCGGCATCGATGTTGCTGTTTGTCCTTGGCTGACCTGAGATGAGGTGAAAGGGCCATGACTTCGAGAATTGTCGGACGGTGGAAACAGATCTTCGAGTGCATTTCTGCCAGTTCGCATGGGACTATCTGTATCACGAGAAGGAAATGGGTTTCTGCCGATGGCGCCAAAGGCACCCCCTTGCCTCAAATCTCCATCAGCTGGATTATCGGTCTCATGGCTTTGCATCTGAGCTTGCATAGAGGCAGGAAACAAGGAGCCTAGTTTACTGCCTCGACCAATTGTGCTAGCAGCCGAAATATTTCCAGCTGATGCTGGGCCGAACATACTGCCCAGTGCGCCAAAACCCGGTGATTGAAGATCGCCCGTAGATCCAAAGATGGAGTTTCCAAAAGCACCAGGGTAGCCAGGTCTCTCCCGGTCGGGTGTCCCAATTGGATGCCCACTGGTCGGCCACCCACCGATGCCACCCAATCCGCTAAGGGAGGGAAGTCCCCCTGTCAATGAGGAGAACCCTTTATTTGCACCAACGCTTGAGGTCTGGCTTCGATCACTGCCATCAAATGCGGCATTAGAGAAACCTCTCGACAAACCCCCAAGAGCACTTGACCCATGTTCTGGAATACCGCCTAACCCTTGTAGACGGCTATGTGGAAGAGATTCATCATCATAGCTCTCATCATCATGGCCATTCCTATCTTCGGGAGGGCTGCGGTAGGGATTAGTATCGGAAGGGCTGAGTTGCTCATGTTCACCATGGTGTCCTTGCGGAGTCTGGTAGCTTTGCCCACGTTGAAGAGAGTCGCGAAAACCTGGCATGTCCGACATACCAAAGTCACTACTTGATGCTCCTCGGATTGGTGTGTCCAGGCCGGGCGCCCTCCGTTGTGAGTTCAGCGGTGGGCTGGTATCCTGGCCACCACCTAGAGCAGCACTCCCAGTGGGAACGTCATCGCCAAATGGATCTGTATCCGTACGTGGCCGAGATCGCCATGATCTCTCTGCAGCCTTTGAAGACATATCCTCTGAGCTCTCTTTTGGCATGAGATGAGCAAGGCGACTTTCCCCTCTCCCGAAAACAGGCCTCTTTTCGCTAGGCGTAGGCGGATTGGCCAGGGAAAAGCTACCAAAGTTCCCCATGGTCGCACTGGTGGGTGCAGTGTTCCACGGAGATGCAGGCCCATTACCTAGAGCACTTCCAGCAGTATTACTACGCATCAAGCTTCCGAGAGGTAGGCCAGGTTTCGAATCCTCAGCCCGTTCATCGGCTCCATCCTTGAAATCAAGCGTCTTTCGAGAAGCGAATGGAGAGTGGTCATCTCTAGAGAACCTACCAGTGGGGGCGGGGGATCCAAGACCAGTCATGGAGTCGCTGGTTTGCTGTCGGCGAGTGCTCGGTCGACTGGATGCGGGCGAGGAAAGCCCGAATCCGCCTGCGTTTTGTCCATGTGATACTGATGTCTTTCGGCCGTTGGCCAGTCCTGGTGTATTGGGGTCTTTGTTCGAGTTCTGTGGTGGCGGTCTTAGGGGCGAATTCACATCTCCCGAAAAGGCCTGTTGAAGGTAAGCACTGTGCTGCACTGGCAGGAAAGTATTGGATTACTAACAGTCTTCTCAGCCTCGCTCATCTCTTGCAGACTGATCGGCGGAACACTGCCAGTGTTATCCCAGCATACATGTGGCCCGTGTGTGTCTCTTCCATCATTACTCTTTCCCCAGCCACGTCCATTTGTACCGTTTGAATGTCCCGGGTCCCAACCATTGACGAACAAATTCGAAACATCTTTATTTGGTGCCTCTGAGTTTTGATGCGCCTTGTAGATGTCTAGCAACTGATCCTTAGAATATCGATTGTCTGATGAATGTTCGGCCAAGGGGTTTTGCGTATGTTGTGACCCATGTGCCTCCAAACTAGGTGCCGGGCTTGCTGCGTCTGATTGCGATGTCGAACTGTGTGGTGCTGCTGATGATCGACGTCCACCGCCGAGTTGTAATACCGCGGTACCATTGGGTCTGCTGTTGCGTGCCCTTCATGCGCGGTTAGCCTCAAGATCGAATAGCGAATAGAAGTGGCGGTCAGCCACGCAGAGTGTACAAGACGCTCTAGAAAACTCGAGTCGGCCAGCATATGATCACCGGCACAAGGCTCCTCTGCTCAGGGGATCGAAGAAATGCAGACCAGACACCTCGAGAGAAAGGTCCAAGGGGGCAACTCACCAGTCCCCGCTCCCGCGTCCGTCACCCCTCCCGCTCCTAGCATCGCGACCTGAAGCTTGACCCGCGGCGGCTGACGCAAAGCTTGAAGGCATGTGTGAAGGCATAATCAATCGTCGCTAACTGGCTGAACGTGCAAACAGAAGGAGTTCTGATACAATGGATGTAGAGGTCGCGCTGGGCAACAGTAACGCGATGTGGGCGGAGTACGCTCGAGGTCGATATCGAAGAGTGTCGGTCAGGGTTCAAAGGATCAGAGAATGGTCTGATATTGCGCGTGGCGTGGGTGTTGAGAGAGATTGGAGGCTCAGGTCGTTTTGATTGCTTTAGAGGTCGTGGGGACGAGTTTTCAAAAAAAGAGTGGTCGGCGTACAAGAGCTCTTTCTGACCCAGAGCGAAGCCCTAAGAAGACTAGCGTGCTCGCTTTAGCGTTATTGCCTCGCGCGGCAGCGCAGGAACTGAGGCGCCACGCGACAGTTCGAGCCTCAGGCCTCCTCATGCGATGTTATGGCTCCTGGGCGCCGGGATACTCTATAGCAACGGCAGGTCGGGTCCAACTTCTTCATATTGGCCATTGTGATGCGATGCTTCAAGATCAAGTGTGAAAAGAAGCATGGGTATTACGGGAATCACTAGAATTACGGGGATTACGGGTATCATGGGGATTACGGGTGTTATGGCCTTGAAGTCTCCCACCTGCATTCGGTGGACGTCACGTGTTGACCGGTGGCCCCATCTCCCGTCTCTTGTCCGAGTGTCATGAGTGCCGGGAGTACGGTTGCGGCAGGGCAGGCCCAGTGGCAGTGCAGTCTGTTCCAATTAAAGGAGAGTTATCCAGCGATTTGGAGAGCCGGTCTGAATCTGATCTCCTGGTGGGACAAACCAAAGCCTAGGGTCTTCTCAGCCCGGTACAGGATGCTGCGGTCAATATACCCCGCGACATGTCTGTTGTCTGGAGGAGACACAAAATCTGAACTTGCCTATCTGATTAGTTGTTCGGGGAGAAGGGATTATATTTGTGGCTTCAGTTGTTTGCTATCCCGACAGCTGCCACTTATTGAGAGCAGCCTTGCATCTGAACGACGAGCATCGGTGGCACTCCGTGCTTGTACGTAGCACTTCCTTGGCTGGATTTGCCAGACACAAGAATATCATGCATGTAGTATGCGGTGTCGCCACCTTATTCCTGAGAAGGCACACCAGACAGGATACAGTTTGTGTACCCCTTTCTCAGTAGCAAACATCCTTTACACCCATTGTCAAGAATGCTCCTATCAGAATAGACCCTGCGACTGAATTCATAATAGATTGGCTGCTTGCACATTCAGGTTCACCGCTCCTTGTTTGTGGGTGAGATGGGAATTTCTGTTTCTCATGGATACTTATATTGCTATGTCCTCTCTTCATTTTTATTCTGAAGGGTAAGGTAACATCAAGCACATCATCTGGGCGCATCTTGTCATACGTCACGTGTACACAATCCTGTTCTGTATTCCAAATCGATCCCATCACGTCCACAGCACCTTTGGCTGCTATCCGGAAAGGATGTACTCTGGCGGCGATCTCAATCATCGCCATACGTTCAATGCCCCACGCCATGGGCTCGGGTTGTGTGGAAGAAACGCGCGAGGCGGACGGGACGGAGGCTTCGGTGATGGTGCTTGTGGACATATGAATCGAAGAATGCCGTTCAGTAACCAACATAACCACTCCGGTGGCAGGAATGGGGAGCAGTTTGGCTGGGGAAGAGAGGGACGCGTTCGACTTGATCATCCGACTCTGCTTCGTGATCGGCCTAGCTCGACGGGTGGTCTCTTTGGAGGGCTAGGTGGCCTCCATCTCGGTGGCGGCGGCGGCGGAGGGGGTGGAGGGGGTGGAGGAGGTATCCCCAGGGGCGCCTACTATGAAAATCCCATTGAGCGAAGACCGTCTTCCCTTGGTCGCAGATCAGGCTTGATGGACGATCCAGCATTAGATCACCACCATAGCCCCTCTTTACGATATGGACCGGAAGTGCATCGCGGGGTTAGTAGTCTTGGGGATAGAGGAACGCAGCTCCTACCAGGCGCCCTTGGCATTCCAGATTACGAACCAGGAGCCTCAGGTTCCCTCAGCTCTGGTAGCGAATACAGTCTCCGTCGCTTGGATCGTCTCTCAAGGCCTTACCACTATCAGCCACCGTATGTTGAGGATTACGAGAGCGAGCTTGATGAGGAATTATGGAGGCAACAAGAGGAGCTGGAGGGACGGAACGGCATACTTCCAAGGGATTTATACGAGGCGTACGGTTTGGGAGAGGGCCTCATTGATCAGAGACGAAGGAGGGGCTTACTTTAGGGTCCCGGACCTTGGCATGTAGTGGTTTTTGAACGTTTGCTGCACTATGAGGCATGGCTTCTGCATAATGGGGATTGTCCGGCACGCATAGATCGTCTAGAGACTTTCTGTCTACCCTTCGTTTCGTACATCAAAGGTTAATACACTGGCGCCGTTAGCCAACTGAACAAAATCCCTACAACTTTGACTCCCTCTCAGCTTGTTCATAGACTCAAGCCATCATGATACTAACTTTTCTCTCTGCTTCTAATAAAGATGAGGGGGCATCTACCCAGATACCTAGGTAGGCACGGTACGGTACCTTACACCGGACCAAGGTAATCACGTGATCATTCCCTTTTACCTAATGGCGATTCGATTATTACAACGGAAGTCGGAAGCAAGCAAAGACTAACAACACGCAGAGTGGATTCTGTTTCTCCCCCAGAAGCTGCCGAGGCAAAACCACAGTGGCGTTGGAGTTGTTTCGTAAAAGCGAAGAGGCAAACGCGTGGAGGCTGAGGCTGAGGCTGGGGCTGAGAGACAAGAGTCCAGCCTTCACTTACAGGGGCGGTGCTGTGTACAATACCCAGGGAGGTATCATTATCATTATCATTATCGTGATTATCGGGAATCCCCAGTGGAAGATCATCACCACCTTATTTATTATTAACCTCACCTTCCAAGAGACGAACGACCGAATGGCCACTGCGAAGCGGGTAAGGTAATCGAGCAGCAGAGGCTGGGATCCAGGCTATCTTAGCCGCCTTCTCCAAAGCAAAGCACCACCAACACCACCTATCCTCCTCCGGGCATGATCAAGGACCCTCCCAGCACGCGGTAAAGGGCAAAAGGTCCAGTCGGCGGGGAACCAATGACTCGAGACACACTGCCCTGGATTCGTCTGGCCTGGGATGTTCCAACCTCTCCCCAACACCATCGCCTCCGCCGTGATGCCATCTGACAACAAGATCCCCGCTACGGTGTAAGCCGGATGTCAGCCCTCGATCATTATTCATTGTTTCCCGTGGGCCAGTCAATAATACCTTGCTACTGAGTAGCCTAGGCAGCTCCCCAGGATAAGTATCCTCTCCATTTATATAAAGAGGCCTGCTTTCCCCTCTCTTTCTCTCTTCCTTGTCTTCGTCGATCTCTTCCACTCGTCCTTCTCCTTCGGACGATCCATCAGACCCTTCATTCATTTCCACGCATCTGCTGCAGTCGCGCATCATTCAATACAGCAATCATGGCCAATAGAGACTATTACGGCGGTGGTGGCCAACCCAACCAACCTCACTACAACCAACAGCAATACCCTCCTCAGCCGGCCTACGGCTCCCAAAACCCATCTCCCTACCCCCCACAGCCCACCTACGGTTCCGCTCCTCCTCCCCAACAGGCCCCCTACGGCAGCGCTCCCTCCCACCAATACCCGCCTCAGCCCTCCTACGGCAGCAGCGGTCCCTCACCCTCGCACTCGCCCTACCCCCAACAACAGCAGCCTTACGGCGATGCACGCGGCGGTCCGCAATCCCAACCCTCCTACCCGCCGGGTCCCAATGCCGGACTCGACGGGCCGGGACAAGACGGCGAGCGCGGCCTCGGCGCAACCCTACTCGGGGGCGCGGGCGGCGGGTTCCTCGCCCACGAAGTCGGCGGTGGTCTGCTCGGGACGCTGGTAGGCAGCGTAGCGGGCGCGATCGGAGCGAACGCGCTGGAACATCGGCATAAGAAACATAAGGAGGAGAAAAAGCACTCGCATGAGTATCAGGGAGGAGGAGGTGGGGGGTATGGACAGCAGCCGGGTTTGTATCCGCCGGGAGGTGGGGGTTATGAACATGGTCATCATCATGGTCATCATCATCACCATAGACATCATTCGAGGAGTCGGAGTCGCGGACGGGGGAGTGATAGCGATTAGGTAAGGTAGGATGATGGGAGGGGGGTTGTGTGAGAAGGTGGGGGACAGGTGAGCGTTGTTTGGGGATTGTGATGCGTATGGAGGGAAGGAAGATGGGATGATTTTGGGTGCGTGGATGGATGGATGGATAGGCTGGGTTTCTGTATGATGCGTTTTGGGTTTTTGTAGGTTTATGATTAATGAATGACCTGTGGAGTGGGAATACTGCTGTTCCTATGATCAAGTCTTGTGAGCTTGAGGGATAAGGTATCTAAATGTGCAGCTGACCCCCGTGACAAAATTAGAGATGTGGACTCTATAACGTACCTTACCTATGTATCTTCCAAGATCCACCTCGGTATGGTTTAAAAGCATTGTGGGTATCTTGTAAATGTATACTTCTAACTATAAGGGTAACTCCCCTATTCCCCTAGACGGCTACCAGCTGCGTCACCGCCATATATGCCACCATCCAAGATGATTTCCTCATTATCTTCCAGGTCATCCTGTACTCTCCGCCATTTTGTTTTCTTTCTACCTTCCACCGGCCCCTCCTCCTCCCTCTGTTTGCCCTTCCCACTATCGTAAACGGGCTTGATCAGCCCTCCGAGCAGCGGGTTGCGGCTGAAGGTCCCCCCGCCCGTATTCCCACTCGTGTCACTCTGGGGCAGCTCTTCAGCCTCGTCCTCACTCTCGCTCTGTGGTTGCTGCGGTCTTTCAACCGCCCCCATCCTCTTCACCACCTTCCCCTTGACCAAGTCAATACTCACCACCTGCCTTCTCTTCTCATACTCCGGCCTCGCGTTCCACTCCTGCTCCGCCAACACCCTCTGCTGCTTCTTCAGCTGCCTCGCCCTCTCCGCCGGGCTCGCCCACAGGTTCACCCCCGCCGTCATCGGCGTCTCGAAATCCGCCGCCTCGTCCCTGACCGTCGTCCGCTTCGCATTCTGCGCCTGGAACCCCAGCAGCTTGTCCCGGTGCTCCTTGGCCTTCGCCTCCGCGGGGCTCAGCGTCGTCTCTCCACCCCGCGGCGTCGTGAACGGAAGCGGCTTCTTGGAAACCTCGGCCCGGCGATGGCTCGAGGCGTCCAGCGCCATCTTCTCCCTGCCTCGCTCCTCCCGCAGCTCCCGGATCATGCCTTGTACCTCGACAGCGCTCAGCAATGGCGTCCCGCAGAATGTGCACGGCCCCAGCCCCTCCTTGACACAGATCACCTTCCCGCAATTCAAACAGTTAGGCGCCGCAGCTAGTAGGGGATGCCGTGCGCCGATGCAATTGCATTTCCTCCGTTCGTTGTCGAGCAGGGTGCTGTTGGTGCTGATCTCTAAGCTGCGGATGGCAGCGTCCAGCTCCTGGAGCACGGTCGAGGCGCCGTGCATAGATGTGCCACCGGTGATGTTCACCTTCGTCTTAGAGGGTGCGGGGGATGCGGTCCGTGATGCGTTGCGGGAGGAAGAATTACTTTTTGATTTGAAATCGGATATTAGAGAACCTGCTGCGGAAGGAGGCGGCCGCGGGACAGGTGCTTGAGTAGCTTCGGGTTTAGGTTCGAGGGCAGAGACATTGCTGGGCGTTGAGGAGCGTGGAGGCGTAGGTCGTTTGGATATGTAGTCATCTTCGTCCTTCTTGATATATGCGGTGCCTTGCGCGGCGTAGGTATCTTGTATTTGGCGGGGTGCGGGAGTATGGATGGGAGCTTTCTTCTTCTTGGGCGCCCTTGTGCTCTTGGGGACTCCTGATCCTGAATCAGACGGCGTAGTCTGTTGCGATGCTGGTTTCGATGCCGGGGCATGACGGCGTGAGTTGAAGGAAGAGATGAACTCTATGGATTGTGCGGATTCGCCCAGGAGGTTGTTGAAATGATCCGCTGCATCCTGAGGGGAGAGCGTCGCTGCGTAGTCAAGGACCTGTTGCAGCTCGGACTCGGGAAGAGGGAGAAGACGTGATAACTGTGCCAGAGACATCTCTCACAGCTTCAGGCTGGATTGCCGGTAAGTTGGTTCAATTGGTGTTTGTTCTTAGAGTTGCCAGGCAGAGGACTTCAGATACGACATTTATCCGTACGAGTCATCGTCCGCCATTATCCGCCCCGCCCTGACTCGGAGAACTTGCGAATGAGCAGCTCTGGAGTCTGGATTGCAAACATGAAATGGGTGTCTATCTAACTATACTAAGAAAGGGTATAGTACAGTAGAAACTGGCTCACCGCATACGAATATAGCTAACATTACTCTATTTTTGAGGGGGAAGTTGATGAATCGAGAGAGGAGGGGCTCTGATGTATCGCTAGCCTTGCTTATCTTGGAGTTCGTACAGTCATACCTCTGTACACCTCCGCCCTTTCTTTGACATCCTCGCCCTTGCCTTACTCCAGTAACTCACGGTGAGCCATTGATTCTTTCTCTTCTCCTTTTCGTGTGGTTATATCTTCGCTTTGTTGTTCTGTCTCTTCTCTTTGAGATTTTGAGCTCTTGAAATCCTGAGCTTCTGAGACTTTGAGCGGGGTCATATCTTGTTCTCCTCAACATCATATCAATTGCAGCCCTGTCAAATGCCAGATCCCCTGAATCTCAAAATGGGAGACCTCTCCATAGCAGGCGACTCTACATCCTATGAGCGCACCCCATTTGGCAGACAGATGCTGAAGCATTTCCTGTTTGACCCAGCTTACAAAAACTTCAATCATGGTACCGTCTTTCCTATCAATCCCATGCAGGAGCTTTCTTCCCTAATCTTCCCCGCCATCTCTAGGATCTTTCGGTACCTACCCAAGAGCTATTAGAGACAAACAACGATACTACTTAGACCTCTGCGAATCTGCGCCAGATCAGTACATCCGCTACACCTATCCGCAATTGCTCGACGAGTCCCGTGAAGCTGTTGCCAAAGTCCTCAATGCTCCCGTGGACACCGTCGTCTATGTCCCCAATGCTACAACGGGAGTCAACGTGGTTCTCCGAAACCTGGTCTGGAACCCAGACGGCAAGGATGAGATCCTCTACTTCAATACCATCTATGGAGCTTCGGGGAAATCCATCATATACACATGTGAAGCCAACAACGATCTCGTTCGCCCGAGAGAGATCCCTATTACATATCCCATCGAAGACTCGGATCTGATCGCCTTGTTCAAGAAGGCTATCAAAGCCTCCCGAGCGGCTCGCAAGTTCCCCCGCGTGGCCGTATTCGATACGGTATCATCCATGCCAGGCCTAGCGGTGCCATATAAAGAACTCACTGCCATCTGCCGCGAAGAAGGGATCCTTTCTCTCATCGACGCTGCTCACGCCATCGGCCACATCCCCTTGGACCTCACGGCGCTGGATCCCGACTTCTTCGTATCCAACTGCCACAAGTGGCTGTTCGCTCCCCGCGGCTGCGCAGTGCTCTACGTCCCTAAGAGAAACCAAGCCCTCATCAGGTCCTCGCTGCCCACATCCCACGGGTTTGTCCCAAGACCGGGTGCCTCCTCCGGAACCCCCAATCCTCTCGACGTGAGTTCCAAGAGCGAATTCGTCAACAATTTCGAGTTCGTCGGGACTGTCGACAACTCGAGCTTCGTCGTCGTCCCCGAAGCCATCAAATGGCGCGAGCAAGTCTGCGGCGGCGAAAAAGCCATCATGGAGTACAACACCGACCTCACACGCCGAGCCGGATCGCTCGTCGCCCAGATCCTAGGGACGAAAGTTCTCGACAACAGCACCCAAACTCTAACCAACTGCTGTCTCGTAAATGTGCTCCTGCCGCTGACGCCCAGCAAGGAGAAAATCCCCGGTACCAACACGATAGACCCGCAATACGGAATGCAGGCCTCGCAGTGGATGCAGAGGACACTGCTCGCGGAATACAAGACGTTCATCCCGATTTTCTTCTTCCAGGGTCAGTGGTGGGCGAGGTTGAGTGGGCAGGTATACTTGGAATTGGCAGACTTTGAATGGGCGGCGGCGACGCTGAAGGAGCTTTGCGAGAGAGCTGCGAATACGGAGTTTGCTTGAAAGAGGAGAGACGCGCAGTCTTTTGCTATCCTAGCTACCTTTACCTAAACTACCTTATCTTAAAATACTATACAAATATATATATCTCGAGTACCGACGATCTACAAGCCCTATTATTACTTTCATCCATCACTTCCTTTCCTCACATAACTAGGTATGTATACCCCAATCTCAAGCCCTAATCAAATCACGACCTTACCTCGCTTAACCCCCCTTCCCAAAAAGTCCCCTCCCCTCCAACTCGTCTCCCCCCAAGCAAATACTGAAGGAGAAAAGGAAAAGAAAAGAAAAAGGAAAAAGAAAAAACCCATCTTCTCAAACAAACCCGCCTCCCAAGAAATCAAAAACAAACAAAAAAAAAAAAAAAAAAAAAACCGAAGAGGTCGTACCCGGGCTCGAACCGGGGATTCGGGAAATTTTTCATTGATTTTGATATTATCAAAATCCCACGTGCTAACCGCTACACTATACAACCTGATGAATCTTGTGGGTTTGTGGTGGGAGGGGGGAATATATGGTATGGATGGATGGATGGATGGATGGGAGGAGGGAGGATAGGGAGTGGATAATAGATTCACTTCACATTCATAGTAAGGGACATAAGGTATCGATGGCAAGCAAGTTCATATCGTATTATATATATAATATAATATAATAATACATCATTGATTGATTGATTTCATTTTCATCTTTTTGTTTCCTTTCCATTCCTACCTATATCTATCTATCCACCATTTATTTCCCTTACTTATTTCCGCCACGTAGTCAGAGGAGGACTACCAGCTGAAGGAGGAGCCGAGAATCGAGTCTGCACGTAGACTTTCTGCATGCCGTCTTCCTTCTTCTCGAACTTGGAGTAGACCAGGTCGAGTTCTTCGAGCTTCACGCGGTGCGTGACCATCTTTAGTGGGTCGATCTTGCCTTCCTCGACCATGCGCAGGAGATCTACCCAGTACTTTTGGACGGGCGCTTGGCCGTTGCCGATTAATCGTATACCGCGCTCCACTTGAGGGGTTGGTTAGTAGGGCTCTTCAAGGGGGGAGAGAAGGGGAGAGGGATGCGTACTGATTGCGCCGATGTTGAGATGGTTCGTCTGTTTGAGGTTAGATGGCATTCGGTGAAGGATTGAGAAGATAGCTTACATAGCCAACGTAGACGCCAGTTATGCCACAGCGACCATAACTGCGGACAGATGTGACCATCTCGTTGATGATCTCCGAACTGTCCGTCTCCATGCCGAGCAAGAGCTCAAAGTAATGAGCCCAGCCCTTTGCATATTCCCCGGCAACACACTCGAGGGCGACGTCAGGGCCTCTAGGCACCATTTCCTTCAGCTTCGCTGTAACTGAAGTGCCGCGCGGAAGGGCGCTGAAATCAATAGTCTCGATCTTTGGGTACTTGGACTTGAGGTAATCCAATCTCCAGTTACAGTCAATGGCGATAACGCGAGAAGCTCCGTTCAAAAACGCGAAATCAGCGGCCATCTGTCCGATAGGACCTAAACTTCCTGTTAGTTATAGGTCATGTATGGATGAGACTACAACTTACCGGCTCCCCAGATAGCTACGACATCTCCTTTCTCAACTCCAGTGTCCACTACACAGTTCCAGGAGGTGCCGATGACATCCGAGAGATACAACCCCTTCTCATCCGGAACACTGTCTGGAAGCTTGAGGAGGTTCACGTCCCCGTAGGGAACTCTCACATACTCGGCCTGTCCGCCAGCGAATCCACCGGTGAAATGGCTGTAGCCAAATATTCCCGCGGTTCTTCCTCCATACATATCATAGGCCAGTTGATCTGAATTCGTCTTCTCACACATAGACGTCAAGCCCTTATTGCAATAGTAACACTGATATTGTCAGCTGCAAGGATAAGGACGGGACCAAAGGTATACCTACATCACCGCAAGCGATTTGGAAGGAGGCCACGACCCGGTCACCCTTTTTCAAGCCCGTCACACTGGGGCCCATAGACTCAACGACACCGCAAAACTCGTGGCCAAGGATATCCCCCTTCTCTAACTCGACGATGGCCCCATGCAGCAAGTGAAGATCGCTTCCGCAGACCGTGCTTCCCGTGACTTTTAAAATCACGTCCCTGCTCTCGACCAATCTTGGCTTTGGCACATCCTCTGGCATGACTATTAGGTGGTTTCGACACGTGAGGCAGGCTCCAAGAACTCACGAATTTCCACTTTGTTCTTCCCCATCCAGACCAATGCTTTCATGGTCTCACCACTTGGATCCGCGAAATTCTTGGGGTCCCGAGCAGGGTTAGAGATATTCTGCGAGATCGTAGCATTATTGCCGTGACCTATGTTCTTCTCGTAGAAGCTCCCTCCTGGGGTTGTAGCCATTGGAGCCATTGTAAAGCCAGAAAATCGAGATGATTTTGAAGAAAAATGATATGAGGAAAATATGAGGATGGGACTTAAGAAAATAGAGCGAAACAAAAATATCCCATGCGAAGGGAAATACCTACAATAAAAGGTTGAGGCAGGATGCCACAGGCTCTCTGTACGTCATGAGGCATCGAGCCCTGTGGATGAAAGACGTCAGTCATTTATCGCAATAGGATCGCTGGCATCTCAGTGGATCACAGAGCTGGGACCGCGTGGGAGGGGAATCAATGAATGAATGTCCTCGTCGTAGCACTGCGGGGAGATCTGACATGAGTGGCTTCATGTGTGTTGATCTGCCAGACGACTTCACCTGATATTAAGGTACGTAGGTAGTAGAGTGTCAAGTCTAAGGGGGGTGGGGTCGATATCTTAGGTACTTCCTACAGACGTCATAGACCAGATCCCCTCCATAAGACATATTGGATATCGCATATCGATTACTGAGGATGCTTCGGCGATAAGTACCACAGGTACATTGATCCGAAAAGGATCACGACACAGCAGTTCAACAGCTGACTGTGCCATATGTGAATGATGCGTATCTACCGGGCAAAACCCGGAGATGCCTTTGAGTTGTGATTCGTCCCGAGAGCGATCAAGTCGTTATCTCTGTGTGGGGAGTTCCTTGAGTTGGGTGACGCGCTCGAGAACTGGTGATATCCTCACGTACTGATGACGCTCTTGCGAATCATGAATTATGAATTGTAGATTATGAAGCCACCGTGGAATTTCCGGACGTGGAGGTGGCTAAACATCATGGCTTCGATCGCGCAGGATTTGAATCCTGTACATGACGATATAACTGTGTATTTCGTGTCCCGGGAGAATGAATTCATAGGTATGTTTTGTGGTTGTTTTTTTGAGGGGTGGGGGAGGGGTTTCATTTTGAAGGGGGTGGGATTAGCTAGTTCCTATGTATTCTCAGTAGAAGGATTATCTCCCATCCAAAACCAGTCATGTTGCCAGAGTGGTTAATGGGTGAGACTTGAATGTATTCGACATCTCATGGCTTCGGTCGCGCAGGTTCAAATCCTGTACATGACGTTATCTACTTCTTTTTTAATATTTTTTTGGGGTTCCGTAGACCTGATGTGGTTTTTCATTTCTTTTCCCATTTTCGTTTTCTCTCATTAATCCAGATCTACCTATTTTTTCGTTATTTTCTTTATTTTTTCGCAGCTGTTATTTTTTGTGCAGAGGTTATGAAAGTTGGATGGCTGGAGATCAACGAGGGCATAATTTTCAGTTTCTTTCAATTGCTTCTTCGTAATGAGTGATCATAACCTGCAAGATCACTCAGTGACTTCTGCCTGGGTATCTTAGTAAAATACAATCCCATCGCTCAAACCCCAGTAGAGAAGCTCTCATGCGTTCCTTGATGTCATATGAAGCCAGTTCTAAACAGCAGCACAATCCCGTCGCTCAACCCCCAGTAGAGAAACCCTCAGTGTCTCTTGATGTCGTGAAACCAGTGCTGAACAGCAGCACATTCTCGTCGCTCACCCTCCAGTAGAGAAATCCATCGCGTTTCTTAATGGCACGAAGCCAGTTCCGAACAGCCGCACAATCCCATCGCTCATTCCCACTAATACGCAGACTCATGGCGTTTCTTAATATCTTGAAGCCACTTTCGGACAGCAGCACAGTCCCATCGCTCTTCTCTATCGTGCTTGGTCATGAATTTGATTCCAGCTGCCATTTCATGAGGTTCAAAATCGGCAGGGAATATACCTTTGGTCAGCTCCTCGAGTACCTTAACTCGCTCTGATCTCGTACTGAATTTGTAAAGTAGCTCAAATGCAATAACACCCAGGCCGTACACATCGAGTTTGGGGCAAATTATACCGTCTGTCGAAGGTGGATAGTAGAATTTGGAGCCGACATGTGAGTCCTCCTTCATTTTTGCTAGATGCGTGGCCACCAACCCAAAATCCCCAATATGAGGCGTAATGAAGGTTGGTTTGCCATGAAGGCCACTAGGGCATTCTGGGCAGCTGCTTATATTAATGGATCCTGCGGATGGTGATTTTGGGTCTTGCTGGACAGAGAGGAGGATGTTTCCCGGCTTGAGATCTCGATGAATGATTCCAAGATCGTGAATGTAGTCGATTCCATCCAAGATAGCATAAAGGATACGCACGGTTGTCAGAGTATGAAAGCAATGTTGCACCTCAATAGGACCTCCTTCGCGTATCTGTTCTGGCCACAAGAAATCCTCCAATGTCATCGGATAGATATCCATCTTGATGAATAGAACGGCATCTAGGTTTGGCTTTGCAGTTTGGTTTGGCAGCATATATCGTGGAACAACCTTATCCTTTTCAGACTCGGATTCAGAATCAGGGCCTCTGAAGAATGGAGATCTCTTAATCAGAGCGTTTTGTGCTCCAGTAGATTGGCTGCTTTGTGCTGATGACTCCGGATATCCCGCGGACTTTGTTGATGGTAAGGCTCTTTCAAAAATATCCGAACCCTCCATATCAGAGAGCATGGGTTCCTCATAGGGTTCCAATTGGGCAGATGTATCCTGTGAACCATTCGAGCTCTCTGAAGCGGCAGATCTACCAAACTGTAAGTAACTATAGAGATTTTAGCTGCACGCAGACTTACTCTGAAGGCTGGCCAGATGCTGTCTCATCATCCCTGGACTGCTCCTCTGGGCGAGTCTCAACCCAGACACCGTAATAACGTACAATGTTTTGATGGTTCAGCTTTGAAAGAGTGCGGGCCTCTATAAGCAAAGCGTGCTGCTGATCACTGCTGACAGCCAGCTTGACCTTCTTGCCACTTATGACAATCTTCTTCACTGCATACTCTTGTTCATCAATAAGGTTTTTTGCCCTGTAGACAGCACCATAGCCTCCCCTGCCAATCACGGACTTGATCTCATACTGTGTCTGGAAGATTGAAGTCGGCATTCGTTCGCCACCACCGTCCCTCAGGATGTGAGAGTAAAGGAAGGATTTGGGAGCCATGGCTAAGTTGTCGTATTGGTGTCTCTTCTCCAGGGCAGTTGGTGATCTTGTGCTAACCGCAAATACGTTAGATCTATCAATAGAACTATACGTACTCTGCTGGTAAAGGTGGGTTGTTTCTTTTGTTGCAATGTTTTGGAGAATGGCGTCGAAAGTGTTTAGATATCGTGCTCTGAGGTCCTCGAGATCTCTTCCTGCAAATTCATCGGGGAGTATGCCAGCCTTGTGAAGTTCGCTGGACATTTCCGCGAAAAGCTGCCGAGCAAGAGCACGAACCTCCGGGTCATTTTCTGGCAATTGGTCGACAGGGTGACGACCCTCGTTGAGAATACGTGCAGCCTGTGTCCTGCATCGCCCTTCAATCAGAGAGAGATAGAAGAGGACTGAGTGCTGTCGAGTTTCTAGATTTGGCAGATGCGAGCTTGTTGCACCTAATCTAGTGATAGGGCCAGCTCCTGGGCTCAGTGGTCCCATTTCGGGTTGAGAACCTGTCCGATCCACATGATTCCCACTTGATGTAGTCCCAGATGCATTCCTGTATAAGCTCTGGATACTTTCTGCCACACTTGAGTCGACACTTGAGTCGGCACGTGACGCATCAGAGGATGCTTGAAATATTGAGGACATTTTGACACATGGAAAAGAAAGTTGATTCTAGGCCTTCATTGGCATTGGAAGTCAGAACTCCGAGAAGGTTATGGACGGTTGAGTCGTTGACCAAGAATGACTGATCAAGACAGAGCTCGGGAAACGACAGCAGGAGCACGCCTCAGAGTACAGCCATCATGTGTGGAAAATAAGAAATTACTGTGTAATGGACTCCAATATTGCCTTGCAATACTCAGAAGTTGTGTGGAATTGACAAAGATCTGTAAGGTGTCTTCTACAGTTTTCTTTTGTTAGGCAGCGTCTGACTGGGTAAACTCCGGGAAATCTAGTAATAACAAGCGGTTTTGCGCCTGAGGCAACTTACTACTGCCCCTCTATCGCGCACGCGTCTAAGCTACATCCTTTCTTCTTCAAATTCTCGAAACTCTCTTCCTTTTCTTTGGACCCTTGCTATGATGTAAATCTCTTGGTTAATTACGCTTGACGCTGTTCTTTGCAAGGATCCTTTTGACATCCATCCACTATTCTGAAAGCCTGTGCACAGTTAACGTGACCAGTCTGAACTGCGAGAGCTCAATGAGACCTTAGCGAGGACCTGAGCAAGCTGAGCCTGTTCGTGCTATTTCTGTCTGAATGGTATGCTCTCATCAGATACACAAACTCATACGATACGCATCCAACTGAATCCATTGAATTTCTACATCTATGAGGTTGGCTAGCTAACCTCTTCACCTTTAGAGCTTTTCCTTCCAGGTAGCCCCTTCGCCATGCCTAGAACTTTGCCATGGATAAAGCAGGGAGGATCCACTGCTGTGTCTTCTTCCAAGAGACCTGCTCCATCACCAAAGCCGCCTATAAAGCGCACAAAAGTCTCGGACCCAGCGTCCGATGGTGATGTGCGGACGACCCCCATTCCAGCGAGGAAGCAAAAGCCACCGAGTCGTGGTAAGACCCTCATTCCCATTTATTTCTACTCTAACGCTGAAGAAAGAAGCCCGTACACCATCTACATCACCACCTCCCCAACCGCCTCCAGAAAGGTATGTTGCCCTACAGAAGTAAATTGCTTCAGCTAACCCGACTAATCAGGTTCATGGTTGAAGGCCTTGAGCGGGACGATAGGTATAGAATGGTAGAAGATGAATTTCTAGCTATTGCGCAAAGGTTCACCGTTCATCTGCATGCTGCAGAGTATAAGAGGCAAGTAAAATTGGCAAAAGCTCGCAATGCTGAAGCAATCTCCTCTATCTCACGGCCGGTCACGGGGAAAATGCCAGCCGAGACCGCACGAAAAATTGAAGCCATAGCCCGAGCAAAAGAGCAAAGGGATGCTCTTCAACTCTTGGCTGGGAAGAAGTCGGACAATGACCAAGATCCAGATGATAGCTCTGATGCCGAAGACCTTGCATACTTCGGCACAACATTACATGGCTTAATGGATAGTCCCCGTCGGAAATCTACATCATTGGCAAAGGTCGGATCTATAGGAGTTGCAACACGAGCCGCTGCTGGCTTTCAAAGACCTGCGACTCGGTCCGAACCGCACGAGATCCAAAAACGCCAGTCTCCAACATACAAAGTTACCCCTCGAATGGGCCAATCATCCAAGCAGAGACACGAAAGTTCAACAGAGTCATCTGATTTAGATGATGACCTGGACGTACCAATACCAGCACCAAAACTGTCTCCACTGGATAAGAAGACCGTTCCAGCTCGAAATACGCTCCATGACGTACCGCCACGGATCAAGTCATCCTCGTCCAGGACAGTTGAAATATCGGGATCAGTCAACGTATCGAAACCGGCATCTTCAAAGCCGGAAGTTCATGTAGAAAAAGAGTCTCTGGGAACTAGTAATACGACTATGGAGCCTGCTGAGGCCTCGTCGGATAGTCGATCGCGGGTTGGCCGGAGGTTAGAGCAAGCTCGACTTCAAAGGGCGAAGCAGGAGAAGGAGGCTCAAGAGAAAAAGAAGCTTGACCTAATTCCAACTTTTCTCTGAGTGCTGCTCACATAATTTCGATGCACCAACCGCCAAGGAAGGGCATTGATACCGAATGATCGCTGGACGCCCGATCTTCTTGGATCGATGTGGATGTCAAGGGGCAAGGTGGGGATTCATAGACCTACGATTGCAGCACATCACAAATGTGTGGAAGAGCTATTCACAAAAACATGATGGGAGGTTCAGCATGGAGCGCTTCAATGTTTGGTGTCATAGTATGTGGCAATGCCAATACTGATTGATTATCCTACACAATTAGGCCTTGAATGGGGTCTCAAATGGCTCCTCAGCTTGTGATGCGAGTCGCGCCAGGTGCCTTCGTTGTCCACTCTTCCAGTCAACAAGTGCAGAGTGCGAGGTCACGCGGTTATCCCAAACCACTACGGTGTTTTCGGCCCACTTGACCCTTACTTGGAAATCGGCGCCGTAGGCGATATGGTCATACAAGAATTTCTTGGTCATGTCAGTCTTTTGGAAAGAGAAGGCACTGGTGGAGATAGCCTTACCAGCAAAGCATCACTCTCTTCTTGTTTATAGCCGACAATGCTCCTGGTGACTACGAAGACTTTAGTGGCGACCAAGCCAGGATGACTTCTTAAACTTACATTGGGGATTGACATATAAAGCCTTCTCTCCGGTCACAGGGTGCGTCCTGACAATCGGATGTTCGTGGATAACCGGTTCCCGTCGGACAATACCACCCTTCGCTCTGGAAGCATTGGCCTGCAGAAGCGTTACTTTTTGAATGGTCGACTACGTCTTGGAAATTCTTACCTGTTCAACACCTGAATGGGTCGCTCTCAGACCATGGAGTCTTTCTTGGAATGCTGGGCTAAGACGGTTATAGGCCTCGACTTGGTTAGCGAAGAGAGTATCTCCGCCACTTTCTGGTACATCAAGGATGTAGAGGAACGTGGTTCCTGGAGGTTGCAACTCATATGAGACATCTGAATGCCAGGCCACAGAGCTGGTTCTGGTCTCGAAGAATGTCTCGGCTGTCTTATCCCCTGCACCTCTGTGGACGAGATGGACCTCTGGGTAACCTTTAGGTGCCCCAGATGCCGGATGAATATGCAGAGGACCGAAGTAACGTCCATATTCTAGAGCTTCCTCAATCGGCAAATCGGCAAAGTCTTGGTTCCGGAAAGCCACCACCTTGCGCTCAGCGACGTATCGAGCCAGCTGATCCTTCCCTGCAGGACTCAGCTTGCTCAGTTGAACGCCTGTAACCTCAGTCCCGATTGTTGGGGTTAGGTCGCTTGTTACAACTCCTGGCCCGAGGAGATCTGGGAAGGCAGGATCGGCGTCGAGACCATGGTCGCGATGTTCGAACGGTTCTAGAGGAGGGTACTTCTCGTCGCCCCAGTGTGGGAGGTAATGTGGGTACTGGAAGAGTTCAGTAAAGGTGCTGATATACAGATGCTTGCCCGCTCAACCGCAGGCTCTATGCATCAGATCTGCGAGTGCTTGGCATACCTTGGCCGCTTTGAATCCATCCTTGCCCTCTTCTTCGACTTCTTTCTTGTATCCAATTGGGGCGAGCTCTTTGTACGGGCCGATGTTGGCTGTTAACTTGACCGTTGAAGTCTCAGCGGTGCGGGTTGGAAGGGTTGTGGTCTCAGTAGCAGAGGGAGCCATTGTATACGAATGTGACGAGACCCCAGCTGGGAATGGAAATGGCAGATGGAAACTACTAGGACTGCGGTTGTAATACACTCTTTTCTGTCCCACACATGGAGGGGCCGCCTAAGGATTATATATCAACTACTACGGTGTTACACTGTGCAAGCATATGAATTGCGTGTTCTGCAAGAGATTGATACCACCGATCTAATGACCCCTCATCATCGTTGGAACCCCTGAGAGTTCGGGATAACGGCCTTGTTTGACAGGCTGAACAAGGCGCTCGTCTTTACGTGTGGTTGGTGGACAAAGAACTAATGATGGTGCAATCGCGCTCCTTGATCACGAATATACATCAGACAGACAAGAGACGAACACAGGGACCAGGGGATAACGTCGGCGCCCCAGAAAGTGGGATAGCCGCGAAAAACGCGAGGTCGGCCAGCCATAAAGAGGAATCGGTACATATGGGGAGACGATGAGCCTTGAAGTTCTGTGTGGCATACCCTGTACGCAGTATCTATGTGGATGGAGAAATTATATCCAAGGCAGAAGGATTGAGTAGGCGTATATCACGTGATGCTAATCGCATCGCCATCAAACCCCCCGGTCAACACTCTCAGGCTTGTCGTCGGTGCGATGTGCAACAAAACATTCGAATATCATGTGATGCTAATCCTACTGCTGTTGCAACCGGTGTTCAACAATTCCACGCTTGTCATGGATGCGATGTGCAACAAAGTTCCGTCCTTTCCCTCCCATATCACGAGCCAATATCACGTGAATTGGCAAAGGCTTCTCTCTTGTCGCCTAACATATAAGACATAATATTAGTCATACGGCTCCCTCAAATCGATAAGTCACGTGCATTGATTGACCCCTCGTGGGTTTTCTTTTTGCTCAATTTGAGTCGATTGTATCGCACAATTTGGAGAAAACCGTTCTCTCCATTTTCTCAAGCGTACGCAGAATTCTGGGATATTTCTGGGATATTTCTTCTTATCCTGTACGCTGCGTGAGTTGCATAAGCCCTGTCCAGTGGCGCTGCTGAGCGATCAACGCTCGGTTGCCCACCATCACCATCATCGCGGGGCTAAAGTTTTCTTATCGAAATCTTTCCTCCAGACATACATCAACGGCATTCATAGGAAACACCGCCACGATGTCTGCTATGGATCTAGATGCCCCGGTGTCTATTGCACCGCAGTTTAGAGAAGGGCAGACAAATGCAACGTAAGTAATCCCCTCCGCTGCGTGGCGGTCATTGCTAACAGATTCTCCCTCAGTATTCTCTGCTGTAACTGTGGCGCGCCGATCGATGGAACTACTTCAGCAGGAGCACTCTGCTTCGACTGTGTTAAGCTTACGGTTGATGTCTCCCAAGGAATCCAACGCGAAGCCACCCTCCATTTCTGCAGAGACTGCGACCGATGGCTCCTCCCACCCTCGACTTGGATTGTTGCAGCCCCCGAATCAAGAGAACTCCTCGCGCTTTGCCTGAAGAAACTCCGAGGTCTACATAAAGTCAGGATTATCGATGCTAGTTTTATATGGACCGAACCTCACTCTCGGAGAGTGAAGGTCAAGCTCACCATCCAGGACTCGGTTTCCGAGGGCGTGGTTCTGCAACAAGCTTTCGAGGTGGAGTATGTAGTGGCATACCAACAATGTCCGGAATGTGCAAAATCATACACCGCAAACACATGGAGAGCATGCGTGCAAGTCAGACAGAAGGTCCCTCATAAACGGACCTTCCTTTACCTCGAGCAACTCATTCTTAAGCACGGTGCACACAAGGATTCCATAAATATTAAGGAAGTGAAGGACGGACTGGATTTCTTCTTCTCAGCACGAAACCAGGCGGAGAAATTCGTTGATTTCCTGAACTCTGTTGCACCTGTCCGATCGAAGAAGTCTCAAGAACTTATCTCCATGGATATTCACACGTCTACTAAATCTTACAAATTCACATTCTCCGTCGAATTGGTCCCCATCTGCAAGGATGATCTGGTGGCCATTCCGATCAAGCTGGCCAAGCAAGTCGGCAATATCTCCCCTCTAGGCATCTGCTACCGTGTCGGTACATCTGTCAATATCCTCGACCCAAGTACTTTACAGACCGCTGATATCAGCACTCCCATCTACTGGCGAGCGCCGTTCACCTCTCTGGCTGACGTTCAAGAGCTTGTTGAGTTTATTATAATGGATATCGAACCTATCGGACCACAGAAGGGCAGATGGCTTCTTGCAGAAGCCACAGTAGCACGTGCAACCGATCTCGGGTCAAACGATACGACCTACTACACTCGCACACATCTCGGGAACGTTCTCCATCCCGGTGACTCCGTCATGGGTTACATGTTGACGGGTACCAACTTCAACAACCCACAATTCGATGCCCTAGAAGAGTCCAACACCTACTCCTCGCAGATCCCCGACGTCATGCTAGTCAAGAAGTTCTACGCCAGAAAGAAGAAGTCCAAGAACCGGGCATGGCGCCTTAAGCGCATGGCCAGAGACGAGGGCGATCTCCTGCCCAAGAAGGCAGACCAGGAGAGGATGGACCGAGATTACGAGATGTTCCTACGGGACGTCGAGGAAGATGCCGAGCTCCGTCAAACGATGGCTCTATACAAGGCTAAGAAGAAGAAGGAGGACGAGGAAGCCATGAGCGTCGTGGAGACGGATGACGGCGAGGACGAGACGCCCCAGATCGATATGGACGAGCTGCTGGATGAATTCGACGAGCTGAACGTTGATGATGAGGAGTAGAGTTCGCGGCCCTGATGTTGGCGTTTGGTATGAGAAAAAAAGGCGTTTTACTTTCATTTTTATTTTTATCACTGTGGGCTGTTTGGAATTGGTGATGCTAGCCTAGATGAATAGAAACCTTCTTCCTTAACTATTCATATTCCCTATAACGTAACCCATGATCTTCTTACCTGTAGACTCTCTCTATTTTTCTAGTATTTCCCCTATCCCTCTCCTAGGTAACTTCAGTACGACAAACCACCCTTTCCGAACGAATCTCTATCTAGATTCCATTCTTGACTAAGTACCTTACCTTACACTACATCGTAGCTGAGCATACCTACCTATCTATATAATAACATCATATCTTAAAGAATCAGAAGATTTACTGCTAAGAAAAGGAATTCTAGAGCGTTGGAGATGATGAGATATGAGAGTCTGGGATAGGGGAGGGAGAAAGGGGACACGAATTTGACTTTACTTGGCTTGACTTTCGCGCATCTGGTGAGGAGGATGGGATGGGATGTGCGCAGGATTCAGAATGAAGGATAGCAACAACATCAAGGGCCACTAGAACTACTACTGTCACGCTGGAGATACGACCGCGGAAAGACACAGGCACCGGTGATGACATTACTGTAGTTAGATAGATATACACAGGGACTTATGATTATTGGAATTTTTTTGGAAATCTAGAAAATCTTGCTCAGGACCCTCTTCACCTGCTCTTGCTGCTCCGCTGGTCGCTTCTTCGATGCCACTGCCGTCTGCTTGAAATGTCGTGGCCGCTCTCCGCCCGCCTTTGCCTTTGGTTCCTTCGTAACAGCATCATCGCCTCCCTTCTCCGTGGCCGTGGCCGTGGCAGCCTCCTCGTCTTCTTTCTTCCTCTTCGCAGCCTTCTTCGCCTCCATACCCTCGAGCATCTTGGCCCTCTCCACATTCTGCACGAAGTGCTTGTTCTCCTTGGTGGTCTTGCTGATCTCGGCCCTCATCCTACTTGCACGCTCCGCGTTTTCAGCCGCGATCTGCTCCGTCAGATTATGCCATTTGAACCCCTTCAGGTACAGCAGGTTCCACACGTCGTCATGATAATACGTGCCCTTCTTACCCCCGATGATCCTCGCGTTCAACAGCTCGCACGCACGCTTGGCATCCTTCTTATTGACAAACTCAACCCAGCCATCGGTGAAGGATCGCTTCTTGTTCCCCCCGTTGCGCACCCGACGTGCGTAGGAGGCAGGATCTTCGGGGGAGAGGAAGATGCGGTTGATGGCTCCGTAGGGTTCAAGCAGTGATCGCAGTTTCGTAGGCTTCATGAAAGGTGGTATTCGTGACAGGTAGACGACGCCGGATCGTTTGATGGCCGCTTCGGTTGCGACCAGGTTTTTCTTGCTGAGGGGTTTGGTGACCCCAGGGAGGTCCAGAGTCTTTTTCTTCTTCTTCTCAGATGTAGAATCCGCCTCTCCTGATTCCTTGGGGGCTTCTCCATCCTCTTTGTTCTCGCCATTTCCCGATTCTTCGGGCTCTTCCTCGCCGGCGCTGTCATCGCTCTCGACCTTCCTTCGCTTTGGGCTTCTGCCACCCTTCCTTAATTCTTCAGCCTCTGAATTGTACCCCTGGCTCGCATCGTCATCGCTATTATCCGCATCGAGGAAATCGTTGTGCTTGCGTGTAGCCATCGTGCTGCTGTTGTATGTGCTTTTTTGTCGTCGCAGGAACTTTTCTTTTTGATAAGCCGCGGATCTACTATTTTTAGCGACCCGGCCTTGCCAACCCTTTTGAACAATTTCTCCACAATCTGTTCAAGGGAAGAACCCCTGCGCTTTCCACACTCTTTGTGAGATAAGTCTAAGGTCGTCTTGAGTAATGGTAAAATCTTGCTCTAAGGGCCTATTCGGATTTGCTGGCCGTCCAACTATTTTGTCGAAAGGTAAAGTCAAGTCTCCAGTGATTGTTGTCAAATGATTTACATAAGACGTTGTGACGCTTTGAACACAAGAGGCAGAAGAACGGGGAGCTGCTCGAGGTGGTCTAGCACATTGTCCAGGAATAAGCTCCCATCGTCGAAGAACAAGCTCTGGTATGTCTTGGTTGATTTCTATAGTAATGACAAGTTCGACTGTGGTGTCTCTTGATTCGAGCCACCCGTGAGCCTCAATGGCTAGCCGATTGGCTGATTCTGATGCTCCGATTTCTAGAACGCATTTTGGCCTTGGAGGCTGAATGTCTGGACCCCAACTACCATCAGGCTGTTTAATAAAATCGCCGAACTGAACTTCGAGTGAACCAAGAAGACTAACTTCATCAAGTACGCCCATGTTGCAAATTCGTAGAAAGACACGTCCTTTGAAATGCTCTGCTGCAACCTCATGTAATGCACCAAGCGTAACCTTGACGACAAGCGTGGACTCTTTCCAATTGTATAAAAGACGAGTGGATCGAGAGCTATCACTTAGCCTTTGAAAAATACTTTCGGGAACACTTGTGAAGATTAGATACTGATTCCGAGACTCTTTTCGTTCCAGCGCGTTTCGATGGTCATTGAGCCTCTTCTGAAGGCTGAGAAGATTCGTAAATTGACGAGTTTCTGTTCCATCGGGAAATCCTTCGAGAAAGGACGCAGAGAAGCCGATGCCCATTGATTCCCCTGATGATAATGAAGAGGCCATATTGTTTGTAAGGTAGTCGAGGGCGCTGGTTTCCAACTTCTTGATGTTGGTTGCCCAAACAGTCAGTCGCGATACTACGGGGTACAGTGACCGTCCGGCCATGGACTAGTAAGCGGCATCGTCGTCAGGCCCGCCACTATCTATCCCCTCAGTATCTACACCGCATATCAACGCAATGTCTGTCGAAACTATTACCACCATCTCCCCCACGACGAATAAACCCGTTCTGACCAGAAATGGCGTTACTTCGTTGGAACTCCAGCAGCTCCCAGAGCTGGCGACAGAAGCATTCGAGAAGTACCGCTTGACTTCGTTATCAGAGCGGCAGGCAATTGTAAAGAAAGCACTGAAGCTTCTCAACGATAAGCAGGATGTACTGGCCAAAGAGCTCACTGAACAAATGGGGCGGCCAATTGCGTACACGGCGAAAGAGGTCACTACAGCGTGCAAAAGGGGAGAGTATCTTCTTAAGGTCAGCGAGGATGCGCTGAAGGATACCGACGGCGAGGCGGAACATGGGTTCAAGAGGTTCATTCGAAAGGTGCCTGTAGGGCCGGTTCTGATCCTGTTTGCATGGAATGTGAGTCCGTTCTAATCCACCAGTCAAACGTTGCAGCTGACGCAGTGTAGTACCCGTATTTGATATTGGTGAACTCTTTGATACCCGCCCTCCTCGCTGGGAACTCGGTCATTTTGAAGCCGTCTCCACAAACCCCTACCATTGTCGAGCATATCTCGGAGATCTTTACCGAGGCTGGTCTGCCTCAGAACGTTATACAGTTTTTCCATTCTGGATCGCCGCTCATAATTGAGTCAATCGTGAGGGATCCAAAGATATCGTTGATCTGCTTCACAGGCTCTGTGGCTGGTGGTTTGATGGTGCAGAAAGCCGCAGCGGACAGAATCGTAAATGTTGGTCTGGAGCTCGGTGGCAAAGACCCCGCCTACATTAGACCTGATGTTGATGTCGCGTGGGCGGCAGAGGAAATCGTTGATGGTGCGGTTTTCAACTCTGGACAGAGCTGTTGCAGCATAGAGCGGGTCTATGTGCACGAACAGATCTACGACTCTTTTATTGAGAATGTCCAGGCTGTCTTGAAGAATTACAAGCTTGGTGATCCATTTAACAAGGACACACATGTTGGCCCTGTTATCTCGAAGCGATCGAAGGAAACAATCGAGGCCCACGTCAAGGATGCCCTTGATAAAGGCGCTAAAGATGTTACCCCGAAGAACAGTTCCTTTGAATCACCGCCGCCTGAGGGAAACTTCGTGAAGCCGACCCTTTTGATTGACGTTGACCATAGTATGACGGTCATGACCGAAGAGACCTTTGGTCCAGTCATCCCAGTTATGAAGGTCAAGGATGACGCCGAGGCTATCAAGCTGATGAATGACAGCGAGTTCGGCCTCACCGCATCTATCTGGACCAAGGATACGGGCAGAGGGGCACAACTAGCCGACAGCGTGGATGCAGGTACGGTGTTTGTAAACAGATGTGACTATCCAAGTCCGGTAAGCCAGATATATCCGTGTCACATCTTAATATCAAATACTGACCCAGCTCAGGATCTTGCATGGACGGGCTGGAAGAACTCGGGCAAAGGTGTAACGCTGAGCAAATTCGGATTCGAGCAGTTTGTCAAGCTGAAGAGCTACCACGTGAAGAACTACCCAAAATAGGGTTTCTGCATCGGATCTGTCTCAACTTACGACCACATCTTTCGGAAGGATTCAGGACGTTGTACAGTATGCTCAGCGATCATTCAATAGTCCAAATATACCACTGAAAATGTCCTCGCAACCATATCAACACAGCGATATTTCATCTTTACCTAATATGGGGTCCGCCACGAGAGAAAAGGATATCTCCTTGGTCGGGAGGTTGAGGAGTTCATGGCGTACTTATAGTATTGTTATAGTATTGATGCGGATTCCGAGGATCTGGAAATGTTGTACCCCTTACGCGCCACAGAACACAATGATTGGCTCCCTGGCCCGCCGCGGGAATACGAGAAGTGAGAACAATACGCCTGGCAAATGAAAGGAGCGGAGCCCTCCCGAGGAGATCCTTTGGTACAATGGTGCTCCCCGAATTCTCCTCAACAGGGTAACTTGCATTCCGCGCATATTTTCCTTCCCGCCCCTCAGAGACTTCCGTAGTAAACGGGAGAGCTTCAGTGGCTTGTTTCATCATATCTGGCATTTGCCGTCGTCCTCGTGATTCTAGGAATTGCTACTTCTATATCGTGGAAGCTTGATACTTCGCTCAATGATCTCTGCTGAAAGTCAGCTGAAGTTATCGTTCCAGCTAAGCTCGTAGTATCACCATGACCATGCTTCAGATATCGGAAATTTATCAGGCAAGCGGTGTCCATTCCAGAAATTTTTGAGAATGCTTCTCTCAGCCAGTCACATCTAAATCTTCCTGTGTAAGGAGCGCGAGCCACGTTGCGTTGCACTGTATCATATTGTTGAGTCTACATCGAGAATGATGGCCATTACACCGACCTGCAGTGGTTCGATACCGTACCACTGTACTCGGTGCAATCTAGCAAAAGAAAACCTGAACTTCCGTTAGGAGCTCCTTCGTCATTTCTTGTACAGCCTCTCGTGCAGTCTATATATCTCTTCCATACTCATCCATGTCCTGGAAAAGGACAAGCAGCTCGTCAGTAACATCTCTATATTCACACAAGTCCTTACCGGCGGTCTTTGTTCTTGTTTTGTTGGCTGCTTTGACCCTCCTTCCTTTAAGTGCATTCATTTCTTTAGCAAGCGTCTCGAATTTCAAAGCCATTTGTATTTCTTTCAGGATCATCGAACTACATATAACACCTCGTTACTACCACTTCTTCCCAGATTCTCTGTTGATCTTCAATTTCGACTCTGTTTAGAAAATATATCCTCCTGCACCATGCAGTGTATCCAAGTTTCCGGATTTCTCTCAAGAGTTCGCAACAATTGCCTCGAAATTCTGGGTTTAAAACAAAAGCCACGTCAAAATATCGATATCGTATGTTCCAAGCCTCACTATCCTGTTGCTTCATTCATAGACGGACCCCAGCTGACCCCCCTTCCAGAGCTCCCCATTTAATTTCAAGCAAGGGCCTGCTGTCAACTTCCCCGGATACTCCGAAGACGAGTAAGTCTCCCACCGTCTGTCTATCCATCGCATACCGGCAAATGCTGACGGGCAACTAACAGCATCTCTCTCATGAGAGAAAAGGCAATCGCCTCCACCGCCATCGTCGAAGACGGTGACTTCGGCCTCAGATCCAAAATCCGCCCCCCGCGCCCACGAGACAGCTGCGCCGGCTGTAACATCGAGAGCGGGGTCATGTATCAGACGACGAGGACCAGCAGACGATACATATACTAGATGGATCGCGAAGAACATGTCTGGAGTATGAGATATATTTTCTGCATAGTATGGCATTTGTGGAGGAAGAAGGTGTATGTTTTTTGTTAGAGTGTATATTTCCAGGGGTCTGTCTGTTGTCTTATGGTCAGCTGGGCTCCAGCAGGATTTTTGGATGGATTTCGATCTCGGGTTCTATTTGCATACCTTGATCAAAAGAGGACTGATGAACCTTTGTCAAAGCATTGTTAATTACCCGGTGAAACTCATCACCGGGATATTCTCCTCAAAATGCGTGATTATCTCTGAAAGAAAACATTTATTCATCTGCGTGTCCATCTCTCTCTTTCTCTGGCAGATTAAACATTCGCTATGCATGCATTGCATATTCCGCCGCCTCCTTCCACTCCTCCTCCGATTCCTCTTCAGACTTTTCCTCCCCCTTCCCCTCCCCCTCCGAATCCTCCATCAACACCCTCAAATTCCTCTCATACCCCTCCCCCAACTCCCACGCTGCCCTCTCCAACCCCCTCCTCCTAGCCTTTATCCACTCTTCCATAGTACACCAAGCACTTGCATCCGCCCTCCTCCCCTTCTCACCCCCCCTAGACACATACTCGGGCAGAATCTCCTCCCCCCTCTCCACCGCAACCCTCACCTCCTCTTCTCTCCTTTGTTCCAACAAGAACCGCTCTTCTCCATGCTGTTGTTGATGATTACTAGTTTTGGGCTCCGCGTCTGAGATACGGAGATGCGGGAGGAGAGAGTTGGCTTCGTAGTGCATGTGTGCAAACTCGCTGTCGGGGATGGGAAGAATGTCGGGGAGGAGGGTGAGTGCTGTGGTGGTTTGGGTTTGGAGAGAGGAAGGGGTCTTTGGTTGTTGGCTTGCTTGGGGATGGGAGTGGGAGGAGGGGTTGTTAAGGGGGAAGTTGGATGGGAAGGGAGGGTGTGGACGTGCGCGGGGAGTGCGGAATTGTTGAGGAGTTGAATGATCAAAAGAAGAATGAGAGGAATGAGAAGGAGGAGGAGGAGCAGGTGGTGGTCGAGCAGCTCCTCTAGCTTGCCGTTGGCGATGCTGGAATGCAGCAAGGACGTCGATGACGAGGAGACGCTGGCGGGATGTGAAAGGCGGGCGGCCGGGTTGCAGATACCCGTCTATATTGCGCATAGGGGGAATGTAGCCTTCGTGGAGGAGGCCCGGGTCGGCGACTACGGCGGTGATGGCGTCGATGAGCTTTTGGCGTTGGTGGATTGTGACTTGGGGGAGGGCAGGGGGTGTTTTGAAGCTGCTGGCTTGTTGCTGGTGGGCGACGGGGGTGAGGGGATTGTTGGCTGGTGGAAAGGTGGCTTTGGTTTGTTAGCTTGGTGGAAGAGTTGGGTGAGCTTTTGCTTGCTTACCTGCTGGTCCTCTGGTAGGTGGTGTCATGATGGGCATCTGGGCCAGGTAGTTGCCGGCGTTGCTCTTGTCTGCCATGATGGCTTGGAAAGTCAGCTACGCCTCTGAATATTGGGATGGGTTGGAGATGCTTACATGGAAGTCTGGACATGTTGTTTGTTATTGTCATTGTCAGATCTTGATCAGAGAGATGGGATGGTCTCTTCAAATTCACTTCGAGTTGTGGCTGGTTAGGAAAAAAACAAGTTGATGCCCTTCTAAAAGCAAACCCCCCATAGAGTGAATCTGACCTGGCGCCGAGAAGAGATTGATACTCGCCCTCTCCAACCGACTTTCGATGTCTGTTTTAGACCACTCTCTGTGGCCACTTTCATGTGCTATACTGATTGTCTATGTGCAGGCTCTGTCTTGTGTTGTATTAGATGCCCAATGTCCCGAGGTTGTTCTCATCCAGCCAGTGTCATCCACCTTCAAAGCCCTGATCTACAAGAACAAACTGGTTACCGGGACGATTTCGGACCATACCCTCGATCAGCCTTTAAGCAAGTGCACTCACTAATGTAAGATACATGCATATTCATGTGCCCTACAATGGCATGGACTACCCAATTTCTCCAAAGTGATTGCACTGGCAACCCATCTTCTGAAGAACATGTACAAAGAGGTTGATCCACTACGCGAGGTTTAGAAGTCGAAGTACGGTTGGAGACTTCTATATACATCCTTTAGCTCGGCACCTATCTGTTTGTTTAGATACCGGTTTAGAGATCTGAAGTATATCATGTTCAAAGCTGAAAAGAGATCCTTGGTGATGCGATTATTGTCTCTTAACTGAGAATAGATAGTGGCCTTGACCAATTCAGATCTGACGAAAGCCCGAGCTGAATGAATTAATGCAAATGCTTATCATAGGGAATATCAAACGACGAACTTTCGCTTCATGATTCACGTGAATCAGAGCAGCTTTCCACTTGATCTGTACTGGATTGATTGACATGGCAGCTGAGCTATTTCCTCATCCGATATTAAACTCGCTAGCAGCAGCCATATGCTCTTGCATCTTCCTCTTCATCCTCTTCGCTGCATCGTTGCTATCCACACTCGGGAGATCCAACTCCATCTTCCTTTGTTTCCTGACTCGCTCGCCTTCGGGTGCTTTGTCTTCAACTTCTCCCCTCTTGGCCTTTCGCGCCGCTACACTTCTATCCGCCTTGGTCATCTTCGCCGGCCTCAGTCCCGGCACTTTTATACTACCCGGTTTATCTCGCAGTGCAAATGCCTTTGCCAAATGTCCTAAATGCAAGGTCTGCATGTTGAAAATGTGCCTCTCGTTCGCAACGTGGGTAGCATATGCTCTTATATGACTTTGGAACCCACGGCGCGCCATCTCGAGATACTTCGGGGAATCCAAAGCCCAGCGTTCCACATCAAGTTGCCACTCTGTAGCTCTCTCTTCCCATTCTCGACCTGTGCCGCCGAAACCTTTCCGTAGCAGTTCTTCGGCTGTATGGTGGACCAGCGACTTCTTACCGTCACGATAACCGGACGCCAGTATGGATACGTACTCTTCCTCATCACCCGGAAGTAGGAAAATGAGGGCTCGGCCATCGCGACCTGCTCGCGCAGTACGTCCAACACGATGCAGATGGTCATCCGCGCTGAAAGGAGGATCGTACTCGATGACATAGTCGACATTTGGAAGATCCAGACCTCTAGAAGCGACGTCTGTGCAGATCAAGACACAGGGGTCTGGAGATTCGGTAAAGGCTTTGAGGGTAGCCGTTCGAATGTTTTGAGCCAACGACCCGTGAAGCTTGTGCAGAATAACAGGATTCGTTTCACTTGAGATAACAGTGCCATGTGCGATCGTGTCCTTGGTGAGCTCAGTCTTGGTGATTTTAGGGCCTTCAACCGCGGCCTCGCCATCCTTTGAAGAAGCCTCAACGGGTCTGCTGAAGAGAGAAAAGTGGAAATCGACAGAATCAGCGCACGAAATAAACACAATCGTCTTCATCACCGAACCTCGTCGAGAAAAGGCACGCTTCAAGATAGCCGTCAGCGTAACAAGCCGCAGCTTCGCTGGGACAACAGCATACGCCTGCTTCAGCTGAGCTGGTGCCGAGAAGGCTTTCTCGTCGGCTTCGGCATCCTCTGTTTTTCCTTCCGGCTGCTCGTTCTCCGAAGGGTCTGCCTGGATATGGACAGCATCCTTCAAGCTGATTTCCCCTAATCTTTGAACATTCATTTTCATGGTGGCGGAGCATAGAACTGTCACCCGGCGGCTAGGCAATGCTTTATACTCCAGTCCGGTCGTTTGGTCCATCGACAATGCTCTCCTCCCAATCTTCTCCACAATGCCCTTGATTTCTTCTTCGAACCCCAGTTCCATCAACCTATCACCTTCATCTAGCACTAACCAGCGGACCGTGTTGACTCTCAAGACTTCGGTATTGTCCAAGTGATCCGCTAGACGTCCAGGTGTAGCGATTAGGATATTGACACCCTTTCGTAGTCTAGCTTTCTCCGATTGCTTGCTTTCACCTCCAATAACAGTCGTTCCGACAATCCACGGCGCGCATCGTAAGACTTTCTCTAGCACCGCTGCAATCTGTTTGCACAATTCGCGCGTGGGTGCAAGGACGACTGCAAAAAGTCCAGAGTCTCGATGAACTTGCACATCCTTACTACTCATAGCCATGATCCGCTGAACAATCGGCAGAAGATATGCCAGAGTCTTTCCTGACCCGGTCTGAGCCTGTATAAACGCATCACTATCATCATTGACCAGCTGTGGAATGGCCGCCTTCTGAATCCCCGTCGGTGCTTTCATCTCGAGCTTGGTCGACAGATGTGCAGCCAACCGTCTCGAGAGCCCCAAGGTCGTAAAAGTCGCCATCTCCTCAGTAAGCGGCGCATTCGAAGGTTTCGCAGGCTCTGGCTCCTCCTCCGGCTCCTCAAATTTAGTCTTCGCAGAAGGGTTGAACGAGAACAGAGATGAGATGACTTGCGGCTTCCCTCCCGCAGGCCCAGTTCGATTCCGGGGCGCAGCATTACTACCAGAATGTGGAGTTTCCATATCGTCTGAAAACCGCTTGACAGAATTCCCACCGCTCGTCCCAATCTTGATACTCCCGGGCGGCAACTTTCCCGACACGAAAGCTGGCCGGGTTTCCTCCTGCACGGGGGCATTTCGAGTTCCAGGGATTTTTATGCTTCCGGGAGGGAGCTTTCCAGAAACGAAAGCAGCGGTATTCGCACCTGAACCCGAATCATGATCGACTCGCTGTCTCTTGGGCGGCCTCGTCGCAGTGCCCGGGCCAATGTAGTCTTCCGCACCGGTCTCATGCCGTCGCTCCTTGAAAATCTCTCGACTGGCGGGCGCCGAGGGGCCTTTGGCCGTCCGATACTGCGCTGCTTTCTTCGCTGCCAATCGATCCTTCCAGCGGCCTCCCAGAAACGATTGTTTGGTAGTCAGAGGAGCATCCCCGATTTCGAAGTTCATGAGCATTCCATCGTCCGCCATGGCTTCGGAGACTGCGCAGGATCCCCTGCGAAGAAAACGTGTTGAAGGGGGAGAAAAATCTTAAACTTTTCGTTATCGTATCGCGGAAAATCGAAATCTGGGTGCAGGGATTCGAAGATTTCCCTAATCGTTGGCGGTGAGTCGATTTTACCGAGTCCAATTGATTACTCGGACTTTTGTTTCTCCCGTTCCGGAACGACCTCATCTCAACTGATGACTTGAAAAAGGGCCATAAATTCAACAACAAATTGGTCTTCCTTTGAGATGTGATACCTCTATGGTTGTCTATCGTCCCAATTGAGAAGCCTCAAACAGAATTCAACGGCTATCTATATTTAGATAGGAAGACGCGCCGAAACCTCGGCTTCGAGTGACATCTGCAAGCGGGCCGCCGATTATTTTTTAGCGGTGTTTCTTGCTAGAACGCTCTCATATAAATACTCCGTAAGTACCTACCCCTAAAACACCTCATTGATATAGCAATAGGATACTAATGGGGCCTCAATCAGACCAGCCCGTCTGAAGCAGGATCTACTTTCCAGACCATTGGCGCCGCGTCCCTCCTCCCCGCGCTGAAGAACCATGCTCCTCCTCCAACCCAGCAGGGCATTCGTGCCTCTGAGCACCACCAGCATATCCCGACAGTGCCCTCGGCTCCTCCCACGACTGTTCTCGACGTGCCCCGCGCTGCAGGCGCGATCCAACCAAGCCACGCTCCCCAATTCCTCCATCAAGCTCTTCCGCGACGTGCCGGCGCTGCGTCAATGGCGGCGCAAGCAGCTCCTCGACTACCGCAGCGTCGGGCTCGTGCCGACGATGGGCGCGCTGCACGCGGGGCACCTGTCGCTGATCCGGGCGGCGGCGGCCGAGAACTCGGCCGTCGTGGTCAGCGTGTATGTGAACCCGACGCAGTTCGGGGTGCACGAGGATCTGGACAGCTATCCAAAGACGTGGGACAAGGACGTGGCGCTGCTGCGGGATCTGGACCGCGAGCTGGCGGCCGACGGCGGGAACCTGGGGAAGATCGCGGCGGTGTTCGCGCCGACGACCGAGGTCATGTATCCGAGTGGGAGGCCCGGGCAGGAGGTCGATGCCAAGGGGAGCTTTGTGACGATCACGCCGGTGGGGGAGGTGCTGGAGGGCGCTAGTCGACCTACGTTCTTCCGGGGCGTGGCTACGGTGTGCATGAAACTGTTCAATATCGTGACGCCCGAGCGGGTGTATTTCGGCCAGAAGGACGTGCAGCAGACGGCGGTGATCAAGAAGATGGTCAAGGATTTCTGCCTCGATATCAAAGTCATCGTTGGGGAGACGCAGCGGGAGCCCGACGGGCTCGCCATGAGCTCCCGAAACGTCTACCTGGGCACGCGGCGCCGGCGAATCGCCACAACTCTCCTGAAAGCCCTGCAAGCAGCCGAAGCAGCCTACCTTCGCGGGAGCCGGTCACGCGACGAGATCCTGGGCCCGGCGCAGGAACTCGCGCGATCCGTCTTAGCAGAGCAATTGCAGCTGAAACCCGAGGAACGCGTCAAGTTCGAGGTCGACTACATCTCCCTCGCGGACCCGGAGAACATGATGGAGGTGCAAGAGGTGGATGAATCCAAAGGCGCGGTTCTCAGCGGTGCTATCAAGATGCTCCCCGTGGAATCACCACAAGCGGACGAGGATATCGGTGCAGCGGGCGGCCCGGCCGTTCGCTTGATAGACAATATCATACTGAAGCCCGTCACTGTATGAACTATAATATAACCAAAACCAAAACCGAGTCCAAACCCAAAAATCAAAACACAAGAGAAAGAACAAAGAAGAATCGAGGAACCCTCCAAATAGAACAGCAATATCTGGGTTTCGACAAGCAGCTAGCCGTCAAAAAGAAAAAAAAAGAAAAATTCACACCTTATTGCTACCTACCTCCCTACCTACCTATATCATATATTCCTTTGCAGCGGCAGACAGTGAAGAAGAAGGGAGAGTTACAATCTCCAGTCTCCTCTCCAGTCAGTCTCTCTCTCCCGCCAAACTACCTACCTACGTTACAGAAGAAGCCCTGCTGCGGGTTAGGTAACGACGAAGATCCTATGCCCGCATAGGGATATGCACTCTTCCACCGCGGAGGAGGACCGAGGAGGAGAATAATGAATGACTGAATAGGGATGGATGGATGGAATGTCAATTGAGGAGCTAGCTCTATGCGTGGCTGTCAAGGGGGGTCCTTGGATATATCTATATATTGATTGATTGGGATTCCTGATTTGTATATTATACTGTATATTATACTAAATGAGATGTGAAATGTGAAATGCGGATAGGTACATACATACATACATACATTCACGATACGATACCGGCAGGGTTTGTTGAGATTCACATTAAGGAAGGAGACTAGGTAGGTAGGTACAGAAGAGTACTATTAAACTTGAATGAAGACACCTACCTCATTACACTGCTGTTTTTGGCCGATAATATTATATTGTATTGTATATTTTAAGATATATTTTTTGATGCTTGCTTTTTTACCCAGGCTAGTTGGGGATATATATATCTCATCTCATTTGATAGGTATACATAGCCGCTTGCTTTAAGTTACGGGAGTTGAGATTTGTCTTGATGATATATCGGCCGTCAAAACACCAAATGCTTCCTTCCATTCCGCTTCCGCGCTTCCCATTCCACACCCGTTGAACGCCATAGCTCAATGTTGGTACACGACAACAGAGCAGATATTTTTTAAGCCCGACGCAAAAAGGAAAACCCAGCTGGCCAGCAGGCTGAGCTCGAAGGCCCAGTCGCCAACCTTGACACCCATCCGTTCTATAGAAATGTGCAATCGCCCGGGTATTAATTACAAAAGAAATATGAGCATCTAGCATGCCAATCGTCTATAAACATCGAATGTCTGAAGGATCCGGCGAAGGAACAGCAATAGACAATTAGACTAACTGGAGATTTCATGACTCCAACCTTGTCGATCGGAACGATCTTAGACAGTGATCTCAGCATTACCTCCGCCAAGTAATTCGAGAACTTTGTTTGAGACGGCGCTGGGATATCCTCGACTCAGCATCTCCTGGACGACATTTTTGGCGCTGGCTCTATCCTCAACCGCGAGATAAGCCCTGGTCATCGCTTCGTAGGTACTTGGCTCTCTCTTGTCGTGACCCACAGAAGCGAAGATAGATCGGCTCTTCTCGATATTCTTATCGTTGGCCCAACCGTGGATGAGAGTGTTGGCGATATACGGTGTCATCTCGACTTTTCGAGCAGCCATGTCGCGAAGGATAGGCTCGGTATCTGCGACGCGATGGTTGGCAACCATGGATTCAAAGAGAGCTTGATACAGGCATGCCTGTGGTCGGATCGAGCTGTCGGCCATTACGGAGTCGAAAACTGCTCGGGCGCCCTCCATGTCGTGCATGACACAGCCCTTAGCATGGATCAAGGATGAGTAGTGGACTGCCTCTGGGCTTTGTCCAGTGCTTCGGATGACATCGAGAACAGCTTCAGCGGCGGCCATGTTGATGGGCTCCAGGGTTGCGTGGGTATCGACGAGAAGCTTGTAGGTGTGGTTGGTTGGCTGGATACCCTTGCTCTGCATTCGCTCGTAGTATGCAAGAACCTTGTTCTTGTCGCGCTTGGTCGTGAGGAAGAATTGCATCAAGCTGTTGTAGGGGGCAGGTCGAGCCTTGTAGTTCGGCATCGACTCCATCTCCTCGAACAATTCCTCGGCAAATTTCTCATCACTGACTCGGCAAAGAGCATTGACGATAGTGCCGTAGGTAACGCTGGTGGGTCGGATTCCGAGAGCACGCATCTCAGCAAAGTAGAAGAGGCAGTCATCGATGCGACGAGCCTTTCCAAGCTTACCAATGAGAGCATTGTAAAGGAAAGAGGAGGGCTCAACACCCTCGCTCTTAGCTCGGTGGAAGATCTTGACGGCTTCTGAGGCCTCGTCGAAGGTCTTGGTCGACTCCTTCAGTGTGGTGATGTAGAGACCGAAAGTGTTCGCCGTTGGCGCGGCGCCCATATCGAGTAGCTCCTGGTGATATCGTGCGGCCAGAGCACGGTTACCGAGCGTGAGGCAGGCTCCAACCATGGCGTCCAGGATTGAAACCCAACCATAACGAACCACTGAATACTGGGGAAGCAGTGGAATGTCAGAGCGAGCCATACCGAGGATGTCATGGACCAGATTCATCCGTTCCTCTCGTGCAGCAGCGGAAATAAGCTTGGCGTAGGTGATGTAACGTGGGTGGCGACCGGCGCGACGAATATTTCTGAATCTACCCATAGCCTCATTCAACCGTGAAACTCTTCCACGACCGGCATTGCCTCTCTCAAGCTCATCTGCAATCAGAGTAGAACCTTTGAAGTCAGTGGATGCCGCATAAGGATCGAAGGTATCCTCGAAGGTAGGCACTGGTGCATATGGCACAACAAATCCTTGCTGGTACATGGCGGCCTCCGGAGTAACCTCACGAGGATCCGGAACGCCTCGTGTAATCATGAATCGGTTGATGAACTCAACGCCCTCCTCGATCTCATCGACGATATGCGGATTTGACTCCCCAGAGGATGCTCTGATGCGAGCGAACATCTGATCGGACTGTGCAAGACCTTCCAAGACCTGGCCGGAGCCAATCATTGCAACGGCGTACATGGCAGTGGGCTCAATGAATGAGGACGAGACAGCCATCTCCGGGCGAGATAGCAATTGCCAGTATCTCTGGGCTCCTACAACATCGCCCTCGCGAACACTAAGAGCCAGCATAGCCATGACGGGGGTTGCAAACTCAGCAAAGTTGGAGGGGATACTGGAGAAAGCAGTGGTCGCAGTAACCTTATCTCCTTTGTCAGCCGCACGTGTAGCGATTTTGCTCATGGCGGCAGCTTTTGTAGATCCCTCGAGACCCTGAGCCCACTCAAGTGCTTCTGGGAGCATTCCACGGTCCAACAAGCCCTCAACGAATCCTTCACTGATGATCGTGTCTTTGAAGGCACTCGATTCCTGGAAATAGGCATCCGCGATCTTGTTATAGAACTTCTTCGCACCCTCCAGTTTGTCGGATGTGACATAAGCTCTGACGACAGCGGCATAGACACGTGCGTCCTGACGGTCAGTCAATGTGAGGTCCCCGCGGTCATCTGCTACTGCCAGTTCCTTGTACTCGTTATAGCACTCCACCGCACTGATGAGGTTTCCTGCCTGGTTGAAGGCCTTGATCATAGGTGGGAAAGTACTAGCCAATGGAACGATCTTGCTGGTTTCCATGTGCTCATACAATCGAACCATCTCTGGGACACGCCCAGCCTCGGAGCAAGCCTTGATCAGCTGATGGTAGGTTTCAGCGGGGTACGATCGGTCCTTGCGGCACGAAACAGATGCCTCAAATAATCTGACTGCAAGGTCGAGTCGATCGTCTTCGGAAAGAATAGCAAATTCGACCTCGTTTGATGGGAACATGAATTTTCCGGGCTCTTCCATGCCACCAAAACGCTCGCGTTTCTCCTCCAGGGACTGTTTCAGCGAAGAAACCTCCAAGGATCGTGAAGCCAACAGACTGATCAACGTATCGTAGGTTTCCGTGTTTGGAAGGACTTTGCGTCGAAGCATGTCCGAGTAGACATCAAGGGCCTTGGGAACGACCTGAATCCTCTCCGAAGGGAGATGGATCGCAGCGTCCAGGAGAGCATTGTAGGCATTTGCTGTAGGCTGGATGTTGGCCACAAGCATAGCCTCGAAAACGGCCGGAATCTCGGCATACCGTCCAGCTTCTGATAGTTTTGTGAGGTGCTCTGCATAGCTGAGAGATTGTAGTTCCGAAGGACTGCTAGCGGAAGTAGCCGATGTAGACCTCTCGAGGCTGGTGGTCTCGGTGGCTGAATCCACAGAGAGAGCAGGTGTCTGAACTGGTGCAATAGGGGGTGTGGGTACACGCGCAGCGACGATGCTCAACTCGGTTTCGAAAATCGCCTGGTCATTTCGCAACTTGATTTCCTTCTCAATGGCGGCATCGATCTTGGCAAGTGCAGCCTCCTCCTCAGCTTCAAATCCAACCTGCTTAATATCGTCTACCGCACTGGTACTGTAAGATCTCTCGTGCTTCGGCGCACCCGGCGCTACCTCAACCTCGACATTATTCTGACTTTCCGGGTCGACCTGGATGGATTGAGGTTTCCACTCAATACGTTTTGTAAACTGGAACTGGGTCCACTCTTTCTCTGGCTCTCCTGCAGCATGGTGTTTCTTCCACGCATCAAAGTATGCATCTAGCCCTCCGTCAGTCTTCTCCGTGCGAACCTCGCGCACGGTCGTGCCAGAGGCCTGGGCGCTAGTCTGGAAAGCATTTTGGAAGTGGTACGGGTTGCCGGCTTTGCTGGAGCGACGCTGAAGACCAAAGCCGGGTCGGTTCTGCGCGGCGTAGACTTGAGGGTGTGTAGCGGCAACAACAGACTGGGCGTACCCGTGTGTAAATGATTTGGTGAAGCCTTGACGTGCAAGATTCGAGTAGAGGTTAGAGTAGATGGGCATTTAGGGATGGGTTGGACCTCTCAGAAGGGGGAGAGAGGAGACTGCGAGGGAGTCAGCTTCGTGCTGCTTGTGAGGGGCCGCGGAAATGGAGTCAATGGTGTATGATGGAAGAACTTACTTGGGATCTCAATGTAATATTAAAGATTGCAGGTTCATTTGACAGCGAGGCCGTCAAAGAACGCGCGGGCAAGGACTAAACGGGGGGATAATGTTGAAGGGGGAGAGGCTGACTCGTTGACTGAGCTGTGAATGCTCAGAACAAACAGATGAGTTGTGATGATGAGCAGCGTAGAAGACAGACAGGTAGATGTAGAACCTGAATATGAAGACTTGAGTAATTCGACAAAGAGGCCACACGAGTCTAATTATGTGGTAACCTCGGCCCCAGGATTGCTCGTACGATTCGTGGGGATCGAGTCAGGGTTGATGTGTGTGGACACAAGGCTGGACGATTAAAGTACAGGGGTGGGGATGGCAGGAAGAACGGTCAGCTGCCACTAACAAAGGATGGCGGCGAAAGAAACACGGGAAGACTGAGCAAAAGGACGTGGAGAGAGAGAGGAGGAGGAGTGAGAGAAAAAGACGAAAAGATGAGGTTTCTTTAGTTCGCAGAGCCACGAGCAGAATTATTGGAGGGACGCGGGATCCAGGAGAACCTTTCGTGTGCGTTGCGGATGCCTGGTGGGTGACTAAGGTTACGTAGTGGGACGGCCGTCAGCCAACGATAATCAGTCGGGACGGCGGCCGACTCGCTCCGGCTCCACCGCAAATCACAATGCGCGCGCGCGCCGGCTGGACGGGTGTCGGGACTCGGGTGTCGGGTCAGACAGGCCCGGTTGAATCACCGAGAGGGAGGAATCGAGGATAATGGGACATTTGGGAATCATGGGAATTGCGGCGTTAGGCCTTTCCGGGGTTAGCTGCTAATTGCCGGGGCCGTGCGTTTATTCCAGTGGCTTCTATATTGTCGCCCTAGCCCGGCTTCTTCACACCCGCCATTGATTGGGCGTCGCGTGCGTATATTATGCCCATATTTATGACGGGATTATTACAGACGTGCAGTGTTTACTATTCATGCTCCTTTTGCCCGCGTTCCCCCGGCTAATGCGTCCCTCTGACTTGCCCAGGCCCGGCCATTACCGGCATATCCATGATCCTGCGTGATCCTTACCCCGTATATTCTTCGTAATCGCGCGTCGTCGGCTGGGCCCTTTTTTCCTAGCGGCTCACTCCTGCGTCACCGCGTGAGCATGACATCTTTTTGCATCTTTTTGCTTCTGTCTCTCCGTGCTCCATCCCCCCCCTGAACCCCTGAACCCCTGATTCTAGAAGCTGGGTCTTGACTCTCGAGTCTTGATTCTTGACTCTCTGATTATTTCTCTCCCTCTCTCCCCTTCTCTCTCGACCTCGACCAGTCAGCCATGGCTACTGCTGTCTCCGCCCCAGGCAAGGTGCTCCTGGCCGGCGGGTATCTGGTCCTGGACCGCGCCCACACGGGGCTCGTCTTCGGCCTGAGCGCGCGCATCCACGTCGTCGTGCGCGACATCGACACCAGCGCGGGCGTCGAGCTCTCGGAGATGGTCGTGCAGAGCCCGCAGTTCCGCCATGCCTCGTGGATCTACGGCTACCGCCTGACCGAGGAGCTGGGCGGCGTGCACGTCACCCAATTGCAACGGTAGGAGCTCTCTCTCTCCTTCTCTGTCTTTGCCCCCGAGGCTGTGCTATTCCTCTTTTGCCCTCTTTTCTCCCCCCTTTTCCCCTTTTCCTCTTATATCCATATCACGCGATAACCCTTTTCTTCTCCCCTTTCTTCTCTCTTAAGCCCCCCTTTTCCACATACCGTAGGCCAGTTATTAGTTCTCTTGGATCCACATTGGTTCTGCCTGCCTTCATCCATACTCATAGCTCCACAGTGCCCCGCCCGCCGAGCATTCACGAAACCCCTTTGTAGAGACCGCCTTGGCCTACGCCCTGACCTACATCTCGTCCGTCCTGCCCTCCACCACCATCAAGCCCGCATCCATCACCATCCTCGCCGACAACGACTACTATTCCCAGCCCGCGAGCACCACCACTACTACCAGTTCCCAATTCACAGACTTCGGCGTCCGTCTCCAGGATGCCCACAAGACCGGCCTGGGCTCCTCGGCCGCCCTCGTGACCGCCTTCACCGGCGCCATCTTGAGCCACTACCTCCCCGCGTCCCACTTCTCCCTCGCGTCCGCCCAAGGCCGCGCGAGGCTCCATAACCTCGCCCAGGCCGCCCACTGCGCGGCCCAGGGCAAGGTCGGCTCTGGCTTCGACGTCGCCGCCGCCGTGTACGGGACCTGCGTCTACCGGCGCTTCTCGCCATCGCTGCTCTCGCAGGTCGGCGAGCCCGGGACGCCGGGGTTCGCGACGCGGGTGCACGCGCTCGTGGACGACGATGGCGACGCGGCGCAGAGGTGGGACGCCGAGGTGTCGAAGGGCGGGGTGACGATCCCCGCGGGCATGGCGCTCGTCATGTGCGATGTGGATTGCGGGTCGCAGACGGTAGGCATGGTGAAGGATGTGCTGGCGTGGCGGAAGCAGGACGCGGCGGGGTCCAAAGCGCTGTGGGATGAGCTGCAGGCGTGCAATGATGCGCTGGCGGCGACGCTGTCCGCGGGGACGGTCGATCTGGAGCGTCTGGGAGCGGCGTTTGAGGCGATCCGCGCCCGCATCAGGGAGATGGGGAAGCGCTCCGGGGTGCCGATTGAGCCGCTGGAGCAGACCGAGTTGTTGGATGCGTTGACGCAGGGCGTCAAAGGTGTGGCTGGGGGAGTGGTCCCCGGGGCCGGCGGCTATGATGCGATCGTCCTCCTGATCAAGGATGATGAGGAGACATTGGCTGAGATTGAAACATTCCTCATCAAGTGGTGTGCGGAGAAGAAGAGCAATGTCAAGTTACTCGGCGCGAAAGGGGAGTTGGAGGGAGCGAGGGAAGAGGACGGTGCTAGATACAGCGGGTTGTTCGAATGAGAAACAGGGGCTTCTTCTTCTTCTTTCTCCTTTTTTTGCACCAGCTAATTGATCACTTAATGCTTTGTGGTTATCAAGAGAGGCGGCTCCAAGCGATTCTGACTATTTTGTTCTTCTTACACACTTTGATAGATGGATATAGAGAGACCCCCAGCTAGTAAATATCCCACAGACTGACCTTCCCATCCTTACTCCCGGCCACCAACCAATGTGTTCTCTTCGCTCTCCGAATTCTCTCTTCCTTAACCGTCAGCGCTCCTCCACCCCTCTTCACCAGCGCGCCCTCTTCCTCCTTCTCTGCACTCGTCCCCCCCACCCCGTCCACATCCGCGAACGCAACCGCGTAGCACCCGTCCTTATGCCACTTCAAAACAGCCAGCTCCTTCAAGCTCTTCAGCGCATACACGCGGACCTTAGAATCCCAGCCCGCCGTCGCGAAGATCTTCGCATCGTTCCTGACCCTCAGGCCCTGCTGTCCCGCATGCTTCGTCTGCAGCGTTTTCAACGGCGTGCCTTCTTTCGCTTTCCGGATCACTACTTGGTCGTCGTCGGCAGAGACGTCGGGGATCGGGTGTTGGGCGATGATGGCATCGGCCGAGGACGTCAGGTAGGAATCTTTGCAGGGCGAGACGTCGAGCGAGAGGATGGGTTGGGAATGCGGTTGCGCTGTGTATAACACGTGCCATGTTTGGGACGCCGAAGAAAGCTGGCTGACGCTCGTGTGCCCGCTTTCGTAGCCGGCGATGACGGTCAGGTGCTGGTTGGAAGGGTGTGGGAAGAGAGAGATGGCCATTACCATGCCTCCTTTTATTGAGGGGTCGCCTGGGACGGTATGGATGCGTTCCTCGGATGGGAGGTGGAAGATATCGACCTGGGAAGGTTAGAGATGAGAAATGAGCAAGGGGGGGAGGGGAAGAACTCACGGTTTCGGAACTCATGGTGTTGGGTACCGCTATCAGTAATTCATCGGTGGTAGGAGAGTCCTCTGAGGGGGGTTTTTGAATAGTGCATTGAGCAAAGGAACAGAAGTTCATGGTGTTCACATGGAGAACGTGGAGTAACCAGGGTTGTTTTCTGGGCTCGGGGGGCGTATCTACGGGGAGGACAACGCTCATTGTAGCTTCGTCTTCCTCTCGGAAGTTCCATACTATCAGCTTATTGTCTTTGCCATGTCTAAGTCTTCAAGTCAGCAATATGCTTAGTACATCTGGAGAAAGACCGTCTTGAGTTTCCGGTACAGGTATTTCTAGGATCGGCTTTGAAAGGAAAAGCATGGTAAAGACGAAAAGATAATGAGCACCGTGAGACCTAATCCAAAGCACCCATTGGACACATTAAATATATGCACCAAGATGGAAATCGAGGAGACGCATGAACTCAGGCAGGATGTTAACTCACGTGATCAGCTTCTCCGGACCCCAGCTTCTTGCCCCAAGGATGGCGCCCTCATGAGCTCTCCATACAGCGACGGGCCTCTTGGTCTCCAGACTCCAGACGACTATCCAACCGTCCGCATCTCCCGTGACGAGGCGGCGGTTCGAGTGCATGAACGAAGCCGAATGGATTGCAGCAGCATGGCCTCGCAGTATGTAAGCGGGCTGAGCCGGAGGCAAGGACATCTTCGCCCCCGAGGAGACGATGTCGATCAGGGGCGGCTTCGGGTTATGGAAGTGTCAGTTGTCCCAGTAGTTGTGCCCACCGATGTGTGATGGTATACTTGACGCCCGTTTTGCGTCAGCTTTTACAAGGGGACGATTGGGAATTTCGAAGGCCAGGACGCTCTCTCAGCCAACATGAGCCAGCGACTTCAAACACCCACGGACTATCCCCATAATCATGGAGCGTAACGTCGCACAGACTGCAGTTTGTACAGTCAAAGACTCAACGTTGAAAATGCCCGAGTCTTCAGTTAGGCGTTCTCAGATCGGATCTGGAGAGAGAGAGTATATCACGTGATTGCGCCCTTGATGGGAATTCTGGCGTTACTTTAGCTAAAGGTACCAATTCCGAAGCGCTCTCTCTTGAGTGTTTTGAAAACGTACTACTACTGAAGACAAAGTGTCATCAAGCTTTCCCGGCTAGCTACCTTGTATCTCTTGCTCGGGAAAAGCGCCACCCAAAGCATCATAGGTAGCCTCATAGGTCATAGACAGCCGGACCCTTCGGACGCTTACGCAAGGAACTTTTGACAATTGGGTATGGGTCCACCTACCTAAATCTATGCGTAGACCTAAGGTAAGGTACCTCACCTTACCTGTACTCCGTATTATCCTCGCTACTATACCGAGATTGAAGCTATTCCCAATACCACTTACAACACCCAGTCTCCTTACTACTGCTACCTACCTACATTCTAGGTTATATTTTCACGAGTTAGACTACCTACCTTACCTACATAGGTACCTACCTAGGTATCACCCCTCCTCAACTTTACAAAGATCTTTGTGATGTGCGACAATAGCTGTCCCCACACGAGGAGGAAGTTGCGCAAAACTTTGTAGGCTTGCTTTTGTACAAAGTCAGTCTTACTTACTACCTTACTACCTTACTATTCTATTTGCGCAAAGTCTTTGCAAAGAGTTTGTAAAGATTTGTGATGTGCGACAAAACTCCTGCTTTATACGTGAGAGGAGAGGATAAGTACGCAGTTAAGTACCTTGGGTTTTTGTCGCACATCGCAAAATCTTTAGAGGCTTACTCCTATACAAAGTAAGACTTTGAGCTACCTTGTATAAAGACTTCGCAAAGATTTTGCGCTGTACGACAAGATTTCTACTGTTCACGTGAGATAAGGGTCTTTGACGTCGGACGCATAATTTGAATTGACTTCCTGACTATCCCTTTTCTATAACTTCTTCTCAAGCTGCTCTATCTGCCAATATATAAGTCGAAATTGCCCTCCTTTAACAGATTCTTATCCCTATTGTAAATAAAAGTCTCTTCCGGCACCTCCGTTCCGTTACCTAACTCGATAACACATGCCTTGACCTTGTATACCTCGGTCTCATAAAGACATATTGATGAACAAAAATGACCAGATGGACTTGATCTGCGGGAAAAGAAGCAAGTGATTTATTGAAAAAGGCCAAAGGGATATGAAAAAATGCGCAAATGTGTAGATACTGCATCCACAAGAGGTAACCAGAAGAGCAGCTTATATACCTAGGTAGGCTTTCAACTTTCTAAATGTCTTCCATGTTTCCTGATTTCAATTGTATTTGCTCCTCTGACTCAAGGAAACATGATCTTAATGCAGCGTTTGACAAAACAATCGATGTATAATGGGCAAACGGATAGAGCAATAAAGTATAACGAAACATTCTTGTCGTCAATGATGTTTGCTCTTGGGCGCAGTGAGAGATGTTTGTCATTCTCTCAGTTTGTATAATCGAACGATGGCACGGAGAACTGTGTCATTTTGTACATAAGCCGTCTATTGTATGCTTCGAAGGAGTCAGTTGAATGTGTGATATGACCGGTTCTTTCTCCAATCCGCTATCTCTAGATGATAATAGCAAAGCGATGGAAAAGATCTGATACCTAAGGTAAGGTAAGGTAAGGATGGAAGTTATAAGCGATTTAGATGCAGCGACCAGCCGGGGGTTTCCATGTTATTGGCGAGTAGACCTATTGAAGTTAGTACCGGCAGCATCCGTCACATTCTGGCGCGAATAAACGCCAGCCCTATCCGTGCTCCAAGCTCTGCTTTCTGTCTTGGCGTAGAGCTCTATTCATTTTCGTCATATTTAGTGCATGTTAGGAAGAGAAGACAGGTTACCCTTCTCGAGAATATAATCGCATGGAGCGAGAGAGCAGAAGAGATTTTAAATGATATTTATCCTGCTCAAGAGAATTATGGAACGAACCTTGCATCCACCGCTTTAAACCGTTTCCTACGGCACTGGCAACCGCCGCCTAGTGATGGAAGACTTGAAGTATTTCTGATAGCGTTCCAAATCGAAACTACCGTCTTCAAGTTCCTTACTATCAGGTTCCCCTGCCCAGCAGAACGTCCGACAATTCCTGAGAACCTCTCCACCTTCCAAAACTGCATCACACTCGTCCCATCTGTAAGCGGCAGTCTCGTAAGCTACCAAACGGTCGAAGTGGGCTTCCGAGGTCACCTTCCACACAGTCCCAGTTACGCTTCCAGAGTGGCACGGTATCAATGTTGGATATATGCCCCACATTTTGATAAGGAAACCAGAAATGGTAGCAGGCCTTGTAGTCGGGAGTTCCGGGAGATCGAGAATTGATTGGAGGACCTCAGAGTCCATGAGTGAACCGTAGAAGAACATGTGGAATGGCTGGAAGGGTTCACCGGGCATGTTTGCTTTCGTGTCTTTGAGGAACTGCCAGTAGTGTGCTTTGTCTATGGGCTCAAACGCTCCAGAAGGTACTGGAGGAGGTGGGGGTACTATCCTCGCCGGTCTTGATGATTTGAACAGGTGTGGAGGTGGAGGTGGAGGTGGAGGTGGAGGTAAAGGTGGAGGCGGCATTGCAGTATTTGGTATCGAAATTTTGTCTTCTCGACGAGATGAGGGTGGAGGTGAAGGTGGAGGCGGAGGTGCATGGTCCATTGTGGAAGCCGCTGAGCGCAAAAGTGCACGTTGGCTTTCGCGATAGGACTGTTAGTCAATGTTCTGACTGTTAGATTATTGCAACTACTTTCTGAAGTCACTCCTCTAAGCTTGTTGTGCGGCGCTTATTGCGGCGTAAGGCGGTTATAATCAGGTGAAACACTGTCCACCATGAGCTCACCTCCTGGGCGTACTTGCTCAGCCAACCTCAGGTTCGGCTCACCCATAGCTCAGGCTATAACAGCACTGCTCAGGTCCAAAGACGGAAATAGAAAATAGTCATGTCGAGATTCCGATATCGATTAAGCTGTTCCAGATGCCTTGGAATACTACAACAGATATATGGTCATTTGGGACAATGGTGAGAGCCCAATTTGATTATGTGAAAGCGATGCGTTGTTCTGGGAGCAGTAATACTGACAGATGTGCAATGTCCCAGCTCATAAGCTTGATATACGGAGGTGATTTGAACCTCTTCCGCCCCCGAGACGTCCCTTTCGGCCATGAAGAATATGAACTGAAGATTCTTATGCGGCAAACCCAGTATTCTGGGCCGTTTCCTGCCAAGTACGAGGAGATTATCGACCAGGAGACTGTCGCGGTGATACTTTATTTAGGGGAACAAATCCCGAAATCGAAGCTGACGCAGTTCCATCGGACTACCGAGAGGGAAGTGTCGAAGGAAGACAAAGAGTTCATTGGCAAGATCATGAAGCTGGAAGAGATAGGCACTCCGTAAAAGAGTTGTTATAGGACGCGTAATTGAAGGAAGATGCGGCGCAACAGGATGGGGTGGGCACGGAGTAAAATGCCATCATTCTGTGGGATGATCGAAGGGGCAAGCAACTCTGGTGACTTGTAATGATTATAAAGGAAATCTCCAATGGGTATGTGCTATCAGCGGGAACAGACAAAGACGGAATTGCGCGAAATAGGGTAATAAGATAGGTAAATTTTTCAGATAGCTGACAAGTCCTGCCCTAAGTCGCGAATTGTGTAATTAATGAAGTTCACTTGCAACATTCGTACACTCGTATCGTTAGCAGAGAAATCGCCCAGAATCTCAAAGATATTCAGCCCGTGCATTGTGCTCTACGGAGTATTTATGCAAATTCTGCTTGGTTGGTCTCTCTGTAACATCAGTGCCTTCGCTAAGGCAGAGAGAGCGGCAAGTCGAAACGGCTGCTCGACTCAAACTGCAGAGATCGACAAGGGACTAGACTGCAGATTCCAGAGTGTCTTTCCTATCAAGCTGCCGACTACTATTCAGACATCCAAGACAGCGCCAGCATCGACAACTTACTATCATACCTACATACGTAGTCTTAAGACCCTTGCGGATTCGCGGCCGTCAATTCTTTTTCTCTGCCGTCTCCGGCCCCATCCATCCGGGATAAACGGTTCGCGACTCGGACTCTCTGAGCGCCAGAGCCCGGCGCCGCTTGCCTTTTGCCTTACCCGCTCCGGATCGTCAACTTCTATTCAACAGTATATGCTTCGATTCGCTTTTCCTTTGCTGCCCCTCACCTTACTCCTAAGTCCTTTCTTACTCGTCGTGTAATAGCGACGTAGAAGATTCTGTAACGTTCTTGCCAATGTTTGCAGGTGGGCACCAGACCCATCAACACAATCACTGCGAGGATTCGCAGCGGCTTCAACATCGTGGCGGCCCACGATAGCCAGGGTTACCTCGCCCCAGAGTTTGAGTTAGACTATCAGTACCAGGTCCAGTCGACAACCATATCTCCTTTGTACTCGGCCTCGGCAGTCACGGACTCTACCTTTGTCGCAGAGCAGCAATTGACCCCGCCAGCCCACCACGTCGCTGATACCAGTACTCGCCCTCCAAAAACACAGAGAGTTGACGGCCAAGGGAAATATACAAAGGGGGGAGTGAGGTCTGTCAATCAGATGCCAGCAACTGAAGGCACGAATGTTGCGGACACGGCCGCTGCAAACAAGCCAAAGCGAGTACGGACGGGATGCTTGACTTGCAGAGAGCGTCACTTGAAGTGTGATGAGGGTCTTCCCAGCTGTCAGAACTGCCGCAAGTCAAGTCGGGTATGCAAGAGGGGTGTACGGTTGAACTTCATCGATACGACAGTCAGATCGCCTCCAACAATCCCCCCCACCGAGACTTGGAAAGGTTCGCATCACCCGCAGCGCCTGCTTAGGTACTCATGCTAACTGTCTGACAGTGAAGTTTCAGGATGAGTCCCGCGAGATTGCATCAGAATACAAGGGCGGCCTTGGCCGCTATTCTCAGCTCGACCAGACCATAACGCCTCCTCAGGAGCAAACCCTCGAATTTTCCTCCCGATCTACGATCCTCGATCCTCTAATACGTGCAGAGAATAATGCTCTTCCTCCAATACATCCCTCTAGCCGCTATCCCGATGGCAGCTTCTCAGCCAAGCAAGAGCAATCTCATTCAAGGCGCCCCAGCAGTCATTATCCTCTTACAGGCCATGATGGGTCTTTCCTCGCTCCTCCAATATCGCACAGCAATCCCGATCAGATCTTAACACCGCCCCATGAGGCACGGGATTATTTGAACTCTCCAGAAGAGGTGCTATTGATGCAAGTATTTGTGGAGGAAGTTGGCTTGTGGATGGACAGCATGGACCCCATGAAGCATTTCTCGAGGCTATTGCCATTCCACTCACTGGGGGAGCCAATGCTGCTGAACGCATTTCTAGCATGTGGGGCTCGACATCTGACACTTGTAAACCCCATGTATCACGAGGACAAAGCTCTATATTACTATGATACAGCTACTACCCAGCTTTTACGGTCCTTGCAGAATCCTGACCGAGACACAGTAGTCTGTGCGACGACGGCGGTCATCCTAAACGTTTACGAGATCATGTCGGAGCGAGTAACACAACGGATGAACCATATTGCTGGTGCCAGAGCCCTGATCAAGGAGTGTGGATGGAACGCAACAAGCACGGGAGTCGGTGCTGCATGCTTTTGGCTGAATGTTGGTATGGAACTCTTAAGCTGTTTGCATTTCAATTGGCAGGTAGCTTGGGAACCAGATCAATGGGGTGTTGACATGGACTTCCAACGCGAGACTGAGCCAGGGCGAGAAGAACTTTGGGCACACCGGATGCTCTACATTGTGGCAAAGATTGCGAATTTTCGGGCTTCGATACCACGATTCAAGGAGGCATCACCACATGACGAGCAGGTTCGATTGGAAGCCAGATTCGCCGAATGGCAGAGATTGAAAACATTGTGTGACAATTGGAATGCCAGCATACCCAGGAATATGCATCCGATAGGTTATCTATACCCCTCGCAAACCAGCTCGAAATCTACGTTTCCGGAAGTTTGGTGAGCATGATTGTGCCCAAGGTGTTTTATATTTTATATTTGCTAATCTAGCTCAGGCTCATTAAACGAGCTACAATCGTAGGTCGGTTGTTTTACCACACGGCGATGTGCCTCTTGCCTCAAATCAACCCTATCATGTCTAAAGATAGTGAAGAGATGCGCCAGATGCAGCTGAGCCACGCCCACCAAATCTGCGGTATTACCGCACATGTAAAGGATAGGGGCGTTGCTAGTGTGGCAATACGTTCTCTTGCCATTGCGGCCGAATGTCTTGTCGTACGTCGGGAGCAAGAAGAGGTCCTTGAAATATTCGAGAAGATCCGTAAAGAGACGGGGTGGAAAGTTAGTTTCTTGAGTAACGAATTGAAGGTCAAATGGGGTTGGCAAAACGAAAATTCGACGCAACAGCAGCAGATGGCAGCGCAGCAGAACTCCTTGCAGTTCTTTCAGGCGACCAGCATGCCACCCGCTCAGTCTCAACCTCAGCCCAGATCGACATCAAGTGGAATCTCCAATCCGCTTCTAAAGACTGCCGACTTTTCGCTGCCAAACCACCCATACCAACAATACTATCAACCACCTAATCAACATCATCAACATAATCAATTTGCGCACCCTTATTTGTGAGGCCGCACATAATGCACTCTTCGCCTTCTGAGGATCGCATATTCTACCACAATTGCCACGAAGTTTGGCAACATTAACTTTGCAGGGGGATGAAGAAGGGGCCCACATATGGACAGACAGGCGTCGGATTCCAGGGAAATAAAAGTAGATAGGAAAGGTGCATATTTGATCGGCGCTACGGAAAAGGAAGGATTTGATGAGTAACGACTGTTTAAACACATGTTGGGGGGGCCTAAGCATAAAAGGAGTCGGGTCGATCTTTAGTTGTACGCATATATGCTGCAATGAATGATATAATGTATAACAGGTAGAACATTGCCGCGTTTATTATCACTACGTGGGCCAAATGGTTCTGAGAAGCCTCCTTTAGGCTTGTCTACTGTTTCTTGACTTCTGTTCCTGCTACTTGGCGAGCTCGTTGTATGTCGATTTGTACTGTGTAGCTACTTAGCCCTGAGGCAAGCTTCACACGTACTTGATCAAAGTTTGAGAGGCCGAATTTCGGGCTCATAGAATCCGCCACAGGGGGCAGTTAAGATATCCGTCTGCCCAACCCTTTGTAAATCCGTTAGAAAATAAAAGTCCCGGAGATAGGGAAGACACCTACAATGGCGGGATGCAGCTGATTCCCGCTCCTCCACAGCTCCCGCAGGAGTCGAGTGATGTCTATTTCGTACGGTTCTCATCTTTCAGAGATCCGGGAGGAAATGTGGTTTGAACTTCCTGTTCGCTCTGTCCACTGCCCGATAGATAAACTGATCGCCATGCAGCTCAAACACCAAATCCTTCTCACCCTCTTGACCCCCCTCTTTCTCGTTCCCCTCAGTTACCCCCGGCCGCGGGACCGTAAACCTAAAGACCGTATGCTCTTTCGGCATGACCTTGAGCTTATCGTTTCTCGTCACAATCTCAAAAGTAAACTTCGAATCCTTGACCACGATGCCCCGCACCCCGACCCGACTCACACACCTACTACGCACGACCTCCAGCTCCGCCCCATGAAAATCCGCACTACACAACTTCGCCGCCGTCGCCGCCGTCACCGGCATGCTCCGCTCAAGCACCTCCTGGATATAGCCCACCCACATCTTGTGCAGCGGCGCGTACAGCGCGTATTTCTGCGCCTCCCGCGGCACATCGTACAGGCAGAGCGCGCGCTTCTCCCGCGATGAGAGCGGCTTGGGCTTGAGCTTTTTCTTGCGCAGCGAGAGCTTGCGCTGTCGCTCGACTCGTCGGTGGTGTCGCGCGTTGTCGTGCTCAGAGGGCTTGAGGTGGAGCGGCCGCGTCTTGATCTTTTCCGTGAAGATGCGGTCTGTGGAATCGGGGGAGTGGGCGCGCGACAGGAGGGAGATGGCGACGTTGGTGTCCTTGAGCGCCATGGTTCTTCCTCCACTCTCTCGTCCCTGAGAGTTTTGGGGGTTCGAGTTTGAGACACTTATAGTAGGTAATTTGTTTCTTTTTTTGAAGCTTGGTCAGTCAAGCTCGGCAGAGAATAAGGTTCTTGCTTAGCGCTGCAGCTACCCCAGACTTTGGACCTCGGATGAAAACGGTCGACTTCCCCGGACCAACAATGAAATCTGTTGGATGTACTTTTGTTTGGTGACATGCCCATCTTCGAGTTGTCGTCTTTGGAAAGAGACAATTATGCCTGACCCAAAGACATCCCCCTCGCAGGGCCGGAAGCAATCGCAAATGGCAGACCCAGACGGTTCTGCCCCGGATCTTGAGCTTCTGGGTGACCAGGTTACCTTGCAACCCCGAGGCTATATCGAGCCTTTACAGCCTGCTGAAGATGGTGACAAAGAGCGGAACCTGGTGGAGCATATGGCAAGGTTCCGATCTAGTCCATTGGAGTAAGCCTCCCATGAACAGACGTCCCTGAAGAAAGAAACCTAGATTAACATCCGTCCAGGTTCCTGCGAGAGGTCTCCCTCCACGTCTCTGGCATGGGATGGCGCGCTTACGACAATGTCATCGGACAACCCATCTTCTATCCAGGTTTCTCCGAAAACATGATTGCATCGGTTCTTTCTACGCCCATTCTACAAAAGCGAATCACCGAATTGGCAGAAAAGAGGATAGCAGTAGAAGAAAAGGACGGGCTTTTGAACAAGAATGATCCACACTATGCTTCGAAACGGGCCCACCGGAAATCCGTCATTGAGCAGAGCCTCCAAGAGCTCTCCGAAAAGTTGGCGGATGAAATGATATGCAAGCTCGAGAGCAAGACGTTTATTAGGGGCGCATATTATTTGACGACTCAGCTCTTGACTCGAGCATACCACCAAGGTAAGATGGTTTGAAGGATAGTAACTCCTTCTAGAATCGGATCTAAGTTACTATAGGAATTCATGTTTCGAGTGAAGAGGTCTTGCGATTACGGAAAGTTGCGGAAAGGACAGAGAAGGCCAAGCAGAGCATCATCTTCCTGCCATGCCATAGATCACATGTAGACTATGTTTCTTTACAACTCATCTGCTACCGATTGGGTCTGGCGTTACCTACGGTCGTGGCTGGCGATAACCTCAATTTTCCCGTGGTTGGGAGCTTTTTACAACACGCCGGTAAGGCTCTGTCCTCCCTTCTCTTGCATACCATACTGATATTACCAGGGGCAATGTACATCCGAAGAAGCTTCGGAGATGATGCGCTTTACAGCACACTTGTACAATCATACATAGATACCCTGCTTCAAGGCGGCTATAATTTCGAATGTTTCATTGAGGGAGGCCGATCAAGAACAGGGAAGCTTTTACCGCCCAAATTTGGAATTCTGAGCTTCATTCTCGATAGTGTCTTGTCCGGCCGCGTCGAAGATGCCGTTATTTGCCCGGTCAGTACGCAATACGACAAAGTCATCGAGACGGAAGGCTATGTCGGTGAGTTACTAGGCGTACCGAAAAAGAAAGAGAACCTGGCGGATTTCCTCTCGGCCTCCTCCGTTCTTTCCTTGAAGTTGGGTCGTGTGGATGTAAGATTTCATGAACCTTGGAGTTTGCGACAGTTCATAGTTGAGCAGCAATCTCGAACGACCGGGATACCTAAGGGGCTCGATATGAAAAGTATAAGTGATACTGCCACCAGGCAGAAGATCCTACGTACCTTGGGCTACAAGGTTCTCTCTGATATAAATGCCGTCTCGGTTGTCATGCCCACCGCTTTGATTGGGACGGTCCTCCTGACCCTTCGAGGCAGAGGCGTTGGTTTTGACGAATTAGTTCGTCGGGTCGAATGGGTCAGCCAGAGAGTTAGAGCTAAAGGCGGACGGGTCGCTCACTTCGGGAATTCCCCCACCTCTGTTGTGATTGAACGCGGTCTTGAAGTTTTGGGAAAGGATCTCGTAGGCCTTGTGGAAGGTCTACCCGAGCCAACTTATTATGCCGTCGACAGATTTCAGCTATCTTTCTACCGAAACATGACGATACATCTCTTCATATCAGAAGCGCTTGTCAGCGCAAGTATGTACATTCGGGTCAAACGAGGAGGTGGGCCCGAGAACCAGAAGATATCATATGAGGAACTGCGCGACCAAGTGCTATTTCTGTCCCAGTTATTCAGGGGCGAGTTCATCTATCCAACAGAGGGATTGGCTGTTAACTTGGATAATACTCTTCGAGGTCTTGAGGCCGACAAAATTGTCGATCTACACCGAGATAGCGAGGGCAAGATTACAACAGTTGGCTTGTCGGATGCGGAGCGTGCTGCTGGGCGCGAGAATTATGATTTCTACTGCTTCCTCATATGGCCCTTCATAGAAGCTTTCTGGCTTGGAGCTGTGTGCCTCATGGGTCTGACACCGCCACTAAATCACCAAGGAGATGGCTGGCTTGATATGAACAAATGTCAAGATAGCTCGCAGCTGGTAAGTCAACATCTCTCTTCAAGTCCAGGCTCCGGCTGACCTCTAATAGCTTGGTAAAACTCTGTACCACCAAGGAGACCTGTCGTATTTTGAAGCCGTCAACAAGGAGACCCTTAAAAACTCATGGACCCGTTTTGAGGAGGAGGGCATCATAGAAGTCGTGAAGAGTCGAGCAGCAAAGGCACAGAGAAAGACCCGGCTGTCACCTGACTGGACACCTCGCCGAGATGCCGAAACAGGGAAGATTGTGCCAGAAGGCAGATTGTGGGATTTCATTGAGAAGATAGCACAGTCAAGAAGGGAGGGGAAGAATAGAAGAGATGGGGCTACGGTGTCCACGAGAGTTTTACGGCTGACGGAGACTATTCTCGGCCGAACCTTGTTTGCTGCTGATTCGGTGGGGGGAAGTCTCTCGGAGGAGGACGCGAAGGTGTTGAACCAACTGCAGCAGCAGAAAAGGAGGAAAAGTCTGCGGTCGAGAGCGCGTCTATAATGATGTTATACGTATTGATACCAGTAGATTATAATTATGATTATGAAGCATTAGTAGTTCTGCTCTTTGATGAAAGGTCTACGCAGTGATTTGTATTGGGTATGATGCGATACTTACATAGAGGTTCGTTATGCTCGTTTCATGATGTGCCGGTCCTCCCTCCTGCATCTTCTATACGACCATGCCGTACTTCTCATATGGGAATCTCTCTAAAGTTGGCAGTCTCTCTGCCCATCCATCGTCTATCTCGCCCAACTGATGCAGGTCAACTTGACCACCCTCTCCGGTCCTGCCAGCAAGAACCTCCTTCTCCCTCCCCGTATACTCGACGAGAAGCTCCGGATGGGGCACCCAGATAACTCTCATGCCCGCTCTCCGCCCCGCCTCCACGCCCGGCACACTATCCTCAAACACCAGACATTCCTCGGGAGTGATCTCCTTCTCGCCCTCGGCCAGACTCGCATTAATCGTCTGCAAAGCCAACAGATAGATATCAGGCGCCGGCTTGCCCCTGCCGTGCGCTATCCTGGCATCGTCCCCCAGCACCCTCCTGTGGGGTTCAAAAACCGCAAACAAGCTCTCCAGATGGGTCGTCTTCAGCTTGAAATTGGCCTCGTGGCTACTGGTCGCCAGCGCGACGTGGACCTTGGCGCCGGCGGGGGTGCGCGCGGCCTGCAGATCCGCGAGCAGCTTCTCGACGCCCGGCAGCGGTTTCGTGCTGGGGAAGAGCTCGCGCTGGATCTCGGCCTGCTCGACGAGGTACTGCTCCCGCGAGATGGGCAGCTGCGCCCACTGGTGGAAGATGGCGCCGGCGCTGCTGCCGGGCCGGCCTTGCATCTGCGCTTTGATGGACCAGGGAAGAGGCGGCCGGTTGTAGCGCGCGAGGATCGCGTTCGTGCAGAGCGTGTATTTGTCTTCGGAGTCGATGAGGAGCCCGTCCATGTCGAAGAGACAGGCTCGGATGGGGGGGAAGCTGCATCTCTAATCAGCCATGCACATACATAGTAATAATGTAGGTAGTTGTGCGTATCTTCTTGATAAACGCCAAATGATAAGAAAGTAATGACATGTTCAATTGTGCTTAGCTGGCCACTTACTCTGTCCTTGAGGGCGCCATGGTTCGTGCTTTGAAGGTTCTGGAGTCCAGCTTAACCAGAAACGCGGGGTTCCTGAGCAACGTCGTCGTCGAGGTCTGAAAATTTCACGGAAACCATTCCGCTGATCTAAACATCCACATCCACATCCACTCTTGAATATGTCAACCCGCACCGAGAGATTCCAGCGCCAGCCCCGCAGACCGCAGGAGAAGAAGGATGATTCCCCCGAAGAACCTGAAGAGGTGATTAGGTTCTCTCCAGAGGAGGAAGCTGTGAGTGTTTGCCACCATTTACCATCCGGGGCGCATCTGACAGACAGACCTATTGACTGGTTTGTATAGGCGCTACTTAATGACTCCAACGCGCGAAAGGCCACGGCAAATGAGCTGTTTGCGAAATCCTCTTACAAAGATGCAATAGAGACGTATGATGAAGCGCTCTCGACATGCCCAAATTACCTGGATTACGAAATCGCCGTGTTGAAGAGCAACATTGCGGCGTGCCACCTGAAGCTTGAGGATTGGAAGGAGGCTATCAAGGCCGCCACTGCGGCTCTAGACGGTCTTGATAGATTGCAGGGAAGGACTGGGGATGGGAAAGACAAGGGTAAAGATGGCGCGAGTGTTGAGGAAGAGGCGGACGAGGAAATCATAAGTGCGGGTGCAGCGAAGGCGGAAGACACCTCTGATCCTGGGAAGAGAGAAGCTGATATTGAGCGGATACGGGCAAAGGCTCTCTTGAGGAGGGCTAGAGCTAGGAGTGAACAGGGCGGATGGGCTTCTCTACAAGGCGCAGAGGAGGGTACGAGCCTCCCTTTCCATGTTGTTGGTTCGTGGCTGACACAATTCAAGACTACAAGGCATTATCACAGATGCAGAATCTATCTCCTGCAGATAAAAAACTTGTCCAGCGACAGTTGGCGCTGCTTCCACCGAGGATCAAAGCGGCTCAGGAGAAGGAGATGGGAGAGATGATGGGCAAGTTGAAGCAGGTCAGTCATTCAGTCCTCTTCTCTATCAAAACAGTAAGCTTACGAAGCACAGCTTGGAAATGGTATCCTGAAGCCTTTCGGGCTTTCAACTGATAATTTCCAAATGGTTAAGGACGAGAAGACGGGTGGATACAGCATGAGTTTTAACCAGGGAGGGTCTTCTAGCTGAGCATACCTATATATGATATGGTAGATATATCAACGGTTGATCCCTCTCACTCATACCAAGCCTAGTTATAACTTATACATGAATAGCCGGACAGGGTAGTGTTTCTTTCTTGTTCATATACATTGCAGACATGAATATGCCAATTGTCCCCCCATCTTCAGGAATCAGGCATTCTATCCAGCCCATCTTGCCATTCGAACCCCACCAAGCACGTGACTTACATACAACCCTGCAGGTACATCTGTTTTGAGACACCAAGAGGCCAAGGAGGTCAAGAGACCGTCGTCAAGAATGGGGTTGAAAGCCTATGGTCCATAGCAAACCACCACATGCATCAACTGAGCTCGCTCTACCGTTACAATGCACGCATCTCTTCGACGGTTGGGCGGCTACACTGCAGCCAATGCATTGGCTCGATATTCCCACGCCTTTCGCCCCTCACCTGTCAACCAGTAGTGCGAACACCTGGTTCGAACCACGCAGACGCGCTCTCGAGAACCCAACTCCTTCAACAGAAAATGGATAACGGAAGTTCCGTTGGAACCCGCGCAGTTGTTCTGCGTCTGATGAGGTATAGGTATCTCGGAACCAACGTTTTGCCGTCATCTATGCGACCGTCTAGAAAGTTCTATTGGTGCATAGAGTGAACCAAAAAAAAGAGGGGAAAAAATCTTTATTACTTATCTCTCTCCTGGTTGATCGCCAACTCATGAGGTCTTCCATGGGACCTAAGACCCGCCCAGTCGAGATCCGAATCGGGCAACGCTTTTATTTATACTTGGACTGCCCCCCCCCCCGCTACCCGCTACCACGTAGGATGTGATGGTATAATAAGACTCCTGCCACGGAACCCCTCACTCGCATTGCTCCACTCACTTCTCAAGTTTGTTGTCTCTATTCTTTCTCTCATACTGCTCTTCAATCTTTCAGGAAATCGGCTTTTCTGGTTTAATTAAAAAGAAGTTCCACTCGTTGGGAATATACACAACACGGCTCTACAACTCCGCCCTTCCTCCAGCTCAAAGCGTAGACCAGAACCTCGAGGCCGAGATATATATCATTGAAAAGCTGCGACAACGACCACACACAGACAGGCAGACCGCTCTTCAAATATGGCCGTCGTCGCTGAGGCCTCTCCTCCGGCAACGCTCGTCGCCTCGGACAACGTGCGGGCTTTGCTCTCGCCCGCCCTCACTCAGTCCCTCCTCTCCCTCGCCGTCATCTTCCCCCGCCTGCTGAGCACCACCACGCTCTTCGTCCTCCTACGCGCCTATTTCCTATCCGCCATCATCCTCCGCCAGAGCGCCTACGCCGCTCAGCTCCTGGCGGCGCAATCCTACTATGCCTGCTCCTTGATGGCGAGGCAGCTCTTCGCGGCTGCGAAGCAGAGTCTGAAGCTAGGCTGGAAAGCGACAGAGAGGCTGCGGAAGAAGCTGATCTTCGAGTTAGCCGTCTTCGTGCTGGGTACCGGCGGGAACAGTATGATCCTCTTGGTGTTCTGGCCTGGATGGATCGTGATCGGTGGGGTGCTGGGTGTCACAATGTGGGCTTGCAGGTGAAGGGGCTCCACATAGCAAGAGAACATCCTTCAAAGTATGGTATGCGGATTCTGGGAAGACTAAATCCTTTGGGTATCTAGTTTATTAACAGACAGCCTTTCTAGCACCACTCCCAATCCTCGCGGACAAAGTCTACCTTAAGTCTACTGCGAGGGAAAAAACGGCTGCAGCGAGGACTTACGCGATTCTACGAAAAGAAAAATGCATTACCACCAGCATCTCTCTTGACCTCCTTCTGGTAGTCCTTCTCCGGATCAAATTCTTGCCATACGCTGGCGGGAAAGATATGCTTGTTGCGTTCGTACCACCGACGATCAACGACTTTCGTATATGTCGGGTCGTCATTGGTGCCTTCCAGGTCTGTTCTCTCGGCCGGCTCCTTCTGGGGCTTGCTCTTTGAAGGGAGGGACAGCGGGTTGTAGTTGTCGAGATTTGGCGGGTTAGAAGATGTAGTTGCAGCGGCTGCTTTGGGAGGCTCGGAACTGTAATCGAACAGGAGACGGTTATTAGGCCCTAAGGTGTGGTTTATGATAAAGTAGTAGAAATCATAGTGCTGTTCACCCGTCAGTTAAGTCCCAAGCATGTTGCAAAGGCCACAAGAACTTACGTGCGGTATAATGATGCTTCCCCTAACCATCATCAAATCATCCACGCCCACTCTTGCCCACTCCCTTCTGCTGTTGGCCTTCTCTCCTACTCCAAGCTCCGCTCCGACCTTCCTACTCCTGTCCAGAAAGACCCACACAAAATCACCCTTCTTGACCCTACATACCCCACCGGGAATATTCGTGCCGTCGTAGAACACAAACGGGATATTGATCTCGGTCATCTTAATCGCCTCCTGCAGCGCCAAAAACTCCTTCCTCAAGCTCTCTCTCGTCTGCGCTTCCCGTAGCAACGCCGCCTTCGTCAGCGCCTTCGGCACAACCGTCACCGACGAATTGATCCCCAGCTTCTTCTTCGGAGCGGCCGTGGAAGCAGACACCGGCGTCCCAGATCCAGATCTCGGAGAGGCGGAATTCGAATTCGAGCTCGAATCCTTGGGCGTCGCCGTATCGGTACTTTCTGCACCACCACCACCACCACCACTGCCATCCTCCCCCTCCTCCTCCTCCTCATCAACCCCAAATGACAATTTTGGCGTCCCAACCTTCCGCTTCTTCTTCTTCAAGGGTTCTCGCGGAGTAGATGCACTGTGCTAATGCCATTAGTCCCGTCTCAAACCTCCAGCTGCGCGCGAGGGGGCCCGTGTCGTACTCACCCGTCAGATGATGATACATTTGCCGGCGTGCCCCGACCACTCTCCTGCCCATCCCGTTCCTTTTCTTTCTGCTCGAGGGCTTCGGCGCGCCGCTTGCGAAAATCAGAGAGCGCGACGAGTCCCACGGTCTGCGTGCTGAGCAGGTCTTCCGCTGTCTTGCTCTGCGATGTGAAGCGCGGATTGGGCGTCGATGCCCCTGAGGAAGTGTTGGACGCCATTCTTGCGATGCGGAGAAGTGTCCTGGGACGGCGATTGCTGATGTCGCAATGGGATGTTGGAAAAGGGTTTGGATTATTGGGTGTGGCGTAAGTGAGGGAAGAGGCTGCGCTAGCAGGGTCCTAGATGTGGCTTGACTGGGGAACAAGGTCTGAAATTATTGGCTTCTGATTCGATGTTCTCAACGTCCAGCGAATGTCTGCACTTTTGGTTCCATATAAAACGAGGAACAACCAGCTGCTTTCATTTACTGTAAGAAATCTAGTATTCTTTGGTTCAATAGTTATCGTTAGTTCCTTGAGTTTCCGAGGATGGTTCTCTGACTTGTAACTATGAAGCAGATCAACTGCTCTCTTAAGCCCGCTGGATCAACAGGATATGATAACACTTTGATCATGAGTCAAATTTACTTTTGAAACACTTCATCAGTGGCAGCACTTCTGTTCTTAGTGAAATCAACGGTCTATTCATTATGCAAAGTCTAGCCAGAAGAGAGAGCCATGTGAAAGAGTAATGAGCACCAATCAGGAGAAACCGCATCAGCAACGCCTGTAGAAAACTGCGCAACTGCCATATTGAAGACCGCACCAATGCGGACCAACATGAATAGCAGCTCAACGCCCAAAAAGCCCATGATAAAACCATCCGAAAAGCTCCGCAAGAAACGGGTATCTGTCTCGTCGCCCAACGCCACCAAGAGCACAGTGCAACTAGTCAGAATGCGTATCTAAAGGAACCCTTGCAAATCCAAGGGTAAAGAAAGGAAATATGCCAATTATTCTCCATCTTCCATACGATCCTTACTTGGCAAGCAAGATGGTGGATAGTACTCGCCAACCTGATGGAGAAACAGTAAAGTGCGATTTGCCGGCATAAGACGAATGATTCAAGTTCGATAACGTAATTAATAATCCTCAGAGCTTGGATCTTCCCATCAGCGAAAGATTCTTGTCATCGAAAAATCAATTGATGTCAACCTGTCGTTATCTTGGGATGTCTTCATATAAGCCGAATGGATTTGCACGAAGACCAAGGGCCTGTCTCATAAAATGGTCTTCTTGTGGGGGAAAGCCATCGATATAGGGAGCGTTTTTGTTTGGCCGACCATCGGGAAGAAGATCGCCCCTTGCATGAGCAATGCCTGGGAAAACTGGTATGGCCTGGGCCAAATGCTCCCAATGGTAGCCAACCTCAAAGACTATGAGTCTATTGCCAACTATGCCCGTCGGATAGTACCAGTTTTCGAAGGTAAACTCGTTATTGTATGCTCTGGCGTAGGCTCGAAGCTGGAAGAGTTCGTAGAGCTTGCTCCAACTTCGATCAACATGAAGGAGGTCACAAAGAGCATCTTTGTAAGTATTCTCAAGATCCAACAAATCCCGAACAACAGATGATCCTGGCGCCGATGGAGGTTCAGATGTGTTGACTAATCCAGGTGTGACAGGAGGCCCAGACGAGGTAGGAGATAGCATCGACATCTTAGCAAGTTCGTTAGAGACTTGAGGCTCGGCCACAGGGAGCGATGTCGTATCATCCAGCCCACCGGAGTTTATTCGGTCAAGAGCACGTTGACTAGATTTTCTAAGAGCTTTTGCTATTGGGCTGCCTGTAGACTCAACTCCACGGAAAGCATATCTGCGAGGGCGAGCCTTTCTTTCGTATTGACGTCGTGGTGTGATGGGCTCGGCCTTAGCTACACGACGTGACCGCTTTGCAGGAGAGCAGTAATCCTCGTCGCTGCCGTCGTAATCGTCATTCCATTCATCCTTGACACGTCTTGTAGAAGAGGGTGATTTCCGTTTAATGCTCGGAGGTTGCGTAGTAGAGGATGCACGACGAGCTGGCTTCTTTGGAGTTGTGTTCTTTGGGGCTGCCTTCATTGAGCTTGGCTTTGTTGATGTTGTCTTCCTTACGGTTGGCTTGGCTGGGGCAGTTGTGTTAGGGTCGACTTCGTCAGACTTGACAATTAGGTCGAGATCATCAAGCTTGATGCCTCGTTTAACAGCGTTACGACCAATTTCATTCTGAATGTCACGCTCGGCATTGATCTTCTTGTTATTGTGTTTCATCTATGACGAGAACGTTAGAATTATTGTGTTATAATGCTTAAAGATGAAATACCTGGACCTCTGCTATCGGTGCGTCAATGAGGCGATGAATGTAAGGCGGATCCATGATCTGCTTGCACAGGGCCTTGCTAATCTGTTGTTTTAAGGTCAGTACCTACTTATGAGGTTGGTTTTGAAGGACCTTACTCTGCAGCCGTCAACAATCTTCTGGAACCGGGCTCGGAAACTCTCATGTTTCTCTCGACGGCTCTTGAAAGAATCATCCACCATCTTGACACCTAAAGCAGCATCGCGACAGCCAAGCTGAGGTATTTATCAGTTGACTGTAGTAATACAAGAGATGAGCAGGGGAAAGATGCCATGAATACTTACAAGGATTTCCCAACACTTGACCTCGATAAGCTTGTTAGGGTAGAAGCCATCACGAATTCTGCGGACAGCCTGAGCTGGTTTACCATTCTTCCCAGGTTTGTCTAGGACTTCATCAATGTCCTTGATACTGTTGAAGAGTTGTTCAACCAACTCGCGTTGCCCCTCTTCAGTCTCGGGGAAGTCAGAGTCTTGACCCTTACGGATAGCCTTGTCGAGTTCGGTTTCCAGTCGCTGGTTCCTCATTCTCTCATAATGAGCCTCGTTACGGATAAGCCCTTGGTATGGCTGAAGGGGTTTCTTTGCAACGCGGTTTTCGGAATCTGAATCATGGTCGGAGTCTCTTTCCTCATAATGCTGTTCAGATTCATAGGGCTCATAACTTTGGTCGTCATGATCATCCTCATCCTCTTGATCATCCTTATTGTCATTACTGTGGTATTGACCTTCATACTTCTCTTCACCATCATGTGGGTCACCGAGCAAGTAGGGTGGCTGACCGATGCCAGACTGGTAGAGAGTCTGATTATCCACGTCTCCTCCGTAGGGGCCTTGTTGATCAAAGCCAGTATCGTGCATGTTGTCTGAGCCAGTATGGCTAATGGGAGGTCGACCAAAGGAGCACGGATCATCCATGTTGTGAAAGACTAAAGCCAAGGATATTAGCAATTGTTCTCAGAATCATTCATATAGAAAATTCCACTATCCCACTTCGCACAAGTAGGGCCACACTAGAGATCTGTTGCCTTGTGAAGTCGTTGTAGGGGGGACCAAAAGGAACTCTGAGGTGTGGAGGGTAAAAACAATGTTGACACAGGTCTAGACAAGACGGCCCAAACAAAAAGTGAGAAGATTAACTCAAGACCAAAACTTATTGATGGAAAGAAGTAGAGAATTCGTGATATCAATGACGGGATACAATAATCTCTCAAAGTTCAGCTTCTAGTGAGTTGATTAGACTTAAGAAAGACGCGCCGGACGTTAAAGGAAGATGTGATCATGTGAATGGGCGCGAGAGGAAGACTTGAAGACGACAAAAGAACGACCTTCAAGAGGAAATCAGATCTGACGTACATTCTGCTTGCTTCCACTTTCGCGGCAACCTTCTGAGTTGTAGATTGAAGGTAGATCGATTGGAGATCGACAAAGACCGTAGTGGTTTTGGCAAGTTGTAGGAAAATATGAGGCCAAACTAAGTTCGCGTACCGAGGAAGGTCCTTCAATTGGTTTATTCACACGCGTGAGAATGTTAGAAGAACGCGCGAGCCTGTGAACAGGATGTGAGTAGGGTGATAGGATGTAGTGTCAATGGACAGGGAACAAGATCTACCTACTTACCGGCCACAAAGACTTCTGTCCTTCGCGTGGTTATTGCAAGGAAAGGAGTGTATGTCCTGAGAGACAAGATCTCGAGAGGTTGTGTAGAGAGTAAGACAGATCGGAGGTTGTTTGTTCAGACCGACGCGTATGTGGAGATTCACAAAAGAAGAGGTGGGCGGCGTATTGATAAATTGGACTAGCAACTCGAGGAGGAGACTCGCTTACCACGACCATTATTCTCGACACCGCCAAAAGAGGCAGAACAAAACAGATCGGGACTTCAAAAGCCTTATAAGCCGGCCATGAATCCTATCAGCGCTAATGGTGTACATGTATGACTGGTAAATGAACTGATTCCTTTGCATTATGTTCATACTCCAGCTTACTAGCTGATGGAAAAGGGGGGAGGGGAGTGCGGTTGACAGCAGCACCAGAGTTGTATCACTGCCGCGAGTAAAAGCTGACTGCTGATACTTAATTGCATGGCTAGTCAGAGCAACACTACCAATCCGATCATCCGAATGAGGGTTATAACTGCGGAAGTATTTGACGATTGGACCTTCTTGCCGCTACACATTGGTTCTAATGGCTATATGACGAAGGCGACTATGAAACGGTGTTCCAAGATTTCAGATCTCCACTTGCAAATCAAGCCCCAACAACAGTGCAGAAACAAGGAGGATATCTCCCTTATTCATGACTGGCTAGTTTAGTATGTCTTCAAAAGCTGACTGCATGTCAACGTTGGAATCGTGGAGCACCGCTATTCAATTGGGATTCCATAATCACTACTTCAAAGTTGAGATGAGATGCATTGCATAGCCAGATCCTACACCTGGTGGTTCTAACTTCCTATACTGGAATCCCGTCTTAATAGCGGTCACCTGGGTGAGGTAGGGGTAGGGGCTGGGGTTGGATGTAGTAATAGAGGGACTCATTATGAGCTTCAATGACATCCTCATCACGCTATCAACATCCAATGGCTGGGTTTAGAAAATGCCTTACTCAGTAACTCAAGGATTTGGTATGCAAGACCGCCGCTATTGTCCCACTTGGGACTCTGGATTCAAAATGACAATACAAGTGAATGCACTTTGCTCTCTCTAAGGCTCCATAGAGCATGTAAGGTGATATTGCCACACTTGCAAGACCTCCATGCGAATCCTAAAGTGGCGTCAGATAAAAACATTCTTCTTCCAGAAACTTTTATCTGCATGATTGAGAGCTAGCATAGGGAACTGAACTTTCATGAGCCTTTCACGCTTGCAATTTAGAACATGACAGCAGTACGGCAACGTCAGCAGTATGACAATGATAGAAGCACAACCATGGTAATAGCAAACTTATGCTGAAGTCTAGGTTGACCATGGGCATTAAATTTCTGTTAACAAATTGGTATTTGTAAAAGCAGCCATCCAAATGTGCTTTCCTATACTTCTGCGTGAACTGTCTATCTTGGCAAGGTCAGCTGCTGTGGCAGACTTCAAGACAAGATACTGCTGATCTGAGAGATCATCTTGCTACGTTACCTCCCACTGGTGAATGACAGTATGGATAAATCGTTCTCTAGGTATAGGCTGTCGAGGAGTTGAATGTTTGTCTCTAATAGATAATAGTCTTCGAGCCTAATAGTGAGGCTGATTCAAGGGTGGCAGTGACACTTCAATCAGCTAAGAAGCAAGCAACGGGTAGAAGTAGTACTTACCATCGTGAGTGAAGTTCTCCGCCATTTTCAGACCCGGGTCTGCCTAAGTTAACTATATTCCCAGCATGAAGAATACCTAGAGAGCTTAATAATCAAAGACATGTTGAGCGACAAGTGAAGGAGATGAAGGTATTGCGTTGTTCTTGGAGGAAATTAGGTATTTTCTTGGGATAGTTCTAGAGGTGTAGTTTTGTGTGTGGCTGTGCGTTTCGTGCCTGCCCCATGTACCTAGATCAAAGAAGCCCCCAAAAAGTGAACGACAAGCGGGAGTAATCTTTGGAACCAGAACACTTTTCGATAAAGGAGAGATGGACGTATCGAGCGCCCTATATTCCAGGCACATTGTGGTGCATTTCGCGGTCTTCGAGGTTATTCTGGGTGCATGACAGCCATAATAACAGTAGTAGGGATTCAAATCGAGAAAGCTATACGAAAAGCTGTAAATGATGAAGCAGACATTGATCTCAATCCTACTGTATTCTTATAAGCCTCTAGAATCTCAGCGTCATGGTGTTGTGCTTAGACATACACGACTTGTCTTGCCAGTAATTCAACACCAAGAAGAGCACATGATCACATAGCTTATTCAAAGGGGCTTGTGACACCTGTTATACACCGTGCTGATAAGAAGAGCACATCAAATTTTGCTGATGCTACATAGCCCTTCTTTCATGTACCTTAGGTACGTAGCCTGCTGACTGCTTGCTCATTTTGGTCTTTGCTTAGATAGCCCAGAATTCTGGTAGTCTAACCTTATAGTTCCTCTTTCGGGGGTTTCCTTTGTAAGGATCGCCACAAAAGAGAGAGGATCCCCAGGAGTCCAGCAAGCATGCATATTCATAGGTCGCATCACACAGCAGCGCCCGTGTGGCATACATGCTGGTCCTAGGCGTCAAAAGTTGATAGATCTGTGACTGGTCAAGACTTGGCGGTAATCAACCATAGGATAAGCAGTTATAGAGCAGGATATGAAGTGTGAAAATGGAGGTATGCATTACATAAACATAAAGAAAAGCCAGACTCCTGACCCCTTTTTAGGCGAACCCATACCGGATTATACTTTGTCCGAATTTCGCCTACCAGTTTCTCCGACCCCCGCGTCCTCTACCAAAGTTTCCCCCACGATTCCTTGCGTCTCCAGAATTCATCATACCCTGATCATAGCCAAAACCCATTTGTGAATTTTGGCCTTGACCAAAACCTTGAGCGCCGAACCCTTGGCCTTGATTGCCACTTTGCGCCCCTCCTGCTCCTCCAGAACCAGCCTGAACACCCTGCATTCCCGCAAACATAGCCGTCGGATCCATTTGACTTGGATCCATCCCTTGTGCCATCATTTGTTGCATCATGGCTTGCATCTCAGGTGGAATCCCTTCCATGCCCGGCATGGTTGCTCCTCCTGGGCCGGCTGGCACCCCTGGCATTCCTGGTAAACCGCCCATGGCCATCATCATATTCATATCCTCAAACATCTTCTTGTTATTCTGCGCAATCTTTTCTTGATTGTATTCTGATCGCAGGGCCTCCTGTTTGCTGGCATAGAGTGCCCATGTAAACTCATCGAATCCGTAGTTGAAGTAATCACTGATATCTGTGCCTGGTCTTCGCCATGGCTTATCATTCTCATTCAAATCTGTAAGATATTAACCACAGCCCTCCAAGAGTTCTGCCAAGCTTACCTTCGTCAATGTTGACTTGGGTTATTGGTTTTCCAGCTGGTTCGTAGATTGGCTTTGCATCGAGGTCGATCTTGGAGGTCGAAATTCCTGGTAGATCCGCGCCTGATGTGGATGGAATTTCTTTGGATGGAGTTTCTTTTTTGCCCGTCGGCGGCTTCGCAGCTGCATCGCTAGCAGCATTCCGTTGGGGAATATTTCGGATTTCGTTATACCGCGGCTGCCTGTAGGGGAATGTTAGTTCTGATATATGGCGGGAGCGTAGATAACATACGTAGGAGGAGCAGCTTTGGTACCATCCTTTCTTTCTGTGATTATATCTATATCCTATATATGCTATCAGTGATCATCTATGCGCCTTGCGATACTTGTTCTTACTGAATCACTCCCTTCTGAAGCCTCGTCTTCCTCTTCTCCCTCCTCTAAACCTTCATCCTCCTGCTTGGCTTCGGTCTGGGGCGCGTGTTCAGCCTGCTGTTGCTGCTCAGAGCTCACTTGCGCAGGCTCCTCGGGCGCGTAAAAATCGTCATCTTCGTCGACATCCATGTTGTGTATTGTTGGTCAAGTACCTGTTTGAGGTTTTGCGGATTTACCCACAAAGTTGACGATACCTAGCTTCTGCAGGGGTGAGCTTCGATTCGGTTGCCGCGCTAACCCAGCCTGGCGCCAACAACCTTGCGGCGAACCTTCGTCTTTTCTTCTGGTGATTTTCTGGACGCGGTCGCGAACTGAGGTCTCACAACCTTCGAGAGCACGACGCCTTCACCTTGCCGTGAAGGAATATTATGGCATTGGCGAGATCTGCAAGTGGTCCTGGAGGATTGAGTATCAATACTAGCTCCGCTAATTCTTTATTGTGAGTTAATGCCTCCCTGTCTCACAACTATTCGCGTGCTGCATCTTTTCAATTCAAAGGGAACTCCTTCCTGGTCCTGAGATATCAAGTCCTGAGCTCTCGAATAATTGAAGCTAACTGTGACTTCGCAGTGGATCAGGCACAGCAGCAACTGCAGGAATGTCTGGAACCACGCAAGCTAGCAAGCCGCTCTTTGGCGCATCAACAACGACGACAGCTCCTCAAACAGGAGGCTTGTTCGGATCAACCTCAGGGACATCGAGCGGAGGCTTATTTGGTTCTACTGCAACTACATCTCAGCCACAGTCTGGAGGTTTGTTTGGTTCAGCTGCTGCAACTTCTCAACCTCAAACCGGTGGCTTGTTTGGATCAACTGCAACTACATCCCAACCTCAGACTGGAGGCTTGTTTGGCTCAGCTGGCGCGACTTCTCAGCCTCAAACTGGAGGACTATTTGGTTCAACTACAGCAACTTCTCAACCCCAGACCGGAGGCTTATTTGGATCAGCCGCTGCAACATCTCAACCTCAAACTGGAGGACTATTCGGTTCAACTACAGCAACATCTCAACCGCAGACTGGAGGCTTGTTTGGCTCAACAACGACAACGACAACATCGCAACCCCAAACCGGAGGGTTATTTGGCTCAACCACAACGACTTCACAGCCACAGACTGGAGGACTATTTGGATCCACTCAAACGACTGGTGGTGGCCTCTTCGGTGGGGGAAATGCCCAGAACCAGAATAAGCCTACCACATCTTTATTGTGAGTCTTCATTTGTTCAGTTGCAGTGGATAACTCTGACTCAAAATAGTGGCAGCGCCGCCGGAACAAACCAAAGTCAACAACCTCAACAATCTTCCTTGTTCCCCTCACTCGGCCAATCCCAGGCGCAATCAGGTACTGGGCTCTCTGGCCTTGGTGGTGGCCTGACAATGGGGCAAGCCAACCAACAAGCCCAAACAGTCCCAGGGGTAAAAATTGATATAACCAATCTACGTGGCACGACTCGCTTCAACGACCTTCACGAAGAGCTTCAAAAGCAGATTGAACACATGGATAATGTCATTCAAGGCCAAATCCAATTAAAGAATGAATGCTATGCTATCATGCCTTCGCACGACTCCCAACTCTCCAATATTCCCATAGACGTGGAATTCTGCAGGCGGAAACTGATAGGGCTCGAAAGCGCCATGGCCGCTGACGCAGAAGCCATCGCTCACATCCGCGAGTTCGTCAAGGCCGACGCTGAGAGCGCTAAGCTAAGCTTCCGAGCAATCGACAACCTGAAACTACCACCTCAATACCACGTCTCTGGCGTCTGGCCCTCCAAATCCACAACCGGCGACAACCGATCCCGGAGCAACAACGACGGCGAAGGCCAAGACCTCGTTGGCTTCTTCTCATCCAACGCAGACGAGCTCGCCGCCACGCTTTCCAAGTACCAAAAACACATCGGCGAGATCGAACTACACCTGCGCTCCGTGGAAGAGTCCAGCGCCCAGCAGATCAACGCCTTGATCGCGCGGCGGAACGGCGGGTCCGGCGGCGACGACGACCAGCTCCGGCAGCTGGCGGCGGCGCTCGCGGATTTCGAGCAGAGCATCGTGCATATCGCGAGCAAGGTCGGTAATCTGCGCGAGGGCGTTACGGCACTGCAGCAGTACGGTGCGTTTCGGGGGCCGGCGCATGGCCGGTCGATGAATGGACATAGGAGCGGGATCTACTGAATGTATATATACATGGCTGGACTGGATGGATGGATACTACGAATTGAGTACAGGATGGAGTTCGGTGTTGGCTGCATAAAGTTGGAGCATCTGCGCATATCGCTGCAGCATAGGGTGGGACCCCTGGATGGAGATACCAATCAATGAAAAAGTTCCTAGTTAAGTCGGTAATGTCATGAGAATAGTTATCCATCTATCGGGCGTTCAGCAATCTTTGACTTGATGGAAGCTATGCTATGCTACGCCTCCACTCTATACTTTTGAAATAAAATATCCCGCGGACCAAAAAACACCAGAAAGACCATTCATTCCATGCGAAAACCCCCACCCAGATTGTCTCCCTCAACACCAGCTACCGAAACGCCATAACGACCATGCGAAATTCATGCAGTTTCAATCATTATAGTTGCTCTGTCGGCTACCGTCCTTATTCACAACAGGCAGACCATATCTCCGCGCGAGATCTTCCTCCTGACTCGTAGCGTCCGGGGATAGGAAAGGCCTTTCAGCCTGGCAGCAGACGCGCACCGCATGGCGGCGATGCGGCGCGAAACCATAGGAAGCTGAGTGATTCTACAAGATTATCAGCATATCGAAAAAAAGAAAAAAAACTTCAGAGGATATGATTTGGGAGAAGCTTACCGTGACGCGGTTATCCCAAAAGGCGACATCGTCCTTGCCCCACTGGAAGCGGACGTGGAGCTCCTGGGTGGTGACGACGACCTCGTTCAGGTAGTTGATGATCATGTCGCTCTCGACCTTGGGGACACCGACGATTTTGGTCACGAAACCGGGGTTGAAGAAGAGTGATTTCCAGCCGGTGACGGGGTGGGAGCGGATGAGGGGGTGCTCGGTGACGATTGGTGCTCGGCGGACCGGACGGCCGGCGGCTTTGGAGCCTTCGGCTTGCATGTGCGAGGAGTGGAGGGCAGTGAGGGACTCGAGATACTTCTGCATGGGCCGGGACAGCGCATCGTAGGCTGCGTACTGAGAGGACCAGAGTGTGTCTCCACCACCGCCTCGAGGAGGGCCGGTTAAGACCTTGAGTGAGGTGTATGAAGGCGGTTGGACCTCATAGGTGACATCCGAGTGCCAGAGGAAGGATGGTGAAAACAAGGCACGTTGGTCCTTTGAGTTCTCATCTGTATAGACCACGTGAACATCGTCAAGGTCGCCACGCTTGGGCACCGCTGTCGTGGCATGCTTGTGTAGAGATCCAAAGTATGCACCGAGCTTGCGTTGAGCATCAATATCAAAATTCTTTTGGTTGCGGAAGAAGACAACGCCGCGTGTAGCGATTAGCAGAGCGAGGTCGTTCTTGGCGGCGTCGGAGAGGTTGGCGAGATCGACGCCATGGATTTCGGTGCCAATTTTTGGGTTGTAGTCAAAGATATCCGTAGCTCCAGCGAGGAGATTCTTAAAGGAAGGATCTCCCAGGAGCCCTTTGTCTGAGTATGGGACTTCTTGAAGGGCTGGCCAATGCTTGTCGGGGAAGGATGGCGTCAAGTCGTCGTGGACATATGTCTCGTGCTTCTCGACGATGGTACGACCGGGGATGTAAGAAGCAACAGCAGAACTAGGAGCCTTTGATGGAAGAGGGATGTCACTGGCCGCCTCCTCGACACGGATCTCTAAGGAGGGAGCCATAATGAGACGCACTGGGGTGCTCTGAGGGGTGTGGTTCGAGTCTGAGGATGTACTGAAGAGGACTTGACGTGACTTAAAATAGAGAATCTTCAAGTAGATCAAAATACTCGACAGTAAGTGAAGTGTCAAGTAGCTTGGTTCTGGAGTAGACGGAAAGCTAGCATGAATTGAGAATCTGAACATTCGAAGTCAGGGTACTAGAAGGGAATCGTCATATATAGGGAAATAGAAGGAAAGGTAATCGGAGTGCCACCTTCAGCATGACTACCTCCTCATTTCACCATCGCTGTCAACGAGCACACCACTTTAGGCTTGAGCTGATTACTGTACTCCGGAAAGCGTTATAACTCTCACATAGCCGGCCGAGCAATGCAAAGAGTAAGGATATACAACTCATATGCATGTCTTTCCTCGTCCCTCCGCTTTACGGAGTACTGCTCGTGCAACCAATCCCCAGGAATATCCCCCCCAGGCTTCATGGGAGGGAAACCATGCTTCATGTATGGGGAGAACTAACTCCTTGTGCCGCTATGCGTCTCTTAGACAAGCCTTTGACCCCTCGACAGACGTTCAGATCTCAAAGCCTAGTCACGGATCTGATTGGTGCCCTGGAGATCCTGATCTTGCCTCCACCGCCACTTGCGCGATGTGGGAGATATCTTGCGTGCTGCGCTCCAACATCAATAATGATGAGATGATGACATGGGCCTGAAAGTATAAATCATCCTTCGGCCCTGAGGCGGTCTGGCCGGCTTGCTTCCCCATATTTTGCCGATTTTAGCGAGGACGATCATTGTCATGTGATATCGTCCTCAACACGCCATGTCACGAGACCAAGGACGACAGAGAACCGGTTACCAAAGGGTAAGCTCTCTTACTTGTATTTATCCTGGAGGCTCAAGAGGCCTCCCTCTTTACAATGATATTGTAAGTATTAGACTTCCATTCACGCAGCACAGGGGAAGGTGTCTCGTGGACACCTTAGTCCTGCTACGGATCACGTGAAGAGCAAGAGATGCGACATCGCCTTCTCCAAAGTGCCTCTCCCACAGCTTATGTTTACATTTGATGCAGCTTCACTACTTTTATATCATCTAAGCAGATAGGTTTATTCCGCTTTACATGCAAAATCCCCTCTCGTTCATTCCCTCCCTGTCTATTTTCTACCTATATTTATCTAGTGTTCTGCTTGCACGCCCTCAACATACAAGATGTCAACTGCTCCATGCTGCGTTGAGGAGGCAGAAGAGGAGGAGGACATCTCCGCTCTCGAATACGCACGTTTGAGTGGCCTCTCTCGTAACCATCTCACCGAGCCTTTCCCTCCCTTTCCCATACCTGACTTTCGAGACTTCGGTGACAGCCTCACGAGTGATTCGCATCTCCGGCAATTGGATCTCCGGGCCAGCTATAGCACGGATGAACGTCTCACCATCTCGAAAGATGGAGCGCGATTGATTGCATGGGTATCAAATCCGGAACCGGATGAGTTGATTGATGATATTGTGCGCTCTATGCTTGGTGGCAGGGAGTTCAGGATGATGCGTCTGGAGTTGCCATTGCTGCGCAGTGATCATGAAATAGACTGCAGGGAATTCGCCAGGAGAGAGGGTTTTGAAGTAGAGCTTGAGAACGTGAGACTGCCCCTGGAACTTCTAGATGAGGAGAAGAATGAAGGCCTTGGATTCTCACCGAGATTATGGAATCTAGGAGCTGAGAAAATTGAAGAACTGAAGAGGGAAAAGATAAGCGTTACGAGGGAGACGTTGCAATACATTCAAGACGCTATTAGGCTTGATTGGACTGAAGCTAATGAGAAAGAAGTTCGGTCTAGCATACTGAAATATAAACCGGTCAGTGAGCACACTTTACGAAACGAATGTTCCCCAAGAGACTACTGACACCTCTTCTGTGCAGAATACTGCTCTTGACCCTGTCACACCGCCGCTCTCGCCGATTTCCTCTTCCCCAAAGATATATGAACCATCACCATCCGACCCAGCCTTCCAAGTTCCAATTTTGTCCGATCCTGCATCCCTCACTCGAGAAGACCTATCCGCTCTTGAAAAACATATATTTGAGCAGGATGTCCCAACACCCATTCGAAATGCTGTTAACAATTATGATGAAACATCATCATGCACTTACACTGGAAGTGAAACAGTTAGATTGGCAGACGTATATTCTCCGATGGCATCGGTAGAAAATACCCTCGCATCTCCTATCACTGACACTTCACATGTCAGGCGCGAGTTTCTTAAAGTAGAAGAAACATTGACTCCACTAATACCCGCGTCAATTCCAAAGTCAGTCCATTTCAGTGATTTTATTGAGGAAATGCTTCTCGATCCGTCAAGCTCTCCACCGTCAGACCCTTTCCAAAACACTCATTTTGAGAAACTTTTTGGTGACGCAGCTAAAAGAGCCACCCGGCAAGTCGAACAGGAGACATTGATAGCTGCTGATGCCACGGCGCGTGTCGAAGTGCCAGTGATGGACTTTTCTCTGCCAGATCCCCCGTGGAAGCAATTACAGAAGCATCAAAGCCCCGCTATCTTCTTATCTATCCTAAAAGCGATAATCAACGAAAACGCCATCGGCAAGGAGCTTCCAACGTGGCCTGGATGGAAACATGGAGAGATAAAATTGAAATGGAACCCCTTTCCGCATGGCCTAGCTCAAGTCGCTCAACAGGAGAAATACCCCGAAGACGATTCCGTTTGGAAAGTTCTCGTGGAGGGACCAGGGGATGACCAGATCATCGATACTTCGACTTTAACATGGAAGCCACCAGGCTTGCGGATTCTCAAAGACGACGAGGATGAGGAAGAAGAGATAGAAAAGGGCAAGTTTCGAAGGGAAGATGTTCAAAATATCTCGTCTCTTGTTAAGAAACGGAGGATGGAATTCGAAGAGGAGAGGGACAATCCACTTGGACAAGAACCCATCCAGTTGAAGAAACACGGCCTTGACACCGCAGACGAAATAGCAGCTAGACCAGCAGGGAGGCAGGGCACGCCAAAAAAGAGATCCATCCAAGAAGCTGAAAAATTGCAGGACGATCAAGTAGATTCTGAAGGCTTCGGATTATTGATGGGAGGAGTATTCTCAGCTGGAAATGCCCTCGACGCATTTCTAGAACTCCGAGGCACGAAGAAGCCGAAGCTTACCAGCAGTTCGCACTTTGCCAAACCGCCCCAGCAAGCTCAGACTCAGGCCCAGACAACGCAAGCAGGGCTCCAGCATCAGTCCGCAATGCAACATCCAATGCGGAAGTCTCCAGTTACGAAGCCCGACCTTTTGCCTGCACCTCCCCTGCACCTCCCAACTGCACCAATCAGCGCCGTAGTCTCGTCCGCTCTCCTCAAGCGCCGTGCCTTGATCAAGCACCTTGAATCGCAGCTCCCCGGTCTCACACTCATCGAGCGGGATTTTACAGCCCATAACACGACTGCGTGGCTTCCCCATTCCGTGACCCGCTCCCCCATAGCGTCGCCGCTCGACTCCGAAGCAGACCTGATCGTCTCGCCCTCTATGGGAATCATCCTCACCACACTCCAGAAAATCAAGCAGAAGGCACTCCCGGGGCAGAAAACCAAGCCCGCGATCCGCGACCGGCTGGAGAAGGTCAGCGCGCGCTACGACAAGCTGGTCGTGCTGGTGAGCGAGGCGCGGGGAGACGAGAGCACCAATGGTCTGGACGAGAACGATTGCAAGGCGTTCAGCGAATTCGTGGCTTTTGCCTTGGGCCTCGAGATGGTGGTGCTGGTGCGGTTTGTGGGGGGCGGCGAAGAGACGATGGCGAAGTGGCTCGTGAGCTGTATTGTGCAACATGCGGCTACACCGAATAGTCTTCTGGAGGAGGAGACGCATTGGGAGCTGTTTCTGAGACGAGCGGGCTTGAATGCTTTTGCCGCCCAGGTTATCATTGCCGCTGTTAAAGCACCCGAGGGTGTCGATCCACGGAGTCCTAGTAAGGCAGGCCAGTTTGGGTTGACTGCGTTTGTTGAGATGGGGAGAGAGCAGAGGATTGAGAGGTTTGGTCAATTGTGCGGTAGGCGATTGATGGAGAGGGTTAGTTCCGTTTTAGACGCCAGGTGGGAATAAGGGATCGCTGGGTACTGAAGACTGATTGATTTAAATCTTGCTATATTAGCTGATTTGTTGGCCGTGCTTTATCTGAGGATGCAGGCAGGCAATCTTTGCTAGATTTAAAGTAAGGAGATCACACATACTTTGCGAGTTACCGAGATAGGTGTCATAAGCTCCATACTTTTATGCTGTTATCTGGTGTTCGGCCTGTTGACCTAGGAGAGCGAGTTGACTGATCACCCGAACTTGCATCACTATCACTTTCCTCTTCATCGCTGCTTATATCATCCTCATCAGAGAGTAGTGGGGTCCTCTGCCCAGAGCAAGTAGCAACCACAGTGCCGGAGCTGTGCACCACCGTCGAGGAGACGGGATCTGCAAATTTCTGATTAGCACAATCCCCTAACAACGAACTGCAAGAACAAAACTTACCATCATGAGCCTTCCACTCCCAGGTTCTCTTCAAGCCGCCCTCAGTCTGCCCAACTCCCTCCCAAACCCTTACCACGCCATCCACGCCACCAGCCCAGATCTCCCTCCCGTTCTGTCCCTCAAACACATCCACCCCCAAGCGCTGATTCGTCTCTGCTTCCCTGCCTTCTAACCACGCCAGAAGCTTCCCCATGACGCGGACATCGAATACTAGAACCCCCCTGCTCCTCCTCTCAACCACGTACAGATATCTCCCACAACTGCTCCAGAGCGTCTGCGTAATGCCCGTACCCCCAATCCCGGCATGCGTATCCGCCGCTTCCGCGATGCTCCACGTCGCTACAGTACCACCCATGCCTGCCGTGTCATAAAGCCCGACCCAGCGTGTCCAAGTCCCGGCTGCTAGCATCCCGGCCGCGGGCTCGTCGGGAGAGGATGGCTGGATGGACAGCGCGGATACGATCCCTCGCATGCCAACTCCGCCGCCTTTCATCTTATGCCGCTTAGATGGGATGGTCGGTAGTCTAGTCGCGGGACCCTCGCCATTCCTCGATATGTCGAATAGGGCAATGAGGCAGTCGGTGCCGGTGAGGAAATGAGACCCGTCGCGAGACCAGAGGATCGAGGACGGCGTTTGGTAGGCTTCGGTTGTGGGGGAGATTAATTGGTATGTGGAGACGGGAGTTGGATATTGGGATAGGCAGTTTGTGAGGCGGATGGGAAGGTCGGCGGGTGTGGAAAGGTAGAGAGTAGTGGTCGGTTCGGAGAGAGTGAAATGTGGGTATGGAGCCAGGCAGTTGATGCTTGTGGGGTGTGTGTGCGTTGTATACGGGGTGAGGGATATCGGGGCTGAGTGGTCATCGAGAAGAGTTGGGGGGAGAATGAAAGTTCGTATTGTGTTATCTGCGCTGGAGGCCAGGAGAGTGGTTCCGTCTGGTGACCTGATTGATAGCCATTAGAATACGCGGTGTACCTGGAGGGGGTCAACAGCCTACCATTGAACGCTTTTGAAATAATTAACCTCTGAATCGCCCTCGCTTTCTTCTACCGGGGAAAGGGATCGAGTTTCCGCGGAATCGTCATGTTGAAGCCTTCTCTCTCGCAGCCTGGATTCCTTGATGCTACAGCAGTATGTTTCGGTCGTGGAGGCTACAAGCGGCGGGGTCGGGGTCTCTAACGTTGAATCCATCCTGTGGATTGGTGCTGCATGTTTAACTGTAATTCATCAGAGTCCCTATTAATGCAATATTGCCCAGGCTTCTGGGACAGTATCACTAAGAGGGGTGTTTGGGCAGTTCTTCCTTTGATGCTACCGACAATCGATTTCTCCAAAAGTACTGCCGCGCGTCACCGCCAACGCTGTGCCGAAAGCGTTCTCCAAGCTACAGAAAACGTCGGCTCGGGCTCGCTTTGTTCACCACTTGGACTATCGACCTATCTACGTAGACGGCTCTATAAGTAGCTCTATAGGTAGCTCGACAGGTAGCTTTGCAGGCTCTTCACCGGCCAGTAGTATAAGGATAAGGGGTTCCACTACTAATAAGTATATCGTAGCGTCTTCAAGGCTATATACAGCGACTCCCCAGGGTCCCTCGTACGCGTCGGTAGCAAGCCAACACATCACAGGGCCTGGCGGTAGTTACGGCTGCTAACTCAGCAATCGGCAGCAAGGAGGTAGTTGTAACCTCACCTACAGAGACCATACCAAAGAACGGACTAGCATAAGATATCAAGTAGTGCCCTACGTCTAGAGGATAAATCTGGGACTCCGAATCAGATATTCTAGAATTAGAATGGGATACCTTAAGGCAGATTAGGTAAGGTAAGGTAGTGAAATATAAACCAAATGATGAACATACAAAAGGGGGGCCTGCATGCTAACCGAGCGGGAGCTAAAGCAAACCCCAGAAACGGCAGAAGTAGTTAAATAGCCTAAAGGAGTTAAGCGGATCGGTTGGAAAAGGTCCGACGTACTCCCGCGCGTAACTAGTCACTTACCTCTGTTTCCTTTACCTTTCGTCACCGTCACTCGTCAACATCCAAACAATAATTTCGAATGTTGACGATACCTACCTACCCTAATAGCTATGGATATTCTTCACAGCCTAGACTCCGACTGGGCTGCCGGACGATGTGAGAAACTCCAAACGCCTAGCTATCTCAATCTAGCACTGTCCATGTAAGTTACCCTACGTACTTAAGTATAAGCTGCCAAAACACAACTGACACGATCAATATAGTTTCATTCTCCTCGGAATCCTAGTCTCCTATCTTCCGCAGCACTATCGGATCATCGCGCGCGGAACCTCCGAAGGCATCTCTCCCTACTTCGTCCTTCTGGGCACCACGTCCGGCACATGCGCTTTCGCCAATATACTTGTGCTTCCGGCGTCTCGCGCCGACGTAGCATGCTGCAAGACTGTCAGTGCATTTGAGTGCGTGGCTGGACTGTTAGGAATTGCCCAGGTCGGCGTACAGTGGTTTTGCTTCACGGTGATGTAAGATTGATTCCCTTGCTGCCGTTGGAAATTCCGGGTCCTAACTGACCTGTGGCAGCCTCATACTCTTTCTCGTGTTCTTCCCCCGAGACGCGGGGGCGGCAGACCCGGAGGCTGGGGAGGAGATTCAATATACGTGGCGCACGGCGGTTACGGTTGCGTTTGTTTGCCTGCTCCATGGTTTGGCTACGATCTTGATAAGCGCGGCATTGGCGCTATCGCGTCCGCATTATTTGGGCGCGTGGGCCAATCTGTTGGGGATTTCGGCTACGATATTGGCTGCGATACAATACGTGCCGCAGATTTGGATGACGTACAATCTTGGCCATGTTGGAAGCTTGAGTATACCAATGATGCTGATCCAGACCCCGGGCAGCTTTGTCTGGTCTGCAAGCCTGGCCGCGAGATTGGGTATCGAAGGGTGGAGTACTTGGGGCGTGTTTCTGGTCACGGGATGTTTGCAGGGATGTCTTCTGGTTATGGGCATCTGCTTCGAGGTGAAGGCGAGGAGAGAAAAGCTGGGCGTGGAAGGAAGCGTGGTGAGTATCTACCAATCAATCTTTCTTCTGGCCGTGAAGATGAACTAACCCCGTCTGTGTAGCCAAACGCGACCTGCATTGTAGGATATATCCAAAGCCCGAGGGTAGACGTCGAGACGGACGATGAAGGCGGTGCGAACGTGGAGGACGGACTCACGGAGCAGACCCCGCTCCTCAATGGATCGCAGAAGTCATCTCGTACTAGACTCTCAACTCGATGAGAGAGTTTTATTTTGTTTTATTTACTCGGTTAGAAAGATTTTCCTCGTTGATCAACAACAAGTGTCCAACTGTGTTAACCATGCATCATCGTACTCTTCCCCCTTTTTGAGTGTAAAGCGGGTGTTCCTGTTCAGCAAAGCGATTGTACCCCTTAGACACAGTTCCTGATTTTCTCTCTGCGCAAACCCCGCAGTCCCAGCTTATGGCGTGATCTCATTACCCAACAATCTCCCAATCTCCTCCGCGATGGCCATGATTCTCTCCTCCGTTAATCTCCGACCCACGATCTGGACCGCTACAGGGGCGCCATGGTACGCCTCAGGATCATCTGCTCTATATTAGCGAACCGGTCTTCTCCCATCTGTCGTCTAGGAAGAGAGTTTTTTAACTCACATTCATCCTGCACCAGCTTATCGAGCGGGTTGAGGGGTTCGTATCCCTCTTTCTTCTTGTCGAGATTCTTGTCCGCCCAGGTCACGGGCACGACGACGCTCGTGAAATCTAGGAGGTTGATGGCACTCGCGTAGCCGTAGTACTTGAACTGGTTGTGGCGCACGGCAGCCGTGGGCGCGACGGGGGCGATGAGGGCGTCGATCTCCTTGCCGAGCTTCTCTTCGGCGAGGCGGAACTTCTCGAGGTACTCGGATTGGTAGGCCCATTTCTTGAGCTGGATGTCCCAGAGGCTGTTGACGTCGACTTTGGGCAGCGAGGGGTTGACCAGGTCGGCAATGTTCGGGATCGCGGGCTCGCCGGATTCCTTGAGCGTGTTGAAGATGTCGGTACCGCCGTCCCCGGCGTAGATGCCGTTGATGAGGTCGAAGGCGTAGTCGTGCTTGTAGGGAGTCCATTCTACAACGTCGTGGCCGGCTTTCTTGAGGGTGGACACAACGGTCTCAACGCCACGGAGGATGGGCGGGTGTGGGAGAACCTGCACGTGTCATGAGAGATGCGTACTTCTAGTGTTGGAGAGGAACATACGTTGCCGTCACAGTTGTAATATCCGATTGTCAGCCCACCGGAAGACAACTTTGACTTGATAACATCTGCTTCTGACTGTCTCCATGGCATGGGGATCACTTTTGAGTCGTACTTCCACGGCTCTTCAGCAAGCACGGAGGTGACGAACAAGCGCATATCTAAAGAAGAGTTTCGTTCAGTTGGAATACATGACATAGTATGTTGGTATTACCTTTGACTGAGTGTGTCAGGGGGCCACAGACACTGTGTACCGTTTCTTGACCTTCCATGGAGCTGACTAGTGTTAGTCTTTTTGTCCCTGAATCTTGTTCCCAGAGACTCAGGTACTTACTTGGCCATCTTTGCATATGGTAATCGGCCGTGTGAGGGGCGAAGACCGTAAAGGAAATTAAATGCTGAAGGGACACGAATGCTTCCACCTGGACAAGACGGGTTAAGAATATTTCAACAAGTCAATGCCAGACTTGAACTTACCAATGTCAGTACCAACTCCAATGATTGCACCACGGAACCCAACGATAGCTCCCTCACCTCCTGAACTGCCACCACATGACCAGTTCTTGTTCCGCGGGTTGACAGTTCGACCAGTGACATTGTTGATGGTCTCACAGACCATCAAGCTCTGGGGCACGTTGGTCTTGACATAGAACACCGCTCCAGCTTTCCGGAGAAGCGTGACCAGAACTGAGTCTTCCGTGTCGTATTTTCCAACCCACGAGACATAGCCCATGGACGTTTCCAGCCCCTGGAAAATCAGCCTCGAGCCACCCAGTTGACGACTACAGACTTACCTTGATGCGGAACTGGTCCTTGAGAGAGATGGGGAGACCATGAAGAGGTCCAACGGTCTTGCCGGTTTTCTGGTAGTAGTCGTCGAGTTCCTGAGCACGTGCCAAAGCCATCTCAGGGAAGAATTCAAGAGCACAGTTGGTCAATTGATGAGCCAGCGCAGCCCTCTTGCAGAAGGCAGTCGTGACTGCAACAGAGGTCAACTTTCCGGCGGCTATCTTCGCGACCAAATCCGCGGCGCTGGACTCGGTGATGTCTAGCTCCTCAGCAGACATAATGCTACTAGTCTTGGGATACCCCATCACCGAGTCCTCGGTGGGCAGCGACTCGATGCGCCATGCCGGCGGAATCGAGGCCGCGATGCGGTTCTTCTTGTCCTCTGCGATTTTCTCCCAGGTCATGTCTGCTATTCTTCAGGTATCGGTACTTGCAAAATTCAAGATGGAGGATTGAGAGTTGACGAGGGAGAAAACGAGAGGAGAAGACAAGACATATGAAGTGGTCTCCATGCTTAATATCGTTCCGTTACTCGGCCCAGTGATAGTGGGGTCGAGTGGTTGATAAGCTCCCCCTCCTTCTCCCGACCGGCTAATCGGCGAAGGAGAACGCAGCGTTATTTCGTTACATAAGAGAACTGTCGAATCATGTCTTTCCCTTTTGCTGAAGCAGAGATAACACGGCCGATATTATCACGATGGTGATAAATATATACGGTATCTCTACAGTAAACTACCCGCTAGGGGATCTTAGATGATGAGGCTCAACCCTATCCGATGCGCACTGATCTCGAAACGGCACGGGTCTCGGGTATTATTATATTGCCGCCGCCTTCATGTGTCCGAAGTTGGATTCCCTCGTTTGTTGAAGCAGTCTCTATCGCAAAAAGGCCAAGACTTCGAACATACAGGACTTACTATTCGAATATGCCAAGGGCTTGGACTTTGGGAAAAACAAACTCTACTATACCCCTCCCACGAAAAAGCATCGTGCCAGCGGGTCCAGATCCCCCAGTGGCTGACGTGCAGCATGCGCACATGTTATCGATTATATCCTGGTACAGGACCGTACGGGCTCTGACATCCTGGGGTTCTAATCCCTGATCGTGCCGATGTCTACGGTACCAGATGTGGCTGATGCTGGGGATCCTAGAACCAGCGGGAGAGGATCTTATAGCAGAGATACTCAACAGTACTTACCGCAGGACTCGACCCGCTCTTCCGGAGAGAGGGCTATGAGATGGTTGGAGGTTTGGAATAGATCCAAGAGCTCATATTCCGTCTGCTTCCCCCAGAGTCTGGAGGTCACTTGTGGATTGAGAGCTGCGCTGATGAACTTATACTACAGTACAACCCCAGCTACGGTAGTTATCAGTTATCTTCGTCTCGCTTGATACAACGTAATCATTACAGCATTCCCGACGCAGCCATTTCTTCCCTTGGGCAGCTAGGCCCTACCCGCGTGCTACGGAGCATGTCCTCCAGGTATTTGTTGCACGATATAGTATAGTATGGGGTACGGGGCGCCTCGCCGTTGCTGGCGTGATAAGGCTAGTGGATTCGCGATAAGAGAGCAAAATTGAGCCAATTATACGCACGTGCGGAAACTATTCGCAACAACGCTCTCGACATATATAAGAACTCCAACAACACGCACCATCCGGAAAATACCATCTAGCTTCGGGGGGAATCTTTTCTTCTCGGTCTGCCAATCACACTACAAGGTCCTAGGGCCACACGGCTTTGAGTCATCATGAGTGGACGCGTGCTCATCAAGGAGCTCGATCTGCGAAATGGACACACCAGCAACACTGTTGCCGACAGGATGAACGCTGTTCCTGGATTCAAGACCAGTGCTGGTTAGTATTTCTTCATCTGCTAATACTGGAGAAAGAATACGCCCTCTTCCTTTTTCTCTTTCCTTTACCTTTCCGTCATCTCTCCCCTTCTGTGATCTCGAACCTTGGTCTTCACAGAGTGTACACCCGACCAGAAATCACCCTCAGCTCGACTTCTTTTCCATGGCTAGCACGACTCTGTTTCGGGAAACAGACTCTTCTTGTGCGTTTCAGATCCCGGTTTAGACCAAGGTATTTCATAAGAGCCTTTTAAGAAATTTTAACTGTAAACAATTTTTACAAGCATGGCACTGAAAATTGCAACCACTCTCGCTCACTGCTTCATAGCTTTCTTCTCCTTCTTACGAGCAAACCTCGTCCTGCTCCCTGCCTCGACACTCAATTCAAACGCGTCGACGCCTCTCCTCGATCCATATTCCTCACAAGCTCTCCCTCCCCTACAACCATCTTCCCTGGCAACCATGACCTCTAACGCCGAAGACGAAGCTTCTCTTCCCCCCAACTCTCTTGACTCAATCCCGACGCTCACAACTGCAATCCTCACATCCGAAGCCGATAAAGTCGCGGCTTTAAAACTAGTTGCTGACTCTATTGCTCAACAACGTCAATTGGCCTCCGTCGCTATCATATACCATCCCGTAATTATTGCGGCATACATTTTTCTCCTGGCAATTACGAGCCTGTTTATCTACAAGACCACAAGTGATATTTTAATTATGGTTACAACGTGTGCGGGGATTACAATGGCACTGCTGGTGGTCGTCCAAGGTTGGACGAGCGGGTACGTCCAACTGGCTGAAGAATTCAACTGGAAGTTCATGAAGAACCAGGATGGCGAGGAAGATACAATTATTGGGTCTCGGTATGGGGAACAGCTTATTGGCGCCTTAATTCTGCGTTTAGAAAGAAATGGGAATGGAAACGGGAGGAAGAAGTCGAAAGGTGGGAAGACGGGCGGGAGAGGTATTGTGAGAGCTTGGACGACGAAACAGAGGTATAGAGGGACTGGCGTCGGCACAGAGTTGTTGGAAGAGGCGGTGCGAGTCACGAGAGAGAGGCTGGGTAATTCAGCGGAGATCGGGTTTGCGGCTGAGCATGCGAATAGCAAGATGCTTCTCCCGGAGATGTTTAACCGAGGATTTAGAGAGAGAGAAGCCAGGGCTGCCCGGGCGTTAGAGGAGGTGATCGGGATCATGGATGCTGGGAGTAAGAAGAAGAGGTAGATACAGCATGTCATGGAAACTAATAGCTGAAGAATTAGTTGTACCTTGTAACAGTTTTGTAAGTGACCCAGAGAGGAGTATCGCTCTGTAGCTTTAGACATGTAGACTTACTTACATAGGGAGGTGTGTGTAAAGACCATTTGACCCGGCAGCTTCCCAAGGCCCTTGGTACTTTACCTCCCTAGGTTTCAGGGTGCAGTCAGCAAGGAAGGAAAACGGTGGGGAGGGCGGCTGGTCATGTGGCACTAATCACGTGTAACCGGAAATATCCCTGTTTCGCTTACGGGTCTAGAATTTCTTCGTTTCTTCCACTGGGAATTTTCCTTTAAATACTTCTTTTCCCAACCGTTCTCTTTCTCTTTCTTTCTTTTCTTCATTGCCTCTTCTCCTCATATTACAATGGTTCTCCTGCCATCAATGCTATCCGACTAACGCACTCATCCCACAGCAAGCTCCTCCGCATCGAGGGCTCCAAAGTCGGTGGCCGATGCAGAATGCAGATCATTTCTGAGGGCACTGAATGACTGGGGCCCATGGCGGCACCAGGCACGGGCGAGACCCTTCCTGGGAGCCTCAGGCTAACAGCGTCTTTAATAAGGCCACAACACCGGATAGCCTCGGGACTCCGGTTGTGCTAGATGGGCCTTAGCTCGGTTACCCCGTTTCCCCATCTCCCCCATCTCCCCACACAGAGTTCAGCTGTCACAAGCGGCCACCTACGCAATTCCTTCTTATGTCCCGGCTTCCCCTCTTCCTGGTTGTCCAATCTTCCTTTCACATCACAGCCATGAGATCAAACGTCAGGATATCTGCACCCCGGGTGCGCTCGCTGCTTAAACCTGCACCGCGCAGGTCCTTCTCAGCATCGCTGGGACGTCAGGCCCAATACGGGTTTATCGGCCTCGGTCAGATGGGTATGTCTTCGCGTCACGCCACCATTGCTTGCTTCAATCGCTGACTGAGAGCAGGTTATAACATGGCCAGAAACCTGCAAGCAAAGTTATCTCCTACCGATACCCTCCGAATCTATGATGTCAACAGTGAAGTGGTTCAAAGGTTCGCCGACGAGACGAAGGCATTGTCAAACGGGGCTGCTGTGCAAGTTGCGGCGCATGTGCGGGAAGCCGCCGAGGACTCCGTAAGTCTCATACCCCTTTATCTTGCTCTTATTCTTTTTGTTTTGCCTTCCTTGCGGAAACCTTTAAGTGATGAGTTTGTCCTATTACAATGATCTAAGTTGGGGTCGCCCGTCTTGGGCGACTTTTGCATGATTCTAAATATACAAAGCCAATCCTCTGATGATTCTTTTTGGAACCACTTCATACCGTGGCCTTTTCTACACATATAATCGTCAGCTTGCTTACTAGCTCTCATAGGAAACAACCATCACTGTCCTTCCAGAGCCTTCACACGTGAACAATGTCTTCGGCCAGATCCTCAGGCCCCTGCTATCAACAGAACATGTCGCTAACCCGGATCGTCTGTTCATCGATTGCTCTACAATTGACCCCACCTCGTCTAGGGAAGTCGCTAATGCTGTACATACTACGCAGCAAGGAAGATTTGTTGATGCACCTATGTCTGGAGGCGTTGTAGGCGCCACCGCAGGAACATTGACCTTTATGCTAGGCGGCCCAGAGTCGCTGTTACCACGCGTAGAACCTATTCTCCTGAAGATGGGTAAAAAAGTCTTGCATTGTGGTCCCCAAGGAGCTGGTCTCTCTGGGAAGCTCGCAAACAACTACCTTCTTGCCATCAACAACATTGCCACTGCTGAAGCCATGAATCTCGGTATCAAATGGGGCCTCGATCCCAAGGTCCTCAGTAACTTGATCAATGTCAGCACCGGAAGGTGCTGGCCCAGTGAAGTCAACAATCCTGTCAAGGGAGTGGTGCCAACCGCTCCGGCAAATAGAGATTACGCCGGCGGCTTCGGAATCTCTCTCATGAAGAAGGATCTGAATCTTGCTATCCAGGCTGCAGAGCAAGCCGGAGCACGACTCGAACTTGGTGGAAAGGCTCGAGAAGTCTACGAAGCTGCGGCTGAGCAGGAGGACTGCAAGGGGAGGGATTTCTCCGTCGTGTACCGATATCTTGGGGGGGAAGAGCCTTGAGCTTGCATGAGTTACGTATGGTACAGTAGCATAGCAAGCAAAGTAAATCAAGTCAAATCACATGAAATGAGATGAATGGATGAATGGATCAGGAATTGCATTCTACAAAGATATCTTTGTGTTTCATTCAAACCATTGAAACGTACCTATCTTGCTTGATCAACGCTCCGACGCCCCAGAATATGCAGACCCCGACCTGACGACCTCGGGGCTCAGTATTTGTTTCTTCATATAATTTGTTCATCACACCTCGCCCCCCTCTTCTTCCTCCTCCTCCTCTTACCATCCATCCATCCATCCATCCAGCTAATGCAACCTCTTCAACTCCTCGACCAAATTCCTCAAATCCTCAACACTCGGTCCCAACCCCCTACAAATCTCCTCCTGCACATGATCTGCCAGATCCAAAAACCTCTCAATCAGCTCACCATCCACGAAGCGATACGGGGCGTCGTGCTCCACGGTATCGCTCTTGAAGGAGCGGTACTGCATGAAGTCGAGATCGCCGAGCGTGCGGATCGTGCTGCTCATCCGGTCTTGGAGTCGCATGAGTAGGTCTTGCGAGCTGGGCGAGATTAGGGAGAAGAGGTAGATGGATCCTTCGGTCTGTATATGCGTAGAGGGTGGAAGGTTAGTTTGTTATTGTGTAGGGATGGGAGGGGAACAACTTACAGTAGCTAGGAATGCCTTGGGGATAACCATAGCATTCGGAGAGGGCTCGACCTGGATCTGAACGATCTTGTTGACAGGCTCCCCAAGATTCATCTCGCTAGTCATCTCCATCCTCTTGCGATCCTCCAGCGTGACGCCGTTCACGTTACGTCTCAGCACTAGGAGGTTTCCATATTGGTCGCTTGTGAGATAAGAGTGTCCTTCGATATGTGCGACGGACGTCGTCCAGGAGGATTCCATGTGCCTGGCTACTTCTTCGAGCTTGTCGGGGAGGCCTTCTTTCCCGGGCGTGTATTCTACTAGGGAGATGGATTTCATCACGTCTCCTACGGCGATGATGTTCCCGGAAACGTCTAGGGCAATGGGGCATGTCGATGTCCGGTAGGTGGCTAATTTTACTAGCCGTGCTGACGCTTCGGTCGTTTCTTCGTATCTGTACATCACGACTGTCTTGACTAAACCAGCCACGATTTTCCCATCGAGGATGGCGAGGGTTCTGCATGCGCCCTTCAATACGTGGCTCATAACCAGATAAGGGTTGCTTTCGCTGTCAACCCCGAAGACCAGTATTCGACCCCCTACATTGGTATCCTTGGTCTCGTCATCCACGTAGCTTGTCCCGACGATGAACCTCTCCACAGGTGCCTTGTCGCCGTATTCAGTTGGGAGTTCGGCACGAATGATACACTCGATCAGCTCATCGCCGTTCGTGTCTCGAAGAATAAAAGGCCTGCCCATCTCTCCAAACACAACGTCCTCCACGAGCCTGAAGCTGTTGGTAATAATTTCTTCTCCCTTGACTAGTTCTCTCTTGATACAGCCAATACCGAAAGCCCGCTCTTTGGGTGAGTAACAGAGTCTCCTGACCGTCTCACCTATTGGAAGCGTTCTGACATGCGTCCTTCTTTCGGAATCGATCTGAGAGATCTTCAGGTTCTCGGGCGTGGCCACCACAATTGAATTGGGGTACGCTTCGCTGTTAAACGAGCAGACATGTGTTGCATTCTCGGCCGTGACAGCAGAGTAGACGATCCGACCCTCAGATCCGTAGATCAGGCTAGGATGTTCGCAAGTTGCAAACACGTTGAAGAGACCATCCTTCCGTGGTAGGATCTGGAACTGAGCTTGCTGCGTCCCGAGAACGATGCTTTTCCTGCCCGACAGCGAATAGTCGCTCTTGTCAACATTGAACGTTAGTACAATGCCGTCCTCCATAGCGACGAATAAGGTTGGCCCATAAAAGGCTTCAGGAAGCACTTGAGTCAAGGCTATATTTCTAGGAATAGATGTACTATCTATTCTGCGAAGATCCTCGGAATAAAGAACCTCCAGATTTGTTAGATTCAGGATTGAGACCGACCCAGATTTCCAGAACCCAACGGCCCCAATGTTTGGGATCTGATCAGGAACGTGAATGCATGCTACTTGATTCTCATTCCCCAGATTCTGCACTGCAACCTCTTGCAGACCCCGCTGAATATCCAGTGAAACCAGAGTGATACCATTCGCCGAAAGCAACAGATAATCGTCACTTGCAGAGGCAGCTGTAATTGTCTGGCCGGGAGGTGGTGTCCACCGCGAACCGATGCCATTGGTACCAAGAAGTGTGGCTGATGAGGTAGTGACTTGTAACATCAAGCCCCTAGGTAGATTCCTTGCCAATAGAGTGGGTTGGTCAAGTGAAAACCCTCTAAAGCTCTCCAGTTCTTCAACTTCCCCTTGCGAATCGAATTTGAACACGCGGGTTTCGACTGGGAACGAGACGATTGCTATATCATCGGCTTGGGATCCTTCATTTGAACGTAGGGAGAAAAGGCCGCTTATATCCTCCATATCAGCCAGGATACCAACATCTTCCAATCCCACTCCGCTTCGGATACTTCTCAGACTTCCCCCTTCCCATGCTCCACTGCCAGTCACTAGTCTAGCCTGGCCTGACGAGTACTCGTTCGTCTGAGTTTCCCCATCTCGGCCACCCATGTCCATGACAGCGAAATCCAAGATAGGGGCGACATTTGCCATAGTTTGCAAAACTTCAATGCTAGGTTCATCTGGTTCGAGGCTTAGACGGACAACCTGAGAGTCCCCCTCGTGAGAAGCGATATAGAGGACACCATCCCCCATATGTACCATCACCGTAGCTTTGGTGATCTTCCCCAGTACTCGCATCCTCATACCCGTCACCACAGCACCATCGACAGTAAGTGTTAACAGATGAAGGCGAGCGTAATCATCCGCCAACAGATAGTTCAAGTCATCATATCGTTCCCAGGCGACGAAAATCGAAGCTTCTTCTAGCGCGTACTCCACTATTGCCTTACTCTCGTCGTCCAAATATGTCATCTTCGTCTCACCAACCACAATAACCCCGCCTAGTTGTGCTTTCGCTGACGCTGCGTTCCTAACAATGTATCTCCTTTGTTCTACTTCGCCCTTTGGAACCGGTATGAGATGGCTAGCACCCATATCCAAATCCCCAATGTCGTTCTCCCGATTCCTATTCGGATCGAACGGCAAGTACTGTCCCTTCTCATCTGTCACTCTATATGTAGCTAGTCGCAAATCTGGGGGGTTCTTCGCGGTGTCGTACAATATCGCGAGTTTCGGTTGCTTCGTCTCTGTATAGAGAAATGTCATCGCCCGGACCTTAAGCTCCGTGATTCGAATCTGTTCGGGGGTGTCCAAGTAACCCATCCCTTCCTTCCGAGGCTTGACGATCTTGACGAGGTTTAAAATGCCTTCAAAGAGCTCCATAACCAACTGTCGACCCGTGGGATCTACATGGCATCTATCCCGGCTTTGTGAAGCTGCCACATGCCTCTCCGCCACATCAACAAACGATTGAACGGTATCGAGCTGCCGTGTTTCGGGATTCCAAACCACAGTGAAGTATTGGAATCGGAGGGTGCCTATGAAGAGGTGGTCGGTCGTGGCTCCAGCGGGCCGGATCTTTTCGAGCATTGAGACACGGCCGCAGATGGCTTGGGAGTGAACCATCACCAGACCTTCTGGTGACAAGGTCCATATCTCCACTCTGTTTGCTTTCCTGTGCGTAAGTTAGCTGGGCATCAATAGACTAGTTTGGCCTTCACTCTTACGCAAGTACAAGGCATTCCTCCTCCGGGTCTAGAAGATTTAGCTTGAGAGCATGGCGCACACTGCTTGGCCTGTGAATAGGAGCTAGATATGCCATTGCGAATCCCCTCAGCCACGCGGAGTAGATGTCGATTTGAAGTGTGGTCGCGAGGAGGAATAATCGAGCTGTCCAAACTCCAGAAGTCCGGGTACCTTATTAGTGACGCTGGGATTACTGAGCCGCCTTATCGCCATGGTTCGGCTGCAATCAGAGCTTCCGATCACCTACCTACTGAAAGAGAATTATTGCACGACCAAGTCAAAGATATAAAACATGTCTACTAAATAGATGATTTTAAGGCCCTGGATGGTATTAATCGTGGGCAAATCACAACATAGCGGAGAACCAGCGATTGTTGAGAAATACTTTTATAAGATCCTGTCTATGGACGCCTGTTTATGCGCGGGGTATCTCCTTTTTCCAAGCCAGAAATGCGGGTAGGAAAATAGACCATAAGCTCCAATCGTGCATGACCATCATCCTCACTCGCTATCAGAATCTGAAGGAGAATCCGATGTCATCGAAGTATCGCTCTGATCCTCATCCTCTGTTCCTTTGGTCCCGCCCCTCTTATCCCTCGACAGTTTCGCCGCATCTCTAGTTACACTGACCTTGTCCAAAAGCTCGCTATCTTGGAAAACACTCGATAGCTTCGGCACCTTCTCTACTAGTTCCTGCTTATCCTCGTATTCATTACCAACGAAGAGATTCTCGTGGAACGTGGCCCACGCATCCACACTGTCTTCATCAATGTAACGGTGATGTTGCCATGGCTCCTGCTGCGCTACCATGATTCGCTCAGCCATATTATCGCTTGAATCTTCTTCTCCATCGATCGAAGACTTGACGGTCATATGGACAGCTCGAGCTTCGGTGGCACGTGCAGGGGCCGCACCTGTCTCTCGGGCTCGAAGTTGGCGTTCCTGCTCGGCATATGCATCGAGATGGTGGAACTGTGGTCGCATTTGGACAATCTGATCAGCGGGGGTAAGATGAAGCTGATCTAAAGCGTGTGTGTGAGCATATATAACGCAACTATGAGACGAGAGTCTTACTTTCGCGCCATACGCCAATCATGTACTGAGGCGTAGTATCTTCATTTGGCACAGTCTGCCCTCCCAATGTCTGCTTTCGCAAAACATGGTCCTGCTGGACGGCTGCCTCATAGTCTTGCAGCAGCCTCTGCTGGTTAACATCATCATCCAGCTCTCTAGCTCGGCCTCTTCCACTTGGCTGTGCACCACCCATCCCAAAAGCGCCAGGCATACCGTAACTTCCTCCTCCCTTTGTCATGTTACTCTTCTTCATCGCGTCCCCCCATTTGATACCCTTCTCTCTGTCAAAGTTGCGCCAGACATCAAGCGGGACATCGACCTCTAGCATGCCAGCTTCCGGTTTAATGCGCAGCTTGAGCGGTTGTGACTCGTTTTCATTGGAGTAATGTTGCTTCGCATCACGATTTGGGAACTGCAGAACGTAGATTTCGCGGTCGTCGGAAATGCGGGGTTTTATATAGACATCGTAAGTGGCTTTAATGGGATCTGGGTCATATTGCTCCAAATCAATATCTGCCATTCTGGAGGTGTTGTCAAATTGTGTTTCGAGAGGAGAGAGTAGTAGTAGATTGGAAGAGTCGAAGCATTTTGCGTTTAGTCCCTGGTCGGAGCTTTGGGAATTTGCTCCGACATCCTCTATCGATAACGGATAAATCTAAGCGAGTCTATGGCGGGGTTATGATTCATGCGCACCCCTATAGTTGTTAAGAAAACCCTCTTCCGTCCAAAGTACCCAGCAGGTGGCCAGAAAAGTGAATGTTGTACTGCAATTGAGGTACTCAGGTCACTATCGCTTCACCATCACCAGGTATCTTACCTAGGTACCTCGTTGCTGTCTAGATGGAAATTGATTTGACACGCTCTTTCAAACGCCCTTTTAGAGCTGTTATTTAGGTGGCTAGGTACACGGGGTGATTATAATAATTAAAGCAGGTGTGAATAATTATCCCATAGGTACTCGTTGACGAATAACGTGACTATGTCTAAGCCACAGCGAGATGGTGACGATTCTTACACGGAGATAGGTAAGGTAGGTATCAGTAGGCGGCAGCGAATGATCCCCCCTTTGACTCCCTCCTCCTGATCCTCTTCTATTCCTCTCCCTTTGGAAACATTCAACATCAAGATACCGGTACAAAGTCCTCGAGATCATAGTAATCATCACGATGTGCAGTTCAGACATCTTCCTCGGCTTAATCGCCATCCTCTTCCCGCCCATTGCAGGTATGATTTGCCCCCCGCCCCCGGCCCCTTGAGCCAAGATGATTGCGAAGGCTCTTTTATATCAGAACCAGCAAGCCTTTCATCAGGCTATTTAAGAAAAAGCATCCAGTCCACAGGCTAACATTCCTTCAGTCTGGGTCAAGCGCGGTCTCTGCTCAGCCGACTCTCTTATCAACATCGCGCTCTGCATGCTCGGATTCTTGCCTGGATTACTTCATGCTTGGTACATCATTGCCAAATACCCCGACAACGAGTACGATATGATCCCACAAGATGCCGAGGCAAATCGCGTAACATACATTGTCGTTCAGTCGCCAAACGGAGGCCAAACACGGGTCCCAAAGAACACGGCGGGCTCAGCAAACGTTGGTTATGGTACAACAGCACCTATGGCGCCACCAGTCCACCAGGATCCAAACGGGACATGGAACAACAATGACGCCGGAGAAGGAAGTAATGGAGGTGCTGTCCCACCAACTTATGCGGAAGCTGTTCGGGGTGATCATAAGGTGCAGACTACAGATTAAGTCATACGATGTATAAAAAGTACGAGAAGAGTTGGATGTTAGGAGCAGCTCCTTGGCGTTCCCCCCAATTATTTTGAGAGCGTGGAAGAATTTGGCGTGTCGAATAGCCTGAGTGGATTACTGGATTATTGGCGTGCGTGATACGATTGACTGGACAATGGCCTGGCGTTTTGCATTATGTTCCTCATTCTGATTGCATAAACAAACTCTACGCAATGAAATTGTACTCTGCTGTTTGTTATCCCATGGATTTGATTGCTAGCCTATTAAACTCATTGTGGCTTCTGGCCAACTACCCCAGATCATCGGTCTATCTGTGATCCTCGTATTCAAAGGGGCCAAAATCTTCATGCGCCTTTTCTTCTCATCAACTTCTGCAACATACACAAATCCCATAACCGTTGCATCTCGGATTGTCTCTTGTGAGTCATTAAGAGCGGCGTACATCACGGCTAGTATACAATTAAGAATCATGGACGAGGGCTCAACTTTCTCATATAGTTCTAGTTCTGTATCCTCCTCGCCACCCGGAAGAAACGACGCCAGCATTGGATTTGCTGTAGCACGTTAGTTGGATTCAGCACCTTTAGTGAGCAGATCTTACCCTCTCGGATCTTGTATATTGTGGCATCATCAAAGTTAACTTGCTGGGTATGAGGGCTGAGCGTTCTTTTGGGATCACCAAAGAAATATTCCCTTATAGCAGCTTCTCGCGTTTGCCGCATGAACTCGTCATCCCTGTCTACACAGCCGCCCGACTTGTCGAGCTTCACTAGAGTTATGGTCTCTCCTGTTGTTGTTCTATAGCCCGAGAAGCGGCGAAGCATATCGCTGTGTAGTCTTTCTGAACCTAATACCAAGATAATATTGACTATGATACCGTAAGCCAAGATTCATATACTACACATTTGTGGAACTGACCTGAGAACTCGGATACAATATGTGATATTAGATCATAACCTCCCTTTCCTTGACTGACGACTCCTGGAGTGTCAATGATCATCCCGGAGTCTTTGATAGCCTGATCATCAGAGAGTCTGCTCGTTGCTGCCAATGCCATCCTGGTCAAGACGGGTTTGAACAGTCTCGTGTTGTCTTCTGGGCTAGGTAACCCATAGTAATAACACAGTGGGAGCTTCACTGGTACAGGACTGGGGCCACTCGTTGGGCTGCTTCCCCATCCTTGCTCCACATCGATGATCGAGGCAAAAGGTGTTGCCGTCAAGCTCCCTGGGATCGAGAGCAGGCCCTCCCTCGAGTCTGTGTTTATCACCATAGGTTGCCGTCCCATTCGTATCGCATAGGCCGTCAACAGCTTTACAAGGCTCGTCTTTCCGGCATTGGTTGGCCCTACCACCAAGACCCGCGGGCTTTCTCCCTTGCCTTTGCTTGCGTCGTCTCGTAGCTTCTCTAATGCAAAATGTGTATTCACATATAAGACCATCGGCGTCTCTTCCGCTGTGTATTCTTCGCACGCCCCGGTAACTTCGATACGGCATCCATGCCAGGTAAATATCGCTGCCTTGGTGCCACGGAACGTATAGGTATGATTCAGCGCAAGTTCTGTTCCAAAGAGTTCGGCGGTGCCTGATAAGACCTGGGGAACGGTCAGCTTTGGTTTCTCAGGGTAAGGACAGATACGAACCTTGACCTCAATGCTTCGACCAATCGCAACCTCGAATCGCCATTCTGAATTGGCTTGCAGCTCGTGGACCGCAACGGATGCTGCTACAGCTGGCGCTGAGGATGCAGCCTGTCAGTCAGCAGTGGTGTTCAATAAAATATCAGGAGATGTATGCAAACTCACTGTGGGCGCAGCTTGCCCCAGCCCTGGTATTGCCACGCCTGAGAGCTGAGCCATTATTGTGGGAGGGCGCGAAGAATCAATGTCATTTGTTTGTTTGTTCTGGGCGCAGTTGTCGCAGGGTCTTGCGAGCTCAAGCTCGAAGTTCAGCCTCGCGAGGCCAAGATCTGTGGACCTTTTCGGGTGCCAAATGGGTCGGATTCAGGAAATGTACTACACCACTGATTACTGGCAGCAGAACACAGGTCCATTAATTGATCTCTCTCACACTTTTACCAATCAGCCAGCGATCAGAAATTGAAATTCACTCTAAGTCGCAAAATGCAGTTCCAGAGCAGTCAGCCTGGCAAACAGATACTGTATTTAAGCGTCCTGCCGAAGCGGAGGGGAAGCCTGCACCAAACAATTTACTGGATATTCTCACCCTTATATATCCATGAGAGGCATCGAAAATCAACTGGGGATCCATATCAGCAGACCAGTGTATAGTAGAAACGTTTGTTCATAATTCTATTCTGTTTGATAACACGCCTTGATGGAATGAAGCAATGTCGTTTTGACGCCCATTCTTCAGTAGGACACGACCCTAGGCAAAGGATGGGACATACTTCTCAGGTGAGGGCAAAATCTCTTGGTGCTATCTCTGAAAATGTCCTTCATCTTCATAACGCCGAATGGAAACAAATGCTATGGTACTCCGAAGTCCCATGGTATATAGCACATAGCAAATGTGTGATCAATGCTTATGCCCAATCAACTCCAACCATGCAGATTGCCAGATCAAACCTTTGCTAAATCCCGGAGGATCTTCATCACACTCCGAACCCCTTTCAACGAGTTCTCATCTGGGCCCATGCCTGGAGTCCACTGAGCATGAGCAAAGTCAATAATCTTGACGGAATATATCTTTGGGCCAGTGTCCTCTTCCTCGTCCTCGTCGTCAACCTCTGAATTTGGATCATCTTCATTGAGTAGAGTCGCCGGTGATTTACTAGCCTCTTCCATCGCAGCTCTTAAAGCAACACCATCACCCTCAAAGACGAAGAGCAGACTCGCTGAAAACATCTGACTCTCCTGCTTTTCCATGACTTCTTGGATTCTTTCAAGATCCGCGAGAAACGCCTGACAAACCAACCGCCCAAGTTCTTCGTCGATGCCAGCCGACTCTGTAAAGATGAAATCCCTGAATGCTTCGTGCACATTCTCCTTGTTAAGGGAAAAGCGACCGTAATTCTTGTCGTATACCTTATATCCTTCTTCATCTATGTCTTTATTAGCCGCTGCGCTGTTGCCCTGCCAGACCCTCATGCCAGCTATCCTGAATCCCAGGTCCTTATGTGTGGTCTCTTCCGTGACCTTATCGAATCGTATCTGCTTCTCCTTCGGCGCATCATCCGCCCATAATCGCACACCCAACTTCACATCCAGGATATTGGGCTTCACGTATCCATGCGCCGCGTTCTCGAGGACAATAGCTTGATTTGTGGCTATTCTCTTCCCCGTCTTAACCGGGACAACAACTTCGGGGACGGTGTGTTTCGCTATGGGGAGAGTTTCGTTCTCCTGAATAACTCCATTTGTATGTGCCGCTATCAAAGCAGCGCCCTGCTCCTCAATACTCGCATTCTGCTGCTCGTCAAGGGTCAATGTGCCCAGGAACGTTGGCATGAACTCCGCGAAGTCAGGATGGGCGGCTACTGAGGCCTCGTAGAAGGCGATCTCGGCGGGGGTACAAGGCTTGATGAAGAGCTCGCCATCGACATCGCAGAGAGTACCGTCACTGCGCATGTGTTAGCAAGCAACGCGATCCGGTTGGGGGCAGTTGCGCAAACTCACTGTCCCGCAACAGCGTAGTTGTAGTCAACAAGATCTGCGCGCGTGGGCAGAGACTTGGCCATCTTGACTCGGGGCACAAAGCACTATGAATCTATCATGATGGAGAAAAAGAGGGTATTTTAAAAGGAGGGGTCGGCGCGTGCTTCTGCGCCAAAAGAGAGGTGCGAGGGATGTAAGGAGCCCGCGGGAGGGAATAACAAGGGAAGGTAGGAGAAGCGCTGCGCAAAGGAGGATGGCGAGGGGCGTCGGATGTCTGAAGTCGTGGCTTCAATCAAACAGGTCGTCGAGGCGTCGACCTGCACGATAACCATCAGGGGGGGCTGTTGAATAGAGACTAGCAGTGAGATCTCAGCGTCTGGCGGGCACTACGAAAGGCTTCGTCCTGTCCAGCTGGATCCCATAGGCTCATACAGAGTAACGCAGTATATAGCGCGTGCGCTGCGGAAGACATAGCCACGTGCGCGGTCTCTAGTAAGGACTTGTTAGAACAACACCACGGGTAACCATCCATCTTCTTCGACCGCTTCGACTTCTTCTACCTCCTGAGGGGCATACAACGGTTGCCACAAACAAATCCTGTGCGGCTGAGAGCACAAGTACAAACATAACCACAACCACTGCTTGTTAATTGACAGAGACTTCTCTCTACAAGCTCCACGCTCCCGGATACCTGCCTAGGCCTGATTGTTTGCTATCCAGGGAGAAATAATACAGTCCGCCCTCTTGTCATAAACTGACAAGATCTCTCTCTACTCTATTAACGCTGAGCAGTGGACAATGTAACGCGCTTATCCTGGAAGTGCATTCACTCTCTTTGTTATCTCAATTTTTTTTCTTTACTTCGCCCTATTTTGACGCGCCCGCGATATCTTGAAGGTGATATCCCGCGCTTCTACAGTAATACACGCCCTTAGACTGTTCAATTGTCTTTTCTCTATCACTGTCACCACTTTACTCTGACATGCTCAAGCCAGCTTGTCACTAAGGCTATCCAGGTATTTCTTCTACATTGCACAGCCCTTCCTCTCTTTGTCTGCCTCGCCTTGTTGTTCAGTCTTAAGTTTGATCTTCTCAATGCCGCATGTCTAGACACGCATGTGTATGGCCATTCCCTCCTAAACAGCCCTGGCTGAATCCATTCGCGTTACCCCACAATCGATCTGCCCGCGAATCCTTACGAGCCCCCGTTACACCTCTCAACACCTGCCTACAACTATTGACTGACTATTTCCAGACATGAACGGCACTATGGCTAGCCTCAATGCAGTCCATCCCGAAGAACTGTCTCGTCGTATTAGTGAGATCGACCTGACCTCCGTTCGCCATCGAGCGGATACACAGACCGGGGACAGACCGCGTTACACTCCAGAAGAGCTACTCCAACTTAGGCCTGCTCACGAGCCTAACGGTGATGACCAGCACACTATTGCTGCAGGAGTAAAGACCCCAGCTGATGTCCCTGCGCCCCCTCCACCTACTCCTAACCATGGACCTGGCACTCCCGAAGAGAAGCTCACGGGTGCTAAACTGAATGGTAATATTCCACAAGAGGATCAGCCAAAGAAGAAGAAAAAGAAGAAGAGTAGCGGAAAGAATAAAAAACCTGCACCAACTGGATTTGAAGGTTTGTGCACCCTTTCTGCTTCGCAATGATGGTTATTGACTCGATCTTTCAGAATTCTACGCTGACCCTCCGGTCACCCCTGATGAATACGAAGAAGAGAGCGATCTATATGCCCCGTGAGTTCTCTAATGTAATGTTCTATGAGTCTGCTAACTATTATCGGCAGTACTCTTTCTCTTTCTGAGTAAGCCATAGCATCTTACCTACTTGCAGTACTAACACTCAATGAACAGCCGTATTCAAACTTGTATCCAACGTTACAGAAAGCGACGTAGCTTGGACTCAGTTCGATCAAATATCTTCACCAAGTATTTAATGCTTGGAGGTATTGAGGCGAGTACCACCAAGCAGTTTACTGGACTTGACAAAGAGACGCTAGAGGATTCTACTGCTCAGGAGATTGCGGCATTGCAGGCTACTGATTTCATCCGTTCTGGAAGTAAGAATGTCAAATACTTTGACCCATCAGAACCTGAGCATTGGGTTGTTGACTTCGAAGGTGTCGCAAAAGGCTTCCTGTAAGAATCCTCTGTGCTTCAAAGGCCATTACTATACTGATATTCTTAGCTCTTGGTCAGCGCCCAAACGCCTAGGTGCCGACACTGAACAAGAAATCAACGCCTACTGTTCAGTTGTCAGAAACTTCCTCAACTATATCATTACTCATGCCGTCTGTCCAGAATACACCAACGATGTGTTGGCTGCTCGCAAGATCTGTGATTTGGCCGAGAAGGAGTTGTGGGAGATCAAGCAGGTTCGCCATAAATTTCCAGGAGAGTTTAATGTCGCGGCATCTACACTCTATGATGGTCGATACAGGGGTCTCAATATCGTAAATCAGGCGTGGGCAGCTGACGATCCGAAATATGACGACGATGTAGCTCTCGACCGGGGACTCACTGATTCAGAGGCTGAGCGAATCTTCAAAACCGCCATTGCCTTCGAAGGAAATGAGGATTTATTTGTGAAGGCGATGAATGGCGACATCCATATCGTCAAGACCGAGAACAGATCCTTCGAAGTTGCGCAGATTGACCGAGCTGAGATGACCTCTGTCAAAGACTATTCCAAAGTCAAAGACCACCTTGGTGTCTCTGGTTCCATCAAACCTCTCGGAAGAATCTATTTCAAGCCTTGGGATGGTCCTGGTCTGGACGAGGAAGACAAGACTGATGATGAAGATGAGAACCCAGCCTCGGCTTTAAACCCCCTCATTGAAACTTTCTGGCTTGAGGACCATATCTTGGAGCATTGTTTCATTGGCATGAAGCTTGAGATCGTTGTTCACGAGTTGAACATCGGCGTCAGATTCTTTGACGACATTAGGGGCATATATTGTTCTTTCCACACTGTTCTCCCCAATGAGAAGGTGATTGATAATTGGAAGGAGCCCGGTGAGTAGCTACCCTATTAGCCTTTTGAAATGATATGGCTGACACGTTTCAGTTCCTAATACGAGACCTCCGCCAACTGAAGACAATCCCGATGTTGAGGAGAATGCTATGGGAGCAGAGATGAACCGAGAGCTGGAGGAATGAGAAGCACGTTGAGGAAGGAAAGAAGACTGAAGTCTAGGTTTCCGATTCCAAGCGTGTGAAAGTCTGAGGGGGGAATATGGAGTTCTCGGTTTTGATCAGTACACAGCTACAGTTCAGAATCTGATCCGGTTGGCTGAGTTGAAAGTTCACCAGCTACGGTATCAAATCAAAGGGTTGTTTTTTCTTTTTGTGCTGGTGCTCTGGGGCAAAGCATCGCGTTGCTTTTCCGGTGAGCTCCTCGATATCACGGCGTTGCGGTGGGAGACATGCTTGTGAAGTTGCCGTGCGGGTGGCTATTATGGGAGTTCATAGAGAGACTACAAAAGGCTACAATGTAGCTGGAGCTGGTCATACTATCAAAACCCTCAAATCGGAAGGCTTGTTAACGAGTATGGCGTAGATGCGGCCCATGTGACACAATAACTTTATTATTCCTCCACCACCCACAGAGGCTTCAACCAGCATGTAGATGATCTAATTACCAGCTTCGTTAGAAAAGCAACTTTGTCTAGAGCACGAATAGACGTTGCGTAGGCATTTTAGTTTACAGTACCTTACATGGACGAAGATACTCCAATGCGGGAAGACCCTTGCATCCGGAGATAAGTACTTCCGTGCCTAGGCAGCGGGACACGGAGCTAAATCCCACCTTTTGTTGCTCCGGGCCGGAAATAAGCAAACTGAAGGGGCAGTGAGGGGTCAACTTTGCACGGCGGGGCAAACGTCATGGGAATACGCGGATTTGATTGAAGATCGCGCAACTCGACTTAGTCAGGATATTTCAAAGCAGCAGACATCCTCCGCATCCTTCTGTACTGCTCCTCTGTAACGTGCGATATCCAAGCACCAAGTCCGCATGTCTGCTAATCGCATCTCCAGACTCATATCCACATCTTCTCCAAGCATCTCCCGGCTATCACAGGTACAATCGCAACTCTCACGTCCACTTGCACGCACAATGGCTACCTCGCTCCCCAAGACGATGAAGGGGGTCATCATTGAGAAGACCGGCGGTGTGGAAGTCCTTCAATACAAGACCGACCTGCCAGTCCCGAGCCCCAAGCAAGGCGAGATCCTCGTCAAGAACGACTTCATTGGCATCAACTACATTGACACGTATGCGGCTCCTTTTCCATGCCTTTCCATTCCCCCTCCTTGAACCAATTCACTAACCGATTTCCTCCGATACAGTTATTTCCGTAGCGGTCTGTATCCCTCTCCCAAACCCGAGATCCTGGGCCGCGAAGCAGAAGGCACCATCGTCGCTGCCGGGCCCGGCGAGCACTACAACCTGAAGCTCGGCGAGCGCGTGGTCTACCTTGGGACGGGCGCCTATGCCGAGTACACTGCGGTGCCATCCGCGAAAGCGCACTCCATCCCCGCGGCGATCAAGCCAGGAGTCGCAGCCGCTGCGCTGCTGCAGGGTCTCACGGCGCTGACTCTGATCCGCGAGTCGCACCATGTGCAGAAGGGCGATTGGGTGCTCGTGCACGCGGCCGCTGGAGGGGTGGGGACCTGGCTGGTGCAGCTGTTGAAGGCAGTGGGGGCGAAGACTATCGGGACTGCGAGCACAGCGGCGAAGATCGAGCTGGCGAAGAAGAACGGTGCGGATTATATGATTAACTACAAGGAGGAGGGAGATAGCCTGGTGAGCAAGGTGAAGGAGTTGACGGGTGGCCAGGGCGTCGTTGCTGTATACGACAGCACGGGCAAAGACCAATTCGAGAATGACTTCGAGGTGGTCGCGAGGAAGGGAACTATTGTCAGCTATGGTAACTCGTCGGGACCGGCGCCGCCTTTCTCTGTTGCCAAGTTGTCTGCGAAGAACGCGAAGATTCTGAGACCCACACTCTTCAACTACATCGCAACGCGGGAAGAATTCGAAACGTACACAGCTGAGCTCTTCGACTTGATTATCAAGGACAACTTGGACCCAAGCGTCCACGAGGTCTACCCACTGGCGGAAGTTGCAAGAGCACACACAGATCTTGAAGGACGGAAGACGACTGGTAAATTGCTCCTGAAGGTATAAGAGTGTCATGTATTTAGGTCGCTTTTGGCTTCCATACGTCCTGAAGCCATGAGAGGAGGTATACAGCATGGAATTTAATATCTCTAAGAGCTGTCTATTGATTTATGATCCCTTTATCCGAAGAATCGTTTCTATGCGCTTGAGTAAAGATCTGCAGACGTGCTAATCAAAAAATAATGTGCTGGAATCTACATTCAAGCCTTCTTCCCTGCCTTAACCGCCTCGACCAAAGCCGCAGGGGGATCTTGACGATATCCCTTCGGGTTATTGCTAACCCATCTCCAGAGATCCTGGCAGATATCCTCCAGGGTGAGTTCAGTCTTCCAGCCCAACTCCTCATTCGCGCGGGCGGGGTTCGCGGTCAGGTCCAGGACATCGCCGGGTCTCTGGCCGACGACCTCGTATTTCAGCGGGTGGCCGACGACCTTGCTGAAAGAGTTGATCATCTCGAAGACGGTGCAGCCGCGTCCGGAGCCCAGGTTCCAGGCTCGAACGCCGGGCTTCTTCTCCCGGAGGTGGTTCAGAGCCGCCAGATGGCCCTTGGCGAGATCAACGACGTGGATGTAGTCGCGGATCGCTGTGCCGTCTCTGGATTTGTAGTCTTTTCCTACCCGTTAGCTTGCTCCTAGAACATCAATTGCCAAGATGTATGTATAGCTTACTGTCGCCAAACACGAGAAGCTTCTCTCTTTGGCCAGTAGCAACCTGGCCTAACAATGGCAGAAGGTTGAAAGGCACGCCCAGAGGATCCTCGCCCATGATCCCGCTTGGGTGGGAGCCGGCCGGGTTGAAATATCGCAGCAGAGCACCATTCCATTGCTCGAATGGCTTGCCTGCCTTCTTCGCATTGTTTCGCTGGGCCTCGATGTGATCCGTGATGACAGCCTCGATCATGCTCTTGGTGCGTCCGTAGGGATTGGTGGGGCCGATGGGGCAGTGTTCAGGGATGGGAATCATGTTGGGGAATCGTGTCGCATCGCCGTACACGGTCGCGGAGGATGAGAATACAATGTTGGGCACATTGTGCTTGGTCATGCTGCGGAGGAGGGTGATGGTGCCGCCCACATTGACACGGTAGTATTCGAGAGGGATCTCGCTGGACTCGCCCACGGCCTGGGAGCAGCAGACGTCAGGCACGGGAGGGTTTGCGACGGCGGGGGTGAGTGTGTGAACAACATACCTTGAGCGCCGCGAAGTGGATGACACTGTCGATATCGGGATGTGCGGTGAAGACCTTCTCCAGACCTTCCTCATCTGTGACATCGACCTCGTAGAAGTCGGGGCGCTTCCCGCAGAGCAGCTCGATGCGATCGAGGGCTACTTTCGACGAGTTGTACAGACTGTCGACGATGACCACTTTGTAGCCATGTTCGAGAAGGGCCAGAGTCGTGAAAGACCCAATGTAGCCGGTGCCTCTGCGCGAAAAGTCATGATTAGCAGGTTTCCTGGGAACTTGGACGTGGGCGTGGGCGTGGGCATTGGCGGGGTTGTTGAAGCTCTCCCCAGCCTCGAGATGCGAGATGCGAAATGCTGGGGGGGCAGCTGCTCAGGACAAGAGTCCCACTGGTTTTACTCACCCAGTGATCAGTACTGTTCCAACTGCCATGATGTGCGGGATTGTAGAAATGATTTTGTTTCTGGAAACTGTTCAACACAGGTCTTGGGGGACTCTTTTCTCCACCGAATTGCGAAACAATGGTGTGTTAATTGGGCCGTCGCAGAGAGGTGCACTTCACCGCAAGGGATCATTTCGATCAGCGCGATCAGCAAGCGACGGAGGACGGAGGCAGGTTGGAGCGCCATCATAGGTTGAGGTCCCTGGATCATTACGTCTAGTAATGCCACGTCTTATCTACAGGGGATGGAGCATCTGTAAGCAATTATTATTCGGTTTATTGCACCTCGGGCTATAACATTGTAATGTAAAATAGCCACCTTAAAGGGGTGGTGTCTCTTGGTTGATTATCGTCCCGCTCCCCGCGCACCTTTACTACTTACCTAAGGTACCTTACTTTCTCTCATCTCATTTTCTTCTCTCGTCTCAAGGACAAGACGTTCCCTCAGAGCACCTAGATATGCCAGGAAGGTACCTTAGGAAATACTACAAATAGCCAATGGTCATAGATAATGAATCGACGTCTTTCACCACCACACTTTTGCTTGACGCTGTCAAGTTGACAGTATAGAACTAATCTAGTCTTAAGGTAGAAAGGACTTGATGCTAATTATAACTTGACGTCTAAAAGCCCAAGCCTTTTCAAGACTGAATACAAGACTAAGATCAAGCTTCATTGAGTACAAGTCTACACTTAATCAAGGACCAGCAATGCACTATTAAAGTAGAAGTCATCCAGTACTTCGTATAGAAAGCCCGTTGTTGACCAGACCAGACACTGTACGCAAAGCCTAACCGTCCATGCCCATTTCTAACCCATCCGGTATAAAGAGCCGTTTTCACTGACCAGAAAACAAATGCACCCTACTTGGTCATATCCACATTTCAACCTGTCTCTCATGCAACAGGAAGCTGGCCGTCAATTCTGTTATTCTTCTGGGGTACGTATAGAAAAGCCTTCCCACGCGAGGTAGCAAAATAAAGGAACCGGGGCATCCCAACTCCTGAAAACGATAATAATGAATGGTCAAGAGGGTTGTTTCCAAACATTGAGAGCTCAGCGCCCAATGCTTGTTGGTGGTTAGTGAATGATTGGAGACCCTGAGCGACAGTATTACCATCTGCGGTCATGCCGTTGATGACGGCATTCAGATTGGCGATGTTGGGTTGCTGGGGGTTGGCTGTTTGGTCGGAATAGGACGATAACACATTCTTCCATGATCTATGGCTTACCTTAACTCTTCTCCATTCCCTTTGACGGTTTGTATCTCCACAGAAATTCGATTACGCAATATAGAACCACCTGCAGCGAGCACTGTACTAGGCGCGAGCCAAGCACCGTATGCAGGAGGGCCTAGGATATTCAATCCGGTATCCAATACTACCTGAGTGTCTGCCCTGCATCGTTAGATATTGATACAGGAATTGTAAAGTTAAGATCATCAGATTTGAGCTGTTACCGCTCCATTCGCCGTTACTTGAGGCATCATGGTTTCCTTTCCCTCCGCTTATTATATGCTGAAGTCACCAGTCGTCCACTGATCGGAAATTTGCAAGTATCTGTATAAGATTAGAATAGCTCCATTCCTTCAGAATTGAAGTCTTACCTCTTGCATATGGCCGGTTGACTGCGTTAGTTGAGTGCTTGCTGTCTATCAAGCCTGTCAGACCCCATACACGAGGCTTGACAAGTTGACCAGCAGCTGCCGGGAGGGCGCGGGGGATTTACCTTGAGAAAGCGGGCCCCTAGTCCGAATTTGGTGGTCACCAGCCACATGTTCGCGCGCCACACGCACGAGCCACACGTTCTCCAGCCTCTCCCAGTCCCAGCCTCACCGCCTCACCGCCTCATCAGGTACACCGCGCTGAATCGGGCGGGAGCCTTACCCACCTGGGCAAGTGTACCTCAGGCATAAACAAGGATCACGTCGGAACCGCGACTCTCTCTTTTTTCTCGAGGAACCCGCTCGACGTCTCTTCTGCTTTTGCTCCGTCTCTGTCCGAATTAACTCTCTGGAATGCTTAACCTCCTGAAAACAGCCATCATGCCCATTCTGCCCGTTCCGTCGTCAGAAGTGCCCACCCGTTACTCTACATTGCTGCGCTTGCCGAGGAATTCGTGAGCCTTGCAACTCCCAGAGCGGCGATTCGCGCGCATTGAATAACCTCCCATTGTCCTTGAGTTGCCGCCTTTGTCCCGCAAATCGTTGTAGACTCTCCTCCGTGCTCAAGTTGCGCTCAACTGTAGCATCAACGACACAACACTACCCTTAGACTGACGACGATATCACTATTCGCAGAATTAACCGGTCCATCCCAATCAAGACCTGTCTTAGTCGCAGCTTTTGGTTGCGCTCTCGCGTCCTATTGTTGCTTTTGGGTACCATTGTTGGCTATTGTGCCGGAAAACGGTGAATAGCAGCGCGTCAGTAAGTTCTTCCACATTGAATATCCGCATAGACATACAGTCCAGAATTTCCTCTGCCACTTATCCCACCCTCTTTCCATCCTCTTTCCATCCAAAAACACAAAACCCCAACATCAGAGAATACACACATATTACGAAGAGAAGTCTCTTCCACCATTGCATCCTCAATGGTTAGAAGACAAGCAACCGAATATCTAGAACACCAAGTTCAGAGACTACGTTAGCCATTCGCAGGAGTTTGCTGCGAGGAGCGTGATGCTAACTTGTGTGATCGCAGGCCTTTCTTCCGAAGCACCCTCTGAATTTGGAGGTTCTAGCTATTCTCAGAACTCCCGGTTCTCTCTGATCAACGACCCGTTGATATTTACAGCGTCAGGACAAGTAAATCCCACCATGTCTGCCCCAAGACGCAGCACACGTGCTGCAAGCAGGGCTGCTAGCAGCCGCGGGACCTCGCCAGCTATTTCTGAGCAGGATATCCCCGCTACTCCATCAGCTCGCCGTACTACCCGCAGATCTGCTGCATCTCCCCTTCCAGCCGTAGGGCTCAGAACGAGCACTGCATACGGCACTAATAGCACGGCCCAGCCTTCTTCTATGAGAGGGCCTGATTCGCAAGACCCCATCACCAATGTCTTGACTGGTCTTCTCGACCCTGTCCGCGAGGAAGATGACGAAGAAGAATCTAGTCGTAAGTCCAGGTTGCCTTGATCTAGAAAGGCGTGTCTAACTCATGACAGCTCTTCGTAACAGAACCGGAGGCCCTCGTCGTGGGAAGGGCAGTCGCCGAGGAGGTTCTGCTACATCAGCAACACCAGCTACAGATCGGAGCTTTGCCCACGAAAGCGGCATTTTCGGTGAAGCTGGCATTGATTCATCATCCTACGTGGAAGAAAGTGGGCTAGAAACGATCCAAGAGAATCCGGCTGCAAAGGAGTCAGTCGTTGAAAACACCGCAAACGGATCAGTCGTTCAGAATGCTGCTCTGGAAAACCAAACCCCCATTGTCACTGAAATCGCAAGAAACACTCGAGTCGAAGGGGCCCATGAACAGGCCGCAACAGCACCTGGATTGATCTCTCGTTTCATCTCGCAAGCTGGCGAACTTGTTTCGGCAGTTCTTGCCTATGTCATGTCGTCCTTGTTATGGTAAGCAGACCCCCAAATGTTTTCAATTTCGTTATTAATAACTCGACATAGGCTCCGAAGCCTGCTCAAACGTACAAGAGGCATTTCCGTCATGACCATCTTCGCCATCGCAGTTATCTTCATCACCCTCAAGTCTCAAATAAACACAGAGAGCATCCGTTGGTATGGGCCTCTCGACGTAACCCATAATATTGGGCAGTTTATTCCCTATGCCGTCGCACATCCGTTAAGTGCCTTTAGAGATGGTGGGGTCCAAGACCTTCACCGCCGCGTGACTGCTTTAGAGTACGACATTGCTCATCTGAAGACACGTACCGATCTTGATGCAGAAGCAGTCTCTCGCCTGGAGGAGGTGCTTCCTGACTTCATCGTCTGCAAGCAAGATGAGCAGGGTAATATGCAAATCCCAGACAACTTCTGGCATGCATTGCAAGACAAAATCCGCTCAGACAAATCCCTATTTGAAACCCAAATTTCCGAGACAGCAACGAAGGCTCGATCTAGCACCGGTCTCTCAAAGAAAGAGGTCATCAGTATCGCTCAGAAGCAGGCTGAGAATGTCTTCGATAAATCCAGTACCAAGAATTGGGAAAAATTTCTCAATTCCAATCGCGCTAAGATTATATCATGGTCTGGCGAGGAATTTGACAAGCAGATGGATTCTATGAGAAAGGACGTTATCACTTCCAAGTCTGATTTCATGAGATTAATCGAAAAGAATTGGATGGATACCAAAGAGGAGATCCAAACCCAGCTCGATCCCCAAAGAAAAATGTTAGACCTCACTCTCCGCCGCCTCACGAAGCTTGAAGAGAATGCAGTTGGTGTCACCAGAGATGAAGCCAGAGCAATCGCACTTGAAGTCTCTAAGAAGTTGATTTCCACTGCCCAGCTTGATTCCCTTGCCAGGGCAAACCTACAGAGCAGCGCAAGCGGAAGCCTTCTCCGTGTCAATCACTTCTCTCCGGGAACTGGGGCCGTCGTCAATCCATCATTGACTTCACCAAACTACGTCTTCCCTAGCATGCAGCGAAATACTCTATTCAAAATCGCATCGTGGATAGCTTACCGCCCAGTTCCAGTTCCAAATCCTCCTGAGGCAGCCCTCTCAAGATGGGAGGAGCATGGTGATTGCTGGTGTTCGCCAGTCAGGGACTCTGACGGCTCTGCACCCAGACTTGCAGTCATAACCAGTAATAACATATATCCTGATCAAGTTGTCGTCGAGCATATTCCCACCACTGCTGCCCTCGAACCAGGAGCGGCACCAAGAGAGATGGAATTGCTTGCATTCATCGACGATGTGTCAACTTATAGGGCAATCAAAGCCCGTTCTGACGAAATCTTCGTGGATGAAGCTCAAGAAGAAGAACAGCCTCCGCCCGGGTTTGTGCGAGTCGGCACTTGGACCTATGACATTGAAACTATGCAAAATATCCAGAGCTTTCCTGTTCAAGTCGACTTGAAGATGTTCGCGGGTCGTTCCTACACTAGGCACTTGATCGTCCGAATGAAGAACAATTGGGGAGCAGAGAAAACCGATTATACATGCTTGTATCGGGTCCGCGTGAATGGAGAGATCGCGCAGCCAGAGGAATATTGATCTTTCCGTTACTCGCAGTTAAAAGCATAAGTCGACGTCATTCTGTTATCGCAGACTCAGAAGCATAAAAGTCGATATCTGTTCATTACGATCAGTCAAAAGCATAATGCCGACATCTGTTCATTACGATCAGTCAAAAGCATAATGCCGACATCTGTTCATTACAGACACTCGGAGGCATACAATTGGGGGGATAGATGGATGTCTTTTCATCACGCGCAGTCAGAGGCGTAAGTCGGTATCTGTTTATTATGCGCGGTCAGAGGCATTACGTGGGCATACGATGGGTTGTCTCTTCATTGCTTTTGTTTTCGCATTCAGGGTAAAATGGCGTTCCATTGGTGGGGGGTGGTGGAAAGGTTGCCAGATACCCAAGTTCTTGTATTAACGATGCCATGCCTGCTTTGAAATGAAATTTAATTCATCCATTCCTGATTGACTGCCTCGGTTGGTGTGAGTCCATTGCACTTTACTAGATCTAACTGAGAGATTCCGTATCAACCCCTAGAGTAAACGTTCTACTCTTGCTTAGAGTAAGTTTCAGCAGCTCAGATCAGACAAATTCTTCTCACCAGTGGAAAGAATCATTTAGCTTAAGTCACTCCCTATGTGCGAAATATATATTCTAAACTCCGAGAACTCTACATAAACAAATTGCTTTCCACATAACTATGTGCATCGTTATTATCTAAGAGAGGCTTTTACTCTTATATATGCAATGCAGTAAAAGATGCTTCACTAATCCCTCGCCAACCTCTCCGCCATGTCCTCTACCAATTCGTACGCTGGTCTGAACGTCGGTTCTCATCATTGTTTCTTGCCTTCTTCAACGCGGGATGCGAGAGATGTGGGATGAGAACTTGCGGGTAGTGTCTTTAATATTTTGTCTGGTTTTATTTCTACCACAGACACACTAACTATGTCAATTAAGGAGACCTGCGGCAAGTGCCTCAAGATCCTCCAATGTCTCTGGCTCATCTGCTGCTTCAATAACCCGGCCTTTGCCTTTCCTCTTCTTAGCGCCCTCCTTCTCATCCTCGGACGCATCCTCAAACCACTTCTTGGGCCTCTTCGTCGGCCGCTCCTCTTCTTCCTCATCCTCGTCCTCGTCCTCGGGTAGGGGTAATGAGGCAAGCAGAGCCATTGGATCCTCCTCATCTTCTCCAGCTTCCGCCAGGCGCGGGGCTTCTTCAAGGGTCTCACCCCTCCTCTCCGCTGCTTCTCGAGCCTTCTTCTTCTCCCGCTTCTCTCTTCTCTTCTGCTTCGCGAGCTGCTTATCATCAAGATCCGCCTCGCGAATTCTCGCTGCCTCCTCTTCCAAGAATTTGGCTCGTTGCTCAGCAGCTGAACCGCGTTTCTTGAAGTCCTCTTCATCTTCAAGCTCGTAGACTTGATGTGGTACTCCGTCGTCATCGTACACCAGTTTGACCCCCTTCTCTTTGAGTTTCAGCAGTTTTTTCTTCGACTTGAGTAGCTTCTCTCGCCGTTTTGAGTCGATTACAATCGGTTCTTTACCAATGCCAGGTATGACCTTTGCTGCGGGTCCAGTCGCTGCGACATCCTCCTCCTTTTCTGAGCTGCTACTCTCTTCGTCTACCTGGTGAACCCTCTTCACTGACAGGAAATCGTTGTCTTCATCCGCATCCGCATGCGAACCTGCATCTTCGGGATCGTCGTCCGCGATCGTCTTAGAGTAGTGACTAGAAAGTACGTCTTGATTACGACGTTCAAACATTCGGTCGTATTTCGTCCGTACTTCTGGCTTCTTGGCTTGTTCTTCCTCATCATCGTCTCCTCTTGGAGCGTTCTTCAGCTTCTTTACGTCAACCCCCTTTCGAAATTTGATCTTCGGAGCGCCGGGAAGTCCCATGCTGGCATGGAACCCCTCCAAATCGTACTTATCTATATTGAAGATCTCCTTGTCCTTCTGAAGCCACAGAGATTTTGTATAACTTTCAAACGCCTTCTTGGCAAGATACTTGAGCTCAGGGTCTTGAAAACACAGTTTCTGTAGCTGTGCTCCAATTGACTGTTCTTTTTGTTTTCGAATATTGATCTGCTTGATAGGCACTTTCTTATGCTCCAGGCGTTTTAACATGCCCTCCTCTTCGCTGGGATCTAAGATGATGACTGCTTTTCCAGGCTTTTCAGAGCGCGCAGTTCGCCCAACTCGGTGAATGTAAGTGTCCGCATCTTCTGGGCAATCTAACTGAACGACCCAGTCGACAGCAGGGAAATCGAGTCCTCGAGCAACGACATCCGTGGCAAAGATGCATGAGTTCTTTGCGGCTGAAAATGAAGAAGTGATATCCAATCTGGCCGAGAGCTTTTGTCTGCCGTGAAGATGCAGCAATGGAATTCCTGGCTGAAGATGTCGGAAGCTTTCGTACACAAATCGTACTTGCTTCGCAGATGAAAAGAAAACGATGATCTTGGACTTCAGATTGGCCCGGATAAATCCAAATAGGGTGTCCAGCTTCTTGGAAAGGGGAACAACGACGTAGTATTGTTGCAAGGTTGTAGGAGTTGAGCTCGAAGCAGCCTCATGCACCGCTACATATTCTGGGTCCCGTAGACTTAACCTCGCTAGGTCCGAGACCTTCTTTGTTTGTGTTGCGCTGAAAAGCATTGTCTGTCTCTCTTTTGGCAGATGTTCGATTATCGCGTCCACTGATGACTGAAATCCCATATCCATGATCCGATCGGCCTCGTCGAGCACTAACATTTTCAAGTTACCAACTTCGAAGGCCACCGTCTGATCCATATGCTGCAGCATTCTTCCAGGCGTACAGACAAGGATGTTCATGCGTCCCAACCGTTCTTTCTGTTCCTTTAGATCTCCCCCGCCTATAACCAGTGCCGCTGAGAATGTATGATACCGGCCAATCTTTCGTAGGACCTCGAATATCTGGATGGCCAGTTCTCGGGTCGGTGATATAATGAGAGCCCCCAAGCCATCTAATTCGGTCCACCTTGCCCTGTATAAGTTCTCCAGCACTGGAACCAAAAATGCCAAAGTCTTTCCACTCCCAGTTTTCGCTGCTCCCAATATGTCGCGGCCTTTCAGCGCAAGTGGTATGGCTTTGGATTGTATGTCCGTAAGAGTTTTGAAGTGTGAAGCCTCGAGACCAGAGGCGGTAGGTTGTGATAGAGGTAGGTCAGAAAAGTCCTTTATTTCTGCTTTGATATCCTAAGAGGTGTGAGAATTGGTTGGTCGCGAATTGGTGGTGATACTCACGAGCTCCTCGACAGCTCTCTCCAGTCTCTCATGATCTTCAATATCTCGTTTTCTCTTGAGCGATTTCATATTGACCTTGGCCCGGCCAGATAGCTTGGGCTTTCTGCCAACAGTTGGAGGAGCCATCATTCGTTATGCGTATTCTCAGGCGCTGGCGGGAATCTATTCGATTTTCCCCAGGAAGTATACAGGCGGAAAATATAGAGAGGGTGGCGCTAGCGGCCGCTTGACAAAAAAAACGGAAATCGATTTTGCGATAAGATGTGCGGCTACAGCACATGCTCCTACGACTTTAACTACCACTTCAATGACCAAACCTGAGTAGTTTGGTATTTTACGAAATGCCTCACCGCGCAGCCTCCCCTGCGGCCTCAGAGAATGAGTTTGATATCACAAATTCATTATTCAAAGACGACAATGCCGACGATGACGATTTTGCTCTCCCGAGCGGTAAAGATTTGGGAACCCTCGACGCGGGTGGAATTTTAGATTTGGCAGCTGAAAGCGATGGGGATGGCGATGAAGCTTTTATTGCAGCCCGACAGGCTGCTTCTAATCGAAAGGCTTCCAATCTGAAGGGCAAGAGTGTAAAGAAGGGTGGAGGTTTTCAGGCAATGGGTATATATGCACAGCTTGGGAGGCTTTGAGAACTTTGGCTAATAATAAATCAAGGCTTGAATTCACATCTTCTTAAGGCAATCAGCAGAAAAGGATTCTCTGTACCTACTCCGATTCAACGCAAGACAATACCTCTAGTTCTCGACAATCAAGATGTTGTTGGCATGGCCAGGACAGGTTCCGGGAAGACCGCCGCTTTTGTGATACCCATGATCGAGAAGCTTAAAGCCCATAGTGCAAGAGTTGGAGCAAGAGCCTTGATCATGTCTCCATCTCGAGAGCTTGCGCTACAGACGTTGAAGGTCGTGAAGGAGTTCGGCCGAGGGACTGATCTCAAGTGCGTCCTACTCGTTGGTGGAGATAGTCTCGAGGATCAATTCGGATTCATGGCTGCAAACCCGGATATTGTGATTGCAACACCCGGTCGGTTTCTGCATCTGAAGGTTGAAATGTCTCTAGACCTCTCATCAATTAAATACGTGGTTTTTGATGAGGCTGATCGGCTTTTCGAAATGGGTTTTGCTGCACAACTCTCGGAGATTCTCTACGCATTGCCAACTTCCAGGCAGACTTTATTATTCTCTGCTACCTTGCCAAAGTCATTGGTGGAGTTTGCTCGAGCCGGCCTTCAAGAACCTAGCTTGGTACGTCTGGATGCCGAAAGTAAGGTCTCGCCGGATCTCGAAAGTGCCTTTTTCAGTGTCAAGAGTTCCGAGAAGGAGGGCGCTCTCCTTCATATTCTCAATGATCTGATAAAGATGCCCACCGGACTTCCAGAGGCGGCAAAGAAGGCTGCTGAGGCCGGCGGCAAAAAGCGAAAGCGTGGAGACAACGGACCAAATCCTAAGCAAAAGCCAACAGAACACTCGACCATCATATTTGCAGCTACGAAACATCATGTTGACTATCTGGCAACACTCCTTCGTTTGTCTGGATTTGCCGTATCCCATGCATACGGTTCGCTGGATCAAACGGCAAGGAATATCCAGGTTGAAAATTTCCGCACTGGAATGACCAATATCTTGGTAGTGACTGATGTTGCTGCCAGAGGTATTGATATTCCTGTTCTGGCAAACGTTATCAATTACGATTTTCCACCCCAACCGAAGATTTTTGTCCACCGCGTTGGCCGTACGGCAAGAGCTGGGCAACGAGGATGGAGTTACAGTCTTGTACGAGAGAGCGATGCGCCATACCTCTTGGACCTGCAGTTATTTTTGGGTAGGAGACTACTACTCGGTCGTGAAAGTGGCGAGACACCGAACTACGCTGAAGATGTCATTGTCGGAGCTCTCCCTAGAGACAAATTAGAAAGCACGACTGAGTGGATTGGAAAGCTACTTGGAGACGATGTTGATCTCAGTGCTCTCAGAAGGGTAGCAGAGAAAGGTGAGAGACTTTATATCAAGACACGGAATTCTGCATCTAGCGAAAGCGCAAAGAGGGCCAAAGAAGTGGTAGCATCAAAAGGCTGGAATCAATTACATTCCCTTTTTGATAGCGAGACGAATGATATGGAGCAAGCTCGACTTGACATGCTTGCTCGCATCAGCGGATTTCGACCACAAGAAACTGTGTTTGAGATCGGCACAAGAGGCAAAGCGGGTCATGGTGAGGCTGCTGAAATGATGAGGCAGCGAAGGGAGAAGATTACTCCCCGAAGACAGAAAGAGGAGGACGAGAAGGCCGCGGCAGAGGCAGAGGCAGAAGATAATATGGACAAGTTGCCTGAGCACGATGCAGATGACGACGATGATCTGGAAGTCACCATATCTGGTGGCGGCCAGGACATGGAAGAGGCCTCTGATGGCGATATCGAAGTCACGTTCTCGAAATCGGCACAAAAGGGCAAAGGTAGAACGTTATCATGGAAAGATTCGGAGAACTTCATGTCTTACACGCCGAAAACAGTCAACACGGCAGAAGAGCGTGGCTACGGCGTCCACTCAGGATCATACAACACTGCATCACAGAACTCAAATTTCGTGGAGGCTGCCAGAGGCGTTACTATGGATTTGACCAATGACGATGTGGCGAAGTCATTTGGTGAGCCGAGCAAAGCGAAGGGAATGAGATGGGACAAAAAGAATAGCAAATATGTCGCTAGAGCAAACGATGAAGATGGATCCAAGGGAAAGAAAATGATCCGCGGTGAGAGCGGTCAAAAGATTGCTGCAAGCTTCCAGAGTGGACGATTTGACCGATGGAGAAAGGCTCACAAAGTCGACCGTCTTCCTCGGACTGGCGAGGCTGAACGAAAAGATGCTGGCAGTACCATGGGACGAGGTTTTGGACCCAGATACAAGCATAAGCAAGAACGGGCACCGAAGGAGGCAGATAAATATCGTGATGACTACCATGTGCGGAAGAAGAGGGTCGCTGAGGCCAAGGAAAAGAGGATTGGGAAGTTCAAGGATGGTAGCGGGAAGCCTGAGATTAAAAGCACGGAAGACATTAGGAAGCAGAGGAAGTTGCTTGAGAGGAGGAAGGCCAAAAATGCAAGGCCTTCTAAGAAGGGGAGGAAGTGATGGTTTTGTTAGTTTGTGGCTACAAATACCCAATGTTACAGTTGTGATTGGCAGTGCAATATTTGAACCTTATGAATTCGTCTATAGAGACACGGCTTACAATCTGTGGTTTCTACCAGTCGTAGTGTGTATGCCAGGATAACTCCCCGGGGGCGGAAAAATGCACACTCCATTCCCGAATCATAGGGGAAGTTCTCATACGAATTGCGGCAATTTGACTTTGAGTTCCAGACCTTATCTATAGGACTTTAAAGTCAGGCACGCCGAGTGAATCAAGTTGCGCAGTCTCATTCCTCAAGTGTGGAGTTTCGTTTTGGCAAAAGTCTCAGAACCATGGTGTAACTAATACTACCCGCCTGCACCATAAGGGGGTTCGAAGCATACCTACTTAAAAATCAGTTGAGAAGTATATGTATATGAAAATTCCGTATCTTAATTCGTCCTAAAGGATTTCTCTGTTGGCAAAGAATCTAGATTTTTATCAGCTATTTTTTCCTTCTGCTTCATGCCAACCCCCCCCCCCCTCCCCCCCCCAAAAACCCTCCTTTTTGGCAGCGATGCAGGTGGAGAAACACAATAAGCCTATCATATATGTTTTCGTAAGCGAACATTATCAACAAAAACATGAGTTCAACAGGCCTGATAGTTCAGTGGTAGAATTCTTGCTTTGGGACTACAGCTCAACTGTAAGAGGTCTCCGGTTCGATCCCGGATTAGGCCCCACTCTTTTTTAGATTTTTTTCCCGTTTTGCTGTTCAGCCTCTCTTAGCCTCTTGATACTTTTGACGTTGTGTTACGCGCCTAATACAAGTAGGCAGATATCGAACCCATCAACAACCAGTAATGCCTCTGCAGCATTAAAGTGGCCTGATAGTTCAGTGGTAGAATTCTTGCTTTGGGAACTCAAATCTTAAATGTAAGAGGTCTCCGGTTCGATCCCGGATTAGGCCCTTCTGTCCCTTCTTTGGGGTATCAATTTTTTCTCTTTTGCTTTTTCCATCAATTCTATTTTTTCATTTGTCCCTTCCGCTCTGCGGCATATATCTCCTAACCAGGTACCCATAAACAGCACTACAAGGGCCTGATAGTTCAGTGGTAGAATTCTTGCTTTGGGACTTCGGATCTTGATTGTAAGAGGTCTCCGGTTCGATCCCGGATTAGGCCCACATATCTTTTGCGATGTAATCTTTTGTAACTTTCTTTTTACTGCTCTTTCACTTCATCGGAACATATTCTAAAACTAGAGACTCCTTTATAACAGCAGGGCCTGATAGTTCAGTGGTAGAATTCTTGCTTTGGGATCATGTCTCGATTGTAAGAGGTCTCCGGTTCGATCCCGGATTAGGCCCATATTCTTTTGTGTTTCTGATTTTCTTTTTTTGCAGATTCTTTCCTTACTTCTGTTTTTTATGAATGTTGTCGTTGCTAGTATAGACAGGTATATCTAACTAGCCCCCTTTTTGGCTCCAGGAACAAAGATTCAATATACATAGGTAGGTCTCGTCATTCGAGTTCTTTTTTCCTAGAAGAACCAAAATTGTGTAACTGTTGCCAGAGGACCAGACCAATGTCTACGTAATACCTGCAGTCACTGTGCACGAGCGTATGAACCTCGATTACCAAGGTTCCCATCCATAGAGTGTTCGTGACATTACTTTTGTATTGACACATTTATCTAGACTACTTTCCCTCCCTCTCAGTGCGCTTATATTTCAAGAATCTCCCCAGATTCAAGACAGCTTCATCTGCTCTGGCGCGTAATTCTTCAAACTTCCTCTTGTCGATGGACTTGGCCATCTTTCTAACCTTTGGTAACGTCTCTTCCAAATGCTTGTAAAACCCATCTGCCCAAAAGACAGGCTCGTCGAAAGCATAACTCTTATCCGCGTAGATATCGAAGATTTGGTTCAATGCTTCCACTGCCTCGGCAGGTTCTGTGTCCGGGACAGCGGCCACAACAGTGAGGAGGAAAATCCCAATTTCCTTATTGAGCTCGATGGGGGCAGGGTTGAGTGCAAGGCTACCGAGGACCCCGATGCTCTTCACCCCCATACCTTGGAATGCATCGTTGCTATCCTCGCTTGCTGCCTTTTTACTTCCGTTTGACTGATCTTGTGTCTTGGATAGGTTCTTCGATGCCTGGTATAGTGCCATGAATTTCCTTTGCTCGCCTGGGTTAATTTTGATTTGCCCCTGCACACTGCGAGATACAGCCCAAGCGAGACTGGTGATAGAAGAAGCCAAATCAATGTCTGCTGTGTTAGAGGCTAGAACTGGACTGATAACCTCATTCCAGATATTATGGGCCAGTGAAGCCCAGAAGTCCTTCAGACTGTCCAGGTGACCCGTGGAAAAGTCAATGCTTGAGACAGTCCAAGAAATATTGTTCAGAGCCGACAAAGCATGACTTTGGATACTATCGCTTCCTGTAGACATCTGTTCAGACGGACGTGCTAGTGGCAATATCTTGGGTGCGGCATTTCGGACTAAATTTTCGAGCGTCAACTCTTCAGAAGGACCTTCTTCATCGTCTGGACCATCTCCAGTCACCAAGTCCATATCGGCATCGATCTCGTCATCGTTCATTTCCTCGTTGTCCCCATCGTCTTCCTGATGGGGCTCTTCGCTGTCGTCCTCCATCTTGTCTTCACCATCGTCCATCTCGTCCTTATCATCAAATCCTTCAAATTCCTTTTCGTGCCGGCTCCCATGCTCCAATGCCTCCTGAAGACTTGTGGCAATAGATGCAGTGATCTCCAGGGCCAACCGCAAAACCTGGTCAGGACTCGAGAGTGGCGTGTCACCATTTGCGGTGTTACTTTGAGAATTTGCAAGATCCAAGGATTTGGCCAGTGTCGGAATCAGAATAGCATCTGACAGACCTGGCTTCTCAGTATTATGATCGTACCACTCCAGGCACGCGAAGATGTTATGGAGCACTCCGCAAGCAGCAACTGCTCTGAAACCACCGGTATCCTTGAGCTGGATAAGCCCCTTCAGCCAATCCTCATTCTCTACTATGCTCTGAACAAGCGGTTTATTATCCTCCGTTAACGCTGTCAAGCAGGACAGTGCTTCGTTCTGAGCCTCGGTAGGCGCGAGCTCGAAGGAAAGGAGTCCGAAGAGAAAGTTGACGATCGAAGATAGTTTCGATATGGCTTCGACAATTTCTTCTTGTGCTTCGGATAGCGATGTAAGTAGGTTGACGACTGAGCTTGTAAGATCCCAGATAAGTGCTTGTTCAGCTTTGGGAGCATTGGAAAAGGGCGCATCCTGAGAGGAAATAGTCTGAACGACCTATTTGTAAAGTAAGCAATATGTTTCTAAAGGATTAAGTAAACGACGTACATTTCTAACAGCCCCCTCGATTGCTGTCAATATATCCTGCCTATATAGGTGAACACAGAAGTCCGCCTCCTCTTCCAGTGCCAAGTTCCTTAGAATTCCCCACCCCGCAGTCCTGGTCTCAAGATTCGAGTCTGTGAGCGTCTGTTCGAGTAGAATTCTCACAATTTGTTCCCGCAGTAACAGTTTTCGACATTTTTCATCTTCGATTATGTTGGAAATCGCACTTGCAGCGGTCGATCTTGTCTTGAGTTCGGCACTCTGCAGGTCTCTCAGGACTGGCAGAATGCGCTGCTCGCGGATCGCCGCGAGTTCCGGGTCGGATGGAGGTTTGATAGGTTTTGCGGTAGGGTTATCGCGGTTCTTCACCCTGTTTCTAGGTTTTGACTTGCCCATCTTGACTGGCCGTTGTGATCTTTGTCGAATATCTGGAGATTTTCGAAATCCACAGTCGAATTTTGCCCTGAACTTTTTAATTTTCTGGTGATCTCTAGCGAATAAACTCGTGAAAATAATATAATACCGTAGAATTCGGGCATTAATTGCCCTGATAACGGTGAACTGAGGAGACTCTAGTGAATCTACAGGTGTTCATTTAGAGCAACCCCACCACTGGCGGTCCGTACCTTTTCCAGCAAAGCCTTGAGGTATTTTAATGAGCGATTTCCCTCCACCCCACACTCTCATAACCCCCCCTTTTCCCATCTGCAATGTCTGCAACGTCTACAATCACTCAAGCTGAGCCGATTACGGCTCAGAATATCCTGCGACTCTTTCCCGACATCGACACAAGCTCGGCAGAATTAGAGGGCCACGATGAAGAGCAAATCAGGTTGATGGATGAGGTCTGTATTGTCCTCGATGAGAATGATAAGCCTATTGGAAACTTTAGCAAGAAGATATGTGAGTAGCGATTACCGTGTAATGTAACAAGTGTTTGTCTGACAACCGCAGGCCATCTCATGACGAACATTGACAAGGGCCTCCTGCATCGCGCCTTCTCTGTCTTCCTCTTCAACTCCAAGAACGAGTTGCTCCTGCAGCAGCGCGCGACCGAAAAGATCACATTCCCGGACATGTGGACCAACACATGCTGCTCGCATCCCCTTGGAATACCGGGTGAAGGTGGTGTCGAATTGGCCGAGGCGGTGATGGGGGTCAAGAGAGCGGCGCAACGAAAGCTTGATCACGAACTTGGAATCAAGGCTGCTCAAGTCCCAATCGAGAACTTCAAATTCTTGACAAGAATCCATTACAAGGCACCTAGTGATGGAAAGTGGGGAGAGCATGAGAGTGTGTCCTACCTCACTTACTCCCCGCAGAGATGTTTGCTAATCCTGCATGATCCTCTAGTTGACTATATCCTCTTCATCAAAGCCGACGTTGATCTCAAACCCAACCTGAATGAAGTCCGCGATACTCGTTACGTTACTGCCGATGGGTTGAAGACGATGTTCAATGACCCCGCCCTCAAATTTACTCCCTGGTTCAAACTCATCTGCCATTCCTTGTTGTTCGAGTGGTGGTCACATTTGGACGAGGGGCTGGAAAAATACATGAATGAACAGGAGATCCGTAGGATGTGAGAAAACCGGGATCGTGTCAATGCATTGACAGCGAGTCAAGCTACACTGTAGCACGGATTGTCGGAGAGAGGGGAGGAGTAACAAGCAAAGTGAAGCCTGGTCGAATTATCCGCAAGCAGATTCAATATACCCCACATACAGACGCAGCAATTGAGTATAGCGCATTGGTTCCAGCTGCAGCCATGCGATGTTTGGTCCTTGGCTGAGTTTACTGAGTTGAGTGGTCAGGTATCACGGCCTTTCCCAGTTGTCCGAGGAAGTTTGGGCTCGTGCCATTCCCTCGAGCACTTCTGGGCATTGGATCTACGATGCAGATATGCTCGGCATACCTTTCTCTCTCTTTGTGCATCTTACAATTCATTCATATTTGTTTATCTTCAATACTGTGGCCAACTATGGCATTCATTCGAGTTCGGGGTCGGCCGATTAATTGGCGGGAACTATCCCCACCTCTATCTAACCGCTCGAGGTATGTCCACCCGACGATTAGCAACCCCACGCCTCGCGGTTATCGTGCAGCTCGACTCAAAACGAGGCGGTCGTTCATGAATAAGGGATGTTTGGGCGGCACTTCAATCCCATTGGTTATTCTGGATCATATCTCGTAGTTCGAGGGGACGACGAGAAAGCTCCGCTCACAATTGTCAAAAAGGGGCCCTATCAGCGGAATGACAGGGGTCATTCGGTTCCACGATGGCTTCTTTTAGTGGGGTCATACTGAACGCTTATCCTTGGGCACACGACGTCCCGGATTTGAAGCATACATACATAAGCCGTGTTGTGCCGCGCTCTCTCCCCCTCTTTGTCAATCCACCGGATTTCATAGATTGCTCAATCCTCACTTGACATCAGGAGTAATCTTCAACCTCAAAATCAGTTAACAGCTCAGCTTCGTTATCTATCTCGACGATTACTTCAAGACTCCCAGTATCTCTCGCACGACAGATAATTATAAGCACTGCCACATATTGACAGATCAATATATCCGTCAATCTGAACCGAATCTCAACAGGAAGCTCCCCGGATATTACAACCTTGATGTCGGTTGATAGACGCCAAAGTCTTCATTGCCTTCGTTTTCCATCTCGATACGAAACAGTGTCGAGATCCCAGCTTTCTAAACAACATACGGGCGATAGCACCAGGCCAGCTGAAAAACCGTCCTGTTTGTGAACTCCCCCCCTCGTGCATTTATATCACTCATTAATGGAGGTCCAGAAATACCATATCAGTCTTCCGTATCCAACCGCAATCATGGAGCAGATTAATAACAATAACGCCATGTTAACCACCGAGAAAAGCCGTAGTATCTCTCCAGCAAGCTCGGAAGAAGTCCGTGTCATTGGCATTAATGAGTATGAGGAGGCGGCTCAATGCCTGTCTGAAGCCTTCGCCGTTGATGAAGTAGCAAGATATTTCATTGATACCGATGATATGGCTGCTTATTCGGAAGAGCACAAGTGGAAGCTTCATTGCGATATCATTCGGTATATGACTGCTGCTCATATCTACAAAGGCATTGCGACAACTATTGGGCCGAACTATGATGCTGTTGCTCTTTGGTAGGCAGCTTATCATACATCCTCGTTATATAGCCTGCAACGGAGTAAGGCAAGACAACTAACTGAAAACTAGGATGCCCCCTGGCCAGAATATGAATGACTGGTGGACAATCTTCCGTAGTGGCATGTGGAGACTCTATTACAAGCTATCATCTGAAGGCAGGAAACGTTTCTACAATGAGTTCATGCCACTCTTGCACGATACCTTCCACGATATCTTAGGACACCGTGAGAATGATGCCTACTACCTTGTGTATCTAGGTAGCAAGCCCAGTGCTCGCGGGAAAGGATATGCGAGGAAGCTGATCGAGCATATGACAGCCCGGGTGAGTCTCTTTTCTATATGGCGAACTGAACCACGAGAAGCATGCTAATGTTATATGATTTTATAGGCTGATCTCGAAGGTCGCCCAACCTATCTGGAATCCAGTGCAGCAAGCAACATCTCGTACTACAATAAGTACGGTTTCATCGAGAAGAAGTTCATCACTCTTGAGCGGGGCCCCAAGCCGGTCAGGTTGCATATCATGGTTCGAGAGCCCCAGAGCGTAGCTGGGGGCTCGAAGGCCGAGGGACAAACTGTAAAAATCAGAGCCCTTTGATAATCTGGAGGCTCGACGCAGAAGGAATCTGAAGGCGAGGGACATCTTTGCAGTAATTTTCTTTTATTCTTTTTTGGTGCCTTGACTTTTACTAGGTTTCGATTCCCTGGCAAGAATGGTTATCTTCCTGTTTTGATCTTGGATATTTCTCTACGGATACGTTCACTTGATGGTTTAATGAGTGTGGAAGTACGTCATTGATGATGTCTATCTCCTGATTCAGTGATTGCGAGAACAGTTCCTTGGTTATGTTCATCATTTCATGCTTTTATGCTAGCAATTATAAACATCTTAACATTCTACACATGCCGAGCCAACCCAGAACGCCTCATGATTCCCTTCTTCACTTGTCTAGTATTCCAGTACTGCCCACGTCTCATCATCAAGCGTCGTATAAATGAGACCCTCACCAAGCAATTCATCTCCAGCCTTGAACACCTCGTTCGCCGGAATATTCAACTGGTGAGAGATGTTGTGCACATGTAACCCTTCGTTGTTCTGTGGCGTAGATTGCAAGAATTCATAGACCTTTCTTGCGATAGGAGATATTCTCGGCGGTAACTTCTTGCCTACTGCACCAGGCGCACCATTTGTAGCTCCGTAGCCGCCGTCGACGAACATGCCTTGTCCCTCGCTCTTTACTGCGGCCCCATTTGCTCCCCCCAGCGGTCCTCGAGTAAAGTATAGGTGTACCGCCGTGGCATGAAGGAGATGGTAACTAATTTCGTTGAAGTCGGTAATTGGGTGTATAACATGGGAGCCGACGTGGCGCCTGTTGTTGAATTCTTTGAGCTTGCCCCAGACATGGACGTAGTCTCCTTCTTTCGGCGTATATTTCTGCAATTCTGGCGGCGCATCACCGTCAACCCATTGCTTTACTTCTATTACCCCGGTACCATCGTCAATCTTGTAGGTTGTGTTCGTCGCCTGGGCAGAAACTGTGCTGACTCGACCTACCAAGTCGACCTAAAGCAGACTGTGAGATTGAATTCTGCAACAAGAAATAGGGAAGAGCAGAAGAGCGAACACGTACTTGCGTCAAGCTGGTACCATCTACCTTGGCCTCGGCATCTGGATACGGGAAAACACTAGAAAATCGTCGTCAATAATCTTCGGCGGACGCGTTCTTCCTTGGGGTAACCTTACGCGTCCAGCAGCTGCTTGATGGTGACAGGGCGAAGGGTATCCTGCCCATATCTCTTGACAGCTTGTTAACACGAGCAGAAACCGGAATTCGGGAGCGAGAAGATATACCTTCGTGCCACCTGGGGTATCTTGACTCCCTGCTTGCGACCCTCCTAAGAAACCTCCACCGTCTGCCCCGCCTTGCGCACCGTAGCTCGTAGTGGTGTAGCCACCAGCATTATATCCGTAATCTGCCCATGAAACATAAATAGCTGCTTTGGTTCTAGAGAGGAGTGTTTGTCATACCCATTGTCGTAGATTTACGGGCGCGATGTTGAATTGTGGAATTGTTGACGTTGAAAGGAAGACGCGAGCGCGTAAAGTACGTGGGGTAGATGCCTTAGAAAACTGGCAAGACTGTTGGGTCACGTGTCAGGAACCCAGAATTCATTATTGCCGTTTTTGGTATCTGTTATCGGCCTTGTTCGATAATTCGATAATGTGGATGTTGACTTAGTTATTTTCTTCAACTTTTCTCCCTCTTTTGTCTTGGTTTTTTTGACCTGTCCTTTGATCCCGTCTCGGCACGATCTGGGTTCAAACAGAACCTCGTTTGTCTCGGGGCAGATTCTTTTCTAGAACTCACAACTCTCTTGTGACTTGACTGTGTACTCCCCCCCTCAAAAGGTCTTCAAGTCCGCCAATCACCGCCTGGCCGAGCCTCGCCGAGTCAATGTTAAGCCAAGATAGAAGAGCTGCTAAGCCTTTGAGGCTATGAGCTCTCATCCACATGGTAACCTGGGAAACTCCGGTCTTGTCCAACAATACTCCGTATTCAAAGACCGACGACCTCACTCGCTCCCAACGTTCCATCCACTTCTCGGGAAACCCGAGTGCGGGAGATTCCACGCGTGCAGAGTTCAAGACGCTACTACTACTGTACACAGAATGTATTACGTAGGGGTTGTCAAGTGGACTGTATGTGGGACATGATTTTCAATCCTTCATACCGGTGCGAAGGCCCCGTCGATGTACACTCTTATGAGTCTTCTGAGATAATGTCTTTGACATCACATCTACAATACATACTCATCCGTCTTATCCCCCAGGCGCTACGGAGTGATGGGTCCTCAAGCTCTGTTCCTCATTCATCTCCAATGGGCCAATAGCTTCCGCTTCAGGGCGGGGAATTGCGGCGTTCCTGGTGGATCCTTGCCGAAAGCATGAAATCGACAGACGATGCCACTTTCTCTCCTTTTCACCGTCACGCCCCCCAGCCAGTAGGATCATGTATCCAGGGTCTTGTGGTTCTGGCGATCGTCAACAGCCCAGGGTCCGGAGTAACTTGTAAGGGAAACGCCCCGGGACAATCCCGGCTACGCAGGCCATTTCTGTCGATCTGCTTTGAAGACCCCTCCAGATCCATATGTTCATATATCAAGTTCTCCTCGTCTCTTGCTCGATGTCTCTTGCAAGTTGCATTTCTTCTTGTGTTGCATTCGGACCCCGAAACACAAGATGCAGCTCCTCGGTCTTGCCATTGTCACTGCTTTTGCTGCCCGAGTGATAGCAGCACCCTTCCCAGAAAACCATGTCGTGCATGAACGTCGTGACTATGTTCCCAAGGCATGGATCAAGCGCGATAGGCTGAGTGCTGATGTTGAACTCCCTGTGCGTGTCGGTATGACCCAGCGCAACCTCGAGAATGGCTATGATCTTCTACTAGAAGTGTAAGCACTGCGGTGATCCGTTCTCTTGCAAAGTGAAAGTGGCTAAGTCAATATGTGCCAGTTCCAAGCACGATTCTCCCAGATATGGCCAGCATTATTCAGCAGAGGAGGTTGCTGATATCTTTGCGCCATCTCAATCGACCGTGGATGCGGTTCGTGACTGGCTTCTATCCGCAGGTATTCCTGCGGAAAGAATCTCGCAGTCGGTCAATAAGCAATGGATGCAGTTTGACGCTGCAGCCGGTGAACTGGAATCTTTGCTGAAAACCGAGTACCACGTCTATGAACACTCTGGCACTGGTCAATCAACTGTTGCCTGTGACAGGTAAGATGGTGGCTTACTTTGTGCTTATCATGGTACTAATAGTTAGTCTAGTTACCATGTTCCTTCCCATATTCAACAGCATGTCGATTATATCACTCCTGGCATTAAACTCTTTGCGCCTAGTCGAGGTCAATCGGGTCTCGAGAAGCGCACTTTTGGTGTCACCAGTGGAAAAGGCCAAGCGGGCACTCTCCCGCCTTTAAAAAAGACACTGGGAATGACCATCGAGGAGCTTCTTGCTTATCCTGAGCTCGCTGTTTGCGATATAGCCATTACTCCTGCTTGTGTCGCAGGTAATTACATCCTCTAATTTGGTGGCGGCTGGCACTGATCCACTGATTTAGCATTGTATAATGTTACTGCCGGGAGCAAAGCTGCTCCAGGTAACGAGCTTGGTATCTTCGAAGACCTCGGGGATTACGTTAGCCAGACGGATTTGAATCTGTTCTTTGCGACCTTTGCTCAGTACGTTTCAACCGTGTTATATCAGTGCTCATTGCTAATACTGTTTAAAGACGCATCCCACCTGGCACGGCTCCAATCTTTAAAGGTATTGATGGCGCCGCGATACCAGCAAACAACGAGTTCAATGCTGGAGGCGAGTCCGATCTGGACTTCCAGATCTCATACCCTCTGATCTACCCTCAAAACAGCGTCCTCTTTCAAACCGACGATCCAGTATACGAGGCCCAGTATACTTACCAGGGTTTCCTGAACAATTTCTTAGATGCCCTTGACGGTTCTTACTGCAGCTCTATTGATCCTCTAGACCCACCATACCCAGATACGCAATCTGGTGGATACAAGGGATCTCTGCAGTGTGGCGTTTACAAGCCTGTAAGTACTTATGGATACAGGAGCATGTCCTAAGTTACTAAACCTTATTTTAGACCAATGTTATCTCGATCTCTTATGGTGGCCAAGAGGCAGATCTCCCTGAAGCATACCAAACGCGCCAATGCAATGAGTTCATGAAGCTTGGGATGCAAGGTGTATCAGTTATCCTAGCTTCAGGTGATAGTGGAGTTGCTGGCCCATCTGGTTGTCTCGGAACAGGTCAAATATTCAGGTAAGTTACTCCACTGCTTCGAACTATTATCTCTTTGAACGCGCCCTAACAAACACACTTTACAGTCCTGATTTTCCAGCTAGCTGCCCTTATCTCACGGCAGTAGGAGCAACGTATCTTCCCTCTGGCGCAAATGTCAAGACGGATTCAGAGGTTGCTGTTTCTCGCTTCGGATCTGGGGGTGGCTTCTCAAACATATACGCCATGCCAAGCTACCAGAGTGCCGCTGTGAATGAATACCTTACCAACAGTCCTCCTCCATACCCATCTTACTCCACCACCAATAACGAAAACATTGGCGCAAACGGCGGCATCTTCAACCGCGCAGGCAGAGGATACCCCGATGTCAGCGCTATTGGTGATAACGTTGTCATCTTCAACAATGTAGCCCCAACCCTTAGTATGTCATATTTCCTTTGTCCCCTTTACTCCCGAGGCAATTTTGTTACTTTTACCCCCGAGACCTTCAGATGGGTCATGAATATATTTTCTGTACAAAATACTAACGTGAGGATTCCAGTTGGTGGTACCTCTGCTGCCGCTCCTGCCTTTGCTTCGATTCTCAACCTCATTAATGAAGAGCGAATTGCCGCCAACAAGTCCACAGTTGGATTTGTCAACCCGACTCTGTACGCAAACCCACAGGTCCTCCACGACATCACATCAGGTACGAACCCTGGGTGCAACACAACTGGTTTCTCTGCGTCAGCAGGGTGGGACCCCGTGACGGGCTTGGGTACGCCTAACTACCCCAAGATGCTGGAGCTATTCATGAGTCTGGATTGAATTGATTAATTATGTGTTGGTTTTATCTACGGCCTATTATCTTCTGGTGGGAATAATGTCAAGATGTTAATGATGTAAGATACCTTTAATGATGCCGAAACGATGTACATAACATTTTGTCTGGGCCATCTGATACCTAGTGTTTATTGGTACTATAACAGAGAATGAACATTGTTTGCAACTGAGTTGCGAACTGAAATCAAGACAATCTCTTCCCGTTGAGTCTCAATACGGAAAAGGCAACAGTTACCAAAGTACTAGTATCCTGAAGCGCCTATTCTCTTCATATTCCATGTTCGCTTCATGATTTGATTTTCACATTGGGTTGATATAAGGATCAGTCCCATATTTCCTATAGAAGCAAACAGACCGAGTCAATTAAACTATCAATAACGAGACCCAACCCCTTTCAACAAAGCATAATACCATAAGAGCAAAATCTGCAAGCACCTTGATCCTTCGTAACAGCTACTGCATCATCTCTATATCAGCATCCCCGATCAGCTGCTCCGCAATAGCAGCGCCTTTCTGTCTATCCTCCTCCGAGGGCTTCATTCCCGCTAGCAGGATATGGGCCTCGTTCCTCTTCAAGAACTCGTGAAGGATCTGCTGGTCGGTAATCTGCTTCTTCCAGATCGCTTTCAGCTTGTCTTGAGTGAGGTTCGCAGCCCGCGCTACGTCGGCGTCTCGTTCCATGATTTTCCTTTTCTTTTCCTGTAGCTCGGCTTCTGCTTTTTTGAGCCGCGCCTCTTCTCTAGCCTTGAGTTGCTCTTTCTGCTGCGTTACTTCCTTCGCTTTCTGACGTTCCTGCTCTAAGGCTGCTTGTTTCTCGAGGTATGCTTGTGTCGTAGCCTCAGCCTCCTCTTTCGCTTTCTGGGCTTTCTCGATCTCTACGGCGACTTGTAACTGGCTCTCGTTGACAGGGTCGTGTAGCAGGGCATTCAATCTTGCTACCTCAGCTTGAGCGTCTTTCAGAGCTTGGTTCTCTGTCTCTTTCAATTTTCGCAGCTCTTCGGCTTTGTTCTGACGGTCGAAATAGACCCCTTTTACCGTGTCTTGCGCAAGTTCCAGTTCTTTTTCCTGCTCTGAGAATTTTTCCCTGAGGACTTTGAGCTCCTCCATATCACTGCGCTTTTTTAGCTCCCACGTGCTAACTCGCTCTGGCCATACTGGCTTTACCACACTGACAACCGTAGGCTGACGCTCTGTCTCTCTTGTGACTCTGGTGCCAGGATGTTCTTGGTACGCCGGAATCACGAAGACGGTCTTTAGGGGATCGCCACGGAGACGATAGTAACGAGTTGTGACATCCAAAGTCGTAATGCCCCTGGCGAATTCAACTCCATCTTTCTCCTCCCAGAGCGCATCTCCACTGATACCCAGCGCGCGCCTCTCCCGATCTTTCTCCGCATCGTTGATCTCTTTCCTCTCAAATTCGTTGCTTAGGAATTGCCAGACATCGTCACCGGCATTCACCAGCACGAAGCGGTCTTGAGGGTATACCATCTCTCGAGGCTTCCGTCCATGGGGCCCAAGCTTGGATAGTGCCTGATGCGGGACGGCTGCCTCGCCCTTGATGACATCCAGTGCATTTGCATATTCGCGTTCGAGCTCATGGAGGCGTTGCACGAGGCGTGAAATGTAGAGTATGAGCTGGCCGAGTAAGGTTGTTTCGGCCTTCTCGCGATCCTCGGTTTGCTCTTTGGGGGGAAGTATGGAGAGCAGTCCCCCCTTTGCACTGTACTCATGATCCAGGAGTTCCAAGATTTCATTCGCGTGCTCGATCAAGGACTGGTGCGTCGCATATGGCAAACTTAGCCCGTTCTTGGGAGTCCTGACATCGGCAGGATGCAATGGACAAATGTTCGCATATGATCGGGACCTGCTAGCATCGGGCTCAATGGTATTCAGAAGGCTGGTGAGAGGCATCTGATGATGACGATCTGGATTTTCGTACGGCTTCGAGAGATCATTTAACCAGTCGTAACTCTCATTCTGGTGAAATTCTCCTGTGCCCCCGCTGGATAAATTCCTATTGTCGATGACTGCTGGCGCTGTCGAGATGGTCATATGCTTGATAAGCACGGTGAGGGAATGTGCGTGCTGCTTCAGTTGGAGGAGCGTAGGTGCCATGCCTGGGGTGGAGAGGTAACTGCAGTTTACATGCCCAAGGCATTTCATGACTTCGGGCGTAGTTGCTGCTACCTTGAGTGCGAAGGTTGACTGGTAGGGCCCTGCAAAGAGTGTCGCAGGGACTGGTCGATTCGGGTTCACTTTACCTGGTGGTGCTGGATCAATGGCCGGCACACGAACTGTCGTGCGTCCTTCATCAACGTCCATTCCTTCCCCGACCACGGGGTCAGTATTGCCGTCTAATGGTACTTGACTTGCCATGGCTCACGGTGAGGCTTGAGCTGGAATCTATTGAGGCTTCGATAATTTGTCTGGTTTCTGACAGCAACTTGTCATAGAGGAGGAGAGAAGAAGAAAGGTTTCTGGGATGAGTCAATGGGACGAGTAGAAGGAGTTTGGGAGGGGAATCTTAATGCATTGACAAACAGCTCCCAAATATGTGAGGTCGTGACCTGGCTGCTCCCGGAGAGATCACTTGAACCCCTTCCCGTGTAATAAAGAGGACAAAACTAGCGCCGTTCATTTAAATGGAATAGCCACTCATGGAGACAGAAGCGGCATGGGATATGACCGCGAGGAATGCGGTTCATTTCGAGGGCGATATGCAATACGCTAGGGCGCATTCCTCGATGAGCATTGTTTGAGACGTTTGTGGCAATAGATGTTTTGAAGGGCAATAATAGAGAATAAAGAACATAGAGAAAAAAAGGGGGGACTCTGCTCCTGCGGGCAGCTGTCTCTCAGAATCAATCACAGCTTGGAATGAGATGAGGAGTTGGGCGCTTGTGCGGTGATTTTCACGACTTGTAGAAATCCGGTTCCTGACTGCTTTTAAGCTCGAATCTTATACTCCACGAGCTCATCAAGTTGTCAAATGCTCGTAGCCTCAATCTAGTTGAAGTTCCGAAGCAGGCGCTCGAGGATAGATGATATTCCCGATACAGGATTCTGTTCGCCATTGTTGGTCGCGAAGAAGAAATTTAACGCATGTGAGGTTGATATTGCAAGTACTGTGGAAAATATTTTGGTGTTCTCCCGGGAGCGAACCGAATCTAACCACACCGTAAGGAGGAATAACGTTTCAATTATTCTTAATATTCCAATACCTATAGAAATCCAGTTATGGTAGCCATCTCAATCACGTATCATATATCTTGAATATCCAATAATCTTTTAATTGTCTCTAAAGTTTCAATTCTCAAGTGCTTATAGGTAGGCAGGTTGTAATCTAAGCTCGATCGTTCTCGTTAAATCTCAAGCCCCTTTTCTCTCCTACCTCCTGAAATCTAATGCTCTACTATCTGAAGTAGAATGTAATCAGCAACACGAAAGCTCCATGATCTCCGAGCCATCTCTTCTACTTTTCTAAGGAAAGAAGACTCAAAATAATTCAAGAAGAAACAACGTATTATTCACTAATAATACCTACTTCCTATCTCGAAACAGCGAATTCAAAAATCACGGAACAATGTCCTCGCATAGCGACCCGAGACTGGTTCTTTCTCCTGCGCACTGGATATAAAAGAACTCTCTCCTTTCCTATTCCTAGGTCTGTAAGGGCAAGTGGACGAGCCCGAGATCAGGGCTGTCCTGTGCTTCTGCTTTCCCAAGTCGGTCTCTCTCCCCTTGCTTCCTAGCCAGGGTATAGGCGTGAATTAGATAAGATTTGTGTGATCTATAGTGTCGTCCGATAATATCCGCCATCAGAGATCTGCCGTTGCGAATGAGTTTGTTACTGCGTCAGATAACATTGTTGTCATCGGCTCCAGAGTTAGCGGAGTATAAGATAGGACGATGCTTGTGCGGTAAAGACTTCTCCTAGTCTTAACAATGCTGTAAATGATAAGCTAGTGTGTCCAGCTCTGGGATCGAGTTTTGCTTAGTAATCTTTCCTTTGATGATCGATTGTGGTTGGCCTAGCTGGTGACATATGGGGTTTATATATACCTTAGTATTGGGCCATCCCCTCGGCTGCGAGCAACCACGGACCTGTGTTTGTCCATTCACGGTAGATTTCAAGATTAAGAACCGAAGCTGACATGAGAATATAAAAAGAGACTTGTTTCCTTGCACTTATTCTCTCCTCCTTTCACATTCCTTACAAAGAAAGGGTAGCCCTTCTCCCGTCATAGGCAAAGAAATTGTGATTCTTGAGGGACAGATACCTAAGAGCACTGTAGTTTCAGATTTCCTGCTATTTGAATCAGAAGGTTTTAGTTACTGAGTAGGTTAGAATAATTCAAATATTGTCGTTGTGAACTAGTTAACGATTGCAAAGTAATTATGACTTCCGGAACATCAGACGGTGAAACAATAACCTTCTTTGACATACTACTAACTTGAATTAAGATATATTTTTCGTGTACTGTGAAATACGGAGCGCCATATCTCAAGCTTGGTTGTCGATAAAGAAAATCTGTATTTGTCAATGAAGCGGCCATGCTCGGGTTACAGTAGGGTTCTACAGTGCCTATTTTGCTTCCTTTTATACTAAAAGGAAGTGGTACTAACAGACTGTTTGCTATTCAGTAAACTTTTACCAGAGACTATTTGTACTCAAGAAGCAGCAGGACTAATAATTCACACCATGTATCCAGATTCCAAAACACAAACGTTATTAGGCCGTAATGTTGGAACAATGAGAGTAGTGAGATTTCCTATCACTTGAGAGAGCTAGAACTTTGGCAGGACTTGCTGTATATGTGTGTACAAATCTGTGGGGATCCAGCGCTTGGATTCCTCGCAAAGAGATGAGCTTATACACAAAAGTGGCGATGTCCTTCTGCTGCCATAAATGTACAGTAGGATGGGTATTGTTATATGTACAGACCATGTCTCAAGAGATCGTGGCATCACGGAGGTCTCCCCTTGCCATCCCCATCACTACTCGAAGGCTGGAATCCCAGGATCTCACCAACCAATCCACCGGGTTTTGGAACCGGACACTCCCTCTTCGGTTTTGGCATTCGAGTCAATGATGCTGCACCATCATCACTAATGTCCTCCGCAACAGAGGCCTCCTTCAATGGCTCGATCTGCTCCCCCTCGTTTGTCACACACTTCCGCCGTCTCCGCTTCCTTGGTGTTCCGTCTGGCATCTCCCCATCTGCATAGGCTATTCTTGGCGCGGGGCAAGGTAGGATATGTGGTAAAGCGACAACGAAGAAACTGGCGAAGAGCGTGGTTGCGAACAATGATGATGTATATCGGCTTCGGGGGTGGAGATGTGGTGGCATGACGGAGCTTGGGATCTCCGGCGCGCCGCCGAGAGATCAAATCAAGGAATTGGTGCTGTAGGTTGAGGATTATTATACATTATGGTATCTTGCAAGCAATTGGGCCAATGACTTACCTTTTGCTGCCCAAGTGAGGGAGGGGAGGGCGTGAACGCGAGGTTGAAGTAAGATCGTAAGATCGGTCGATGTTTTTTGAAGCTTGACGTGGGTAATCTAATCGGGGTTAGCGCGTTGCATGGGGCGCAACTTTATCAAACATGAGGCTGAGGAAATACTCCGACACGACTAAACCAACCTGCAATTCTCAAAAAAGAACAGAAATACCCCAGCCCTTCAGCTTCTTTCCTCATCTTCCAATTGTATCCAAGGCCCGCTAGGCAGACAACTTTCGGCATCTAAAAACCAGGGGTTTGGGACGCCTGGGCTTATCAGAGTCCGTTTGCGCCACCCTTGGACGCGCGGTAGCTCTACAAGTTTGCACGCAAAGCGGTTCTCAAAGCCGCTCTCGGTTCAGAGACTTCAGCCCTTCTAATATTTTGCAAGGGGGAGTGTCAAGATGAGTGATCTAGACAAGTACTGTCCTAATACCAAATGGTCGAGAACTCAATCTAATTATTTCTGCAGAGCGATCGCGCAGTTACGAGCATGCCGCACTATCCCCGAAGCACAAGTCCGAGAACTATGTCACAAGGCGCGGGAACTTCTGATTGAGGAGGGTAATGTGGTGACAGTCACGGCGCCAGTGACGGTACGTATCCATAGAAGGCCCTGAGAACTTGCGCTGACAGGGATATTACAGATATGCGGTGATATTCACGGGCAGTTTCATGATTTGATGGAGTTATTTAGAGTGGGCGGTGATGTTCCAGACACAAACTATCTATTCATGGGTAAGCCTCTCCTCTTCTTCAAGGAACCTCTTATCTCTGTTGCTGATTATTACAGGTGATTTTGTTGATAGGGGCTTCTATTCTCTCGAATCCTTCCTTCTTCTCTTATGCCTAAAAGTACGATACCCAGACCGAATGACTTTAATACGAGGAAACCATGAGTCTCGACAGATCACGACCGTTTATGGCTTTTACGATGAATGTCTTCGAAAATATGGAAGTGCCAATGTCTGGCGATATTGCTGTGAGGTTTTTGATTATCTTGCTCTTGGAGCTATTGTTCTAGGAGCATCCAGCAGCCTCCAACCATCTAGGCAGCCCAAAACACAGTCTGACAGTGGATCAACACAAGAATACATCGATCCCGACATCGAGATTGAAGTTTTGAATGCAGAGGGGGGATACATCAACAGCTTTCCACGAACAAGGTCAAACAATGCTGCTCAATCAAGCCCGAAAGGGAGTCCACCCACAAAGACAGGACCACCAGGTTCGGGTGCATCAGGATGGAGTACCGGGACACCTGGAAATCCAGGGGGTGCCGTGCTCTGCGTTCATGGTGGTTTGTCTCCACTAATCGACACGGTGGACAAGATCCGATTATTAGATCGCAAGCAGGAAGTTCCCCACGAAGGAGCCATGTGCGATCTTCTATGGTCTGATCCAGATGAGATTGATGGATGGGGCTTATCTCCTCGTGGAGCAGGTTTTCTCTTTGGTTCAGATATCGTGAAGGTCTTTAACCACGCCAATGACTTGTCCCTGATTGCGCGAGCACATCAACTTGTCATGGAAGGATTCAAGGAGATGTTTGACAACACGATCGTGACAGTCTGGTCCGCGCCGAACTACTGCTACAGATGCGGGAATGTGGCAGCCATTCTCGAACTGGGCGAGGATGGCAGCGGCGAGGGAATCATGTCCCGTAGTAACGGCGACGTGGGCCGAAGCGACGGAGGAGTCATGAAGGAGAAAGAGCGAGTCCTCCTGAGCGGACCCGCCAGACGATACCGAGTCTTCCAAGCAGCGCCCCAAGACTCCCGAGGCATGCCGGCCAAGCAGCCGGTTGCGGATTACTTCCTCTAGTAGTTACGATGATGACATGATACCGATGGGCACAAATCTACCTACCTATTCGACGGGTTCTTTATGCTGGGGTATGGCATGGCGCATATGGCGTTACGGCGATGTGAGGATAGATCATAGTGTAAAAATAGCATGTGGAATGCATTCCATTGTTCTGCTTTGTGTCAAGATCTGTATAACGTAGAAAACGCGAGTTCACGTTCCAATCCGGAGAACAAGGAAGCTCGGTCATAGGAAAGGTAATCAGAGCGAGCGCAGACACGCAGCATATTACGACCTCGTGACTGTTATCGTATTCAAACCGAACGGGGACACGGGAGAATATTTCTCTTTTCTGTTCCTTAAGATTCAAGTCCTATGAATCCAAAAACTAAACTCCCCCCACCTCCCCTATCAAGAAGCGAGGAACCCATCCACCCAAAACACGAACTCCATTCCCATTCCTCCCTCCATGCGCGCCATATTCCCCAACCCCTTCTCCCATCCAAGAATCCCACAGCCCATCTACTATCTCTTCCTAAACAATCGTGATAGGCCTGCCTTTCTTACTCCTCATTGGTGGCGTCGTCGTCGGCTTCGACTCCGCAATCCGCGTCTTCGCGTCATAATCCCCCGCCTCAAAAAGCAGCGCACACAAGTCATCCCATTTTCTCCGCTGCTCCCTCCTCTCCGCATTATTCTTTTCCTGCTTCTTCTTCTCCGCTTCTTTCCTCTCCGCCTCACTCATCTTCGCCTTCTTCTTCTTCTCGCTCTCACTCTCCGTCTTCTGGCCAATAAACCGCTGCGGCATACTCGAAGCGGTGAGGTTTGCATCGTTGACCAAACTCGTGAGGTATGCTTCGGGCTCCATGCCCGCTATGGATTGGGTGTATTCCTCCCATGAGAGGCCAAAGAGCTCGGCGCGTGCTTGGGTGCCGCTTGCGTAGGCGGCTCGGAGCTGGATTTTGAAGACGTCGAGATCGAGATGGGCGATTTCGAGGGGTGTGCGAGGGTCGGAGGCGGCAATGAGGGGGAAGTGGGGCACGAGGCCGTCGTTCACGGTGGCTGATTTGACGCGGTCGGCGATGTACTCTTTGACGGTTGTGAAGCCGGCATCCTGGGCGAATTGGATGTTGGTTTTGGAGCAGGCGGCGCTTTCCTCACGGAGCTTGAGCTTGAAGCTGTGTTTAAGGCCGCGGACCATGCCTACTAACTCTCGGTTTTCCAGTCCTTCCAGTTCCGCTTGTTCTGATTCCACTTGTTCCTTCGTGACGGCCGGTGCTTTTGAGGCCTTGGGGTCTGAGTCCTGTAATAAATTCATCATGGCCTGTTTCATGGCCCGTTTCATGTCCTGCTGATATTCGGGATCGGATTCTGTTGATGAAGATTTCGGGGATTCAGCGTGGGCGCTGGCTTCTCTTAACGGTGGAGGTTGTATATCCAACAGCCTTGGCGCCTGGAGCCTGGGTGTTGCTTTCCTTTGCTCTAACTGCCCAGTTGCTTCTTTGCGCTTCTTCTCAATCGGATCCTGAATCTTCAACAACTTGCGGTCTAGGTCTTCATATCTCTGTGCCGATCTCTGCTGTTTGGCGAAGCCAGGGGACACTTGCTCCAAATTTCCTTCTCGTTCGTTCTTCTCTGCAAAAGTATCTTCTTCCCGCAGCTCTCTTCGCTTCTTCGGCGGAGGCATCTCTTCGAGACCCTGAGATTCCATTTCTAGAGAGAGGGGCTTCTTGGCTGAGGTGGTCTTCCCCCGCTCGGTCTCTGTGCGCTGCTTCTTCTTCACCAAGGGACTCTGCATATCCTCCGAGCTTTCAGAGTCATCGTCCGAATGCAGTAGTCTAGGATCTCCGCCCCGTGGTAACCTCTTAACAAGGTATTTGGATAGACGCTTTCGCTTCCCAATCGTCGCCGCAGCTTTAGCTTCAGCTTCCCGCTCAGCTTCCCACTTCTTCCTGTCAGCCTGATCTACCCTTGCCTTCTCTTCTCTATATCTATCCACGAGAGCTTGCTTATTAGCTTCTTTCTTTTTTTGTTCTTTTCTCCGGTCCCTATCAGCCGCATGCTCCAGGATGAGGTCGATTCTCTCCCTCTCGGCTCGTGCCCTCTTTGCAATCTCTTCCGTACGCAGCATGGCCCGCTGTCGATCCTCTATCAATTCTGGCCAGACCGAGTCAACTTCCTGCTGCGTCGGGGCTCCTGTTTGGATGTAGTTCGAGCGGCTTACGGAGCCGGGAAGGAAATCTTCCTCCGATGGTAGGATTGCCCAAGACATGTCTGTTGGGGGACGACGCTCGCTTTGTGCTGTTAGGTATGCGAGTTCTTTCTCTGCGGAGGGGAACACGACGTGTGGCTGGGCAATGTTATCTGGGAGCGGTAACGGCTTCCCAGGACTACTCCCTGGGATTGTAAGCTGATACGTGACGGAGTTGGTTTGAGCTTTATACATTGTAACGAATTAGCTTGACCTAATATAGCATCATACTTATGGAGAGGGGATGCCACTTACTCTGCATGTCTTCGACAGGCTTTGCCTTCATCCACGCATCCCATTCTTCATCATCGTCTTCCGCCTCCCCACTCCTCTTCCTCTTCTCCCGATCTTTAATCTTTTCATTCCAGACTTCACCCGCCGTCAGACCCGCCAACTCCCACCCCTCCAGTTTCCTCAACACATCCCAGTGTTTTTCCCGCAGCTTCGGATCCATCAACTCGTCACCCTCACCATGATTTCTACCCCTTGTCCCGAACCAGAAAGCGACCTGGCCGCCAGGACACTCAATAACCGCGAACGCGGGCAGTGGGCCCGCAACCTCCGCCTCACGAACCTCCAGCCCGTTTACGATGAGAGTGCCTCCGTGCAGGTTAGTCACGAAGTATCTCGCCATCAAGAAATCATCTTTCTGATACTCCTCTTGCCAGAGCGTCTCGTCGATGGGCAGGAGCTCTGAGTCGTACTTTTGTGCAGGCGGCGGGTAGCGGCGAGGGGGCTGATCCGCGAGCATCCGCTGCTCGGCTGTCACCCACCATGGATCGTCAGGCGTCATGTCTCGACGCGGAAACAGTTGGGGATCCTTCTCAGAACTTCGGTCGTACATAAGGGTTTCCTCTGAGCCTATCCTTTTGACTAAGAGCGGGGTTCTTTTTTCGGTCGTAGATACGGGGTCGACTCTCATCAGGCGACGGATATTCAGGGGGAAGATACCGTCGTTAGCATGCTGTGGCCGGTTAAGGTTGTGATAGGAATCTCTGTACATCTGGTTGACACGCTCAAGCTTTGCATCCTTGGGCTGATTTCCGGGCTCCAGTGGTTTGGTCGGCATGTTGAAGATGGTTCCCGTGACACCGTCCCATGTCTTTTTCTTCTTGAACGCTCCCTCCTGGGTTTTAACGTACTGAATAAGCGGCCGGAAGACCTATTCATTCTCCGGGGTTAGTCTCTCGTCTCTGATATGAAGGAGCGGTACATACCGGATAGGGAGTCCGCCCACAATCAAACCCTCCATCGAACTCTAGATCGCTATTCCTCTGAAACTCTTCCAGACTCTCATCGAGGTCGATCTTCAGCGTCTTCTCTCCCACGCGTCTGGGTCGCCAGACGGTATTGTCGATGGGATCGTCCCAGCAGAATTCATCGTCGTCGGTTGGGGGAGGCCATTTCAATTCCGGTATGTCCTTAAGGGCAAAAAACCCACCGCTTGAGCCATCTTCATCGCACGTACGATCCATTACCCCAGGATACTTGGGGTCAGTGCCCTCAGATTTTGGCTTTGAGTTAGAGACGGCTGCGGCTTGCCCATTGTCACCCTTGCCGGTCATCCCCAGGCCAATATTCTCTTGGGATCTCCCACCGGTCCCGCCACCACCATTATTACCACCAGCCAGACTCTCATGCCACATCTTCGGCAACTGCGCCCTCCTCTTATCTCCCCTCTGCTTTTCCCACACCTTTCTCTCCCTCTCTCTCCGTTCACACTCGTTCCTCACCCAGACCGGGTTCACGCGTCCCGGAATATAAAAGTTATTCCACAAATCGTACGCGCGCTTCCAGCTCAACCAGATCTCCTCTCCATTGCCTTTTGGACGGGGGCCACCCGGAACCCCTACGAGGGCGGTTTTCACCTCTAGCAATCTGCGCGCTGAGAGGTTGGGTGCTAGCGGGGAGGGCATCCACGACTCAGGGATTACGATGATTCGGACGCCTTTATTGTTAGGGTCAGCTTGCGCTTTCGCGAGGATAGCGGGCGCGTCGAGAAGGGGCTGCACGTTGTAGGTGTACGTGGGCGGACGGGGTTTGGAGAGAGCGGCGGAGAGGATGGATGCAGGCTCCGCCTCTGGTGGAAGTGGTTGGGCCATGGCGAGCGCCTTGAAAAGAGCACCGACGGGGAGCAGAACTTGTAGGCGATTATGGTCTACTGACAGGATGCAGAGACGGAGAAATCATGCAACTGATGTAGAGGAGGAAGATCGAAATTCAGAAAAAGAACAGATGAATCTGCTTTAACTTAGCTCAGGGTGGGGAGAATATATACCAGGAATGCGTTGCGCTTGATGAGGTTAACCTGAATTCCCTTTGTCGCGCAAGCCGAATTGAGCGCACCGCTTTCAGCACACACCATTCATTGTCCTAAAGCCCTGTCAATGGAAACTTGCATGTCAGACAAAAAGAGACGCATGCGTACGATTATTTCAATCGCACATCCGGATCGCAAAGTCATCGACTTGATGTGAAACTATCTTGATAAAGTGCCAACATAACTGCTATAAGCTCTTCACACCGGTGCTGATAATACATCATGCCGTCAATGCCTGCCATCAATGCCGGGAAATGCATTGGAATGCTCTGCGAGACAGGGGATATAAACAGTAAGCAAAGAAATTTGGACATTCAACTCCAGACCTCTGAAAATGCAGGTACCTTAGATAGTCGCTAACGCCTCATATGACCGGAACCCATTTGCAGCCCCCCTCCAGGATGGCTGACCGACCCAGTTGCGAATGGAATCAAAACCCAGCAACTGGCGCTTCCTCGGGCAGCCTATCGATGTCGCCTCTATTACCAGGCATGAATCTTCCACCGTGGGACGCAACCCCAGTGTATTATAACCCAACACTTGTCCCTGTATACTGATCCATCACGTTGAAAATCAAGTGGTTATCGACCTCGCAGTCCATGCCGGGCATACATCCCAACTCAGCACTCACGTCATTTGGATCGCGTCCAGACATCGCCGTAATCATGTCAGCTGCAAAGACACAGCTATTGAGATTTGGACTGGTCGTGGTTGTTGGTGTATATATAGATGATCTCTGCGGCGCATTCTGGGATTGCCAGTGTTGTTGTGGTGCTGATTGATGTGTGTTATAGGAGGGCGGATTTGATTGGGATAGTTGCGGGTCCAGGTCGAACATCTGAGGATGGTTGGCCATATTCGACGCCGGGCTAGGGTTGCGGGATATCGCAACGGGAGCCAATCTTTGATGATGTTGGACGCTGTGGCTGGAATCGTGACTGATGCTACTTGTTGTTGATCTCGTCGTACTGCTTGGAGTCATGAATTGATGTGATGTAGCGGCCCTGCTCGCATGTTGTAGAGGCCCGGATCGCGCCCGGCCATTCGTATTTGATGCATGGATTGGTTCCCACATTGACTGCACAGTACTGGCGCTGGCGAGGGAGCTTTCCCGGCTCCTGGGCATAGGATTCACAGTTACCGCGATATTTCCATCTACACCGATTGTCTTGCGCGTTTGGAGTAATTGTTGGAGGACCTGGACAGATGGACTGCTGCTTCCGAACTGGCCATTCACCGACGCATCGCCCGTGGCTGAATTCTGTAGATAGGCCTCGATAGCATCGTCTCTAATGCCATGCTGCGCCAACAGGGCCCGAAGCTTCTTGTTCTCGTCGGCCACCCTCCTTGCTGCCATCTGGATCTCCGCCGACGCTTCGATACCGTGGAGTTCGCATTGTCGTAAGCGAGCTTCGAGCTCCTGGAGGTACTCTTTCCGACGGGCGCGGGAACGTCTCTGATTATCGCGAATGCGCGCGAGATTTGCTTTCTCCTGGGACGGTGTAAGAGGCAGGTTCAGGGAGGGAGCAGAAGAGCTGAGCGGTCTTACCGAGGCGGACGACATGGCGATGTGGCTCCCGGTGCCAGCAGATGAACATCAGCCAAGACACGGCGCAATGGAATTACTGCGGAGAAAGTTGAAGAGGGCGAAGATGAGCGTAGTGGGGCGAGGGCCCTTGAAGACACGACGAATGACGGCCGAATATATGCCAATCGCGAAATTTAGAGTTCGTATGCGCAGGAACTGGGAACTGGGAGACGGGGGAAGTAATATGTCTGCGGGATAAGAATCAAGAGGCTTGGGGTTGGAGGGTTGGAGGGTTGGAGGGTTTTCTGGGTTTTCCAGAATGAATTGGTTCGCGGAGGGCGTTAAGAACGGGCACGTTTTCGATCTACCCCGTAGCGGGAGTCCTCGGCCCAGGTGCAGGCACTGCAGGGTTCTGGGCGTGGGAAGGGATCGATCTTCTTAGTCTTGGAAGAGAAAACAGGAACGTAAGAGGGAAAGGGGAGAGGAGAGAGAGAGGAGAGGGGGAACTAAGGCGGGAAAAGGGGGGGGAAGGGGGATGGATGGGGAGAGAAAAGGGAGGATACCTCAATACTTACCTACTTGCACATCAACCTCCATCCATACTTCCATACTTCCATACATTCTACACATACAAACATCTACGGCTTGCCTCCATGATCCAACCCCCTCTGTCGACAGGTCGAATCCAAGTCGCATCAACCCCGGTCTCATGTCTCCTCAAAAGCCGGCCATCCCGCGCCCACCATTGGCCAGATGTCGACCTCGTCCCGTCACTATTCTTTGGCTATTCCCAACTCTTCCTGACTACGCCTGCCGGGCCTCGCAAGCACTCCTGGTAGGGCTCAGGGCAGTCGAATCACACCGCGAGCCTGCCTTCGACGCGGCCAGTTCGACGGGCCCAGACAAGGTGCTTGCGCGGCGTCTCAGAGCTCGACATGAGTGTTTATTGCGTGGTGAGAGTCCAGAGTCCCAAACAGTCAGAAGAATAGTCGCGAATAAGGAATAACCACCCCTCTATACCTATCCAGACTAGAAGGCCGCGTACTATTATCAATCGGAAATGGCCCTGGGACGTCTTCTTCCGACTCGATCTCCTCGATTCTTCGATTCTTCCTCGGGTGAGGCGTCAAAAGGCAACAATAATCTTCCTCAGTCAGCATTGCAGACGAACGGCCCGCGGCATCAATTCCAGTCGTCGGACCACTCTGCGCCCCGGTCCGGCACTGCGAGAGAAACGCGAAAAACAAGCTTTGTTTTAAGGACTGCTAAGCTTCGAGGCTGACGACCATCCCGAGTAATTATCTTCTATGGAGTCAGTTCCAACTTCTCACAGATGCACTAGTCACGTCCCGCGTCTCACGTCTCACGTCTCCAAATCGTCAAAGCATCCAAGTCTGACCAGGCTGACGTCAATGATTCTGCATTACATGGTACATATACATATAGTGTATATATATAGGAATACCTACCTACAGGGGCTTGGAAGACCTCACGGCTCGATCGGCAGTCTCCCGCCCTAAGTATAACCCGCATAAACATCAGAAATCATCCTGGGCCTATAAATACCATCCAGATCCGGCTATCACCTAATAAGGATCAGGCTGGCCATAAGGTAAGGTAGATAAGGTAGGGCGCAACTCTTTCTCTCTTTCTAAGACACGAGGTTCTGAATATCTCTACTGAAGAGTGAAGAGAGCACATGTCGAGCTTGCCGTTGAAACAAGGGCTGTTTTCGATATATCTCATAGATCTATCTATCACTGCAATCACACAAGCAAGTCAAGAGCCCTGCAAGGAAATATTTTCAACCCTTCTCTATCCGCAATTCGGACCCAATCCCAAAGATCATTGGTATTGCCCTGGTCTCCATGTTCAATCCTCACAACACGCGCTGTTCTCCACTACCTGTATAAGACCCGATGTCCAAGTTCAATTATTCGTTCAGCAGGTGCTTGACAGGTATCTATCTAATCAAGACATCCGCCTCTATATCATGCCAACTCAACATCAATACAAGTAACATCAGCACGCCCGTAGAGCACTCAAGGACTAGATTCCCATGATATATGATATGCGGAAGAGGTGGATGGAAGGCTCACCACACGAAAGCAGCAGGTAATTGATAATAGAGTCTTTCTCTTTCCTCCCTGCTCGACAGTTGAAAAGAAAGCGGCTCTTGTGTAATCAGGTTAAAAATCTTCCCCTTACCTAGGTAGACTTCTGAGAGTCCGTAACTGGCAAAACGATATCACGTCGCAAATAGAAAACTATCCTTCCACGAGACTGAAAGCCACGGAGTACCTCCAAGAGCGGCTGCTGTACAAAGCTTGTTATCGCCATGTAATGAACAGGCTCACTCTTCAGTGAAGGATAGCTCGGTGAGCATAGCTGTTCAGGGGGTCATGTGACGATGGCGGGTGCTTTTTTGTTGCACATCGCACCAGCGCTTGTCATGAGAGTGCTGAAAGTTGGTTTCGATGGGAGAGAGATTAGCATCATGTGATATGAGAGGGAAGTTTTGTTGCATATCGCATCGGCGCTTGTCGTGAGAGGACTTGATGGCAGTGAGATTAGCATCACGTGATGGCCGGGCCACGGAGGGAAGTTTTGTTGCACGTCGCGCATTGGTGCTTGTCGTGGGAGGTTTTGACAGAGGTCAGATTAGCATCATGTGATACCGTTGGGTGCCCTGTGTTGCACATCGCATCAGCGCTTGTCGTGAGAGGTTTTGATAGCGCCATGATTAGCGTCACGTGATTATAAATAGGAGGGGTGTTCTGTTGCACATCTTATCGGCGCTTGTCGTGGGAGGTTTTGATAGAGGTATGATTAGCATCACGTGATTCCAGAGGGGAGGTTTGTTGCATATCGCATCAGAGGTTGTCCTGGGAGCGTTGGATAATGAGATTAGCATCGCTGGAGGTACTTAACTCGTGGGGGGTGTCTTTTGTTGCACATCGTACCTGAACACGCGGGAGCGAAATGCGTCGGAGCACCTGGGCAGATATATATTAGTCACGTGGCATTCGCTAAACGTTTTAAGGTACCGAGTAAAAATAAATCTGCATCAAACATCACCACCAAGCTCAGCACCGCATCTTCTTAAGCAAACCAAAATCCCCGCCCCAGGGCCGTCAAGCTGTTTCCCTCACGTACCATCGCCCGCGCCATCCGGCTCGCCGCCCCCCTGCGCAGAACCATGGCTTCCTTCGACAACCTCAGCTACAGCCCCACCGAGCTCGCCGAGATCAACCAATGGCTCACGACCGCCGACCGATTGCAATCCCAAGCCGGCAACAGCAGCGAGCTGGAGCCGCTGCTCGACACGCTGGATGCGCACCTGTCATCGCGTACTACTCTGCTGGGCACCAAGCCGTCCCGCGCTGACGTCGCTCTGTACAAGGCGCTGGCGCCCAAGGTCGCTACTTGGACCCCCGAGCAGCGGACGGGCCAGCAAGGCCGCCCGCACATCGTGCGCCTCCTGGATTTTGTGCAGAACGCACCTCTGTTCGGCCTCTCGGTCAGCGAGGCTGAGAAGATCAAGGTCGACCCCGAGGAGATCCTGTACGTCAAGCCGCCGGTCGACGCGCGCGCTGAGAAGGAGCGATTGAAGAAGGAGAAGGGCAAGGGCGAGAAGGAGAACGCCGCGCCCGCGGCGGCTGAGGGGGGAGCACCTGCACCAAAGGAGAAGAAGGAGAAGAAGGAGAAGGCGCCCAAGGCCCAGAAAGCCCCCGCGCCCACGGCCCCGCTGTCCCCGTCCCTGATCGACCTCCGTGTCGGACACATCCTGAAAGCTATCAAGCACCCCGAAGCCGACTCCCTCTACGTCTCAACCATTGCCATGGGCGACAAGCCCGGCACTGACGACACATCCGAGTACGAAGGCCAAGTGGTCCGCACCGTCTGCTCGGGTCTGAACGGGCTCGTGCCCCTAGAGGAGATGCAAGGCCGCAAAGTAGTCGTCGTCTGCAACCTCAAGCCCGTCAAGATGCGCGGCATCAAATCGTCCGCCATGGTCCTCGCCGCGTCGCCCCGCCTCGCAGAAGGCGAGGAAGACCACCACGCGGGACCGGTCGAGCTGGTGACGCCTCCCGAGGGCGCGGCCGCCGGCGAGCGCGTCTTCTTCGAGGGTTGGAAGGGCGAGCCCGAGGGCGTGCTGAACCCGAAAAAGAAAGTGTGGGAGACGATCCAGCCGGGCTTCACGACGACGGCGGGCCGCGAGGTCGCCTTTGACGCGGCGGTCGTCAAGGAGCTGGGTAAGGAGGGCGTAGGCCGGTTGGTTACGGAGAGCGGGGGTGTGTGTACGGTGAAGAGTCTGACGGGGGCTGTTGTTAGATAGGAGGTTGCTAGATAGAAAGAAAGAAACTGTAGAGAGAGTACAGTTAGAAGGCAAAAAGAAAGAATCAAAAGAGTCAGATTCACGAGAAGATGTTATATTCATTCATTCGTCCCATCGTTCATTCTTTTATCTCATCTCATCTCATCTCTAATCCTCTCTGACCTCTGGAGTTTGAACTCCTGCTATCTTCAACCCTTTTTCCAGTCCTTTTTTTGCTTGATACCTCCCCTCCCCTCTTCACTCACTCACACATTCATCATCTCATATCTCACTCCACACCCTCGTCTTCTATCCCCATCCCCCAATCCCCCTCTCCCATCCCATCCCATCCCATCCCATCTCCATCTCTCCTCTGAATCTTATGATACCTCCTATATCCTCTTATATATCTCAATATATAACAAAACACAAACCCCCTCTCTCTCTCTTTCTCCCCCTCTACCCCTCTCCTGCTCCCTCAAGGAATAGAAATAAAATTCCTTGAGTATCAGACGCCGTCCGTCACTTATGCATATCTCCGTTATCAATCATATCGTAAAACCATCAACATCAACATCAACATCATGAAAGAAAAAAAAGGGGTAGTATGGCCCGGATCCTGGGCACGTTTTCTTTGATCGCTCGCTCGCTCGCTCAAAAACCGCTCAAAACCGTTCATCATGATATAATTGGAATTCTGCAAAAATTTGAGAAAAAGAGAGATTGCTGCTCTTATATGTCGTAGGTAGGGTGTGTTTCTTTTTGCTTGGTTGGGGAAGGGAAGGGGGGGGGGGGTTTTTGTGAAAAGGGGGGGAGTGGTTTTTCAATGCCCGATATCTCGTGAGCGCTTGAAGACGAGTTTTGAGGGGTTGAGATCCTCGATTACTTCGTCGACTGCCATGTCGTCCACGTCCATATCGTCGATGGCCATGTGGTCCGCTGCCAGATCATCGTCGACCACGAGATGATGATCGCGCGGGGCGGTGATGTCCCGCCGCACGCGGACCGGCGGGGGTTTCGCAGCACCGCCGCCGCTCTCTTCGAGCAGAGCGGCGGCCCGGCCCGCGGGCGTCGAGGCCTCCTCCTTCTGCAGCTTCTCCTTCTCCTTCTCGGCCATCGCTTTGACTTCGAGCAGCTTCCGCTTGATGTTCTCGATCTCCGTGCTGCAGTCGCCGTCCCGCAGGAACTGATGCGCCGCGTGCTCGCACTGGCTCTGGCACCACTCGAGCCCCTTGTCGATCTCGTCGAAGATGGCCGTCGCCGCCCCTTCCCCGCCTCGCATGTACCCCTTGAGGATCCCTGCGCTGAGGACACTCCCGAGATTATCGGGTTTCGCGTCCCCGGACAGGCCGCTCCCGTGTCGTGAAGATCGAGGCCGCGGCAAGGCTGGGTCTGCCTTCGAGGAGGAGGCGCCTTCCTTCCCCTGTGCCGCGGACAGACTCCGATTCTTGGCGGACAGGCCGATCAATTGTACCCCCTCTTCATCCTCGTCATCATCATCGCCGTCTGCTTCGACCTCCAGCTCCGCCGCTCGACGCATCTCCGCCATCTTAGCCGCCATCCTCCCCTTCCGCATCGCATTCCTGCTCCCACTCACAAACTTCACCAGCTCCTCAAACGCCGTCTGGACCGCGCTGTCATAGTATACGATGATCATGGATCTGGTTCTGTATTTCGGGGCGAGGGATTCGCCCGAGGCAACAGATTCGGTCTTTCGTTTCCGCAGCTTGCCGAGCCCGGTTCGAGGCTGGTGGGCAGGAGAGGCAGCGTGGCCGTGGCCGTGGCCATGGCCATGGGCGTGTTGTCGAGCCTGTGCGCCTGTTGAAGGGCCCGGAGATTCGTGGTGGCGAGGGGGAGGAGGGGTCACAACGGCTGCGGACCGTCCCGCGGTTAGTGAGCTCGGGCGCGGGGGGGCGCCCTTGGACTTCTGGGCGGGTAAGGGACTCGACTCGAGGCCCTTTGCATCGTCGTCGCCCGCAGAAGGGTTCTCGGCCCCATCCTTCGGCCGGAGCGACTCGGTCGAGCCTTGGTGCTTCAGCGAGCGTGCGGGGGCGTGGTCGTCGGTCAGACGGGCGAGCTCGACCTGGCGGAGGGCGATCTGGCCATTGAGTTCGTCGAGGCGGGCATTCCACTCGGGGACGGAGGTGCAGAGGGCGGCCAGAGCATCGATGGTTGAATGGAGGGTGGACATGGTGAGCGGGAGGTGGCGTGGGACAGCGGGGAGGGTTCAGACTGGCGTGAAGTGTTCAGATTGGAGTGGAAGACGCAGGAAGGGATGCCATAGCGGGGTGTGGATGGAGGGGTCGAAGGGTCGAAGAGTCGAATAATTGCAGAGTTGACGGGTTGAAGGGAGAACTCGCAGTGGATTGAGAGGATCTGGCTGTGAGAGGGTGAAGCAGCGTGTCTCTTGTCTCTGGTCGGTTGGCGGTTGGCGAGGAGGAGAGGAGACGTCAAGGTGTGCGTCTGCGAGAAGAAAAAACGGCGTCAAAGACAGTCAACAAAGACAAAGTCCGAAGAAAGACGTAAGAAGTCCGAAATCGAGTCGTCGACTAAGAAAACCCGACAGAGGGGATCGTCTATACATGTCGGAAGGGCGTCCCGGAGGCGGCGGTTTGTGGGAGCGGAAGGGCTCCCCGGTGTTGGTTGGCAGAGATACCCCGGTAGAAGTGGCGTGTATGTGTAATTAGGGCAGACGCAGGGCATGTATGATATGATATGATAGTGATACTGATGATATCGTCAGAACAGCGCAGGGATGGTAGATTGTTGGCGTAATGTAATCGCTGAATCGACGCACCGCAACATTTAATATTGACCAGGATAGATAATCATATGGGAATGAATATACAACGGGTACGCAGGATGCATGTCAGAACGGGGTTCACGGGCATTGACAGGACAGGGCCGAAGAACGGCCAACCGGACCGGACCGGAGAGGGGTTTAGGGCAGAGGGGGGGACGGGCTACGGCACGGGAAGCGACACACCAGCGTCATTTATTACGGTGGCCACTACTGACTTCCTGAGACATCAAGACCTTGAAGAACAGGGAACGGAGAATTTGGTTGGCACAGATGCGCTGCAGATATATCCAACATGCATGCATACATACATACCTTACATACATACCTGACATGCACATATCTCCGCGCCCTGAACATCCAGATCATTCTTCGCCAGATCATCCCGCGGCCCGCAGGAGCATACAGAAGGACCGTACGATGCGACACATCTCTCGAGCAATACTACTTGCTACCTTAGGTACATACTACTACATAGATACCTAAGGGCAAACCTCGTACGCGCCCGTGACCCGATCTCCCCTCGGCGATTGGTTCCCGCGGCGGTGGAACTGGGAGGGCACTACTCATGATGCTTCAACCCCCATGCCACCGACCTTTCGATAGATTTTGTCAAAAAAGAGCCCCTCGATAAAAAAGAACAGGCCCTTCTAAAACTCAAATCCAAACTCAAAAAAAAAAAAAGAAAATAAACGCATCAAACGCCTCAAGCCCAAAAAAAGAAAACAAAAGAAACAAAAAAACAAAAAACAAAAGAAAAGCAGGCAAAACATACCGACCCCCTCCAAATCCCCCCAAATCCCCCCCCCCCCAATCCCCATAAGGCCAAGCCCCCGCTCCGGAACTTACACGCGCCAGATCCGGAGCGGGGCCAGCGAAGCTTCTCGATCACGAGGCAGGGGGGGAGGACACAACACGAAACGTGCGATTGATTGACCATTGATTCTTCTTCCCTGTCGCGCAACGTGGGAGAGAGAGCTGGCAAGCCGCAAGCCCCTACCTAGCTGCATGCGGCAGGCAGGCCCCCCCCGCGGCCCGCTTACCTTACCGATGGGGGTTCGAGATGAGAATGGATTTTTTTTTTTTGCTTTTTCTTCTTTGATGGGGAGGGAGGGTTTTTGATATGGGGGGGTTACGGACGTAAGGCTTTGATTGTAGAACTTGCTGGTTTCATCGAGGCCTTTTGAAGTAAATTGTAATAATACTTGTGTGCCTCAAACAGATAGATAGATGCGACAGTAAGGTACAGTATAAGCGCCTAAGGTACCTAAGCAAGTAATGTAAGATAAGCGTTAGTAGTGGCTTGATTTCTTACCGCCCCTTTCCTTGTATCTTGCATTGCCTTGCTCTGCATACCACCCTAACAAGAGACAAAAGTTACTGACAGTTCTTTTCCACGCATGAAGAATTCCAAATCTTGATATTAACGCGCGAATTATAGATATGCCTCAGATATAGGATTTTTAACCGCTCGAGAAATCGGATTCTGCAGTACCTTGCTTTGGCCTCCTCATTTTTGAACTCTTAATACACCCCCCCTCTCTACCCTACTACCACCCATTCCCTCTCCCCCCTCCTTCTCTCCCAAAAATAAAAAAAAGCGGGAGCTATTCACACGTGACCCCCTCCCTCTTTCAAACACCCGACAACATCCGACATATTTCATTATTCGTAAAGAAGGAGTATAAAGCTACTGCTAGTATATCGTTGATTATTAACTTTTTTTGGGGGGGGGGGGTTCCTTGTCTAAGGAGTTAGGGGAGAGAGTGGTGGATTTTTCACGGGGTGGAAGATGTGGTTTTTTGGGGGGAGATGTTTAAATACTTGAAGTTTTGTATAAGGTAAGTGAAGATGGGATTGGGAGTAGCTACGGAGTGAGTGGGTGTGAGGAGGCTTGTTTCTGGTAGAATATCGTGCTGTGTTGTGGATGTGTTGTGGATTGATCATTTATATGAACCTTTTGATTTTTATGTTCTGGTTTATTTCGTTCCTGTTCTTATTCCTGTAATCCCCATCACTATCCAATCCACCATCCAACTCAGCATCTCTACACCTATACCTTACCTTACCCCCCCAATCCCCCAATCCCCCTCCCCCCCTTCCCTCCCCTCCCCTTCTCCTCTACCAACCCCCCTCCCCCCCCCAATCCCTCTCCATCAATACCTCCCTCTATACACACCCCTCCCAAAACAAAACAAACAACGCATTATATGTACATCATCAAACGGTCATGCATGTTTGACAAGTAACGGTCAGGCGGAGAAATGGAGAAAGGCTGAACGCCGCTATCGGGACGTGGGGGTGTTGTGTCACTGTTACACAAGAGTGGTAGGGGGGGCAGAGTGGGTTATTCCCGTGATGGAGCGGTAAGGTAAGGTATGAAGGGGGAGGTAAGGTACCTTAAGGTAAGGGAGGTAAGGTACAAGGAATATTATTAGGGATATGTTATGCTTCAAGGTAAGGTAATAATGCTTGTTCTTCATCGATCCCATCCATCGAATCCATCGCCGTTGCATTCCAGGGCCTGAAACTCAGGCCCGTACCGCATCTACTGTATCTAGCCGACCCCCATGTATCTAGCCGACCGTCCTTCCCATCCCGTCGTCCCGTCGTCCCGTCTTCCCGGCTTCACGGCCACAGCTCCTCCTTCGTCCACTCATCACGCGGCCCGACGCACGTGTACTTCCACCTCCTCGCCCTCTCCGGATCCGTCAGATCCAACTGCTCGACCTCATCGGGCCTGATCACCACGACGCGGAAATTCCGCCTCGCGATCGCATCATCCACATCCGTCACCTTCTGCCCGAGCTTCAACCCGCTGCCGTCGGCCGGCACCTCATCCACCCGCGCTCCCGGCGGCGGGTTCCGGAAACTGCCTCGCATGGTGGGACTCAGATTCCCGAAATGGCCCGCGAGTTCCCTCTCCCAGCTCCAAGACCCCGCCTGCTCCTCTGCGTCCCCCACGATCCTCATCCGCCGCCCGACCTGCTCGCGCACCATCGTCGCGCCGCTGCTCCCGCTCTCGATATCCGGCCCCACGACGTACGCCGGGCCGCGGAACCGCCACTGAGCCATGACATCGCGGGCCCAGAAGACAGCCTCGACGATAGCCCCGCCGCCGCTCTGCGGGCCGGCCCCGAGCTCCTCGATCTTGCTCATGCGCACGTCGGTCGTGAGTGTGAGAAGGTCGCTTTCGTAGACGCGCGGGTTGGGCGGCGCGGGGTTGCGTGTGTCGGGCGTGAGCTCGGCCCAGAGACCGCGGAAGATACAGTAGCGGGCGCGGGGTGTGGGGGCGGATGTGGCATCGGTGCTGGGACGGAGGGTTGCGAGCACGAATTCGGGAGAGGGCATGTGGGAGAGGTGGGAGAGGAAGAGGGAGCGCCAGGGCGCGGCGCTGGGGGTCGACATGCTGCGGAGGGGGCGCACGAGATGGGGGAGGGAGCGGGGAGCTATGGTGAAGAAAGGCTGAGGAGAGAGGTGGTAGGTTTATGCTGAAGATTTGAAGGTATGTGGGTGTTGTGATGTTGTTGAGGGCGGACGTTGGTGAGTCGGTTGAGGCTCAAAGAGATGTGAGGTGCATGGAAAGTTCCACTGATGCAAGTCTGATGTAGCCTCCTACGTAGCCATGGAGGGTCAAGTCGACCCCGCCAAATCGACCCCTCCATGGCACGTGATCGAACCACCCTCCCCCATCTAATCAGGACAACCCTAGGTAAAGGTAAGATATTCTACGACTGCTCCTCTCTCTCGGGCCGTACATCTTCATACGTCCAATATTTAAGATTAATTAAAGCTTTGGAATCGGCATCGGGTTAAAGCTCGCCGAACTGGAACGACTCCAAATAATCCCCGAGACCCTTGCTCGCACTCCCCACTTCCCCGCAAACCGGGATAGTATCCAATTCTCTCAAGAGATGCCCTCTCTAGAATTTTGCCTCCAATGAAAGCCCCATCCTCCGTGCAGGGGCAAGCTTTTCATTCTGCGGGCCAATGAAGGCAGGCAATCATGAGGTACTGCGAGCTTTGTCCGTGCTGCAAGCTGAAGCTCCGGGTGAGCTTGCTGTTGATATCGGATTATTGAAGTTTCAATTTCCGAAGATTATATACACTATATTCCCAAGGACTCTCTCTTACTTTTGTATCCTCTGTCTGATTCCCAGCCGTTCCTTCATTCAGAATTGGAGCAGCCAGCAACTGGTCCAGATAGGGTCATGTATTCCCGGTTCTCCTATGCGGCAGCACTCGTAGCTCTTGCCACGCTCACATCTGCGAGTCCATGGGGTCCACCGCCAACTGGCCCGGGCAGCAATGGGAAGACCTGCACTGTCATCGCGCTGGGGAGGCAGAGGGACGACACGCCGCAGATCCTGCGAGCCTTTGAAGAATGCAACAACGGCGGGACGGTCGTCTTCCCCGCGAACCAGAACTACTGGATTGGCACGAAGCTGAACCCGGTGATACATGATGTGACCGTTGATTGGAAGGGGATCTGGACGGTAGGGTGTCCCTTCAGCTTTGTCGGCCTGCTGGAATTCTGGTGATGCTTATCGACTTTGTGTCTTAGTTTTCGGATGATTTGACATATTGGCGCGAGAATTCGTATCCAATTGCTTTTCAGAACCATCATGCAGGATTCGTCATCAGCGGGGAGCGAATTCATATCAATGGCCACGGGACTGGGGGTATCAACGGGAATGGCAATGCTGTAAGAATTCCCGAGACAATGTTCCGCACGCCTGGCATCATGTTCCACAGCTCGTTTGTTTCCCGATTAGGCAATTATTGACTTCCGTGCTGCCAGTGGTATGATGTAGAGCAAAAGGTCACGCAACCTGGCCGGCCTATGCCTTTCGTCTTCTGGAACGTTAGCGATGTGTTTGTTGAGCACTGTGAGCATCCCAATTCATAGACTTGACATGTGTCCAAGACTGATTTCCTAGTCTATGTCAAGGATCCACCGCTCTGGTCACTCAATATCATGAATGGCACGAATATGTGGTTCGATGACATCCTCACCAATGCCACTGCTGTCAATGCGCCGTATGGTGTGAACTGGGTTCAGAACACTGATGGATTTGACACGATGGATGCGAACAATATCCGGCTTACCAACATGGTCTACCAAGGAGGGGATGATTGCATAGCTCTCAAACCTCGTTCTTACAATATCTTTGTCCAAAATGTAAAGGATGAAGTCGCATATGGAGTATGCAAGAATGCGACCTACTAACGAGAAATGATAGATCACCTGCCACGGAGGAAATGGAATCGCGATAGGGAGTCTCGGACAGTACCTGGAGGATTCCTCCGTCATCAACGTCGTTGTCAAAGATGCCAACATCCTCACCCACAACAACGACATGACGAACTCAGCATACATCAAAACGTGGATGGGTGGTCTCGTTCCCCAGAGCTTCTACGAGAGTGCTGGCCTCCCTCGCGGAGGTGGATGGTAAGTCTCCCTATCACCCTTCTGAACCGCATTCTACGATGCTGACACGCAAAGGGGGGTTGTCCAAAACATCCGCTTCGAGAACTTCTTCGTGCAGGGCGCAGGCATCGGGCCCGCCATCAACCAAGATAGCGGCGACAACGGCTCCTACGCCGGGACGTCGAAGATGGAAGTGTCCAACATTGCTTTTGTCAACTTCACGGGGTACACGCAAGGGGGGAGAGGCAACCGAACAGCGGATGTTAGTTGCTCGGCAGTCCATCCGTGCTTCAACATTGCCTTGCAGAATGTCAGTCTCGCTGATGCTGCAGATGGCACAGCGGAGCCGGCTCAGGGCACTTGCTCTTATATCGCCCCGCACGGAGTCAGTGGTCTAGCAGGGGCTGGGTGCTGACACCTGACAGCTGACGATCGAATAGATAAAGTAGATATAGGTATATATCATGGGACGCTTGTACATGAATACCTTGTATGTTGTTGAGGAAGAGAACGAAAACAATGTATATACATTTCCGCATACCTACCTTACTTACTTACTCCGTAATCCGCATCGTTCACTCCGTACCTGATCCCCTCGTCGCTGTACCTAACTCCGGACTCCGTACTCCGTCTTGTCGGCTGCTTGGTTCCGGCGAGCCCAAACCCCCTGATCCCAGATGCGCTAAGTGCAAGTGCCGGCCCACGGGGCGAATCATCGAATGACTCGACTAGAATCCTTCGTATATCTCATCGTATCGTATCGTATCGTATCCTTCGTCGCAAACAGGCCCGCACTTGGGAAGGATACGATACGATGATACTATACTGTAAGGTAAGGTAGATGCGACGCGAGGCAAGGCCACGTACGTACACAGATGTTTGTATGTAAGGTATCATTGAAGAGATTTCGCAGTGAAGAATTTGTTTGATGGACAGTTTATACCTGACTTGCTTAAAGCTATCTAGCTTAAATCAAGGTACGTACCTAAGGTACCCTAACTGTTCTTTGAAATGGCTCGAGATGAGGTATCTCGAGTTAAGGTATGTCGCAGTTAAGGTAGGCATACGCGTAACCAGATAAGCTTCTATTACAGCGGCGGGCGCTAAACGTGAAACAAACCTAATACTAAGGGTAGAGTTGGACCAAACACAGCTTAAAAATCTAAAACTCTTGTTACCTATCACTTGAGTTATTCTCGACAGTTACATAGGTACATGTACCTAACTGCTGTTTGGGCGAAGCCAAGGTACCTTAAGGGAACAGTTACTTTGAGTTATAGAAAATATGCTTGAAACTAGTGGTCTACTGACGCAGTGTCGGTGCATCATCCGAAGGGGCATGATCCGATTATGATTCTTGTAACTGTTTGTACGAGCTGATTCTTGACTGTGAAATCTTTCTATGAAGGAGAGCCCAACGCGCCCCCAGATCTCTCCGCAGAACCCTGGTACAGAAGGAAAAGTTGATGAGAAAACGCGAAGAAGAAAAAGAAAGGAGCGGGGCCGGAGTTACTCTTTATCGCCGCTGTCAGGTCCCGACTCCCGATGCCCGACCGCCGACTTTTCTGTACGTCATTTGAGACTGCGAGAGAGAGCCTCTGTGCCGCATAGCCGGGTATTCCGAGCCGACGGGGCTAAGCCGGATTGGGAACCGTCCAGATACCCTATCGAGATGCTCGAATCCCCAAAGAAGCGCGCGCCCCAAACATCGGGCCCCGTCCTCCCGTCGTTCTACTGTAGCTAGAGTCGCTCTTGACCACTTACCTGTCCCAGTGTTACGGAGTAGCCGCTCTTCACGGTTTCCCCGCCAGTCATAAATTTCATAACTGTCATGCCCCCCAGTACCCACTCTGTGCTCTATTCCACTCCCTCCTCTCCGCCTGCCTCAGAGGGAGAGGTCGAAGCGGTCTCGTCGTATGCATACTTCTGCTGCTATTTTTCCCATGTCTCCTCCTCCCCTCCCCCTTATATACCCGTGCCCAGCCTCTCTCCTCCGGCGGTACGGCAAGCCTCTCTCCTGGCCTGAGTATTGACAGAACGACAGACGACAAGACGACGACGTCTCGGCGCTAGATCGCCCGCATGGCAGCTTCACAAGAGGAGGAGCCCGTGGGCAGGACCATCTCCGCCACGTCTCGCAGATCCAATGCCCCTAGAGATGCTTCGCCCGACACCGATCTGAGCCGGGTCATTTCCGCCACCCATACGCATCTGGACGACCAGTCGCAGTATGTTGGCCAGACCTACAACGAGGACGCAGACGTCGTCGAGGATAGCGAGAGCACCGACGAGGCTGACCTGGCAGAGAAGGGGACCGGGCCTCATGCGGGGCTCGAGCACGGGACAGACGAGGACGTGGTGGGCGAGGAGAGGAATGGCGCTCTGGAAGATCTCGAAGCGGGGAATTTGAAAAAGACGGGGACGAGCAAGAGTGCTAAGAGTGCGAGGAGTGCCAGAGATCCCAATCTCGTCACATGGGAAGGCCCGGACGACCCAGAGAACCCCAAGAATTGGACCTTTAAGCGCAAATGGGCTGCGACTCTAGTTGGTATGATGAAATTACTCGCCCCCCTTTCCAATCGTCAGAGCTGATGCGTGAATCCCAGTTTCTTCGTTTACCTTCATCTCCCCCGTGTCTTCATCCATGGTGGCGCCCGCCCTCGGTGCCATCTCAGAACGCTTCCACATTACAAACGAGGTACTGCAGTCGTTAACATTGTCTATTTTCGTTCTGGCATACGCAGTTGGGCCTCTCTTCTTAGGGCCCCTCTCTGAGATGTACGGCCGAGTCTATGTTCTGCAGGCCAGCAATCTTTTCTACCTGTTCTTCAACCTCGGCTGTGGTCTTGCCCAGACGAAAGCCCAGATGATTATCTTCCGCTTCTTGGCTGGGCTGGGAGGTTCGGCACCGCTTGCGTTGGGTGGTGGTGTCCTGAGTGATCTGTTCTTGCCCGAGCAGCGTGGGAGAGCCATCAGTATCTACAGTCTTGCGCCCCTGCTTGGACCGGCTATTGGACCGATTGCTGGAGGTTTCGTGACACAGAACACTACGTGGAGGTGGGTTTTCTATGCCACGACCATGGCCGATGGATTGATCCAGGTCTTTGGGCTCTTCTTCCTTCAGGAAACCTACGCACCAGTCCTACTGCAGCGGAAAAAGAACAGGCTTATAAAAGAAACGGGCAACGCCGAGCTCCATACGGAATGGGACTACCCACAGCGGACGGTTGCCCAAACCCTGAAGACCGCACTCATTCGGCCCTTCAAACTGCTGGGCACTCAAGTTATTGTCCAAGTTCTGGCGTGTTACATGGCGTACCTTTACGGGTTGATGTACCTGGTGCTCTCAACCTTCCCCACACTGTGGACCGGAGAGTATCACGAATCCGTCGGCATAGGCGGCCTCAACTACATCTCGCTCGGCGTAGGATTTTTCGTCGGCACGCAAGTCTGCGCGCCTTGCCAGGACAAGATTTACCGCGCGCTAAAGAAGCGCAACAACGGAGTAGGAAAGCCCGAGTTCCGCGTCCCGCTCATGATCCCGGGCGCCGCGCTCGTGCCCATCGGGCTCTTCTGGTACGGCTGGGCCGCGCAAGCCCACACGCACTGGATCGTGCCCAACATCGGCGCCGCCATCTTCGCGACCGGCATCATCGTCGGCTTCCAGTGCATCCAGACGTACATCGTCGATGCGTACACGCGGTACGCCGCGAGCGCCATCGGCGCCGCCACGGTGCTGCGGAGTTTGGCTGGCTTCGGCTTCCCGCTGTTCGCGCCCTACATGTACCGCGCGCTGCACTACGGATGGGGAAACTCGCTGCTGGCTTTCATCGCGATCGGTTTGGGATGGCCGGCTCCGTGCCTGCTCTGGATGTACGGCGAGAAATTGAGGAAGAAGAGTACGTTCGCGGCGGGTTAAGACCCAAAAAATAAAAAAAGAGAGGGTTTCATTGCTTGCTTGCTTGCTTGCTTGCCTGTTTGCTTGTGCGTTTGCTTGCATACAATCATCATCCGGAGGGCGTCAGGTTTTGTTTCGTTTCGTTAGGTCATGTTAGAATATTGTTTGCTTGCATATTAGGTATACCCCCTTGTCCCTTCTGTGGGATGGGATAGATGGATGTGTGCATATTTAATGTACATAGGTAGGGTACCTAGGGTAGGGTAAGGTAGCCTGGAATTTGTTTGACAAGGAAGAGGGAGGGAGGATAAGACAAGACAAGACATAAGACGGACAGATGAGACAAGCAAGGGCTCTGGGCGGGAGTCTTGAGTCTTGAGTCTTGAGTCTGAGACAAGACCCTGAGGTGTTGAGGCTGAATCGAAAAAAGGGTCAGAAATACATTAGAAGGAATAAAGAAAGAAGATAATACAGTGTAGTGTCTATTACCCAACACGCTCGCTCCCTTCTGGCTTGGAATCATCTACACACAGCACAGCACAGCACAGCATGACGAAATATACTTTATATATAGGTACTTTATAATACCATCGACCCAGCCAGCCGCCAGCCACAGTCTCAAAGAATCCCAATAATCCAACCCATCCATCATCCCAAACCATCCCAACCGAAACCAGCTATATATCTAAAAGATTCCCTCCGCTCCTATTCTAAAACGCCCAACTACCTACCCGGATCTATGATGTATATACGCTAAGCATAAATATGTATGTTAGGATCTCCCTCCTTTCCGCTTGAAAAAAAAAAAAACAAAAAAATAGCCTCGAGTGCGTTTCGTTAAAAGCTTTTTTGTGCCTGTTTTTCCATTCCATTCCTTCCACCCTTTTTTTGCCCAAACATATATAAGTAAGTAAAGATGATCCCGATCCCGCCAAATTTTGTGTTTTTTTCCCCTAGTTATAGACCGACCAGTCTCCATCCAGAGCACCGCCATTACTACCCGTGTTACCAGTCGGGGGCATATAGAACTGGGTGCCCATACCAGTCATCAAATCCGAGGCGCCGTTCAATCGCGAATTATTATTGCCGCCGCCGCCAGCCGGATTCACATCCATGGCGTTTTCCGTGCCCATCCAGTTGTCGAAGCCGACGGCGAGGTTGGCCTGGTCGCGCAGCCACCAGTCCTGACTCTCGACCATGGTGTCCACGCCACCGAGGATCGTGTTCGGGCTCACGGGCCGCGTCATCGTCGTTGATGCGGTCCTGGATTCGACGAGGGATCGGCGTTGCTCGAGGATCATTTTCGAGGTCGTGTTGTTGGAGAGTGGCGTCTGGTAGGGGACGGATGAGAGGAGTTGCTCGTTTGGAAGGTTTATGGTTCCGATGCTGTCTGTTTGACGGGGAGCTTGTGCTGGGTTCCTCGAATGCATGTACTCGAGTTGCGGGGATAGGCGCGCCGGTGGGTTTGCTGGTCTGTTGGAAGCCGCCGGTGGAGCTTCATGCAGTGCGTACTTAGGAGTGCTCTTTATCGGGGGAGTCTGGATGTGGGGTGTAACTGGAGTCTGCTGAGGTCTCTGAGGAGCGCGCGGCGAGGTTGTTAATGAAGGTGGCGTTAAGACGATGTCAGTCCTTGGAGATGGGACGTCGGATGTACCAAAATAGCCAAATTTGGCGTCTGTACGAGCAAGGACCGTTGAGGCCTCCTCCGGGAGCTCGCTCTTCCATTTCTTGGCCAGCACACTGATGATAGACAGCGTCCGTCGAGCACATAGCCAGTCTTCCGCAATCTCCTCGAGATGTTTGACGCTGTGGATAATATCTCTCTTTGCCGTCTTATCGGGCAGGTTGAGCAGGTGAATAGTACAGGCGGAATGCATGATGTAGACGGCAGTGTTACAGATCTGCCTCAGACCATAGGTGCGTTTGTAGAGACGCATGAGCTTAGAAATTGAAGAGGCAGCTTGAATACAGACTTTCCGTGGAGAGACGTGTGCAGGAAGAGGGGATGTTGAGGGGCTGTACTTGAGAAAGGGGCGGAAGAGGTGGATATATAATAGGTGAAAGAACATGCTGTAAAGGCGTTAGCGGGTCTTCAAGGTTAGAAAGTAAGGCTTAACATACTGCATAAGCAAGACATTGGGCAGTTGTCCTTCTTTAGCCTCTAGCTCCTTCGGAAGTTCCTTCCGCCACGCTTCTAGTCTTGTCTGTAGCTCACTCAGCTTCTTCAGCTCCTGAGACCTCCCCACGGATTTTTCTAGATGATGAGGGTGGTAGAAGAAGAGCAACAGATCGTTGCTGATTTCGCAAAGGCGTGTAATCTGCAATGCCACCGTCCTGGTTCGCGATGGCTGGGCATGCAATTGGCTGATTCCGTTCTCCGCATAAGGAGACCATATATCAGCGTCTTCGTCAGGGAATACGTCGAACTTGGGCGTCGTGATATTCGATACCGGTAATTGAGGTAGCCGTCCGAGGTAATTCGACCAGCACTTGTCAAACAGAAAGCAGCCCCAAAACGTGATCCTCCGCGCATCGATCTCTTGCTCATCCATGCCGTCCTTGCTGTTCGTCATCCCGCCAGAGTCCAGATTCAGGCCCATATCCTGCGCCATTCGGAAACCCATTCCGCTATACACCCAACCACTCGCCTCCCGGCCACACCCAGCTTCTCTGACAGACATCAAGCATAGTGCTTGGATGGTTGTCAGTTTTGGTTTGGCATATTCGTCATTTTCAACGATTAATCGTTTGGCTTCTGCAAAAAATGCGTCTCCTTTCGTGGCGGGGTCATTGGGATCGGCACAACCAACTGGAGAGTTGGTGAAGTGGCAACCCAGCGCCAGCATAGCATTCACCAGCAGCGAAGAGCAATACACCGTCCGCTTTGGAGTGCCGGATGGTTTCCCCAGCAAGAAGTCTCGGTAGAAGAGACTCTTTGATAGGGTCGTAAAATAAGGGTAATGCCAGGTGAAGTACAGGTTGATTAAATGCACGATAACCTCCGTATCATTGGTGACGGTTGTCCAACTCAGCAAAGGCTCGTCCTGCTGCTGATATGCCTCCTGCCCCATGACCCCTTCCTCCCCATCATTCGGTTCCAGGTAGATGAGGTTCGAGGTACCACCCAGGAACCGCACCGAGCCGTTCTCGAGTCTCAGCTCTCCCATCTTCCCCGACAAGGTCGTCTCGAAGGTCGGCAGGGTCGGGCGCGTATCATCAACATCGTCCTCCTCGTCTTCCAAACCCTGCTCCTGCCGCAAGATGCTATCCGCGACATCATCCAGGCTCTCACACGTCCGGATCTGGTGCACTAAACCCGGGACATCGTCCTCCGCCGCGTTGAGGATGGCCTGCACCAACGTCTGCAGTGTTGAGCCCCGCGTCGCCAGACTGTCGACCTTCTCCTTATACACGCCCTTCCGTCGGTGGTCGCTGCTGGGATCATACACACACTCGGTGCCATAGACGCTCGCGCAGGCCGCGCAACTCGGAGTGTTGCCATCGCATTTCGACTTCCGCCGCCGGCACGCAATGCACGCTGTGCTGACGCACCTCCTCTTGATGGCCGCGGCCTCCCGGCTACTCCTCGATTTCGACTTCTTCGTCGTCGGCGCTGGTGGTGGTGGCGCCACCACGCTCTTCACGTCCGCATTTATAGTAGTAGCGTCTGCCCCCCCGTTGCTCTGCCTCTGTATCGGAACGGCATCTGCTGCGATCTCAGCCATGGGATTCGTACAATTCTGGAACGGCGACGCTGGGCAGAGGGACTGATGATGCGCAATGCAGAGCGGTGCCCGTCCCGCCACGCAGAACTGCTAGCAGTCTCTCGATTGGATTAGGGCCTCGCGCGGCGTCAAGTTACTATTGTGGGCCCAGGCCGGTCTGATGAATTCCCCGTGGATTATACAATACAGATCTCTCTCTTTTCTTCCGGGAGCCTTGCGATCTCAATGGTGCATTCGTCGGAAAAGTTTTACCAGAGCCTAGATTGAGGGCCAGCAACAGCTAAGAATTCGAGGCCAGGGATTAGTCAACGGGCGGACGGGCGGTATATAAGGTAGTGCAAGCGAGCATCGGGGGGGGGACAGGCATGTCGATGAATGAGGCCATAGGGTATCTGGTATCTCTCTTATCAGGATCCCCTCCCAGCAAATGATATAACCGTATATGCAATCACAGCATTGTATGGTACCTATCTATCACCGTATATCACACATCTCCCCCATCTTCTCCAATTCTCCGCAATCCCCTCCCCCCCAGAAAACAAGATAAGAATAAACAATCCTCCAAAATATCCGGTCCATCTACCGACGACTAATCCTCGTCCTAAGTAAAACACCAGCGCCGTAGTTGCCGCATCATCACGTGGCATCCGCGTGAGGGGTCGTCGTTAACGCCGATGCAAGAAGGCTATGACTGTATTATGGCCTGAGTTCTTGGAAATCAAGAAACCAAAAGGGGCTTCGGTTAGAGAGATGGATAGAATACATCAGATACCAGCCGCCGCCCAGCGTCACTGACCCAGAATACTAAAGCGCCAGTCCCGTCCCATCGCCCGTCCATCGATACAGCGCGAGGACCTCCCTCCTTTTCAGCTGCTGCTCGCCGAAATCCTCGGGCATGCGGCCTTTAACCTGCGCTAGGGCGGAGCGCATGACTTTGCGGAAGTTGCGCTTTATTAGACTCGTTAGTGATTTATGTTGTCCCGGGATAGGGGGTGGCAAGCAAACCTGATACTCGGTGTTGAGCGTCACGACGCAGGCTTCGTGGGCGCGGACGATGGTCTCGCACGCTTTGACGACGCTGGGAGAGGCTTCGACCTGTGGACTCGCAATTAGAATACCCCGCCTCGTATCGCACATCGTAGTGAAAGATAGTAGTGGTAGGTAGGGATAAGACGTACCTGAAGCTTGTCAGCGATGAGTAGTAGCAGGAAGCTTCCCTGGAGCAGATAGATGCCAAAGAAGAAGGGCATGAATTCGAGCCCCGGGTCGTACTCGAGGATGTTCTCGATTGCTTCGGCGGCGCTGACAGCGTGGCCGGTGGCGGTGATGAAGCTCTGCGACGAGATCCAGAGATCGTTGTCGTCGAGGAGGGAGATGGGATCCCATTTTCCGGCGAGGAGGATGTGGAGGACGTGCATCACGTGCGTGCCATAGGCTACTACGATGCGGGTCTGGATGTCGGCTTCGAGGTTGCGCTTGGACTTGGGCGAGTGGCCGGAATGGCTAGAGTGAACTGACGGGGTGCTGGTGTTGTGGTCAAGGTCGTGTGTTTCTGAGATGCCTTCCATGGTTGGGTCGGTCGAAGCTTCGACCGGCGGTGGCTGGCTGAGGTGGCGCGCCTCGAAGTCTTTGATGCTTTGAGCGTAGGCATCTAGTTGACGGACGATTTCGCTGCTGTGGTCATCCCATTCCTGGGCAGATTTGAAGCCGATACCGAATCGAGGGTGCTTCTTGGCGTGGTAGAGATCTACGATCTCTCCGAGTATCGTCATCAGGGGTAAGAAGTAGCCGAATATGCTATGCCCGGTACATTCAAAGTTAGGTCCTCTCCTTCTAAGTCGCGGTGTGCCACTTGGGGAAGTAATATGAATGCTTGAATCACCAGTGTAGAATTCTCCAGCCTGCCACAACGTGTCGTCCATTGGCTGGAGAAGGCCAGCACACTCAATGTCTAACAGGAAGAGTGGCCTGTTGTAACAAAGCGCGAGGTGACGATCTACCGTATAAACCAGCCACCAGATCCTTCTTCGTTCTTCTCGTTCTTCCTCCGTAATCAGACCTGGCGTGTTCGGTACATCGTCATCAACTTCTCCATCGGCATCAATATCGGCTCCGCTGTGTTGCTGTGGCGCCATCGGGGGCTGCTGAGGCAACTCTCTTCCAAGTTTGAGCTCCCTAGCCAGGGACCAAGCAGCGTTCCACCATCTCAGGCTCGCGCCTTTGTATTCACTGGCAGATACAACAGTCGCAAGATGGATGTACGTCGCAACATCGTCCAATGTACCAGCTGCTCCAAATGCCCCAGTTTCACTTGATAACCCATCAGCATTAACAGACCCGGGCATGGCGACACCGAGACCCCCAAGTGCAACCCCATTGATAACGGTGTTTGAGAAGTTGGGTGGTGATTCGTTAGCAGGCGATCCATGGATGAGTGGTCTGAGTAGATTTACAGTAAGCTCCAGGAGTCTTTGACAGATACGTCCCCGCGATGAGGGCGATGCCGTCAAGAAAGCTGCATCGCTAGTCTGGGCCACGACCCACAGCATACTAGCTAACAATGCCGGGCTGCACTGTCTGGGTTTGGTTGGGTGAAGGATGGAACGCTTTCTAAAGACGTATCCAAGGACGTATGGTGATGTCGGGTGCATGAAGGCAGATGACGAGCTGGCGAAGTATAAGTCCAGCAGGTCACACGCTAGGGGTAGAGGAATGATATTCCCGAGGTGAGGGATAAGAGGCTCAAGGACCGGGTATCGCAGCGTGGAATTGAAGTTATGGTGCGTCACGTGGTTGTGATACTGATTAGATGGTGATGGCAACGACATCCATCCGCCTGGAGAAGCTGTCTCAGACCCCATAGTGAAGCGAGGGAGGGGGCTGTCGTTTAGACGGAAGCCTCCCGGAGTATTTCCCGGATAATGTGATGGGCTCTGGGCCTGGATGGCGTAAGGGAGATCTGTATAGGGTCCGGATAAAGAGCCCTGTCCGGCATTGAGGCTTGAATGTTGACCATTGCCGTTCATCATGTGGGGGTTCAGAGCGGGTCTATATCCATGCATGCTTGAATAGCCGTTGATACTCAGGGACGCGGGGCTCCCGATTTGATCGGCTTCGAGACGACTAGCCATGTGAGGCTGGTGCCCGTTTGACATGTCTGTAAGGCTGTCGAGGCTACCAGCGCGTATTCTGCCTGTCAACACTCCTCTAGTAGGGGTTTCACCATCGAGTTCGTTGGTATTCAGACTCAAGGACCTTGATGCCTGTGGCCGCTGGAAAGCGACACTGCCGTCATTCGCAAGCGGTGCAGCCGACGATACATTCTCGCTCCGTGGCTCAATTACTGAAGGGTCCTTTGATGATAGACCGGTAGCAGGCTTTTGTCCATTGGCAGCTGCTGCCGCAGCCTGTTGTGCAAGGTCTTTGCGTGAGGCCTTGCCTCGTTTCTTCCGTTCACGTATATATTCGCAGCCTAAACCAAATTCTATAGTAGACGCCATCAGCGCAACTCGGGGCCCCTTTTGTTCTTCAACTTACCAATGCAGTGAGCACACGGGCTCTGGCCATCGCATTTCGTCCTCAATTGATTACATTGGTCACAGGCTCTGCTAATTCGCCGCCGAATGGGGGCACCTGTCCCGTGAGTAGATTTTCCAATTCTTAGCGCGGCCCCTTGTGGAGGCTGGCGATACCTGACATTATAGCCTCGAGGGAGTGGAGAATTCTGGTGGGCATCCACATGCGGTTGGGATTGCTGGGGCGCGTATTGGGAGCTGTGCGCGAGAGCGTCTGGACCCGAGCTGTGCATGTGATTTGAGGGAGCATGGCCCTCTGACAGCACGTCGCTCGAAGGAAAGGCATCATAAGCCGGAAAACGACGAAGAGGAGTGGAAAGCATCCCGAATGTCTTGGAAGACCAACTTCTTTGATGAAGGATGAAGAAGGAAAGCCCGCCGCTGACTCTGGCGGAGTAATTCTATCCTTGACAGACAGAGGGCGGAGAAGCAAGCACTGTAGGTAGTAACAATGTTGCGATCAGTGACAGCTCGACAAGAGCGCCGCGGGGGCATCTATATCAGCGTGACGGGCCAGGGATAGGTAGCTCCTCCACACTTGACCATCAGCAGGGGCCTTTCTGCGCGGCAGTGCGGGGAGAAGACGGCAACCAAGCGACAGGGCAGTCGACTGCGAATGGCGGGGTCTGCATGGGAAAGAGAAAGGGGACAGTTCGGTTCTGGGATTGATTATTGTGGATTGCTGACTGTGGAGGAGCAGCCAGGGTGATAGAGCCAGGTCCCATGCGGCAATTGGCCAGGAGCTGACATAACCAGGTGAGGAGAGCGGTGCAGGAGAGAGTGGTGGTGAAGGCAGAGGTGGTAAGAGAGTGAAAAGATGGTTGTGGTGGTGTTGAAGGGATATCGGGTCGAATTTGAACTCGGTCACACTTTTCCCGAATCCGTCCACCGTCCACCGTCCACCGTCCACCGTCCACCGCAGTCACGCGTCAAGGACGGGCGCACGTTGGCACTCTTTCTTTCCTTTCTTTTTCATGGAGATTCGATGGCGATTACTCTTGTCCTGGTCTGCTATTTCTGTGTGTATTCCATTTCTAGTGTGCGAATGGAGTCGACGGCGCCGGCAAGCGTTGGAAGAGTCGAAGAAGCAGTTGGCTGTGACCACCAAGGATGTATGTACTGTCTGTATACTCCGTCCAGAGTCGTACCATCGTGACTGCTGACTGCGATCCTGTAGCACAATACCCAAGGTCCCCCAGTGCCCATGCCAGGTATTATCGCGCCAATGATAAGGTTAAACTATCTACAAACCTTCAGAGAGAGTTTGGGAACGGGGACTCTGTGGGGAAGCCCTTCTAGAAGCGCTTTAGAAGCCCGTCCCCTGAGACCCTGACTCGTTCTGTTCTTTTTTCTTCACATTTTTATTTATACCTTTGTTTTCCCTAAATACTCCCCCTTTTTTCCCTTTCCTTTTCTTCCTCCCTCCTCTCTTTTCTGCCCTTTCTGTCTTCCTTGCATTTCCCATGCCTCTATTTTCGGCCTTGTTATTAGGGCCTAGTGGCAGCCACCATGCAACCGGTCCGATACTCCCCAGTCGTGGCGGTCGAGGCCAGGGAGCTGCATGGACCATGGTACGGCAGAACGGTAGATGATGCGCCGTCGACTCTTCGGTTCAAGCTTCAGGCATCACATCAGGCAGCATTCCATCACTCGTTCACCTACGAGCAAGTCATGTCACTGGACGTCATGTAGCTCGCAAGCATTTCGTCACCATCTCGGATCTCCGCCAAGGGAGGCCGGGTTTGTGCCCATCACAAAGGCCTCATTGGCCAACGTTCAGTGAGCGCCATCTGGCCCGTGATTTTAAACGTGCGAGCACGAGCCCGGCCCGCCTCCTTACCCGTCGCCTTATCGATTATCGATTATCGATCCGGCCCAAGAGCGGCCTTAGCACCTTGGTACCTGGATATAGAGCAGAGATCAATCTGATAAAGACCTCCCCGGAAATCAAGGTGTTGACTTGAATAGCAAGTAAGCGTAAAAGGCGGGAAGTGACTGCACGATAGCCAGGAGGATACACATGCAAAGGCGGAAGTCCCCCTGCGCTACTGTATAACAACTTATAAGGTGACCGACGGCGGGGAGTCCAGGCCTCCCCCTAATTGACCTTCAATCACTGAACGATCCAAGAAGGTATAGTAGCAGACACCAAGGTCTTTTGTGCGGGAAGATACACACATTACAAATCATCGAGAAGACGCAATCCTAGCCATCACAAATCGAGTCTCAGGAAAAGGGAATCAATGTCAATAGCATCAATATCAATTTTCATGTTGGAAGCGGGACCTAAGAACGTTTTGGAGCTCTCGATTCCGACTTGTGCACTGCCTCCTCTGGTCTGGGATTCCTGGAATCCTGCTGCATGGATAGACATACGTCGAGTCGGTCGAAGGAAGGAGGGATTTCGCATCATTAAACCAGCGTTGTGGAAATATCCCCAAGTAGCTCAGGACTCGGAAGCTGTAGTACTTGTAACGCTGGCTACTCTGACGGTCGTTCCAAGAGGACTGAATCCTTCGTCGCGGGCAGTGCCACTGTCACCGTTCTGTATGAAAGAAACTCTACAGCGGCTGAACATCCGAAGCTGAGTTGCAAAGTTGCAACATTGTCTTAGAACGTTGGGGCCGGGAGTAATAACAGATGGGCCTGGGGCGGCTTGTGGTGAGCGGCTGGATCCTCAACGTGTACGGTAGTTGTTCCGCAGCGGGATTAAACGAGAAGTGATATCACGTGGCCAAGAAATCCCCGTTTCTGTTACGGAATGGTGCGTATGGTGTGAGCGACCCTGATTAACCCTGATTAATAATCCCCTCCCCTGCCAACTTTCTTGAAACCCCGACCGACCTGGAAACCCCTCAAGGTCCCGTTACCTCGGTCAGGCCTCCTTTCTGCTGTTTGCCTCCGGACCCCCAAAGTCCCAGATTTCTACTGTACTGTAACATTGGCCACAGGAAGCAGTAAGATCACGTGGTCAACAATACCTGCTACTGAACCCGCCCTTCCTTCACCCCACACCGTAAATCTCGATCTGGAACCTTAACTCACTTTTGCCCGGGCACCTAAACGTGCTAGTGTGGAGGGGAAGCGGCGTATCATGTGCGGAGCTAGTCCCAACACGGACTAGATCTTCGGCTGGAGCTTTCACAGGACTACCTGACGTCCTCTGTCTCGCCAAGTTGCCAACTTGCCATCCACCATTTGATCGACCACATCTTGTGCAGTAGTATGTCGGCATAATTAGTCGTACCATCTTTGCCAGCAACGGTCGGGTCTCTCTCCCAATTGCTTCCAGATCATGCCATTTCTCCGCGATGCTTCCCACCCAAGGTATCTTGATTTCGTCAATTTCAATTTCCTATTCAATTCCCTACTGGGCCGCGAGCCGGCTGATCGAGTTCTTCGTCATGACAGACCTAGAAACTCTCAGGTGAGCAAGTTGGACTCCAGCGGGCGTGCAGGTAATGCAGGGCGGTGGGCGGATGCGCCCCACTATGAGCTGTCGAATTATTCAGCCAACCTATCTACCGCATTCCTTTCGAAGCTTCGAGGGGCTTACACATCGATGAAGATTACATATCGATAGTATCTCCGATTTAGAGCTATGTACTTTGTACGGAGGTAAGTGGTAACCCAGCCTCACATATCATAAGGTTTGCGTCATCTTTCTCTTGATCATATAAGTACCGGCTCTCCCTTCCCGCCAAACCAAGCCAAGCCAAGCCAATTCCAATAATTCACATTGGACATATTTACCCCTCATCATCACAATGTCTGTCCCAAAGACTACCAAAGCCTGGACCATCCACGGCCAGAATGACTTTGACAGCTTGAAGTTCAACAGTGCATTCCCTGTCCCTGAAATCTCTGATTATGAAGTTCTGGTCAAGTTCCACGCCGCCTCTTTGAACTACAGGGATCTGATTATCCCCAAAGGTAGAGAGGCAATCTGCGGGCTCAAAATGCGTTCTTGGCTCACAAGCAAATAGGCAAATACCCATTCGCGCAACGAGATGGCGTAGTGCCTGGATCCGACGGAGCCGGAGAAGTTGTCGCTGTTGGCAAGAAGGTTACCAGATTCAAGGTTGGAGCAAAGGTCTTGACTCTCTTCAACCAAAACCATTACGGAGGCTCTCTCAACAGCCAAAGCGTTAAATCTGGTCTCGGCGGAGTCATCGATGGAACACTCAGACAATACGGTGCATTCAACGAAAACGGATTGGTCGATATGCCGCCCTCTCTGACCTATCTCGAAGGTGCGACCCTGACTTGCGCCGGGCTTACGGCATGGAACGCATTATATGGTTTGAAGCAACTTAAGCCTGGGGATGTGATTCTCACGCAAGGAACTGGGGGTGTCAGCATTTTTGCCCTGCAATTCGCAAAGGCTGCCGGTGCCACCGTCATCTCGACTACTAGTTCCGCGAAGAAGGCCGCGATCCTGAAGAAATTGGGTGCGGACCATGTCATCAACTACAAGGAAACCCCCAACTGGGGTGAGAAGGCTCGGGAGTTGACACCTAACGGTGAGGGCGTTGATAACATTATCGAGGTTGGAGGACCAGGAACCTTGCGCCAATCATTGAAGGCTATCAAGATTGATGGGCTTATCTCGATTATTGGATTCCTTGCCTCGGAAGGTGAGGAGCAGCCCAGCTTCTTGGAGGCGCTGGCCCATATTTGCAACGTGAGGGGTATCCTAGTTGGTAGCCGGGACCAGTTCGAGGACATGAACAGAGCCATTGAGGCCAACAAGATCCAGCCTGTGGTGGACGAGAAGGTCTTCACCCTCGAGCAAGCTAAGGAGTGAGTAGCCCCCTGATCCACGACCCAGACACACCACTGACGTTGATAATAGGGCCTATCAGCACATGTGGGATCAGAAGCACTTTGGAAAGCTCGCTATCAAGATTGATTAAGTTACGGAAAAGTAGTAAATTTAGTCTCTGGCTCAAAAAGGACCTATTTGATACACGTAATGGAGAACTTGACGTATCGACTGCACGTGCGTGAAGTTTCGCGAAGTTCGCGAAACCCGTCGACCCCTCACCGGGGGCTGCACTCTTAAATTTCTTCCCTGACGTACCAGGTATGCATGCTGATGTGAAGCATGTGAAGCACGCGAAGTTCTGTAACCACGTCATCTTGCGATGTGCAACAAAAAGTACCTACTTTCCTACAGGCTTCAGCCATCTCATAGGTACGCGTCACGGCAGCAAATCTGACATGTTGATTAATGATGTGTTTACGCGTTTACGCGTCGTTCATGTAGCCACGGCAGCCACAAAACTGCGATATGCAACAAAAAGCATTCCTGGATTTGCAGGCTTTCAGTCATCCATCCTTTCATGATGATTAATACTACACTGCTGCTGCTGATGCTGAAGTGGCGCGAAGCAAGTAGTATTATTTGTTGAAGATGCGGAGGCTCTTCATGTCTTTTGACGCATTGTCGACTCTCCATCTCGAGCTCACTATAGTGCATGAAGGCCCGAGATGCAAATCTCTCAGGCGTTGTCTCTCCTTGTAGCCCTCTTCTGGGTGAGACATGCTTCTAGCCCATTGCATATTGCCCCAATAGCATCACGGGCTTCGCCAAGTGGTGGTCTTTCTGCGATCCTTCGGTACCTAGGTACTCAGTACCATACCATCCTTCAGGGGAAATTTCCGAGACTTGGTCTTCTCTACAATAGCCATCAGATGCCACCTTATCCTCCGAGGTCTCCAGCTCGATATCTAACTCCTCCAATGACTTCAGTTCTTGAAGAAGCTTTTCCCCACGCATCCCGCTTCCACGGGATAACCTCCCCTTCTCCTCCGGATCCCAGTTCTTCTTCATCTGACCCACATACCTATTGCCCCTCTGCTGCGGATTGATCCCCACGACTTCCTCCATTCCACTACCAGTCGCTGCTCAGGACCGTGATCTGCTTTTCAATCCCTTCCATGTACTCCGGACACATGAACCTCAACTCCTGTTCAGCCCTGTCGCCACCATGTCCGCGGCACACTAGCTGGCAGAATTCCGCTGGGAACGGCCCGCGGCCGTGCCAGAAGACGTGCTCTTTGGTGGTCGGCGGGAGATGGTAGGTTTCGAGGTAGACGACGCGGCGGCACGTTGCGCGGTGGCCGGTGTAGCCAGGGCGGGCGTAGTGGCTCATCACTTCGTACTGGGCCTCGGGCTCCGTCTTGATGTACTCAGTCATCGCATATTTCGTTTCACGGATCTCGGGGGGATTCCGGCCATTGTAGAGGTGAAGCTTCCTGAGGGTTAACGGCGAGTGTACACTCATGTATGGGGGAGCACTGCGGGACTCGCACCATGATGCCGTGTGGAATGAGGTAGACGGCGGGGTATGCGAGGTCACTTGTTGCACACTCTTGGATGAGGAACTCTATGCACTATCAAAGTTGAGGGAAGACGAAAGTAAAAGAGATGGAAAAGAGAGAAGAAAGAAAGGAAGGACGGAGATGAAGCAAATAAGAGTAGGAAGGCTGTGCAGTACACTGTACAGTACAGAACTGTTGGTGATTGTCGTCCAATCGCGGGGTACTAGAGTTCACGTGACAAGATATTTCCCCTGAAGGAAGAGCAGACAATACCTTAAATATACATCATGGGGAGACCACATTCTGCACACGGGAAAAGGAGAGAATGAAGTCTTTCAGTGAGAGACGGATTCTCGGATCATCGATGCAGAGTAGAGATAAGCATCTCCACGTGACCGTGTGCTTAGCGAAACCCGAGTAGGGGGGTGAGATTTCTCTGTTCAACTGTTGCCTTTATCAAATACCGGGCCCAGTAGTAATTTGTACCTTATACTCCGTAGACTCGTGTTGAAACACGAAGATCCTGCCCTTCATCTTCATGCCGTCCGGAGCGTCGTAGTTCGGCCCCACTCCTTAAAGTCCTTGCCTCCTTGTACTTGTATTCCACACAGTCGCTGGGATTTCGCGAGATTGCATTGACACTTTTCTTTATCGCGAAAGGCATGCTTCACGCTGTTCTCCCTCGCCCTCTTCCCCTCCCCCTCTCCCTCTCCCTCTCCCTGCCAACTCCCCGACCCGCCTGTGCTCCGCCGCCTTCGATCCTCCTATGGTCCACGAACGGCAGAATCGATGTCCTTACGGCTGGGAAATACCGAACGCCGCATGCAGCATAGCTCCCTCAATTCTATAGACGGCGCGCGAACGCCGGACGGCGACCAGACATGTCGACACACCTCCGGGCTGGTGGATGGGAATGGGGACGCTGATGAAGGGTTCGATGTCGATTTCTACGCAATTGCGGTGGGCCACTTCCTAGATGTTGATCCAAGGCCAACCTTTGTTATCGACCGTCGCACAAATCTGGGCAAGGACTTCGAGTCAACCTTTGCAAATGCAGCATTGCGATCAAACCATCATCTGGCCAAGGCCGTGCTCTCCAAGTCCAGGCCCGATTCTCCTCTACTGGCATCCACTCTAGAGTTCCGAGCTTGGATGGATTATGTTGTTCAACATCATCGCTCTGACATCTCGAGTCCGCCCACGCTCTCATACTGTGACCACGTTTGGTCAGCCTTTACTCTCCACGAGCGATGGGTAGTCATCAGCGGCTGTTGCACTGAACGGGACTCGAAGGGAATCAACCTTCCTCCGCTGGCCCGACGCCCGAACAAAGTGTCCAGACAGCAGGTCGGAGTAGGCCAGGAGGATCGAATCACGCTGGACATGAAAAATGAAGTCTTCGATGCAGTCCACAGGTTACAAGCATCATTCGTGTCTACAGGAACACCCGATGTAAGTGCATCCTCAGTGTTTTGTGTGTGATACAGATCTTGCGACTAAATAGGAATTCCTATTCTTATCCTTTTTATTCTTTACCTATTCTTATTCTTATTGTTATCGTCGCTATCTTTGCAGCACCATCTCTTTTTTATATTTCTAATACGGGTTCCCAGTCGACACTTGCACAGCCCGAAGGATTCCTTTCGCCGCATGTGATGTTCGCGCGAAGCATTGACTGGGCATCCACGCCTTTGGGAGACATGAGCACTTGGAGTGCGGAACTCAGGCAGGTAAGATAAGGTGTGAGCGCTTGTATTTAGCTCCCTGGACTTTGATACTGCAGAAGCCTCTCCAATTAAATAAAGACCTAACTTTTACAGATTGCAAACTTGCTAATGAGCAACCCGCATCCTGCCGCTGTATTCTGGGGGTGAGTAAGGTTTTCGTTCTATCTGGAATCCAACTTAGCAGTTGTCGCTCTATCTCTCCATCCCAATCTTCACGAGAATTGAAGTTGCACTGTGATTCAAAAACCACACTCTTGATTCTGCATCCTCTTGAACAAACCTTGTTAACTCTTTAATGTGCCAGGGAGGAACTTACAGTGATTTATAATAAAGCTTACGCCGATGGCGTCGCCGGTCAGAAACATCCCGAATTGATGGGGACCGGGTTTCGAGGACATTTTGAAGAAGTTTGGGGCAACGTTGGGACAATCTTCAACGAGTCAAGAGAGACCGGAAAAGCTGTAGCGGTGGAAAATCAAATGGTAACATACCATTGAGCCATTCAAGAATCCCCTGCTTAAAAATAGCATAGTACTAACTTCCATAGTTACCGATTGAGCGACGTGGTTTTGGCGAAGAGACTTACTTTACATGGTCGTTAACCCCCCTTTATGGCGGAACTTCACAGTTACTCGGCCTGTATAACGCGCTATTCGAGACTACTAGACAGACCATCAACGACAGACGTACGAGGACGTTACTCAACCTAGGGGCAGAGGTTGCTCTCGCGAAGTCAGTGTCGGAATTCTGGCGTCATGTTTTAAATGCTCTTCGGGAGAACGAGTATGATTTCCCGTTTGCTCTACTCTATTCAGTTGTCGATGATATAGATGGGGACGAGGGAGCTTCTATGTCTTCAGAAACCTCGAGTGCCTTGAAGAGCTGTATTTTGGAGGGAACCCTAGGCGTCCCAGAAGGCCATCCTGCGGCCCCAACTGGACTGGATCTGAGGCGGGCAACGGGAGGGTTCATTCCCGCGTTTCGGGATGCGCTGCAGACTCGGGAGCCAAAGTTATTAAGTCTTATTGATGGAACATTATCGGAGACCATGATAGAAGGCCTGGAATGTCGAGGTTTTGGGGATCCTTGCAGGCTTGCGGTAGTCTGTCCAATACGTCCAACGAATGGAGAAAATGTCCTTGGGTTTTTAGTTGTCGGGATTAATCCTAGACGACCATACGACGGTGATTATGAAGCCTTTATCAGGCTTCTGAATAGACAACTGGCGACTTCTCTAGCTAGTGTTGAGCTTTTTGAGGATGAAATACGCCGTGGAAATACTGCGGCAAAAGTTGCAGCTTTAGAGCGATCTCGGCTTAGTGAGGAGCTTGCTGTACAAAGGGGTCGTCTCCAGCGTATCGCTGAAGTAGCTTCAGTCGGTATGTTTAGTATAGAGCCCAACGGGCTCCTACTCGGGGCCAACGACCGCTGGTTTGAAATGACTGGCCACCCACGAGATAGGGTTTACGAGATGTCCTTCATGGAAACAATCGCGGAGAGCAGCAGACAGGCCATGGAAATGGGCTGGAGGAGGTTAACCATCGATGGGATGCCATGGTCTGGAGAACTACAAATGAAGCAGAAGTGGTACGACCCAGCTACTGGCGAAGAGCACGACAACTGGATGTTGGCCGCGGCACAGCCAGAATACTCTGCTGGTGGAACTGTCAAAATAATCATGGGTTCCCTGACAGATATCACAGCGCAGAAGCGCTCGGCCAAGGATGCAGAAGCTCGTGCCAGGCTCTCGGAAGAACTTCTTAATTTGCAGAAGGAGAGGCTTGAGGAAGCAGAAGAGACAAGGCGACAGCAAAATAACTTCATCGACATGACATCGCAGTAAGCCCCTCGACTACAAGCTCTATGGCCATCATGACTGATTATAACCAACTCTAGTGAAATGCGAAACCCTCTAAGCGCCATAGGTACGGCAAACTCCCCATCCGAGAAATATATGAATCATGGGACTGTTTTGTTATTCATGCATCCTTTCTCGCCCACCTATACTACTCATTTGGATTGCAAGACAGAACTGATAGTTACTCCAGTCCAATGTGCGGATTCCATTTCCACTTCGATGAACGAAATCTACAATAATTCAAAATTGAGCTTGGAACCGGCCCTTAAAGCAACTATCAAGACCTGTATCGAAGCCTCGGATACCATACAACTTTGTGCTCAGCACCAAAAGAGCATAGTCGATGACATTCTCACGATCTCAAAGCTGGACTCAAACCTTTTATTAATCACACCTATGCCAATCGAGCTGGTCAAGGTTGTGCAACAAAGTGAGTCTTAGCAGCCCAAGCCCGTCTGTTACGGCAAATATGCCTGTTGCCATACACACTCCCTCTCTAATCATGGCTGTTTTCATCTCAATCCATTTTCAATGACGATACTAACACTGTCCAGCCCTTAGGATGTTCATGGCAGAATGTAAGTATATGGACATGTGCCTTTTCTTGTGGGCCTTTTTTTGTAGGCCTGTTTGTGAGTTGCGAGCTAAGGGTCTACCCCCCTGGTATTGTTTCCAAATTGCTCTATCTTGCAGCTCACAATCAGGCTCCACGTTTCCAAAATTCATCTAATGAACCATAGCTAATTCCATCAGGTACCGTGCATGATATCACAATGAATCTGCACCTCGAGAAGTCACTTCAAGAGTTGAATGTGGATTGGGTGATGTTGGACAGCAGTCGCCTTCTCCAGGTCCTCATAAACTTACTCACGAATGCCATAAAGTTCACCAAGTCCGAAAAGAAGCGTCTTGTCGATGTGTCCATCGGTGCTTACTTAGAACCGCCCGCGGTTGAGATTGAGAATTTCCGGTATTTTCCAACGCACAGGGCCAGGGCAGATATAACAGCCGGCGCTGATTGGGGCACCGGTGAAATTCTTTACCTTCGATTTGAGGTGAGAGATACGGGTTGTGGTTTAAATGACTCAGAGAAGAAGAATCTCTTCACTCGATTCTCTCAAGCCTCGCCACGTACACACGTTAAATACGGAGGAAGTGGTCTTGGCCTTTTCATATCACGACAGTTGACCGAATTGCAGGGAGGAGAAATCGGGGTTGCTTCTGAAGCTGGTGTTGGGAGCGCGTTCGCATTTTATCTAAAGGCGCGTCGACCGGAGGGGAGTGCGGCGACTCCTACCACAACTCACCAACGGAACCACTCTGATCTGGAGTCAAATTCAAGAGTCACAAGCCTTCGAGAAAAGGAAAGGCCCGTCTCTAACCCCCGTCAGTTTAGAAACTTGGCCACGTATGCGCCGGAGCCACCTAATATCTTGCTACGGGCGAATCCAAAAGACTGGCATGTTCTGATCGTCGAAGACAATTTGGTGAACCAAAGAATCCTCGCCACACAGATCTCCAACCTTGGATGTACTACTTACGTAGCGAATCACGGCGGGGAGGCGCTCGATCTCATACAGGAGTCGGCGCACTACAAAGGCAAGGAAAGGGATGGGAAGCATCTCTCGGTCATATTGATGGATTTGGAGATGCCTATAATGGATGGGTTGACATGCACACGCAAGATTAGGGAAATGGAAGGCGCGGGCTTGATTTACGGACGGATACCGATTATTGCAGTGACGGCGAATGCTCGCGACGAGCAAATCGCCAATGCAAAACTCTCGGGGATTGTAAGTGATACCTGCTATTTGGAAACCGATGATGGCTGACGACGAAACCAGGATGATGTGATGCCGAAACCTTTTCGAATTCGCCAGCTGGTGCCAAAGATAGACGCGCTCTTGCACAAGATGGTGCCGGAGCCATGACCATAAGCATACTGGAGTTGGGGAGGGGCTGCATAGCGAGGATCATTGTAGATAGAGATACCATTTGCTGTACCCGGATTGACAAATCGAGCGACGCCGCTTATGATAAAAGAACACGAAGTTTCCAAAAAAAAGCACTTCAACACTTGAATGATACATTTGTAGGGCTTTGGTTCTTAGAGAGTAGTTTCTTGTTACTTATTGGTTGAAGCATCATAAGTATCACAGATATTGACTTGTTATTTGCGTAGCAAGTGAACAGGCCGCATCACGTTAAGTCTGCCAATAAGTCAAAGCCCAGCTAAAACCCTACCTATCTCAATGGCCAAATACTACCGAATATTATAATGTTCAGAAATAGAAATGCAATATGCACATGCTTGAAGGTGTACCTTAAGGTAGGCAGGCTATCTACTTATCTTGAAAACTAAAACGGATCTAGCACGGGGAAAAGTTGTCCGTGAGTTGGGTGTCATCTATCTTCCATCTCAGCTATGAATCCGGACCTAGAGATTTAGAAGACCACAGCATTCCCTTCCTACCTCACAATCTGTATTTTCCTAGATCGTACTCCCTCTCGGATAGATCATCTACCTACAATACCTACAAAATGGGCGAGACCAGCTCCAACCCCGAAGCTCTGATCCCCGCCTTCAAGCTCGAACGAGTGCTTAACCAAGGTCCAACAGCCGTCCCTTACATAAATCCCCCAGTATATAATTAACAGATCCGCAGACCAAGCCGGCCGACGAACCATTCTCCACGGACACATCTCAGACAAACCCGCGATCCTGATCCTTGAGCGGGCGCCCTTCCCCACCTCACCAGCCTACCTCTCGCAGCTGCCCAGCACGCTACAAACGCTCACGAACCTCGGCGCGAACGACGTATACTTCTGGTATCTTGCCAACAGCGGGGTTTCGAACGGCGACTCGACGCCCGGGGAATCAGCGGATCTGAAGATTAACCTTATATATCCGTGTACGGAACAGCATGTTAAGAAATATAGTAGGCAGGGCGTGAGGATGGTGGTTGAGACGCCGGAGATATACGCGGAGAAGATACGACCGTATATGTTGCAGAAACGGGAAGAGGGGAGGTTGAACTGGGTGTGGAATATCATAGATGGGAAGACGGAGGTCGAGGACGTGATTTATCGGACGCCGCGGGGTCGCGACGGGGATGAGGGGTTCTTATTACTGCCTGATCTGAACTGGGATCGCAAGACGATAGAGGGCTTGCATTTGCTGGGCTTGGTGGAGAGAATGGATATCTGGAGTTTGCGAGATTTGAAGAAGAAGCATATTCCCTGGCTGAAGGATATGAGGGCCAAGCTCATAGAAGCTACGGTGAAGACGTATCCGATGGTGGAAGAGGACCAGCTGAAGCTGTATGTGCACTATCAACCTACATACTACCATTTCCACATCCACATCGTGCATGTGGCATTGGAGTCGGGAGCTACGCAGGCTACGGGGAAGGCCATTGGGCTAGAGAGCATTATTGAACAATTGCAGTCGATGGCAGGAGATCAGGAGGCGGGAATGGATACAGTGGCTTTGCATTATACAGTTGGGGAAGCTAGTGAGCTTTGGACGGAAATATTCGAACCCATTAAGAAGACTGGTGGTAGAGCTTCTCAATCGCAATGACAAGATCGTTGACCCCGGCTCCGTTCGGGCAGTCCTTCCACTCACCTCCATCGCGCACGCAGTATATCTCGTTGTTTAATCGCACCGTGCAGGACTTTGTTACGCCAGCCTGAAACACAAAGAGTTAGATAGAATCGCAGATGATGTAGGTAGGTGAAACATACATCTTTGCTCCTCCTAACGCTTTCCCTCAACATCCCCATACCAAAACCACCATCATCTCTCGCAGCGCACTCGTTGAGCTTTGCAAAGTCCATGCCGTGCTCCAGCGCGCAATCCTCTATCAAACTGCGCTGGGGTATTTCGTCGTAGTCCCTCGTGAGGCACATAGTGAAGCCTAGGTATATCTTGGGATCTGGATACAGCTTCGCCGCGCAGAGCTCGACAATGTTTCCCATACATTCCTCGGGGCCATGCTTGCACGCAACCCCATCGTTTTCCGTAGGACTAGCACAGTGTTAAAGCTGCCGGAAGATATTAGGAATGGCGTCAAGTGACTTACGTGCCAATGTAGGACAGTGTGAAATTGACTTTGGAGTGCATGCGTTCCATGGTTGGTAGAACCATCATGCTAAGACAATCTTGAGCATCGGGACATTTGCTCATAATGTGCGCTTCCAATGGAACTGGTGTCTTCGATTCCGCATGCCCATTTGAGTGACATGACTTGAAGCCATGCCTGACAGCGAACGGAATGCCTGTGATGGTTGAGGTCCAGAGGAAATAGAGGAGGGCGACGGTGGCTAGACCAATAACGAAAGGCCGCTTTCGACCGGCGAGTGTGCTGCGCAGTTTCGCATCGCCCTTCTCCTGGTCCACCTTCGAATGCTTGAGACCGCTCTCAAATGCTGGTGATAATTTCTCAGACGCCATGTTGCCAGCGCTGTGATTTGATTGATTGATAACGGTGTTGGGGGGGAGATGACGATAAACGACGAGGCTTCGAGACAAACGACGCGGCTAATTTGGACAAGGGCCAAATGTACATGAGGCTGAGACCCCGTGCAAGTCCCCGGGAACACTCCTGTCGCTGCTTGTCTGCTCCCAAATGGCCACCACGAGAACACCTCTGGAGGATTTCCTGCGGCCTCTAAGTGTCGATATTCCCAAGATCCATAGTCTTGCCGGGAGTCTTTATACCACCTTCACCAGACTTGCGGCCGAGGCCCAAGACCAGTTTCTCTCTACGCCGGTCTCCGATTCTGTCCTCAGACCGGCGGGAGATGCCCAGGGCAGGTAAGAATTGCATGATTCCCATGATCCAGCCAGGAGAGGCTCGGAAATAATATATCTTCCCCCCCCAATTCAATGAGTGAAGAGTGGTGTTCTGGCAGTGAGGCCTTTCATATGTCGTCTATCGAAGCTGTCAAGCTGACGGAGTCAATAGGTACCTTGCAATCGACATGTGAGTAGCCGGCTGGTCATTTACGCATTTCCAAACCTGACTCTGTTTCGACAGTGGAGGTACGAACCTACGAGTCGGTTTCATTGAGCTATTAGGCCCTGATGCGTCCCTATCGAGAGACTCAGACCCTTTTGGCAATGGCCAAGATGGGGGAAAGTCACGTGTCAGAAGGCTTTTGGAGAAGTCCTGGCCGATTGGAGAGCTGCTGAAGAAGAATAATGCTGAGGACCTCTTTGCGTGGATTGGTAAATGTGTGACAGAGGTAGTCCAAGATGGATGTGAAGCATGGCCTGGAGAATTGCCAAATCCGGTACCTATGGGCGTCACCTTTTCCTTTCCCATGATGTTCGTATCTGGCACCAATCGATCCACATATCGGCTTGCTGACTACGATATAGTCAACATACATTAGCAGATGCTACTGTTATGCTAATGGGGAAAGGCTTTTCTGCTTCTTCAAATTTCGATCTTGCCCAACAACTTCTGACTGGGTATGAGAGTTCCAGGCCGGCGGATCTGCCAGGAATTAAGATAGTTGCCATATGCAACGACTCCTCAGCTACCCTCGTCTCCTTTGCGTACCAGCAGAAGAGCAATCCGAGAAAGAAGGCTGCCATGGGACTTATTGTAGGCACAGGTTGTAATGCCACGATCCCGTTAGCTCTCAGCAAACTACATCCAAGTAAGAGACCGGCGCAAGTCAAAGTCCTGGACGACAGCGAGGCAGTACCGGATCTGAAGATCACTGTCAACACGGAATGGACCATCAAGGGCGCAGCGGCACCACTCCATGACCTGCAATTTGTGACCCACTGGGACAAAATCCTAGATGCTGAAGGCGAAGCTCCCGGTTTCCAGCCCTTCGAATACATGACCGCAGGACGGTATCTAGGAGAACTCGGCCGGCTCATCGCCCTAGACTACTTCACCAACCACCTCAGAATTCCCGAAACCTCTCTCCCACAAAAGCTTCGAGAACGGCATGGCTTAACCACAACATTTCTAGGAAACCTCGGCCCTCCTCTCTCTCAGCACCAATCTTCAATACTAGAGCAATTAGACACTGAATTACCCCCAAACCCCAACCCCGATTCTTGGAAGTGGACTCCAGAAGCCGCCGATATTCTATTCCGCATCGCTAGAGCCGTCCAAGTCCGAGCTGCCGGCATGACAGCTGCAGCCATCATCGGTCTCCTGGCCTGCGCCGACGAAATATCTTTCTCCCCCAACCCAAACCCAACGGCCACGCTCACCAATGGCGATGCTCCGTCGACAGCCCGGCTCAAGACAGATGTGGACGAGCTGATGGTGGGGTACACAGGCGGCTGCATCGTACATTTCCAGGATTACCTTAAGGATTGCCAGGGTTTCTTGGACGCCATCATGCGGAGGGAATTCGGGGATTCTCTGGTACCGAGAGTCGTGCTGCAGCCGTGTCATGATGGCGGCATTATTGGCGCGGGGATTTTGGCGGGTACGGTGCAGAGCCTTGGGCATAATGCCTGAAGATATAGAGCGGATCTTGCATTTATTCATTTAAGATAGGGCCTGGTCTTTTCAATTCAGGGGTTTTGGGGTACCACCCTTTGGGTACGGTTCATGATGGATGATTATGTTGAGAATACGAGACGAGTAAGCGCGAAGGAAACAAGGCTCAACCCTCCAAATAGATGCATTCTCGGAGAACTCCTTCTGGATCATTATCGTACATGCCCAAGATTATTATATTTCAATGATACCCGTTTGTCCCATTGCTCAACCCTGTAAGCTCCTCCTTTCTTGCCCTGTACAAGTCTTGCGCCTCTCGCTCTCTCCTGCTCACAAATTCAACTTCTGATCGCAATCCTTCCAAGCGGCGTGCAATAGCTGCCTCTTCTGAGATCTGCAAGGTTCTGAACGAATCGAGGGAATAGGTTGCCTTCCCAAGAGCTTCTGATGCCTCGCTGACTTTCTGACGGAGCATCTTGGCTCGCTGTTGGTAACCTCCCAAATGTAAAGCAAGTTTCTTCTCCATCTTGTTGCCTTTCTCTGCGGCCGATACAATCGAGTCTTGAACGTTCTACAAACTATTAGCAAATATGAAAGAGGACATAATGTGGCCGTACTTACATCGAAAGCTTCAACTAGCATCTGGTGTTCATCGATTTCATCGTCGTCTCCATAGGCACTCAACCCAGGCAGCAGTGAAGATTTATGGGCATCAGCCCAAGCAGCTTGAAATGCTGTAGTTCCCTTTTCAGCCAATTCTTTCGGTACTTCCAGGGCGATCATCAAACGCGCGTTCTCAAGTGCGTCATCTTCGAAGGTCTCGATGCCCTTTGAGCTACCCCTGACTTTAGCACCTGGCGGTGGGTATTTAAGAGCATCATTTGCTATTAATAAGGCAGCTTCTTGTTCAATAGCACCCTCAATTGGATCCGAAATTTCTGATGCACTCTTGAGGAGAGCATCAATATCGACAGTGGAAGGTCGAGGAAGATTTCGTTGTACGGCTTGAGTCCGTCTCCGAAAGTCCAGCTTTTCTTGAGCTTCTCGAATTTGCCGTTCTCGACGATCTCGGATTTCTGCGTCCTCTTCCGAGAGCTCCTCCGCTCGGATGGACTCCTGCTGCTCTTCTGGTAATTCCAATTCCCACTCCGTATCCTTCGGCTTTGGAAGTGAAGCTAGACCTTGCTTTAATTGCTGTTTCATCGCCATCTCTCGTAATTTAAGGTCTCTAGGTGTACTGCCAACCATTTGCATTTCTCTATCTGTGTTGAGGGCAAAGCTATCACGAGGAGTCCGCATTGGAGTTGCTCCTGGTAACGTTGGAGGGCCCATTGGAGTTGCGCTAACGCCACCAGCTTGGCGAAAAGGAGTCGCCATTGGATTTGGTGTCTCAATCTGATGTTTTCGCGGAGTCACTCCATCAAAGCCTGTGCTGCCAGCACCTTCATGAAGGGGGGTATTCTCTCCACCCAATAGCGATGATTGAGTTTCCGTCAAAGCTTTGATATTTCTAATCTCATTGGCGATGTAGTCTTCCTGGGCTGGGGCTCTAGGCGTTCGTATAGGAGCTCCGGTGTTGATAGTGGAGTAGGTGTTGACGAGCCCTCTGGTAGCATCATTTTCACTAGATCTGGCGATAAGATTGGCTCTTTCTCCAATCATCCCCATCTTGACAATCTCTTCTAGTTCCCCTTCACCAACCTGTGGCGCCGGTAAGACCAAAGCCCTTCTTTTACTACTTTGTTCTGCCTCCCGGATCTTCTGCATTTGTCCTGCTTTCATGGCCGCAGCATAGGACGCTGAAGGCGAATTCTTTTCATTCTTCTGTCGCTTTCGGTCCGGATCTTCCTCCTGGTCTCCTTTGCGTTTGTTGGCAAGCTGTTGCTTCCGAGGATCAAAGGCTTCTCGCTCTTTCTCGTTCCTGATAGCCTCTTCCTCGGTCTCGTAGAATCCAGGTGCGGCCTTCTTCTCAAATGGAATGTCGGCATTGTAATCCATTTCACCTTTCTTTCGGTTGACCACCTTGATGTTGATGCCGGCATTTTTGAGCTCTCGACGCTTCTGTAAAACAGCCAATCTACGTGATTCCTCCAGCTGACGCTCACGAGCTTTTCGTTTCGCCTTCTTGCCCTGTGTATTTGCGAGACGGGCTCGAGCTTCGCTCAGCATTTCTTTCTCATCTTCGTCAAGGTCGACGGTGTCGGGTCGCGCAGGTTTTGATTCGGGATCTGGGTCAACTTCGCCGGGTCGAAGTCGTCGAACGTCATCTGCAGTCGGCGCTTTGGTTTCACCTCCGTCTGGACCCCCAAGGCCTAACTCTCCAGCTTCCTTCTGTTCGGCTTCATCGAGAAGCTTCTGGTACCGTTCAAGACATTGGGTAGCTGTTCGTCCTACGAGCGGTGCGATGGTGCGCCATTGCGTTGGCATCAACTTTGCAAGATGCAACAGTTTCTCGTCCTCCTCCTTACTCCATTCAACCTTGCGAATACCTGGATCCAGCCATTCGTTCCATCGTGCTTTGCATTGCTTTGGAGTTTTCCGCGCGAGGAGCGACGAGACACGAGCCCATTGATTGAGACCGTACTTGGAGACCGCAACTTTCAAGATTTCATCTTCGATATTCGACCAAACACCTCCCTTGACAACAGGCATGATGGCGGTTTGATATAGTTGCGGTTTGTAGGTTGTGGTCGTCCAAGAGGCTGTCCAAGAGGGTGTCGAAATATTGAAGTCGCGACGCCACTAGCGGCCTAGGTAAGGTAAACGGTAGCAGGGATAAGGACATCACGTGGTATCGTGTTAAGGATTCACACCACCACGCTTCTACATAATTCGTCTTCAATCTTCTGGATTATCTCTTTTCTCCCTGCTGAGAGATCGTATTGCAAATGAAGAATAGAGAAGTAAGCTTCCGGCGTCTAACATAACCGAATGATTGACAACGTTTTGATGAAAGTCGGCCTTGCATTTAACGATGTACAGTAGCATATCCTTCATGTTGCAACAACATTATGCTCTAGATGGATGTGATAAGGACTTTTCTTAATGTACAACGTGCCTCATGCCATTAATTCTACATGATAGGTGTAATTTGCCAACTGAGAACCATCCCATAACGCCTGAGAATGCTGCACCGTCGCTATGCTGCAAAAGTCCAAATTATATGTACCATCCATTCCGTCCGAAACTTGCCCACAATGCGGGAGATTAAACCCAATCCTCTCAAGTCTTACATTGCACTGCTACTGCATGCCCTTAAATCGCTAGTATACAAATCGTTCATCACGAGAAGAAGTACTCGCTCTGTCTGAGTCGCGTGACATCGAACTCTCCCTGTGCTGTAGTTAGTACTCGCCTATATACAATCGAAGAGGGATAGTCTTACCTTTTTAGGCACAGGAGGAAAGGTCAGTGGAAGCCAGATCCATGTATCGCGCTCATTGACACGAGTGGGTTTGGAGAATGCCCTCTCGAAGTTGCTAACGGGCTGTTCCGACGAATCTGACAGCTCAGATTCAACTTCCTGTTCTAAATCTCTGACTTCTTCCGTGTCCTCTCCCATTGCTGCATCTAAACTGGCTTCGCTGGAAAGAGAATTATTCGCCTCCTCAATGTTTTCCACGTCATCCACTTGGCTCTCCTTGTCTGTACGGCGTCGAGCCTCACGCGAAGACATCTCTCCTATGCCCAGATTTGTGAGATCATCTTCAGGCGATAAATCTCCTTCTCCAGCCAGTTCTTCGAATATGCTGGCTGGGGTGATCATCTTCTTTCCTTCTTCGACTTCTTTAGGATCTGATGATCTGAGAAGTTGATATCTCTTGCGCTCGGTCAGAAGTTCAGTGACTCTTGTAGATTGTTGGTTCTTGCGACCCAGGCCACTACGATTTGCTTTGCGCAAAGCACATATTTTCGCATACACAGGGCTCCCAGAACGGACCTTGGCGAGATACATACACCCTTTGTACCGCGCGGCGAACTCAGCAGCAAGGCGTCCAATGACATCTTCGCTGTGAATCCGAACGAACGTGTCCCTCAATATGGCATTCATCGAATCCACATCGGCAGCGTGAGTCCAGAAAGAATCATGAACCGCTGCAAATGACAGGCCCTTTTCATCGCATTGCAATGCAGAAAGCAGCATGTGGCTAGCATCCAATGAGTGAATGAAGTTTGGCGGGAATCCTTGGAGTTGCTTTCGTTTGCTAACGGGATTTGATTGATGGGGCTCCGAGAGACTTATTAACTGCATATTGGTTTGGACAATCTTGGACTTGTGAACTCGATATGGCTGAACGACAGGCATGTGCAATGGGGTTGTCCATATGACACTAGACTTGAACTGGCCTGGGTCCTCGGAGAATAATTGTGGACTTTCTTTATTTGCTTTGCCACCTTTCTTGGCCAAAACCCGCGTTGGATATTCCGCTTCCAATCGATCCATTTGTTCTGGAGTTAGACATTGGGAAATACGGCTGGCACACTCCCCTAACCAATACTGAATATCATGAGCGCCGCGAAACATAGTTGATAGGGCCGTGAATATCTTCGTCGCTATGTATGATGCAAGCGTACCCGCATTCATCATCTCGGTGTTTGGTAGGTCATTGTAGGCTGCCACAAGCTGTTTCCTGACCTGAGCTTTTGCCCCGACATAAGTAACGCCATAGACGTTCGTCATAACAGTTTGCTTGACAATCTTGCGAGTGATCCTTCCATCGAGGATTTGAGCGGACGGATTGCCTTTCTCCTTGTCGGCTTTTATGCTTTCTTTCACGAGGTCCGCAACGGCTGAATAGACATCTGCCGGCTTATCACCAGGTTCAAGGTTGACCTGTTGCGCTCCCCAGAGGTCACCTCCCAAGGCGGCATAGTGCTGCAAACCATTGCAAGTCCCGTCTTGGTGGACTGGGAGATGAGACACAAATTTTGTGGGGTCCGGTGATTCTAGAGCGTTCTTGAGCTCTATGCAGGCAGCAAGACACTGCCAAGGATCCTCAGCTTTCAGCCACCATCGGCCTCCACCAAGGGGGTTTGATGCAGAGTCTTGGATGTTGGCCATATTTTCCGTGGCGAAGGCTTCGCGATCTGTTAGACTTGCCTTGTCGTAACCAAAAACGTTCGACAGGTGAATCTTGAGCCATTTAAGACCAGATTCACCTAGCTCCTTGCCACGTCCGAACTTGAGAAGCCCTCTGCAGTGATCAGCTCCCATGTGATTGAGGTAAGGAGGTATAGGATATGCTCGACCGCGAAAATCTACATTGTGTGGAAAGTAGAACTCGTGGTTCCTTAAGGCTCGGGCAATTTCCAGTTGAAAGTTTTGGAAACAGCGTTGAGAATGCATTCCAGCCTTGGCATTCTCCGCCAGTTTCACAGCTCGAATCCATCGGCGACGCTCTAATGGGTCTTGCGAGGCCTCAGGCTCGGGAGGAATGTCAAGTTTGGGGCTCTCAGGTGCAATGTTGGCGATAGCTTCGCCTGAATTCCAAGCCTCTAACATGACATCGAAGACCGGTTGATTGATTCGCCATGATGTCTTGCCGAGTACATCCAGCCCCTTGAACGTCTGCGTCATGTCTCCCTTGTCGATAGCGGCCTCTGCATAATGCCTTTGGTCCTTATCTCCAAGCTTGATTCGCATCATCTTCGCCGGATGGGAAATAAAGCCGCCTTTATTGAAGCGTGTCCATGGATCCGGGGCCACTAACATCGGGAGATGTTTGGCCAAAAGACTGTGAACAGGCTCTCGTTTGAGCTGTTTCACCAACACGTCGTTCGCCACAATCACGCCGACCTTTTTGCCCATTTTATACTGATGCGAATGAGAGAAGGCCGGTTGCAGTTGTGTTATCACCTCCTTGGTTTCTGGATGCTCTAGAGTCACAGGCACTTTCGCCGTCTCGATCAGAGCAGACATCAAGAAGGCCCCAACCTTGGCTTTGATTGTTCCAGGCCAGGATCTTTCACGGAGAGACTCTGCAATCCCATCATCGGGATTCGGAATGGAACGATGTACACTGCCAGTAGAACCTGAACTGCGGAAACGTAGAGCCTTCTTCAGTTGCGCAGCAGACATTCGCCCCTTGTCTCCTGTTTTCGATGTACCAAAATGAGCTTTCAATTTGTTCTCATTTTGCATGGCTTCGAATATGCTTTCGTCTTCGACGTGCTTTGAAATTGCCATGATTGCGTTTGAAAGAGTCATTCCTTTGTCGACACCGAGTGCGCTAATAGTAGTCATGCAGGATAATATTGTCACGGCTGCGAGCTTGTCCGTAGGAAGGGTCCGCAAGAAAGGGCCGTATGAACACCGTTCGACGTCTTTGATAAGCTTCTTTTCCTTCGCTTCTGCTTCTTCCACCTTGACCAATTCCTCCTTCAAGGCCTGCTCTAAAGCTGTGTGCCACTTCCACATCCGCGCCCCCAATGACTTAGTCTGCAAAGTCGTGTTAAGGCCCAACTTTGACAGACTAACACTTTCCTCTCTCCAGCGGTCAATGGCAGAATTCACAGCATCCTCCTCTAATTGTGCCTGTATCCTGCGCTTTTCTTCAGGTGTTTGATTGCCCAGGTCTGTCGCCGAAGACAAGTCTGTGTCGAACAATGACAATGCTCGCTTGAGCGACTTCAACCCTAAGCCTTTCTGCCCAGTAGGACGAACGTCAGGTATAGGGAGGTCTGCACCAGGTATGTCGTGATTGGGTGTTTCGGTATCAACAGGCTCAAATATCTCCGAGTAAGCCTCAAATTCGGGTCCTTCGGTATTGTAATCCGGACAAATGTGAGTGATCTCATTCAGGTCCTCCGCACTCAAGATATCTAGACTTAAAACTTCCAACCCCAGATCCTTCTGCTTCCCTATATCCATGTACCGTCGCACAAGTCTATTCCGTCTATCACCGGGTGGAGACTGAAGCGATGCTTTCAGCATGTATGCCACAGTTTCTGCGTTGATAGGAAGGGCCTTATTCCGGATCTCCAGCTCGAACCATTTGTGAAGCGCCTGCATTGCCGATCCGCTGGGTTTCATGGAAAGCTGATAGACAGCGGCTTGGAGATATTCGTTATGTAGCTGAAGTAATTGTTCGTCATTGACAGCCTCAAGCGCCCCTATTCGTTTAAGAACGACCCCGCCGCGCTCAATTCTCCCAACTTGCAAGCAAGCTCTTAGTATCGATAGTATCTCAGACAGATCACCGCCAACCCCAGCCTTACCCGTTCGAAATCGACGGGGGGTGGTTGCTAATGAGCCGCCAAGTGCTAACGGAGACGAATAGTCAAAGGGCCTCAATTCTGATAGCGGAGAGGGGTTTGCGAAGTCTGCGGGAGGTACTGCAGATGCCACATTGTTCAATCCCACGAATGGAATATCGTCGAAGGGCCTATCGACTGCTGTGGCTAATGACCGTCGATTATTTGGGCCATCGTTCGAGTTCCTCCTCTTTCTCGCCGGCAAGCCTCGTGATGGGGCATCAATGGTAATTTGTCTATGATACTCCCGTCCAGATCTGTAGTGCGTTGGACAGAGCCATGGAAGATATAGCTGTTCGCAGGAAAGTTTGTTTCGAACCACATCAAGGCGAGATTTTCGTCTTGCGGCCCGTACAAGCATCTTGGGCGTGCAACGTAGGGGTAATTTAAAAACAAAGGTCGAACGTACAAAAGAAGGAAACCAAAGACATTACAATGGAACTGGAAAAGAGTTTGTTGATACAGTGGCAATCGGATGTGTTGAAGGAAAGACTTAAAGCTGTTGTCGCGTGCAGTTCAGCTCATCATAGGAGAGTCGATAAATTTTCCAGATTGCACTATTCTAAATCCGCATTGGCTTCCCGGAAGGGCCGTACAATTACACCCCCTGAAAAGCTCCACGCGACCGTATTTCTAGTTGCAAGTTTGATAACAACTGCCTCGAACCTCTACGGCTATATATATGATTTTATATTGCATTACTATCTTTCGGTTTTCTGCATGTAAAATGCTCCGGGGGCAGAGCAGCAAGTGGCTACCAGAATTCCATATTCGAGAAGTTTTGAGATCGGCATTTCTTTTGACCGAACCTCGCTTACGGTACGGAACTCTTATTGTACCACTTGTGTACTGAATACCTTATGTGCAGAGGGGAAACTACGACATTTTCTTCAAGCAATATCAAGGAAAATCCCCCACACCCCACAAACTTCAAAAAGAGATGGTCGTCGGAAGGGTGCTGCGAGCAACGGGCTGTCCCAGCTGTCGTGTGTCCATAATCCGGAGCTTCGCCTCTTTAGCTGGGCCTCCAATCCGAACACCCCAGATCTCTGCGCGGTTACATTACCCAACTTCCTGCTCCAGTGTTCGACTTTCCTCGAATGTAGCGCGAGAGGATGACGGTCATGATGGCACTCATGAATCTCACGGCCTCAATGTAACTGCTGAGGATGCAGAAGAGGAGACAAAAGACAACCAGGAATCATTGGAGGCGTCGGCCGTGCCGTGGTATCTTCAAGACAGTGCTCCTCAAAAACCTCCACAACCATTATCAGAGCGGCAGCGAATACCTGACCTACCAGAATCGCCACCACCGATTCTGCAACCATTGATGCAGCAAATATCAGTTGACCTAGGCCTCGATAATCTATCCCTACTCGACCTCCGAAAGCTCGATCCTCCCCCAGCTTTAGGAGCCAACCTCTTGATGCTCATTGGTACCGCACGCAGTGAGAAACATTTACACGTATCCGCGGATAGATTATGTCGTTGGTTAAGAAGTACTTATAAATTACGGCCGGATGCCGACGGATTACTGGGACGCAATGAGCTAAAACTGAAATTAAGACGGAAGTCAAGAAGAGCAAAGTTATTAGGGAGCGCTGTTGATGACAATGGCGATGATGGTGTCCGGACAGGCTGGGTTTGCGTTGATGTGGGTGTTGTGGAGGGTGCGGAGCCAACAACGGATGCTGTCCCTGAACCCAAAGGCTTTGTTGGGTTTGGACGTCGTACAGACGGGGTGAGGATAGTGGTACAATTGCTCACACAAGAGAAAAGAGACGAGATCGATTTAGAAAAGCTTTGGGGAGGCATTTTGAAACGGGGAACCCAGCCAGAAATTGAAGATTCCGGTGAAGACGACAGTATTCAACCCTCAGGTTCTACCAGCATCCCGGCACCAATGAAACGGATGGACAACGCACCTTCATCAATACTTTCACAGACACGTGGATTCCATACTTCAGCGCGTCGCCTATCGCGTCTATCGGCACATCCAGAAACACAATCATTTGTGGAAGTATCATCTGTTTCGAGATCACTACCTACATTTGCCAAGGGATCGGAGAATTTCGATTTGAAAGATATCCAGCAGTCCGTGATGCTGTCTATTGCATCCGGAAATTTTAACCAGGCCAAAACTGATTTACTCCGGTATAGCAAGGACATTGCCTCGCTCCAGAATGAAGGGTGGAGGCCATTTCTTTTAAAACAGCTGAGAGCGTATCTTGAAAGCATCCCGAGAGATCAAGCTCTCGAAGCCTTAGGGACTGGATCCTATGATCGCCGTTCTTCCCCTTTCCTGGCCAGCTTTTACCAGACGTTGTCTGCTTTTCCATCCGAGGCCGAAGGGGAAGCTATAATATGGCTTTATTGTTACGCGATGGACCTTGGACACGGCGGTTATGCATTCAAGGGGTTGATGGATCTTCTTACTGAGCTTCAGTTGTCTGGGGTCGCGATCTCTTCTGAATCCTATCTACGTGTCGTTCGAAGCGTACTGCGGCCAGTACAGATTTCCGAGGATCATAGTGTTACTCCGCGTCGTTTTGCTGAAGGCGCCATGGAAATTCTCCAAATGATGCACGATCAGGGGCACAAAGTGCTCACAGAGGAGACCTTCCTCGCCCTCCAAGAAGCTACTGCATCGGAGTCAATACAACCTGCCCATCGTTCTGAACTATATACAACCTCATCGGAAACCTTTGACCTCCCAACCCTGCCCATGAGCGCGCTTCGACGACGGATACACGTTGCCATGAAAGCCGTCGATTTGCCTTTCTTCCGAGACGAAACCAGACTCCGACTTCTCGACATGTACTCTAGACAACACCACTGGCTTGAGTTCTGGGATATATGGAGAATGGCTCCTCGCCAAGGAAAACCGCAATCCTCTCTTATGTATGCTTTTATGTTCAACAGAGTAGCGGAGACTGGGAATCAGAAGGGGTGCATGACTGTTCTACGGACTTGGATCCCTGACATGGACCTTGAGAACCCGAAGGTCTTACTCGAAGGGGATGTTGCGGAGTCCGTCAAGGCTGTTTTAAAAGTGGCAGATCCTCATGTTGAACGGGAGGCAGCCAGCGATCCTGGGGCCACCGGCGAATGGATAGATCTGTGGCGACGGTGTACGATGGCGTAACAGCCAGGGTGTCCTGATTGTACGAACCAGACATATATGAAGTGTATGAATATTGTAGGAATATGCCTTGTATTTTGTAATACCCATACTACCGTATTTATGGGAGAGCATGTTTGGGAGGATATCAAAAATTAATTTACAGTTTCATCTTAATCATTCTACAACACCGACTGAACTCAACGTGGGGTGCTGTGAATTGCCGAAGTTGATTGGCTGTTTAGTCGTGTCAAAATATTTCTCCATTCTGCGTCGGCGCCTCCCGTTTGCCTGGCTTGGCTCATCGTCACAACAACCATCAAGAATAATAAAGCGCTTATCGTCAGGCCTTCACGCTGGTTTCAAGTCGAGCCATAATATGAGCCTGTGTTCCCTTTCAATTCCTTATCCTCTCATGACCTAACCTTCCATCCTTTCTTCTCTATCCAGATTTTCTATCGCGTTTCCTAATCTCGTACATATACCTACCTACACTATATACCCCTTCCATTTAGCGATATCAACATGAAGCTCCCCAACCTCACACCAGCTCTCCTCCTCCTCCCCTCCATCCCCGGCGCGTATTGCTGGGGAGCTCTCGGGCACCAAACCGTCGCCTACATCGCGACTAATTTCGTACAAGCCGACACCCAAACCTTCTTCCAAGGGATCTTGAATAACAAGACGAGTTCGTACCTGGCCGGCGTCGCTTCATGGGCTGATTCCTTCCGCTACACCAGTGCTGGGCGGTTCTCGGCGCCGTTTCATTATATCGATGCTGAAGATAACCCGCCGGCTTCCTGTGGGGTTAGATATGCGAGGGATTGTGGGGAGGCGGGGTGCATAGTTGCGGCGATTCAAAATTATGTATGTGGATTGCAAGTCATCATATATTATATTATGGTATGCGGTCACTGACGGACGAGTGGTAGACGACACAACTCCTGGATCCGTCATTGGATGCAGCGTCTTTAAAAATGGCTGCTAAGGTAAGAAGTTCGATATGATACGCAGTTTGATCCTGTACTAATTCCATCCGCAGTTTATCATTCACGTGAGTTTTTTACTTCCTATCAGGTGATGAGCGAAGAACACCCAGCTCACAAGACCCCCGTCTAGTTCGTGGGAGATATTCACCAGCCTCTTCATGTTGAGAACCTTAATATGGGCGGGAACGGCATCCACGTAAACTTCAGCGGGACACCCACCAACCTTCACCACGTGTGGGATACAGCCATTCCCGAAAAGCTCATTGGCGGATATTCCCTAGCTGATGCATATAAATGGGCAGATACGCTCAGCACGTCCATCCGGTCAGGAGCCTATAAACCTCTTGCGAGTGAGTGGCTAAAGGGGCTTGATCTGAGTGATCCCGTAGCGACGTCGTTGGCTTGGGCCGAGGAATCGAACGCCTATGTTTGCACGACCGTCCTGCCCAATGGAGTTGCTGGGGTACAGAGCCAGGAACTGAGCGGTGCTTATTACGAGACGGCTGCTCCTGTTATCCAGTTGCAGATTGCGAGAGCTGGGTACAGGTGAGTCCCAATACCCAGATATGGATATGTCACGTGATTCTGACATGGCATCGCAGGCTTGCGCGTTGGTTGGACTTGATAGCGGCGGGCGTTAAAACGGATCTGTAATTTTGGAAATATACAGGGGCTGTTTTTGAAAAGAGGGTCTCTTGGACTTTTGGTTGTCTTTATTTTCCACAACTACAGCAGACTTAGAATTGCATGTGCCTCATCTAAAAATCCCAAAGACCCTCTATCTTTCGACCCATCCATTAATTTCATTTTCACATAGCAGTGAAATGTCTATAGTGCAGCCTAGATCTCAGAAAATAGTTTTGCTGCATCTCGCATGAATAAATTAGGTCCCTATATTTAAACTGAGAATTGCTAGGTGTGAGGGATCGAGTCAAGGTACGTATGATTCTAGATACAAGACGTGGCGCGAGGAATCAAAAGGAAGATTGGAGATTCCTCGCGCCACGTCTTGTATCTAGAATCAATTGATATCTGCACACGTGCCAAACGTATCGTCCCGCGACACTAGGAACCACCGCTATTATGATCATTGAGTGACAACTCTCATGTAACTGGAGTGTCCTGGTACGGCCATAGCTTCTCGGCGAGAAACCTGTCCTCCTCGTTTTCAGCGGCCTCGATAAAGGCCGCTTTAAGCTGTGCTAGTTCAGTTTGAATCTCATCAAACCTGGCTGATTCCACTGAGCCATTAGGAGGTAATCCCCAATTACTTCGAAAGATTCTTAAAATCTCGCTAACGTACTCCCAATTCTCCTCCTCATGCCTATACAGGGTCATCTCTTGCTCACTGAAGCTAACGGGGCACGGCCCAGCACTTGGGCAAAGGTCCCTCCACCTATTAGTGATTCTGATTAGTGCTCGTCGAAGGAAGAAGACATCAAAATCTTCCCATGCACTCTGGACGATACGTATTGGCTGTATTCGTTCATCATCATGTGATTGTAACGCGGCCCAATGGCGTCGGTTCTTATCACGTGTAATTGCAAGGTAATTCTTGTGTAGAGACTCGCTCTTTATAAGGTTACTGATCTTTTCCTTTTCGTCTTGTTCAAGGCTGTCATAATTCTCCGGGTACTTCGGCCAAACAGTCATATCGTCAGACATCGGTCCTTGATGCCTAAACATTGTTGGAACCCCACATTGGTAAAACAACGGGAGCGCTGCCACAGCTTGCCAGTCAATAACGCACGTGATTTTCTTTGATTTAGGGTCGACAAAGACGTTGTCAAGATGAAGGTCTGGGTGCCATAGTGTCGGCGAGTGCGTATCGTCTAGAGTTAGTGGAGGTACCATAGCTGGAGCAAGTCGAAGATAACGATCTAACAGGTCGACCATATCTCCGGGCAGCTCAGGCTCTGTGATTGAACGAGCATAGTTCATCCGTGGGCGGGCATGCGCCTTGATAAATTTCAATTCGCACTCGGCCATCGCTTTAATAAACTCGAGGGGTCCGCTATCTGTATCTTATTAGATCAAGAATGATTATAGGTATGTATGACTTACATGGTCCTCGATTCATATCCATACTGGCCTTTGCACCCCGCCACATCCCGCTGTCGACTAGTGGTCCTAACGTGAAACGCTGAAGTACTGATGAGGATAGTGGAGGAGTGGTCGCCAAGGAGTCGCCGTCAGGGAAATCATTCCTGAAATAGATACAACCCGACTTTGCGAATTTCGTAGATGCGAGCTTACGCTCAATCTCCACGATCTGCTCTATGATGTTACATCTGGCCTCTAACGGCCACTCATCCCAGTCTTGCCAGAGCCTTCCGAGAGGCTTGCCTGGGGCCTTCTCCTCTAAGATGTACTCTGCCCCTACAGGATTGTTTCGATCAGAAGACCAGGCAAGTATACGAGGAATAGGAACTCCTATTACATCGCGAAGCTAAATAAAACTTTAAGTGAGGATGTCCGTCATTAAGCTTACCTTAGTTAAGGATGTACTCACAAATTCACGTGTGGCCACTTCTGATGCTGTTGTGTAAAATGCAGGTCCTGCACACGGGTTTGGCAGCTTAGCAAACACCTCCGAGCCGTTGTCCATTGTGAGCAAATAGGCTTTGTTATTCAATCCCTCTTTACATTTGAGAACTTCGGTACCTGTCATCTGAGTCAGTCATGAGTTTCATGGTAAGTAGGTATCCATGAGACAGACAACGACGGGCACCTTCAGAAGAGACGGTTGCAACTGCGGCTTGCAAGAGCTGTTGAAGGTCAAACTTGAGATATCTCTCTGATAAACGACGAGATTCATTGTATCTATGCTTGATTAGCGTACAATTACCACCGTTTTCTCGAGGATAAAATAGACGTACATCCAGCGGTGTCTCGTGTATCTGTAGATAGAATCTTCTTTTATATCCTCCACTAAAGAGGTTATTGTCTTAACAGAACTTTGGTTTGGAACTTCACATACCAGAACCATCACTCCTTACGCCACGAAGGGCAGTCATTGGCATGTTGTGACGAGTACTCCGCCCGGGCAAACAAGTCGTAAATTCTCTAGCGATGGCGGGCCAGAGATAAGGACGAGCAACGAGTCTGTTAACAGAGAACCAGCGACACGTTGGATAAGATGCTGAAAGGAGTGGCATGCTTTTGTCCTTGTTATGAATAGATCTGGAAGTACTGTAAGATATCCGGAGGAAGCAAGGTACCACAGCCTCGACCGAGTACCCCGCCATGTTGAGCCCCACACAGAGGCGATATCACATGTTATCTGGCAAAGATACAGGTCTTGATCAATCGTTTTCATTCAGCCATACACTGGCTGGCACCATTGCGGAGAGGGTGCCGCTTTTGCGACAGAAGGAAAGGGAAAGGAGGTGATGGCAAGGAGGGGTAGAAGTAAAAAGGAATAATGGATGAAGCAAGTCCAGATCTAGGTCACGGGTTAAAAGGGACAAGGCGTGCGCTATCATGGCCCGCTATACTCAGGTAGTTTTTGTCTGAGTGACGATAATTGTCGACTTACAGTACTATGATCTAAAAAGGCACGTTCATGATTCTCTTTAGCCCGTTATCTAGTTTCGAGTCTACTCTACTGGAAACAAGTAGAGTAAGGTACCTTAGGTAGGTAGGTTATGGAAACGAGATCCCTCCGTCAGGCTCAGGGCCAGGACCAGGATCACGTTGGCTACGCGTATTCGGGGGCACGCCGTGGCAACTCAGGGTCGCAGGGGTAGCGCGGGCGTAGATTATTATATATTGGAGTTGGGAGTCAGGGTAAGGTAAAAGGACAAGAATTAGTTTGTGCCTAAATGGAAGCCTACATTTACACGCCAGCTACTCAACTGTGATTCTCTGCTACATTGCTAGTGACATCTATCTAATACTCGATAGGCACTCGAACAACCTATAGGTACCTTAATTTCAAGGTACCAGAGGACATTTTCGATTTTTCAGCATTGATTCAGCAGCAAATTTGCAGTGACCAGTTGGTTTCCCAGACTACGAAGCTCAAGTTTGATATCCGAGTATAGGCGCCGGCGCGATGGAGATGCGGAGCGGGATTTGCGTCATCGTCATGACAAGGCATGAGAGCATGGTCAAATGCACGAGAGAGAAAGTAGGAATTCTGTTAGGCTTTGACAAGAGTGAGTGCTTGTGTGGAGAGAGAGATTGCAAAGTATCTACGTATAGGGTATACTCCGATGTGTACCTTATATATATGTACGTATGTATGCCGTATACACCGTACAGAGGTGTGCATATCCATTCTTCCACTCGATTTGAAATGCGACGTTATCGATAAGGCCGGGCGGGTATCGGGACTCGGAACCCGTCGCGGCAGGAGGGTAGCACGTGCTTCGGGTCTCAAATCACGATGGTTCTTGATAGGTACTTTGGACCCCGACTTCTTCAACTCATCCATACACGTACGTCGTCTTCACTCCGCAACGCACCAGAGATCTGTTGATGAGCCCGCATGGGAGGCTCTGCACAAGGGATCCGAAGCCATGCCGTTTCGTTCTCCGGCCTACGCTGAGATGGGTAATCGTCGACTCGCTTAATTTGTCGTCTTTTCGCATTCGCTGTAAGTCGACGAAAGCGAAATAGGCCAGCAAGCGAAATAGGCCAGATGGAATTTGTTAGTAACTTATATAGAAATACTATCTTTTTTGATTAACAGCCACAACTACTATTTGACTAATTAGTATAATAAATAGAGGTATCTAGGCATTGATTTTCTATACAATCTATATATAATAAAAATAATAATATACTTACGCCTGTTGTGTTACTTAAGAAAAATATTAGGCTTATCTTTAGAGTCTTTAGATCCTTTAGATCCTAAGCTACTACTTAAACTATCGTTTTCTAGGGCAATAAAGTCCTCTTAATACTACTGTTTAGGCCCTTATTAATCCCCTTAATCCTCTTAATCCCTCTAATCCTTTTAATCCTTTTAATCCTCTCCTTAATCTCCCTAATCTCCTAGATCCTGCCTAATAAGGAGGAGCTATAGGCCCGGTAGGTAAAGCCCTAGTAATTAAAGTCTAGCCTCCTTTTTAGGATCAAGCACTTTAATATAGAGGTAGCTAGCCCTTATATCACCCTAAATAACCTCTTAAAGGGCCTTTTTTCTAAAGCGCTTACACTAGCGCGCTATTACTCCTTAGCTCTTAAGCTCTTTAGCCTCCTTCTTAACTATCTGTTATAACATCCGGGACTCCTTATTACTGTTAGGTGTATTTCTATAGAGTAAAAGAGGTAAGAGTTAATAGACAGTTGTAGTATATTTAAAGGTATATCGCTACTTTAACTATAGACTAATCTCTAAACCCCTCTTCTTTCCCCTCCTTACTCTCTATTCTTATGCTCCTTAATGCCTACTATTACTTTAGTTGTAGTACGTAGTTACCTTATACTTAATTTCTAAGCTATTATAATTTTACGTATTAGCGTACCTAATATAGTATCTCCCTTTTTTAGCTTCTGTCCTTAGAAGCTTATAGGTAGCTATTAGATCGTAAAGAGGCTAGGGCAGGCTAATGCCTCCCTAGAAACAGGAATAAATGTATAGGAATAAGTTAGTAAGTAAATATATAACTATATAACTATATAACTAGTAGTATTAGAAAAAGGAGAATAGTAGCGACTTTATAGCGTAGTAGAGGCGCGTAGCTAAACTACAAGATTTCTATTATATATCGTACCTTTAGATCTCTACCTAGCGTACCTCTTGTATTTACTTTTAGTAAAGACACATTATAGTAAAGTACTAGTAAGTCGCTAGATAGTTATAAGACCCCTAATACGTAATACAAACCGTATTACTTAGGCGTACTAGTATTCCTTACTCTTTTGCCGCTTTTAGAAATCCTTTGTTACCCTTTACTAGTAGGTTAATAGTACGCTAACAGTAGGTAGCTATAAGGATTAAACTATATTACCTAGGCGCGCTAGTATTCCTTTCCCTTTTACTACTTTTAAAAATTCCTTATTACCTCTTACTAGAAAGTCGACAGTATACTAATAGTAGGTAGCCGTAAGGATTAAACTATATTACCTATAATCGTATTTTTTAAGTAAATATAGAAAAACACCTCCTTTGTCCTTCTTTACTTAGTCCGTCCCTTATAGCGCTAAGGGGTATATAGAGACTCGTTTTTACTAGTTTATTACCTCTTTTTCTTCTTTTTACCTTATACAAATATAACGCTACTACGCCCCCCCCCCCTTACGACTCTTTTAACAAACTTCTAACGTACTTTTATTAAACTATTAACGATAACATAGTACTAACAAAGCGTTTAGTAGCTTGTAAGTAATGTTTAAACTAAATGGCTTTATAAGACTTATAGGGTACCCTACTAAAGTATAAGGATAACGACTATAAGTATTCCTTCTTAGTAAAGAGTAACGGCCTAATAGTATAGTAGCCGTATTAGTAAAGTACGTATACTATAAGAATCTAAAGAAAGAGTATATTTTTATAAGTATAACCCCTCTTAGGGCGACACTCTTGTGTCGTAGCTTTGTTAACGTTACTAGGTTGTTTTAACTCTCTAAGCTAGAAGAATTAAACTTTAAAAGGTAATTACAAAAAAGGATAAGGTAAGGTAGTCTATTATTTATAGTAAAGTTAAAGCTAATACAAACAGGCTATAATTTAGGCTGTCTAAACTTTAGTAAAGAAGAGCCTTTAACATTTAAAGTCTTAGACTAGAATGTTAGTAGAGAAGAGGCTTTGTAGTAATAAAGTAGATAAGGAAGAGCGCGTAGAGTAAAAGTTAGGTTATCTAGCGAAAATTACCTATTAGTTAGAGCTTTATAATAAGTTCGCTATAACTATAAACATAGAGGCAGATCGTTGTAATTAGCTTATAGAAGAGGCGATATAAGTAAACTAGGACTATCTTACTGTCTTTAAAAAGTACGTGTCTTATTTTAAGAAAGTTATAAGTATCCCTTACCTTAATACTAAGTCGCCACTAACTTAAAGGTAGTACGCGTACGATTTATAGAGATCTAAAGGAAGTAAGGAAGTAAAGGATACTATAAAAGATAATACTAGTAATAAAAATAATAGTAGAAAGGACAGTAATAAGGACAAATAATAGACAACTAAGGGTTAAAGTGTCCTTAATAAGTAAGATCGTACTTTAGGTTTTTTTTTCTTTTTTCTTTTTCTAAGATATATAATAATAAAGTTAGTAGAGCTTTAAAGGGTGTTTACTAGTAAAAGGGTAGTTTAGTGTTTTTTTTAAGATACCTAGGTTTTTAAGTTTTTATATAATAAATGTAGAAGTCGTACTTACGTTACTATAACTACGCTAGTAATATTATGCCTTTCTAACGATTATCTTAATGTGTTTGTTTGTATTTACGTAAAAGTAGGTTATTATTAAGGTTTTATTATAGTTCTTACGAGTTTTCTAAATCATTATACCTTTTTTATTTTATAAGATAGAGTCTGTTTCTTTATAGGCCTTTATAGTTAAGAATAGCTTTTACTTTAAATATCTCTTTGTCTAAGACTAAGATGTCTATTAGGCTTATAAGGACTTTGCCTTCTTACGCCCTATAAGGTTCTAGGCTTGTAATTAGAAAGGTAGGATATAGCTGTACTAACAAAAGGAGGCGTAGTCTATAGGCAAGTCTATAGTCCCTAATAACGTCTTTAATTTAGTAAGGGCTAATGTACTTATCTATAAATTTCTTAGAGGGTCGACGTTACCTTAAGTGTTTTGTTAATAAGAGTACCTAGTCTCTCTTTTTAAATAAAATCTTTTTCTAATTCTAGTTATACTATTTCTTATACTGTTTTTAAGAATACTAAAGAAATATAATAATTTCTTTATAGCTACTTTATAGCTACTTTACTTACGTATTAGCTACTAGCGCCTCTACTAGCTTTAACTAGTTTAGGGGTATGTCCTTAGGACCCTATAGCTAGTACTTATATAGTGTGTACGATAGTGTTACATTTATTATAGAGTACTATAAGGTATTATATACAAATTTAGTAAGATCTAGCTTAGTTACCTAGTCGTCTTATATAAAGCTATAGTAAGTTTAAAGGTAATGCTTAATAGCTTAGTTCTACTATTCTGTCTGCCTGTCTGTTTGTAGGTAATAGGTAGTACTAAGTCGCCGTAATATCGCTAGGTACTAGTAGAAACTACTCTAGAATTTACTTATAAAGAGAGAGCCTTAGTCTAAGACAATACTATCTAGAATTCTAAATTGTTATATAACGTAGTATATTAAGAGAGACGCTAGTCTGTTACTAGTAAGACGATTAGTTATTAGAATATATAAGGAAAATTTTGTAAATTAGTCTATAATAATAAGTATTAAGTTATATAGTTTGCTTACTACGTTATAAGAGTAAGGTAGCTATATAATAAAGTCAAGTAAGATCTCTTACTAAGGTTTAGAAGGAATAAGGAGTAGGGCTAACTTACTGTATAGTAGATAGGTCTTTACCTTTATTCTTTAACAGATAGTGTAAGTAAAAACGTAATAGTAGACGTCTTTATTAAGACTTAGCTAAAAGAAGGATTAGAAAAGCCTTTTCTTTGTTTTACTAACTCCTTAGTGCCTTATAGTAGGTACGTTATAAAAAAGCTTTAGTAACTCCTTACGTAAGCCTAGATTATTAGGTATATATACACGTCTATAATACTATAGTAGTGTATTATCCTTAAACGTCTATAAGGACCTAGTAGTGCCTTAGCTACCTTACTACTTCTTTTACTCTTTATTAGTAATAAAGGCGTCCCTTTACTATATATTATAAAGGGCTTTTAATAGTAACAGTAGTAACGTTAACGTTACTATTACCTAGCTGTTACTCTTACTAGCCTAACTCTAAGTAGAGTTCTCTACTAGTATAAGAGTGTTTAATTCGCGACTTAATACTCTAGTAATAAAAGCGTAAGGTCCTTAAGACTTATAATCGCCTTAGTCTACTAGCTAGCGTAAGTCTAGCCTCTTATACTAAAGCGATTCCGCTAAGATAGTATACGTTAGAGAGGTCGCTAGACCTTTAGAAAGAATAAAAGGAATTAAAAGAACAAAAGGAATTAGAAGAATAAAAAGAATAGAAGCTTTGTTTTAAACGAGCCTTATAGTAAGACTAACGGCTTTTAAGGTAACTATATTTACCTAGAATTTATTAAGGAAAGTTACTAAAAGAGCTTGTTACACCTCTAATTACTTATTAGGATCTTATAAGTCAGGCTACTACGACAACCTATTAGTAAGGTTTTAGCTACTCTTCTTATATTTAATCTTAAAGTTAAAGACAAAAAGTTCCTCTAGCTATCTAGCTTACTACTATAACAACTTTAGCTTTATAAAGAGGTAACAGTAGTTTAGGTAATCTATTAAAACTAATACCGAACTTTATACATATACTAAGTACGGCCTCTATAACCTAAAAGCCTTAACAATAGCTATTAACTTAGCGTTAAGAGTATTATAGTATAGCTCTAGCCCTTTTAACTTTCTAGAAATAAATATAATAAGGTACTAGCGACCTTCTTATAGCTATAAAAGGACAGTACTAATAGTATAGGCAGATGTATCTGTTTCTATACGTGTAAGTAGTTTAGGGTCGTAGTAATATAGGAAAGAGGCCTTTACAAAGACTAGTTATAGCTTATAGAAGGCTTCTAGGGCTTCGGAACTTAGTGTAATAGTACTAGCGACGTTACTTTAAAGGAGATTCGTTAGTAGTATAGTAATCTTTAAATAATTCTTAATAAAGTATTTATAGAACCTAGTAAACCTTAGAAAGACACAAATATCCTTTATAGTTATAGAAATAGGCTATTCTTAGATTATAAAGACACGCTTAGGTTTAATATAAACTCTCTATAAGTTAATAACGTATCTTAGGAAACCTACTTACTTTATATTAAACTCGTACTTTAAGAGGTTAGTATAAAGGTTGTGTTATTAGAGACGTTTAAGGACGTAGTAAATATACTATATATACTCTTCTTTATTTATAGAGTAGATAAGGATATTATTAAGATATATAATATAAATATTATTAATAAGATTCTCTAGTACTTTATTAATAAAGGACTAGAAGGTCGCTAGTACGTTTACTAGCCTAAAGGACATAACGTAGTATTTAAAGTAGCTATATTAGTACTAGAAAGCCGTTTTTTACTTATTACCGGCCTTAATACAAACTTAATAGTACGCTTTGTATAGGTTAAGCTTAGTGTAGACACAGGCTTACGATAGCCGGTTAAGGATCTCCTTAATTAATAGAATAAGGGCTTAGTTCTTTTTAGTCACACTATTTAACGCCTAGTAGTTAATATAGAGTCGTAGCTTTCCTTTTTTCTTTAGAACAAATAGTATTAGAGTACTAGTAGGGCTCTTACTTAGACAGATCTATCCTTTTACTAGGGCGTCGTCTAAATATTTACGTAAGACACCTAGCTCGACCTCTATAAGCAGGTAGATTCGGCTATATAGTAGTACCGCGTCTCCTTTAAGGTCTATTATATAAGTAAGGCTATTAATTATAGGTAGTAATCTAGCCCCTTCTTTAGAAAAGACGTCTATAAATTATTAGTACTTACTAGGTAAGGTCGCTATAGCCTTACTATCTTTCTATAGTTCTTCTTATAGTTCTTTCTTACCTAGGGATTCTAGGTCGACTATAATTAGTTATACTATTACTACGATTACAAATTAAGCTTCTTTTATTACTTTCTTAATTTCTTTCTTTATTATATATAGCCGGACTATTAAAGACGACATAAGGTATACAAACGTCCGGGTCTTTTATAAAACGATTAGGTTTATAGCCTCTAGCTATAGAAATCTAAGTATAACATCTAAGTCTCTAATGTTAGTAACGACAAATCTACCTTAATGTTACCTTACTATTAAGTAGTTATCTTAGGCCTTAACAAACAGATCGTATAATCTAAAGCTTGTTGTTGTTTTCTAGAATAGTAAGGACACTATAATATAATTATTAAGTTACTATAGTACCTCTTGTCCTAAAAGTCGTAGGTAGATAAGGTTAACTTTTACTCTTAAGTCTAGTAAGGCCGGTATAGCTACCTAGCTACCCTTAATACATATCTCTACCTAAATACTTATTAAGGGTCGCCCCTTTTCTTATTGTTTAGGCGTAACGTAACAGGCTACTAGCGTAGTATTAGCGCCTAAAGTACTAGCCTTATTAAGGTACTAAGTATAAGTATGCCTAGATTAACTATATGTAGAGTATTTATATAGTAGGCACGAATTTACCTAATAACTAGGCTACTAGTATTAGTAGTAGTTACCTTATACCTTACTTACTAAAGGGGTTTTCGTAATACTAGGAGAGTCCTCTTACGTGTTTAAAGTTTAGCTACTAGATGTCCCTTACGTGTTTACTAGCGTAGATAAGGTCTTTAGATTATAAGAAGAGCCTCTCCTAGTATAGTATAGTATTAAAAGGGCTTTACAAGAGCCTTCTTATTACCTTGTCTAAATAAGAGTTTCCTTTCTTAACGCTACTACCTTAACTACCTTAAAAGTATCTAAGACCTTACTACTTACTATATAGGCCCTTAACTTAGGCTTTAAATAATTAATAAGAAGGTAGATATAGAACATCTCTAGAAGGGCGTAGCTAAGTTTAATAACTAGAGAGTTATACTATTAAAGGAAATTCCTAAAGGTCTTGTTTTAGTTTTAAGTTAATATTTAGAGTTTTAATACTACTTTAAGAGAGTAGGTACCCTTATCTATAATACTATAAAGGAGCTACGCCTTTATTTCTCTCTAAGTTATATTAAGAACTAATCTGCCTTTTTCTAAGAAAATAAAAGACTTCTAGTACTCTTTAATATAATCCTTTAGTACTACTACTATAGCGCTAACGTGTTTAGTATCTATTAGATAACTCTCTAGATAGGTATTAAACTCTGTTTTCTAGTTAAATAAGAAGGTTGTAATACTAGTATATGTCTTGTTTTTTAGTAGAATAAAAGGGGTGTTATAATAACTCTTTCCTGTTTCTTTAACACAAGTTCGCTAGAAAGGTCGTTCTACTTTAAGAGGGTTATTAAATTCGTATAGGTTTATTAAGGGAGCCTCTTCTCTCTTAAGCGCTATAAGGTAGTCTTACTTTTACTTAAGGTACTACTCTACCCTTGCTTAGGTAATCCTCTTGTTTAACTTAGTCTTACTTAAGGAAAGGATTTCTGTCGACATTTAGAGAGTCGTACTAGGTTTACTACTATCTACCTATAAAGAGGTATTCTAAAGAGTTGCTTAAGAAGAGGCCTACATCTTGTCGAGGTTTATTTGTCGTGTCTATATTATTACTTTTTACTCTAATAGTCTATAACCTTTTAGTAAAGAAGAGAGATTAGAATGTTAGGTATATTT